CGTTAATTATAAGGTTTTTTAATTAGAAAAAACCATGCGTTTTAAAGATTAATAGTTTTAAAGCTTATATTAAAACGGCGTTATTATAACCGTATTTATATGGAAAACGTTTAATGTTTTATCCGATTATATATTTTTTAAAGAAGTTAAATATTACTTAAGGACGATATTTTATTTAAGAAAAAAAATTATTAATGGTTATATTATCGTTATAATATTAACGATATTAAGTCGAAAGTAGTAACGTGATCGTTATAATTAATTACGAGTTTTTAAAGACGATTAATAATAAAACAAAATAATTTGCAAGAATATTACGTTTTTTTAATGTTATTAAATATTATAATGTGAGATTTTTATATTAGTTTGATAAGGCAAACGTTTTTACGGATTATTTATTAAAACTATTTAAGGAAAAAGAAACGAGTTTATTTAAAATTAAAATTTAAATCGTTAAACATTTATATGAGTTATTTAAATATAACCTTTAAACTATTTTTAAATACTTATATTATAACGTATTATTATTATTTATAATTAACGAGGATTAATGTCGAAAACATTTTATTATTATAAATAATTTATTTGTGAAAATTATTAAGTATAAACGGGTATTAAGTAACGTTTTATATGAAGGCGGAATAATAATTTCGATAAAAATAATTTAATAAATAATCAAATCGTATAAATTATTAAAGAAATTGCGAGAAATTTATAAATAATAAGGTTACGTATTAATTGGCGTGATGTTTTAAGATATTAATAAAAAATTATAGCATTTTAAAATAATCTTATTTATATAATAAGCCGTTATTAAATGTTAAAGTTATTAATTAATGAAAAAGTTAAACTTTTTATTATTTAATTTTTAATTAATTTAATTATTAATTCCTTTAACGCGATAAGTAATAGATTATATAAGTATTATTAAAATAAATATTTTAATTATAATTAAATATATAATCGGATAAGTAAAAGTTATAATAATATTAAATATCGACTTTTTAAGTACGATTTTATTTTTAATTAAAATAGGATATATTTTTAGCTTTTTAAAAGAGTATATTAATGATAATATTAATGTTTTTATAAGTGTTAAAGTTATGGATTAATATTGGAAAAATGAAATAATTATTAAACCGGTGATATTAATTAAATTATAAAGTAATGGTAAGGTAAAAAAAGCGAACGAAGATATTAAGCGTATAATGTTTTAAAAATATTAAGTAAACTTAATTTTAAGAAGTTTTTCTTAATTATTATAAAAAGTAGTAATTATTTTAAACCGCATTTTAAAATAAGATAGTTATAATAATTTTTTCTTATTTTTTAAAACGCAATTATTATAAAAAAATTTAAAGTTTATAAAGTATATAAAAAAAGTATAATACGATAAGGAAATTAAGTTTTAATATTATTTAGTAATAAATTATAAAGCATTTTTAACTTAAAGTTAATATAGAAGTTTTAAGGCTTTTAAAAATTAAATATGTGTTTATTTATAAGAAAAAAAAGGTTTTATATAAACCTTTGCGCTTAGGGATTAAGTTCTTAAAATCCGCTAAAAAGTAAATAAGTATAAGCTATATTATAATGGCCTTTAAGCGATTATAAATTATTATTTTAAAAACATATATCGTATAAAAAGTTTAAAAGGAATTAAACTTTTATTTAAATATAACGATATAAATTTATTTCTCGTATACATGGATAATAAATATTTAATATAAAGTTTATAATATAAAAGTAAACGATTATTAAAGCAGGATAAATAAAAATTAAAAGATAAAATTAATATGGGATAATCGGGATAATTAAGAGATTATTAAGAAAAAAGAGGTAATATATATCTTATTACGAAACCTATTATATGCTTATGTAATCTTGGGACTTACTTTATGAACACATATATTCTAGATTTTTTGGGACATTATCTTAGTTTACTCTTAATAGACCATATTCCCAAATGCTACCGACTTATATGGATTTTATGATCTCAGGACATGGAGCCCCAAGTCCTAGCATAAGGAACTAAGGAAGCACAACGATGGCTTGATATAATAATACATAATAATACATTGCATCAGTGCGTAAGTGCATGTCATTCACTGCATAAGTGCATGCCATTCACTGCATTGTGGGCAAGAGAAAAAAAAAGGAAATCCTTGACCCCCGTTTACCCCCCTTCCCCCCTTTAGCTTCCCCACTCTCTCCATCTAACCTGTACCGTCCCGAACGTCTGGCCCGCTGAACAGTGAGCACCATGCCCCTGTCGGCCCCCAAAATGATACATCAGTAGGTATGTACATAATACCTACAATGATACATGTAAGGTTAGGTATGTATGATTATATAATTCGATCATCGGAATATCTTCATTGTCCTCGAGGGCTTCTTCTTTTTTCTCCCCGAGTTCTGCGACAATGGGAAAGAAAATACAGGCATGTTCAGCATATCGGTATAAACAACTTGCTTTAAAAGACCTCAATATGAAATCTATCGCCAATATTTCGAGAAACTTGAGATGGTGTCTTAGAAGCCAGCAAGTCGCCCTTTTCAGGTCGAAAAGCAGCATCATACCTCTCACATGAATGGACTGACAGGCGAATCATCTTGCCATAACAGAACAGCCAGACATTGAATCCTGACAATGTTAGCTAAGGCAGGTGGGTGCCTCTCAGCATCCTTCGCCGTGAACAAGATTGGCTTCAGATAGAGACCTATATCATACTTGCTATTTCACCAGTCGTGTTTCAAGTACAAACATGCCCACTTCCTGACCATATAGGTCTCTTTCAGGAGCTCAAATGGGTAGGCACACTGTAGAAGAAGGCGAGGATATGTATAAGATTAACAACATGCCTGCCTACTAACCTAAGTAGTCACTTCATACACACAATATCGCACAATATCGAACAACTCAAGATGACCATATATGCCCAGGTGCCCTTGAAGAAGTATCAGTATTACACCGACTATAACCAGAGTTGAAAGCCCAACTCAACACTATTAGTCACAGTTCATAACGAATAAAGACTAGATTGCCTCTAGTTATCTTCATGGTCCAAGGTTGTGAATAAAGATCCTGTATAGGTAGGTAGGTACTAATCTACCCAGAAGACGTTACAAATAGCGTAAATCTACCAGTCGAGGGTTTATATTGCCTAACACCTATCAACATCTTTTGCCCAATCTCACATGATGATCAATACAGATAGGATTCATACTTGTCAGATGCTGTCTAATTCCGATAAACTTTCCACTACATCTAGGCCATCAGTTCTGCTAAACTTGCATCCATCGCTACTAAAACTTGTTAATCGCCTCCAAGAGCGGTATACAAAACGATATTTCACTATCCTCTTCCTCAAGGTCTATCTTGGGTACCTTCTCAAATGTACTCTTCTTCGCACAAATCAGCCAGTTAATATAGAACTGTTGCAGATGGCTTAGGAGCCATGTCTCCACTAGGCCTGCCCTAGATATTGGCACAACGCCATCGTAGTCTGGAATAAAGCATGCTTTCTTCCATCCTTCTTCAATCCCTTTGGTTGCAGTCTTACCTGCAACAAGAACTAATAGCGTATAGAATATCTGTTAGATACACGGATACAAACTGAAGACAGATTGGAACGAAAGATCAAACATTCACCTTTTGGCGTAGCGGCATAATCTGACAATATAATTGTGATTCAAATTTCAGTTGAGTCTTGCTAGACTTCCAACGTATTGTATACAGTCAACATTAGGTATATTTCTGATATGTCGTTTAGCTTCCATGAATTATTCTCGCCCCCCGTTCCTGGTTGTAACTAGCCGTCGGTAGTTCTCTAGCCTCAAATATCAACAGTGATTCTTCGCTATCGTTTTCCATGTAGTGCGCATGGTGGAGAAGCCCTCAAGAATCGATAGACTTAGAAGCAACGTTGTTATGGGAATAGACTCGATCGATATGCTTCTCTATTTTTAGGCTAACCCACGCTACCCAACCTAGCTACTAAGGCTACCTAGGTAGGTAGTTAGTACAATACGAAGTGCCATCGATCTTTCTTAAGAAGTTGTTTATTCTCTAGCTGATTCGGATGAAGTTAGCCCAGACTCCCTGGACATAACTCACGGACGTGCAGACATACATATATCACGAACGCAGGTAGCGAGATCACCTCACGGCACGATAGGGCTGAAGGGGAATGGACTGAATTAAGCGCGCTATACCCACCGGGGTGGAAACTGTTTCTAAACGTACCTATCGGTACCATAGTAAAGACTATAACTAAACATACGACCAATGCGAGTGCATGGTTAATAAGTATACGATTTTCACAATTTCGGGTATAAATGACCAAAATGGCAAGTCACCATATCTGAGGTTGCATAACCCGTAAAGAATATCGATATCGTCCAGGGGTGCAACGTGCCGGCTCTTCGTGACAGTGGCTTGGCAGGTTGTCGCATACGAGAAAATCCAACATGGGGAGTATGTAGCAGCATTGTAGCTTTCATATATGTGGGGACCGCTCCCCTGGAGATGCTCCGAAACACCCATGCTACCTAGTCAGAAAGATCGTGAACACTGCAAGCCCGGGGTAGCTAGGTGCTGTTGGTCCGGCGTTGGTTGGCCAGTATGTAGGTTAGTATCGCAAACTTACGATCACCGAGTTCAATGGCCTGGCCCTTGAAGGCCTTTAGTTAAATAGCCTCTCGCCGGCACCACCCTTTGCAATGTTGTTCTCTTGGATCATCGTGTCAACACACGGCAGAACAGTCTTTCGTTTTCAACCTCCGGCGCCATGAGAGTTCAATCCACGCTAGCGACCCTGATGGGCGCGCTGGCCTACACCACCAGTGTTGTCGCAGCCGCCGACACAGCAGCAGCAGCCCCCCCCACCGTGGACGAGTCGATCGTCCCGGGGGCGTACATCGTCGAGTTCGAGGACGACGCGGACACCAACAGCTTCCAGCAGGGGCTCGACTTCGACGGCGTCGAGGTCGAGCACCGCATGGACCTGCACTACCAGCTCTTCAAGGGCGCCTCCTTCAAGTTCCGGGACAGCGTCGCCGAGCCCGAGATCGCCGCCAGCAGGCTCGCCGCCCAGCCGCAGATCAAGAACATCTGGCCCGTGCGCAAGATCTCCTTCCCGAAGCCCGAGGTCAAGTTCGTCGGCAGCAACGTCGGGGGCGAGGTCGGCGGGCAGCTCAACAATAACAAGAACAAGCGCCAGGAGAGCTATGCGTCCGCGTTCCCTCCCCACCTCATGACGCAGGTCGACAAGCTCCTCGCTGAGGGCTTCACCGGTAAAGGCCTGCGCATCGGCCTGGTGGATACCGGTGTCGATTACACGCACCCGGCGCTCGGCGGATGCTTCGGCAAGGGCTGCTTGGTCGAGTACGGCTACGACTTCAACGGCGACAACAGCTCCTCTCCCGTCCCCGTCCCGGACGACGACCCGTACGATGGCTGCGTCGGCCACGGAACCCACGTCGCTGGAATTATTGCCGCGCAGCTTAACGAGCATAACTTCACCGGCGCCGCACCGGGCGTCAAGCTAGGCATGTACAAGGCGACCGGCTGCGGAGGAGAGACTACGAACGAGATGTTGATCGCGGGATTCAACCGCGCCTTCGAGGACGGCAGCGACATCATCTCGTGCTCGGCTGGTGACGACTCCGGTTGGTCTTCGGACCCCTGGGCCATTGCTGCCTCGCGCATTGCCCAAGCTGGTGTGCCGGTCGTTGTGGCTCCCGGGAACTCAGGAAACTTGGGACTGTGGTATCCGTCTACTCCTGCATCGGGCGTAGATGTCACTGCGGTCGGCTCTGTCCAGAACATTGTTTTGCCGACGATGCTGAAGCTGGGTACCTATTCCGTGAAGGACGGAGTTGAAGCCGAACGTTTCGGGATCAGGTTTGGTAGCCCTTCGTTCAAAGTGAACGTTACTCGTACGTAATGCTCGGAACTTACCCCCCCCCTTTCCCCTCTGATTACTGACTCTTTCTTTCTAACAGTGCCACTGTGGGCTGCGGGCAACGATACGGCTGCAGGAACAGATGCTTGCAGTGAGCTCCCAGCCGACACACCGGATTTATCTGAAACAGTCGTGCTGCTCGGTATCCCTACCTCAGGCGGAGAGTGCACTACCGAGATCCAAGCCGCAAACGTCGCTGCCAAGGGCGGCCAGTACGTGCTATGGTATGCTCAGGACAATACGTAAGTTGACCACACATCATCCCCGACAATTCCTTTGATCTTTCTATACAGCTGCTAACGTACGAAACAGACAAATCCCGGACCTCTATATCAACAACGCGTCGATCCAGGCCGTTGGCTCGATTCCCGTCGCGCAGGGCGAGCAGTTCATCGCATCATTGAACGAGGGCAGCACAGTCACCGTGACCGTCAATGACTACTCATCGGCCGGCATGTACGTGCACAACCTCGACAACAACGTCGCCGGAGGCTACATGGCTCGATCCAGCAGCTGGGGCCCGTCCCAGGAGATCAACGTGAAGCCCCAGATCTCGGCCCCCGGCGGCGACGTCTTCTCCACGTACCCCCTACCGCTCGGCGGGTACGCTGTTCTGTCCGGCACATCGATGGCCACGCCCCTCCTCGCCGCCATCTTCGCGCTGATCGTCGAGGCACGGGGAACCAAGGACCCGAAGGTCCTGCGAAGCCTGGTCTCGTCCACCGCCAAGCCCAAGGTCTGGTTCGACGGGACCAACGCGCACAACGAGATCCTCGCCCCCGTGGCGCAGCAGGGCGGCGGGATCGCGCAGGCGTGGGACGCGGCGCACGCGACGACGATCCTCAGCGAGAGCAGCCTCTCCTTCAACGACAGCGACCACTTCGTCGCGGCGCGCACCTTCACGATCGAGAACACCGCCACCGAGCCCGTCACCTACGTCCTCGGCCACGCCAAGGCCCTGACGCAGTACACCTTCGGCACCGGCGGCGGCGACGTCCTCGACAGCACCAGCTTCCCCAACCCCTCCGCCGAGGGCTGGGCCTCGCTCGCCTTCGCGTCCGACGAGATCACCGTCCCGGCCGGCGGCAAGTCCGAGGTCACCGTCACGCTGACGCCGCCCGAGAGCCTCAACGCGACGCTGCTGCCCGTGTACAGCGGGTACATCACCCTGAACAGCACTCGGGAAGAGTCGCTCGTGCTGCCGTACCTGGGGGTGTGGGGCAGCCTGTACAAGACGCCGATCGTGCAGCCGGGGTACGACGGCGGGGTCTTCCTGACGAGCACGAACGGCCACTTCAACATCCCCGTCGCCGCCAACACGACCTTCACGCTCGCGCGCCCCGGCAGCAACTCCAGCGCGAGCGGCGTCATATACCCGAAGCTCGCCATCTGGCCCACGATGGGCGCGCAGAAGGTGCGCGCCGAGCTCGTCGCCCTGACGCCCACGGACCTGCCCACGACCCAGTGGAAGGGCTACGCGAGCCTGGGGTCGCTGAGGGGGTTCCCGCTGACGCTGGTCGCGCGCAACGGGCTGTCGACCACGTTTGGCGGTGCGTTGGACGACGGGACGGTGGTGCCCGACGGTTCTTACGCGTTCATCGTCAGCGCGGTGAGGGTGTTTGGCGATGCGGCCAAGGACGAGGACTGGGATATCGTGGAGACGGTGCCGTTTAATATCGAGTATAAGGAATAAGGAATAAGGGTTCCACGTGGGGGGTAATATATCATGACATTAGCTGGGTAGGGATATAAGTGAGATTTAATGAGTTTTAATTAATGAAAAACGTGGGCAAACAATTCATAATACCCACTTCTGAAGTATTTTCCTCGTGGGAAAGTGGATGTACTATATAGGCCCTGTGAAGAGAGTCGAGGACCTACTGTTTATAGCTACCAGCTTTACTCACCGTCTCCGCTGTATACTTTATCTAGCATTCATGATTGCTTAGATGGGTCTTTTTTCGGGATACGCGAGATCTTGGAAGTAACGGTTACAATGTGGAAGTATTAGCCGTAAAGGTTGACAATATCACTGGATAACAAAGGGGGGTGTTGTATACCAGTACCTTTCGTTACGGAACATTGGACTTGTATCTCAACAACTACCATCGTCATGTATCAGTAGCGGTGTGTGTGAACGCCCCCTATCGTTGACATACACCTGGGAAGGTATGATGTTCTCACGGCGTATAAGTATTCCCACAGTCGACGATGAATTCATCCATTTTCCTTTCCCACAGACCACTACACTCATACACTCCTACACACACCCTTTCTAGAGCCCCTCTCCAATCACCAACTCTTACTAAGCGTAGTTTCGACAACACTGTACAACTTTCACAACGCAATCAAGCATCTCGCTTTACCACCTCAACCCAACCTTCACCATGAGATTCGCTAGCATCATCGCCGCTGTTCTCTCCACGGCCATCACCTCAGTCCACGGGAATCCCCAAGAACCCCAAGGCAGCGGCGGTCTCCCCGCTGGCTACAAGTTGGCCGACACCACCTGGTCCGGCAACATCACGGCCAACGGGCCCAAGCTGACCTTCACCGGCTTCAGCATGCAAGACATCGAGTACCAAATCCGGAAAGCCAACCCCAGCTTCCCGCTCGGCGGCAAGTCTGCTCTGGCCGTTCGCGCGGGGCCGAAGCTCGACTGCCAGCCGGCCGACTTCTGGTGGGCGCAGGTGTTCCGCATACAGGAGGGGATCGACTACCTGCACGGGATCGAGGGGTCGTTCCACATCGGCCCGGGGCCGCGGGTGTGCTCGCGCGTGTCGTGCAGCCACAAGAGCGCCATCTACTTCTGCAACGACAACCCCCGCGACATCTGGGTCGACGCCGACTACGTCGCCGACTACGCGCAGGACATCGTCGACGCGTGCCAGACCTTCGATGATTCGGCGAGGGTCCGCGGGCAGCAGTTTGCGGCAGACTACTTCGACCCGAACAACTGGAACGTTATTGTGGCGCTCGACTTTGACCACTGTTAAATCGACAGCGGTTGTTGCTCTGCATTCATACCTACCTACCTACCTAGGTATGAATATCGCATCTAGCAATATGTAAAGGGGGGAGAGGGAAGGGGAGTAGATTAGCGTAGAATGTCTTCGTAGCCATAGTTTTTTGATAGATTAACAGGATAGAAGAACGAAAATAGTTTTTCAAAAAATAGTTCCTTGATACACCTACAATATCTCATTCGATACCCATTGATTCTGTGCTTGTTTAAGTTTTCCGAAATCGAAAACACGATTCGGACAGTTGATGTCTCTGATGCGCGGACATGGAAATTTATATCTATCTGGGCATACGATGTAGACAAAGGAGACAATGGCATACAATGGCATTGTTAAAGTGAAAGAAACCGATATAATTCTTCTGGTGTTGTATATAGTTAGAGAGAGATACACAGATGTAGTGAATCTGAAGTTTCGAGATTCAAGATCGGAGAATTCCAAGGAACGTTTTTGGCCCCTGAGATTCTGAGAATCTAGATTCTAGTTAGCGCACGGACCACCAATTTGCATCAATTAGTGTATTTAAACCCTTTTATGCATCTACCAGGCATTCGACACATTCATTCATCTCTTCGCGAAGTTTTACCAGAACAACATCGCAATTTCAATGCCTGCAATAACCCAACTCTGGCACCAAGTAATTTCATCTTCATCTCGATATTTAATCCAGTTTCGATATCTGACATCCTTGAGATTGTCGAGGAGCAGCTTCATTCCTGTCAAAATGGTCAAGAGAAAAGCAAGCCAGATCGCGGCGGTCCAGCCGGACACGGATACGACTACGCTAAGGAGGTCGACGCGTCGAAAACCATCAGAGCCAGCAACGCAGGCTAGTGACAGTGGTGTGGCAAAGCCAGAAAGCGATGCACCCAAAGCAGCGAAGGCAGTGAAAGCAAAGGGGGCTGTTAAGAAGGAAGATATAAAAGTGTCTCCAGTAAGAAAATTCATTCCTTACTCAACGTTTATTTCAAATTTCATAAAACTCACAGGAATCTCAATAAGCCTAAGCCAAAGGCGAAACCAAAGACCAGTAAGGACACACAGCTGCCAAGTACGACAGCAGGTGAAGCGTCCGATTCTTCGGAAAGGTCATATTGGCTCATGAAAGCCGAGCCCGAGTCACGTTTCGAGAATGGCACCGATGTGAAATTTTCCATTGATGATTTAGCCTCACGGACTGAGCCCGAGCCTTGGGATGGTAAGTATTCGCATTGACACCATGTGTTTATTCTATCTAGGGTATATGGGCGCTCACACCGTAGCCTAGGCATCCGCAATTACGCTGCCCGTAATAATCTTCGCGCGATGAAGAAGGGCGATATAGCTTTCTTTTACCACTCCAACTGTAAGGAGCCGGGAATCGTAGGTACCATGGAAGTTGTGCAAGAGCATTCCCCAGATGGTAAATATACGCGCCCCTACTTCTCTTAAACCCTTCTTCTGACCAGAATGCCAGTATCGGCGCATGACCCCAAGGCACCGTATTACGATGCTTCTTCGAAACCTGACGAGCCAAAATGGAGCGTCGTGCACGTCAAATTCCACAGTAAGTTCAAGCAGCAAATCGGACTGAAGGAACTTCGCGAGATGGGTAAACCGGGACAACCACTTGAGAGCATGCAGATGATCAAGCAGAGCCGGCTGAGTGTGAGTCGTGTGTCTGCGACCGAGTTTGAGTATTTGATGGGTATAATAAGAGAGCGAGGCGGTGAGATCAGCTAAGACCTCGTTAAATGTAATATAATGGAATAAAGCCTGGGGCGGAGAGCCACCCACTTCAAGGCTTCGGTAGAGTTCGAAGAGTATGCTCCAGAACAGTTCGGATACCCAAATCAAGATCCTCCGAAGCCAGAATTGGTTCTATCCACGACTTCACTTTTTCAGTTAATGAAGCCTTGTTGACTGTTGTAGAAAGAGATGACTTGAGCCGAGCTAATGCTTCCCGTAGAGCCTTAGGATATAGGGGTGAGTTTATGTCGATATTCACCAAAGGTTGTCGAACGTGACAGAAGTCCGTCGCCGGATCGTTGGGATATAGTTCAGTCATGGTATCCAAAACATGTTGAATAATTCGAGCTTGCGCAGGAATAGGATTGGATATGGCGAAGACATTGAAGAATTGTTCTGCTACCGTAGCATTAAAGAAGGGCTGCTTCTTAGAGATGTCGAAGATAGCTAACGGGATAGCTCCATCTAGCGCAGGGTTGCTTTCCAGTTTTTTGGCTGTGTCTTCGCTGAACGCCTCGACTGAAGTCCCAGGATCCGGTAGTGTTAGTTGGCCATCCTCATCGGCCTCCTCATCTTCGCTATCCTGTATTAATTTGATCTCATCGTCACTTTGTTCAGCCTGTTCCTGTAATGCTTTTTCTGCGCCGCCCTTTTTGCCCTTCTTCGCATCCATTCGTTGTAGCCACTCCATCTCGCATCTGGCATATTCGAGCCAGACGGTGGCATCTCTGGTACAGAACCTAGCACCACGCATGAAAAAGCCTCTCGCAGCCTGCATGTCTCCAGTATTTGCGGACCTCCTGCCTGCCATTACCCAGAGCTCAGGTTTTGCTGGGTGCATTCTCAATGCTCTGGTCATGACTTTCCTGTACCGCTTGGAGGCCTTCATATCTTTCGCATAAGCTAAGTACTCTTTCCATAGCTCAACATTCCCTGGGTGTCTGTTCACTGCTCGATCCAATATCCCGAATACCCGCCCTTCGCCAGTGTGCTTGGACGAGGTGCGGACCTTTAACCTTTTGCATCGTTTCGCGCGGAGAGACTCCAGTGATTTCTCCCATGCAGCATAATTGAGCCAATCGGTCGCTTTGTTACCGGGAGACAAGACAATATGTTCGAAATCGGTACGCTTTCGTACTAGGGAGCGGATCTCATCGGTGGTGAATATACCCTTGGATTCGAATTCGCGTAGCTGGGGCACGGCACGCTCGAGGTAAAACCGAGCTTTCTCAGGGACGCCTGCCATTTTGAATCCTTTCTACAAAGCCCAACACCCAGTAAGAGTTCAATTGGCAATCAAGATGGTATGGCGATTTCGGGAAAAGGTTGAAGTTGGTGGAAATACCTAAGAGGTGAAGAAGCGTAGAATGTTTCGTGATGCCAATGAAATGAAAGGAAAAGAAAAAAAAAGTTATGGTGGAGACTGTTGTATCTATCGATAACGTTTGGATCCGTTACCCATAATTATTTCATCGGTTAGTGTTATTGCCAATGCTGCCAAGATAACTAACAAGGTTCTCGGTGCGACGGGAGCTAGTTCTGTCCGTCGGTAAGCTCGGTCCACCAATATAAGAATTATATGCACCTAAGCCCTACCATAATTTACTCGGTAATCGGACATACCCTTGCTGAGCACGTCAGAAAGGAGCTTAGACCAAGCTGGACCGCGGGGGAGGGACCTGGTAACTTGACAGTGATAGGGAATACCAAGTAATACCAACATGCCATGACGATGAATTAGCATCTTTCTTTTTTTTTCTTGTTGGTTCTTGGTTTGCGCATCGCCGAGGTTTCCGGATAAACAACTGCTACATACGCGGAAGCCAACGCTCTCCCTAACATTCTTTTTGCCTCCTGCAACTTTCATCAATCTTCACCTCGTTAAACTTACCTTACCCTTACCCTTACATACTGAGATACTTTGTGGCTTTCCTGTTTACACAAGCCCGAAAATGCAATATGTCTTCTAAATATAAGGATAAAGACTTCGGGACAGTCATCGCCCTGAATGCGAAATGGGTGTCGTGGGCCCATACTGCTATTGCGTCTGGTTAGTGCTTTTGCTTCCTATATATCTACATACATCATTGAGAAGGATTCTATTATATGCTGATCAATGTCATTCACATTTATATAGCTGCTTTCCTCAGCGCTCTCGCTGTGGGCATGTACCTCCATCTTCACAAGATCGTCCAGAACGAATTCTACGGTTATCCCGATGAGTGGTTCCCATCTGTCTCCGCTACGATAGGCGATCGATACCCCGAACGATCCTTCTTTCAGGTCTTCATAGCCTTGACTTCGGGCCCCAGATTCGCATTAGTTGCCTTATGGTACCTCTTAACGGCAAAATCTGGAAATGCACTAGCCAAATTTGTCGCCGGCGTTGGCATCTTTAGGACTCTTACGTGTGCTGGCTGGACATACGTAACTTCGACTGACGATCATGATTGGCACGATATCTTTATGATTTCTTACATGGTAGCCACCGTCCCTTGGACGATTGGCTGCATTGCCTTAAGCCCGCCAAATCTGAGAGCAATTAAGTATCGAAAATATCTCTGTACTGCATTTTTTGGCAGCATTCCGTTTATGATATATTTCTACATTCAGCACAAGATTCACCGTGTAGCAGGAGGTGAGTCAATCTCACTTTCCGTTTTTGCTGACGTGCATAACTCACTATTAGTAGCTTATACGACGTATGCATTCATCGAATGGTCCTTAATTGTATACGATGTTGCTTTCGATGCAGTTACTGCCCTCGACTTCGATACTTTTGAGATCGTCGTGAGAGATGTAAAGGATTCGAGCAAGGGGTACGTACATAGACTCCCCAGGTAAACTTGGTACCACCTGCATACTCGCCCGGGCTGAATTCGGTATTCCAACCATTCTCTTACCTAGACGTGTTTTTGAGCAATTGCAAATATCGACCACGAAGAACCAACGAAGACTTGGTGACTTCCCAGCCTAGGCTATCGTTATTATAATCCAGACACATGCACCTGTGCGGTAGTCTGAATTTTCTACGAATAAAGCTCTGCGATATCCCCATAGCCTTCGTTATCGCTACCACCAAAATAGATCCTTCACAAGGCAGCTGTCCTTAATTCTATAAATTAGCGACCCCCCTTTTCCCGATCCACTATTTTAGGGGGGAGATGGACAATTTGCAAAGCATGGGTCGCTATTAAGAATCATCACATCAGCCCGAGCGAGTTTGACATGGGAATACCATGGACGTGGTATTTCGACAACAATATTCTGACTGGGTTTTGTAGAATTCATGTATCCTCCAAACCGAACACCGATTCTACAAGAGAGAAAGGAAAGATCATAAACAGCATCTTTAACGTCAAGTTCTCGTGGTCTGAGACGTTTGATACGGCTGCTGAAGTCTACCATGGCTTTGTTTTTTGGTCTATGCTCACAAGCTTAGGTGTGGTGGTTTGGTACTTCCCACTCTGGCATATGGGAATTTCAGGCTATGAAGTATTAGTCATGTCAACCATTTCGCCTTTTCTTCTGGGAATCAAACCACTTCGTTTGTTAGTAACCCAAAATTTGCGCGCGTGCCACTTTCTGTCACTCGGTGGGCTCCTTGCGTGGAAAGTCAAAGACCCTGCTTACCGGCTTTTTACTGTGGGTTTTGGTGTTGCCATGTCGTGTCTATCATGGGCTGCTACGCTATACTCCGAGTCGGTTTCTGAGACTCGACTTGAGTCCAAAGTCCTAGCTTGGATTGCCGGACTCATTGCGTCCTCCGCTGTCAAGTTTGCATGGCAGACCAATAACCCGATATGGCCAATCATGCACGCCGAAAACGGTGGCTATAACTACACAGGCCTGGTATTAGCTCTTCTTGCAATGTTAAGATTTACTCGGAAGGGACCATTGAACACTGGAATTGTTACCAATGAAAAACAGGATGGATCATCATTCCTAGCTGCTCTTGGAGTTGCCGGCCTCTTTTTCGGTCTGCATTCTCTACTCTCTGACACGAGCACCATGATTTCATGGGCGTGGGATGGGTATCCTGTCAGAGGCCCTCTTGCTGTTCCCCACGGTTGGTTCACGTTGGCTGCGATGACTATCGGCTTGCTGACCGGAGTCCGTCTACCGAACCTTGTCAGTACGTGGTCGATCTACGGCGTTGGATGCTTAGGAGCGGCTATCCTCACTCTTTACCCTCACTGGTTTGGTTACTCTGGTGCTCTTATAATAGCCTTCTATCTCACAGCGATTTCTTACCCCATACTTAGTGCAGCGGCTAAGAAGAGGCCAGCAACGACATTTGGTCTTGGATTCCTCATATACAACTTTATGGTCTTATTCCATGTATGGGTAGTTGCCTATGCCTTCGTCCCTGGCGGGCCACTTGTTCGTGAGCATACAGATTGGGTCATGGTTACAATGATGCTACTCGTTGGTGCTGGTGTGTTTAACCTAACGTCATTGAACTCGCGTCAATATGACGCTCGTGGAGGGCTATTCTGGTCGCAACATCGCAAGTATCATACTTTGGCACTCGGTATCGTCAATATCCTCTTCATTGCTTCTGCACTTAGGCGCTTCCCGGTATATGATCATAAACCGTACCACGAAGATTCGAGGCTCATCACTGCCGGTATTTGGACCATCCACTTCTCCTTCGACAACGATATGTGGTCCTCAGAAAATCGCATAAGTAATTTGATTAAAGAGCTAGAAATCGATGTCATAGGTTTACTAGAATCCGATCTACAACGGATCATCATGGGAAACAGGGATACCACCCAGTTCTTCGCAGAAGACTTGGGCATGTATGTTGATTATGGCCCTGGTCCAAACAAGCATACCTGGGGTGCCGCGCTCTTGTCGAAGTTTCCGATTGTGAATTCAACGCATCACTTGCTTCCGTCACCAGTTGGTGAACTCGCCCCCGCTATTCACGCGACCCTCGATGCGTATGGCGAATTGGTAGATGTTTTCGTTTTTCATTCGGGACAAGAAGAGGATGTTGAAGACCGTCGTCTCCAGGCTGCGTATCTCTCCAAGTTGATGGGATCCTCCCCAAGGCCCTCCATATTACTTTCCTACCTGGTTACCAAACCCCTAAAAGGCAACTATAACACTTACGTTTCTGAGACCTCGGGGATGCACGATGTGGATCCAAAAGACTGGGATCGATGGTGCGAATATATCCTATATAAACACATCCAGAGAGTAGGCTATGCAAGGATATCTCGGAGCACCATTACCGACACTGAATTGCAAGTCGCGAAATTCGTGGTACCAACGACCGAGACTGAGAAGGCGCAAGTCGCAGCATTGGACAGCGACTCACCGTCAAGAAATCGCAGAGTAAGTGAAAAGGAAGTTCCTGAGGGCTGGAGATTCCCGGCCCGGTTCCGTGGTGTGGGCGTTAGGGGCCACCGATATCACGTTTTTAATGAACCCTGGTATTATAAACCGTCATGAACAGGCGGCCACGGCGCATAGGAAATGGGGGGACGGGGGGCTATAAAGTGATCATGAAATTAAGGAGTTACGAAATCAGGAAACCCGACGCGCAAATGCCTTTTAAAAGTGTACGATAGATAGATCGTATGTACCAAGAACAAGTGTCCTTGCTATATCCGACCTGGATTTTCAATTCTGCATACCTACTCAAGTAGTGTAGCGTAATAATTATTTGAGCCGAGCAAAAAGTACGAACATAATTGGCGAGCTGATTCATTTCATTATTCCTCGATCTTTCTTCGTTGATGTGAAGATTAATGCATGGAGTTTAGGCGAGTGGCTTTTCCAGCGGCGGGTAAGTATTAGTTCAAGACATTTGCCCCTATTCCAAGCTCGATATACTTGGAACAGTCATCAACTCCCTTAATTGTTTTGGCAGCGTAATATTATGCACCTTCAAGAAGGTCCTGCTTTCAATCGCGGCCAGCCAATCCCGCTTAGCTCTTACTGTTTTTTTATCCTTCAAATTCTGTAGCTCGATGGCTGCATGAATGACATGGGTAGAAGAAAAGGGGCTGATCCACTGAGGATGCCACTTGCTCCTTTCGTAGATCATTTCTCTTCATGGGCGCCTATCGGCACATACATGTAGTTGAGCAGGCACATAGGTATGGATGGGATGGTACCGTACCATAAAACGTAAATATATTCCTTGCAGTAGATCGCGGTTGAATCTTGCCATTAAGATCCAAGTTGAGATCAAACCTGGGATCTACGTAAATATGCTACGTACATAGTAGATCATTGAATACACCCGCATATTACGTACCTCAATTTCTGACAGTAGGAATTTCTCCCTCTTGACAATACGCATCGAATAGGAGTAAACTTGTAGGTAGCAACATGGAAAAGGAACCATCAAGTGTGTCCTGCATATCCAAGCAATATTACCGGTATTACAGTACTTCCCCTGGCCACTGCAACTTTAGGCTTCTGGCGTGCGACTTACACCTGCATGCATGCATGTAGGTACCAGGTAGCTATGCATGTATGTCTTAGAAAGCCGTGATTCATATTACTTGCCTATCTCCTTCATCCCGATATTAATGCAAGGGGTTGTGGCACTCCGTATCGAACGCTGCCAAACTCAACTTGAGCGAGTGTAAATCTAGCAATAGGTGCCTACCTACATAGTACCTATGTAGGTAAGTACGGTTGGATAGATACAACTCTAGGTAAACATGCGGCGGCGACACGCTGAGCCTCCCCCTCTTCATCTCTATCGTCCATCTGCCCCCTTTTTGATTCATTCTTTTCTTTCAACCCAAGCCATGTAGCGAGATCAAGTTACATGACACGACTACGGAGTACCTAATGAAGGTTATTAAGAGTCAATAAATAAACTGGGAGCTCTTCCTGCGAATCACATGCGCCTGCAGCGCCCAACAAACTCGGACAACGCAAATGCAAGCACGCATGGTTTATATTTAGCAATTCTTTTACCTCGACAAGGGGCCTGCGTGCATCGGGTGGCTTCCTCGTATTATTTTCTCTCGCATGCCCGGCTCAATCTTGCTTGACCTACCTATATGAAATCCTTATTTTATTTTCCGAAATCGCGATGGGTTTTGGCAGACACGAAAACCAAAACACTCTCCCCTATTCTACCTATACCATTTGGGAAACGGAGAAAAAAACAAACCCCAAGGGACGCGCCACACCAAGGCGCTTATAAATTGCACCGCTGCTATTTGCATCCGGATCAAAAGGAGATGAAAGGGACTTTGACAGCAGGACACGATACGACACAACTGGCCCGGAGACCTAGTGGGAAGTCGCGCGTCTAATAGATATAGATGGATGGCTTTCCTTTTTATATTGACAGTGTGCGATAATGCCCATCTTATATGAGACCTTGACTGCCGGGCCCGAACGAGGCGAGACATTGACGCCTCTCTACTACTTATCTAGACGTTGTGTTTACTCACACGACACTTCCATGGTTCTGTTCTTAACATACCTATTATATCGAGGCATCTAGGTAGTTCGAACAGTTTCCAGTTTCGACTAAAAGCACCTCACGCACAGGTCTGGGGCTATGCAGATATGTTGTCGCAACTACCATGGCTGACAACATGTTGCCTCCTCTTACTCTCCACCCCCATATCCGGGGCCCTGATCCGTCGCGATAACCTCAACACGACGCGCGCCGCCGTAGACGCCATGATGACGCTCTACGACCCGACAACCGGGCTCTGGGACCCGAGCAGCAACGGGTCGTCGTGGTGGCAGAGCGGCGTCGCGCTGTGGATCCTCGCGGACTACATGGTGCGGACCGGCTCGCGGGCGTACCTCGTGCAAGCCGAGAACACGGTCGCGATCCAGCGCGCGCCGCTATCCTGGTGGCCGGAGGGCGGCGGCGACTTCCGCGCCGACAGCACCGACGACACAGGCTGGTGGGCCCTCGCCATGACCAGCATGTACCAGCTCACCGGCGACGACATGTACCTGGCCATCGCGCGCGAGGACGAGGCGTACATGTACGCGTACTGGAACACCACCACGTGCGGCGGCGGGCTCATCTGGAACATACCCGCGGGCACCTACCACAACGCGATCAGCAACGAGCTGTACCTGCAGCTGACGGCGCGGCTGCACAACCTGATCCCCGGCGACACGCTGTACCTGAACCGGAGCCTGCAGGAGTGGAGCTGGTTCAACCGCAGCGGGATGGTCAACGCGCAGGGGCTCGTCAACGACGGGCTGACGGACAACGCGGCGTGCGTCAACAACGGGATGCCGACGTGGACGTACAACCAGGGCGTCGTCCTCGGCGGGCTCGTCGAGCTGCACGCCGCGACCGGCGACGGCACCTACCTGTCCGCGGCGCGGCGCATCGCCGACGCCGTGCTCGCGAGCGCGTCGCTGGTGCAGGGCGGCGTGCTGACGGAGCCCTGCGCGTCCGAGGAGGAGTGCGAGCCCAACGGCACGGCGTTTAAAGGGATCTTCGCCAAGGAGCTCGGACGCCTCGACGCGGCGCTCGCGGATCGGCCGTACGCGGCGTTTCTGGAGGGCAATGCGAGGGCGGCGCACGCGAATGCGCGGAATGCGTCGGCGGGGAACTACTACGGGTTTAGGTGGCAGGGCCCGTTTGACAGGGTCACGGTGGGGTCGCAGGAGGCGGCGGTGGGGCTGCTGATGGCGGCGTATTTGGAGTGATGTGCAATCCAGAAGGAAGGGAGAAGGATGGAAGAAAGCTAAGGTTGCTTTACTCCTGACGAAGGTACGATGGCGCTGTGCCAATATCCCGGGCAGGCCTAGTGAAGCCATGGCGCCTGAGGCACATGCAGCAGTATGTGTAGGTATAGATACTTAAGGGGGAGAGACAGGACGGGCGGACTGTTTGCCTGAGGGTAATGAAGATGCGTGGCGAACTAGGGGACTGCAATGGTGTATTTTGTAAAGTGCCAAGGATAAAGGGGTACGGTTGGGTATATACTTGTAGAAATGAGTTTACTGTATACCTGGGTACCTAATCCATAGAGTAAACAAATTGAGGCAGTGATCAGAGTGGCGGCGCGAGTTGTTGAACAGGAGCACGGAGGCAGTCCCCTTCCTTGTTTTCATGGATAAGTGCCTAGGAGTTCCGTTCATTCGATCACAGATGTAAGCTCTGTAGCGTTTGAACTGGGTTGGTAGGGAATAAAGTCTTTCAATATTATACATGGTAGGTACCTAGTATGTGCTATTGAAAGAAAGGGGGCAAGTTTTGTACATTGTTGACGGTGTAAATGGATCAACATACGAAACCCTTCCGAGTCCAAATAACCTTAGCGAATCTTCCTTCTGCCGCGTCTCGAGTCCTCTAACTTCGGAATGTAGGAGTATCTACTACCTAAGTAGCCAAGGTAGTCCCAGCGTCCCATCAATACACATCTTCGAATTATTGGCCAAAATGCCGGTATCGTGTGACCGTCGAGTATCCCTCGTCCTCCGAGCCGCCGTCAACAACCCAACCCCATTCGCCGTTACCGATGTAAACTCGCTGATAGGTGACACCATCTTCAACTCGAGCTATCTCATCTGATTGGGGATCTCTGCTTGTTGATCCTCTGCGGACGTTTTTTTGTGCTTGCTTGCGCCGGTTCGTTATATACTTCGCGGCGGCGATGCAGCCCACCACACATGTTGCGCCGGTTGCGAACATGGCTTTAGCGAGAACATCAGCCATGGCGATGAGTTGAGAAGATGTTATCGGAGGCTTGAGTTTGTAGTGTTGTCGTTGAGCGATGGCCACCTAAGGTTCATGTCAGTTTCTAGTCTTTTGATGGTAGGAATCAAATACGCACACGAGGATGGAGGTCGTCGATTTACAAATGAAAGACTGAGAGTTGCAATGATGATGATGGGAGGTTCTCGTGGCTATATATAATTATGTGCGGCCGCATAGACCTCGCAATAATGAAGGCTGCTTGTTGTTTGATAGCTATGGGCTTTTCTTTCAAAGGTAGCTCTAAGACCATTGAGAAACTATTGCAAGGAGCATAACTGAGCATATAAAGCTACAGCTGCCATAATCGTAAGGCCAAAGTCACAACTTTATTTCCCACCAGGTAGCTAGATACTCATATCATAACCTCGACTAATCAATGTAGTGATTATTCGGTATTGGTAACAAATAAGTCACTTGTAGTTTATTGAACCCTAAGGTCACCACCAGCCTCAAACTGAATCTAAATGAATGGGGTTAGAATAAGGTCGTTATTATACACAGTACTAAAGGATAATGATTATCGCAGCAGCTTACCCCCATCTTCTACACATCGGGATATAACCATCAGCCAAGCCAGAACACTAGGGCAGCAACCATCAATAAAATAATGAATACCAAAATCGTAAGGCAGCCAGCCCTAGAGTAGTTTAAGAGCAATCCAGTTTTGCCTAGGGCTTGTAGGTATGTAGTTGCCTAGCACTTTAGCAAGGACAGCTCTCAACGAGTGACTTAATATCTACTAAGATACTACCTAGGTGCCCAATAGGTACATACCATATCTGCTGATTATCGTAGGTAGGAATTATGCTGAATTGTAGTATATAATATTAGTCCCTTTCATAACGAACAGAGCCATTGAAGCTTACGTGCCCCCCTTTTCTGCTGATGGTCATCCTATGAACAACTACAAGATAACCCTGATACCAATTAATAATTATGAGAAGAAGAGAAGTTTTAAAGGATAGCTAGTAGCTAACTGATCTATATCAAATGATATTAGACTTGTCAACTTTCAGACCCCCCTTGCTCAAATAAAACTTCCAAACAAGTCCTGTCCATTCACTCCAACTCTATACCCCTGATATACCCCTTTTCCCCTTTTAGATTCCTCTCAACCTGAAATATAGGCTGACTGATATATCTTTGGGACATCTACTAATTGTTTCAGTACTTAGGTAGTTAGATATTCGAACAAATGCTACTCCACTTGTGCCTCTAGATACAAGCGGTATTGAATGTCGTCAATATTGAAATACCTAGGCATTTAGCAGTGAACTGTTTAGGTTAACTAGGTCTCCAGATAGACCAAGATAGACTGGCTGTACATCCCCCAAGATACCTGATGAATAAACGCTCCATTTGCTTTGATTTTCTGCCTTTGAACTGTTCCCATTGCATGTTCCTGACAAGGAGTGGATATCGACTTTGCTCTAGGGGCCCCTTTGCTTTCTCCTAGCTAGTGCCTCGCTGATGGTATATCGTTATTTCGATCTTTTCGACTCCATGACTTATTCGATGAGCTAGCCCATGCCATACTTGTAAGGGATCACCTACCCAGTGCTTTCCCACTGTAGAATTATAGGATCCTCAGGTTGTTCAGTAGCTACCTGAGTACTCAGTAGTAGTAATGAATACCCTAGTCCCACAGGCCTTAAGCCAAACATTGCTGAAGCATCTTGGGTTGATGTTTACTTTCCAAATTCCACACCCCTCTCCCATCCCGTCAAACCTCACCAAGTCATTTTCCTCATTCATCTTCGCTTCGTCAACGCGATATCGTGAACATCGTTCGGCTTATTGAGCTACAAGAAATAATTGCTTCTAATATCCAGCAGCTACGACAATGCCGTCAAACAATGGTAAGATCCATCATCATTTCTTTACTCTATCTACGCACTGAAATATTACATCGTCACCTACGTGGCTAGTAATGTCACACCTAATCTACCCCCATTGCCTCTCCATTCTCATATGGATACAAGGCTATCAAAGTATGTCTATGGAACACGTTACTGACATTCAATGTTTGATGTGACTCCAGCTAAGAAAGCTCAATCGCGAGCGATGCGAAAGTCACATGCCCCCCAACCAGAGCCAACCCTTCTGTCACTCTCCGAGAAGATTGATCGACTAGAGCGAGCGATTAATCATGTCACTACAACCATGGAAGTGAGAATGGATCGCTTGACCGATTTGATCCACCGAGCTATTCCTGAGCGTGAGCCCTCGATCGTGCTTTCATCCGAAAGTAGCAGTCGCGAAGAATCTATTGCCAGTGACAGTGGTGAGAGTGACGGCCCCATTCAGGGAGGCGAGACTGCCGTTTCCGAGCCGCACCAGGAAGAGGAGATTCCGGGCAAACCCTACAGATGTGACGAGTGTGGCCTGGCCTTTGCAAGAAGCTGGTACGTTGCCAGACACAAACGAACCGCCCACGGTTCGAAGTGCCTTTGGCCAGGCTGCTCGAGAGCGCCTTTCATGGTCGCAGCCCGGCCATTCCACCACCACCTCCTCCACGAGCACCAGAATGGTGGCTTTGGAGGCGAGGAGAATGCTTCGGTGTGCAAGTGGCCGGGCTGTGCCGAGCCCAACGTCCGCAAGCGCGGAATGCTTCAGCACCTGCTGAAGCACAACCACGATGCGTGGCTGGCTCGTCGACGACAGGCCTCCCGGGCACGCTAGGTAGGTAAATACCCAAAGCTAGCATGACAAAACATGTTATCATTGTCCGCCTTTCAGGGAAACAACGTGAGGTTCTAACATTATGATTGTATACAGGTTGACCATTACTGGAAAGAAAGAAGAAAGGAATGAAGCAGTAACATTGATAAGACTCGAGGAAGTGCCTACACACTCTATGGAAGAAACAATGCTGTCTTCTCGTCCGTGACCCATACTGTCACCCTAGGTACCCTACCCGCCCAATGGCCTTAATGAGGGTTTGCCGTTGATTTGTATCATATTGATACTTTGATGGCTTGAAGAGTAATCGACAGGTGGTTATAATAATTTTCGGAGACAGGTTTCGAGTGGGTATCAACACAGAAGTCATTCAGATATGATAGGTCTTAATGGCCTCGGAGTCTTTACAATCGGTTTGTATCAATATGATACTTTGACGGTTCGATGGATAATTGCTAGGTGGCTTCAGGAAGTTTCGAGGTCGGGTTTCGAGTGTTCATCAACACAGAGGCCATTCAGACTTGAGGGAATACCCGCTAGGTACCAGGGGAATTGCTTTTCTTTCTTTACGGATAGGCATGAGATGGTACCATCTCGTCTTGTGAATTAATTGCCGAGCTACTTGCTACGTGCTCAATTAATATATTTCTTTGGTAGCAACTAAATGTCTTAAGTAAATTGTGCGATGCCCAACTTTCTGTCGTGGACTAGACTGGGCACTATACGGACTATGAAGCATCCGTCATCACACCAAGCTAAACTTCAATATTCTAGCCACGAAGGCGCAATGGCGATAATGGTTGAACCTTGATCAACGAGTAGAGCTGGTTGCTAACTTTCGTTCAACTCGTCACGTAATACCAACAGCTTACGAGATGCTTTATCCCATCTTTCTCCCGTCACTTGCTCACTTATCGCGTAGAGCCATTCCACAACAAGGTGATTACTCTAAAGTGACTATCAGAACCACTCCGGGAACGGCATCTTATGCCTCTTTTCTATGCGCGGTCTACCCTTATCAGCAATTCCCTCCAGCGTTCCCTTGAGGTCTTCTACTTCGTGGACCTTTCCAACCAGCGCAGATGAAATAACCCCGATAGGTGCTTCTTTCCCGACCACTACACCCGAAAATGGTACCGCGGCACTCTCTAGCGCGACGGCCGCTGCCCCAGCCGCCTGTGCTGCTCGGACTCCTACTACTAGCGACCCTGCCCATCAAATGACTCGTCAGCGCTGCTACTTCCAGGTATTTCGTCTGTGGAAGGAGGATATGATATGGTGTGCGTGTCTTACCAACGACGGGCATGCTGGTGACATCCAAGGACCCTATTACGGGACACATCTTGAAGCCATCATGAAGTTTGCCACCGACAATGGTGGCAGGAATCAAGACAGACTTCGGCGTCTTCATCGCTAACTTGGTGACGAGGAAGGTCATGTCCGTGGTGCAGAAAGGGCAGTTCTGGTGCACGAATTTCCGAACCGTACGGCAGACCATCTTGGGGTGAGGATGAGTAGGCGGGGAGGGCTTGCGTAAGTAGGTTGGCTGCCTCTTCTTTTGGTTCCACTATTCGAGCGTAAGTGCCTTGCAGGTTAGGTAGGTATGCAATAACTCAGTCCAAATAGTTACGCTGCTATCTCTCGAGCTCGGCCAATTCAACGGTAAAGATTGGGTGCTAGTTGTGTTATCACGAAGGAACGGCCCGTCACCGAGTAGATGAGAGGGGAAAGGGAAAAGGGAAAAGGGACGCCTTCACTTGGCTTTGCTATCTCCCTCTCGAACGCCCCCCACGCCACAGTGTCTAGAGCAGACCGATTGATCTGGGGGACGAAAGTGACTGCTGTTCCACGACATGTCTTAGCGCAGCTGGCACGGCATGCTTGGTCTCCGACAGCCTCTTCGACGAAAGAGGATGAACAGCCCATTAGACACCTAGGTGAGAGGTTTCCGAGGAGATATCCTTGTTTACATATAGGTAGTAACTGATCTATCATACCGATCGCCACATCCATGCGTGATTGCTCATTTTTTTCCTTTTTCGCTATTACCGATACCACTAGAGATCAAGACCGTGGCTATTAGTAACAACTTCGTTCTTTTTGCTTGCTACATACCAAGGTAAGTATGCTTCTTCCATTCTTCGTTAGTGTCTCACGCCTTCAGAGCACAACGGAAATTTTGGTCCTAATCCAAAGCGCTATTGGCGCCATCAGATCCAATTGAACAGCATTCATGATCTGGCCTATACCTAGCACCCAGGTAGATAGTAAGGGATATATTTCATCTCGCATTCTCTTGCCCCTTGTATCTAGGTAGAGAAGGGCCATATTTCCTTCCCTCAAGAAAGTGGAAATTCAAAAAGCATCTATCTGGCTGGGAAATGATCGCTACCCTCGTCCGTGCTGTGGCTTATCGACCCGTACCGTAGGTTTCGGCTTTGAAAACTTCATATGTACTAGGTAGCTAGATTACACGATAATACAAGCCGTGTTGATATACACACTTCCTCATTCGTATACCTGTACAATTCGTTGACACTGTCGATCTACTAGATAGTTCGAATCCCGAGCAGGTAGGTTTCATCATGGCAATCCGGCAAGGCAGCTCCCGACGGCTATCCCTGGGTATATTTGGCCGAATAGAGATTGCAATACTCGCTCAATGGCCAATGGCGGCTGGTAGGGCTGCTCTCTCAGCTTCGGTGGCGTTGCGATGGACATGCCCGAGCATACCAGACAGCCCACGATGTTGTTCTTTTGATTATCTCGAGCTACAGCCGTAGGCAATATTTAGTCGAATAGCTGCTTTTTTTATTTACCATGGCGTTGCTGAAGAAAGCAGAGATGTTTCGAACCACTATTATCTCCCATAGCGACCTCGATCGTGTCCTCGGGTTGCGGAGGTGGATGCTCCAAGTCGTATTATAAAGCAGCCGGGGATCTTCTGCGATGAATTGCCACCTCACACTGACATTGATCGCATTACTCGGAAAGCCAACCGAGAACTATTCAGCAATAATGGGTGTTAGCTCATTCATACGCAACTCTCTCCCTCTCCCACCGCACGTCTACAAGGGCGAGGAGTATTTCTGTCGGTTCACTCCGCGCATCCACCGCGATGCCCGTCTCGCGGACGCAGGGTCATGGCAGTGCCAGGTCGACTTTCTGGAATCCAGCAAGGCCGCTCGGGCGGGCGCGACTCGCAACAAAGAGGTATCCAGCTACGCTGTGGGATGCATCAACCCGGTCGTCGGCAACTTCACTGCCTTGTGTGCCTGTGAAGCCTTAAGCGACCGCCTTGCGCTCACAACGTACATGGTGGAGTATGCCTATATCCACGATGATGGTAAGAATTCCTCGGGACCTTACTAGGTTAGGGTGTTTGGAATCGACATTGACAATACTTAGTGATCGAGTATTCCGAGAAGAAGGATGAATCTCAGGTATGTTAGCATGGCTTGGTTGGTGAAACTGTTGGATTTGAAGCTCATCTAACGACGGGAAGCTGGTGGTGGCGAATCGACAACTCATCGAAGGTCTCACACTAGACGGAGAAGTCGGTGAGGGCTCAAAGGACCATGTCAGAAGACGACAGTTACAAGCCAAGATGGTCATGGAGCTTATGGAAGTCGATAAGGAACAAGCAAAGAAATGCCTTCGTCTGTGGAAGGAAATGTCGGAAGTGTTTGTTCAGATTAGAGACATGGACTTCACTGCCATGGACGACTACCTCAAATTCCGCGTAGTGGATGCGGGCTGCCCGTGAGTCTTTCCCCAACACCTGAATGAAACAGTAGCAACAGGCTACTCTAACACTATCGTATAGCTGGACTATGAGCCTGCTGTGCTTTTCCATGGATTTCACCTTAAACGACGAAGAAGAGGAGAAAACCTTGGCGCTCACCTGGGCAGCCTACGACGCCTGGGTTTTAGTGAATGACTACTTTTCGTGGGAAAAAGAATGGAAGAACCACGAGGCCAACGGTGGCAAAGGGATGATCGCCAACGCCATCTTCCTCTTCATGAAGTGGTATTCCGTCGACGCGGAGGAAGGTAAGAAGATGTTGCGAAAGGAGATCCTCGCGCGCGAGGAAAAGTACTGCAAGGCCAAAGACGACTTTTTGGCGAGCGCTGATGCGACGGACAAGACAACTGAGTGGCTCGAGCTGCTCGATCTGGTGACGGCGGGGAACTTCGCTTGGAGCATGACGACTGCCCGCTACCGATTTGGCGCTGAAGACTCATATCCAGCTCTAAGAGCCACGTGCTCAGAGACCGCGGATTCTGGCATCACGGACAGTCTTGGTAGCCCGATTTCACTCAACGCTGCGACGATGGCGGACAAGATCGACGTGGTCCTGAAAGACCGTAGGTACCTCGACTATAGCATTCGAGAGCGTCGGACTTCGAAACCTGAGCCAAAAGCGGCGGACCGGCAATCGATTGATCCTCCCGAGAAAATCGAATACAAGAAGAACCAAGTTGTCCATCTTCAGCAGTATGAGGAGGTAAGCAAATAGGACCTTGCTTAAAAATACCTTTGCTTACGATTTCCTAGATAGCCCTGCAGCCTCAAGAATACTTGGAGATGATGCCGTCGAAAGGGGTCAGAAATGCGGTGATAGACGGCCTAGAAGTTTGGTACCACGTTCCTGAACGGTCACTCTCAACTATTAGAGAAATCGTAAAATTACTACACAGCTCCTCCCTCATGTATGTATGTATCGTATTTAGTCCTGGTGAACACTTGCTGACACAGTGATCAGGCTGGATGACATTGAGGATAACTCCCCATTAAGGAGAGGATTTCCATCTACGCATGTCGTCTTTGGTGTCAATCAGACCCTCAATTCCGCCAACCTACTAATAATGAAAGCCCTGAAAGCCGCAGAGTCACTTTCGCCCCATGCTGTGCGCATTTTTATAGACAGACTCACTGATGGGCATATCGGTCAGGGGCTAGACCTCCACTGGACGCACAATACGGAGATACCCACCGAGGAAGAATACTTTACTATGGTCGATGGAAGTAAGTGTTTAAGCCTTCTAGTTATTTATGATTCAGGTATGATGCTGACCTTCATTTTACCAGAAACCGGAAGCCTCTTCATCATGCTAGCCGAACTGATGCGCTCCGAAGCTACGAAGCACAAAGACCTCGACGCCGGCCTTCTCATGAAACTCGTCGGCCGCTTCTTCCAGGCGCGCGACGACTACCAGAATCTCCAATGCGAAGAGGTACGTTCCCGCAATGGCCATCTATTACCAACCAGTCTTCCCTCCCACTACCTACTAACCATTACCTCCATCGACACAGTACACCAAAAAGAAAGGGTTCGCCGAAGACATCGGCGAAGGCAAGATCTCGCTCCCGCTGATCCACGCCTTCCGCTCCAAGTCGCCGCACCGCAGCCGCCTGCAGAGCATCCTGCAGCAGCGGAAAGCGGGCAACGGCCTCTCGCCAGAGGTGCGCAAGCTCGCGCTCGACGACATAAAAGCGACGGGCGGGCTCGAGTACGCGAAGAAGACGACGATTGAGCTGCAGGAGGCGGTCAATGAGACGCTTACGATGTACGAGAATAAGGTGGGCGAGAAGAATTGGCTGTTGCGGTTGGCGCAGAAAAGGTTGGAGATAGAGGTTTAGAGGGAAGAAGAATGGATGGCGCGCGAGCGCTGGGAAGTAGGGGGGATGGGGGGGTAAATATACGAGGTGTGGTTGGTTTTGTTAAGGCATATATACATATACACTATACTAGATTTTATATAGTCTCTTCGCATAATAAAAGAAGTGTGGCCATTCGTTCCCTGTTTCTTTGTTGAATCAAGATGAATCCTGCCCATCGAAGGTACCTATTAATTAGGTACCTATTCAAAGTCCTATCCCCTTTTCTGCGCTGAAGGTAGGGAAGTGTGGAGCCGAGTTCTCAGGGCTGTATGCAGACCACACGACCCCTAACTATCGTTGCGGCCGGGACTAATCTATGACAACGGTACTAGTAGCAAGAAGATATAGAACAGATGGCTTCGATTAGAGCTGAGATCCCCAAGTTTTCTTAAAGTTTCTTTCTCAGACGATAAAATGCTAGATCCAGGACATGTAGACATCAAGTTTAGATTCCTAACTCGCCTAAGAGTGTGACAATTTGCCAGCGCCCCTTTATTTACCGCCTAGACTAGATCCCACTGACCCTTCTCCACACCCGCGAAGGCCAAAAGTTTCATATGAGCAGTTCGGAACCGCTTCTTGAACGCCGCCGTACCCGGGCGTGGGTTCTCTGCATCCCGAACAACGTCATCATGCCACTTCCGAATTGCCCGACACCACAGCATGTCCTTCCCATAAGCCTTCTCTGCCGCGGGCAACAGGAATCCTAGATACCCTTCGTATGCATTCCAAGCCTCACCTCTGGCCAAGAAGGTCCGGTCTTGGAATGCGGGGTGGTAGGGTGGTAGTATCGCAACCCGGGCAAGAGCTTGCACCAAGGTCATCAATATCTTAGCCCATGCTGGCCCCCTTTTACGTTGGGTATATGCGCAGCCCTTGACACTGTACTTGACGGAATTCATGTAGTCAGAAGTTTTCATAGCACCTAGCATTTTCCACATACTCGGTAGCGGCTCCAATGTGTTTGGCCAGCGTGAATGAGGAAGGGCTTGGTTGGCAAGATCTCCCAATCTCACTTCCAAGCCTTCTATGTTCCACGAGGCCGGATCGTCGGCCTTGTTAGCCTTATCATCGGACCCCAAATCATACATTTTCTGCTGTATCTCGCGAACACGCTCAATGGCGGCTTGGTCATTATTACACCTGTCATTATGCGACTGGAGCTCCTCGACGCATCTTGTGCCTGACCAGTTTTATGCAAATTATTACATGAGCTGATTTGATTGGGCTGAGGGAACTTACATTCACAGTCGATCGAGTATGTCTCCTTCAAATTGGGTTGACGCTGCAGCACATCCGCAGTGACATCTGCATAGCAGTGTAGAATCTCTTCACCAGCCTTGATCGGTCGCAGCGAATGAACGCGGAGTTCTTTGCCCTTGAACACTACGACGGTATTTGGATCGCACGAATGGTTTATAGTCGACATGGGAATATCAATTGCCATTCCCGTTGAATAGCCGCCGCCAGCTTCCCGTACGCTCATGGCGTTCGTTAAGATCTTAAGGGGTGAGGATCATTATAAGTACGACAAAATCACGTCGGAATCATAGGTAGGTAAAAAGGGACTTACGTACGGCACAGTACAGCGCCACCATGTCCGATACTTCGGCATCCGACTCGACGAAGAGCATCTTTGCTTGTAATCCTACATCACATATTGTTATGGCATGAGGTCCACGCAGATGGTTGCTCATCATCGGGTTGAGCGCGATTAAAGCTTCCCATTGCTCAGGTGACAGTAGTTGATGAGCCTGCTGGGCAACAATTCTGTACAAGATCCTAGTACTGGGAAAAGCTTCGGGACCTTTCGCAAGCGTACTGCATTCGTATTTGTGGTACGCTCGCCACGCGTTTCTCTGGCAGAGCTGTAAAATAATAAGATTATTTCCGTTCTCCTACACAGCGTTCCAAAAGATAGAAAAAAAAATGAATTACTCTGGAACAGTATCGGCAATATTTGCACCCGCTACAGGCCATAGGATCCTGTACTTGGTCTTCTGCTGTTTTGAATCGGCCGGTTGGGTGCACTTTACTCTTGCTGTCCATGAAGCAAAAGTCACAGACGCTGCTGCGAACCTCGCCCTCGACGCATGTGGCTAAAGGAAGAGATCGGAATAGGTCTTCCCCCTCGCCGATATCTTTGGTGGTGAACAACCCGACACCAGCGTTGGGGATACTGGATTCGCGAACCTGCAGCGTGTCTGTCGCAGTGGTGTTATTGTAAAGATATTGGTTGAGTATTTCAACTCGCGAGCGCGATGGCTCATCCTCTGACTCCATTTCGGAAGTGGAAAGTTGATGAATCAATGCTGTAAAGAATGTTATTGATCAATGCTCTGGGGAACTTGTAGTAATGAGCACACCGTTTGCTAGGCATCGACTCTGGTATAAGGTGACTATCATCATCGGATGGATGCATAGTCGTGGGAGCAGTATGTGGCCAATAGGCAGCCATGGCAGAGAAACAATGGCCACTCATGCATGTATACCTAGTGTAGCATGCGACGTTTATCACATCAGTGTTGGTTGTATCACAAAATCCGAGTTTAAGGGGGTGGTCTATAGGGTGGCAGTTCGGCATTATATCGGAGTTTGAAAACTATGATATGACTAAAAGCATTCACTGCATAGTTAGTATTATAGACCAAAACTGCACATCAATTAACCAATCCGAATTGGTGTAGTGGCTAACATTTGACGCTCTCAAGATTGGCCTAAAAACCATGAAGGTCCGTCAAGCCCGGGGTTCGATTCCCCGATTCGGAGTTCTTTTTTCATTTTTCTTCAACCCGCGAAAACCTTTTTTTTCTTTTTTTCTTTTTTCTTTTCATGGCCTCTTACTGTTCCAATAACTTCAATGTGCAAATTAACTGCGCGACAATTATAGCGAACAGCATTGGAATATATCATGTTAGCAATTTCAATAAAATACCAACATCAGCAGTCATCATCTGCATGGGTGTCGATTTTAACAGAAGGGGAACATTGAAATTTTCATGCATGCAGCTTTCGACATTTCGAGATCGTAGAATTGCAAATCATTATTCCTTACAGCCATAGGGGACGCCGCGCTTTGAGCCTGAAAACACTGTTGCCAAAGCACTCAACCGTAGGAATAGAGTGACATAAAAGAAAAATACACAGCTGTGGCCGGGGCGTATAACTTTTGGAAATAAAACGATAATCTCATATGAAGACGTGGTCGCGACTATAGTCAGCTGCTCCCGGTTGGCCGTATGGTGACCGCTGCGTCGTGTATTCATCTTCCTCCTCCTATTCTATTCGGTTCATCGCTAACGGATTCATCCCTTCGTAGCCCATTGGTCGCGAGGTTGGCATTGGAGGAGGGTAGTCGTGTTGGTAAGTGTTCCAGTGCGTCTGCTGTGGTGGTCTAGACGAGGAAAATGAGTGTTGGTGTGGTTGGTATCGCGCAGTCGTGCCGAACTAGTCGGGGGTGTGGCGTCCGCCCTGCGCAGTCGCTATTCAAGCGATGCCTGCCTATGTATGTACCTGAACACCGGTGCTATGCAATCGCAGCAAAAATTAGGTATACAGAATCAACACTGTTGGTCTACTCAAGCCTGAGCACGCCCTCCAGTTCCTGTCTTGAACCCTTCAAGTACAACGCCCCAAGTACCCGCCTCGCTTCCATTCACAACTTGACCCGTAGCAATTTTGCGCATTAAAAGAGTGTCTTTGGCGATCGATAGTTTCTTGCAATCACCGCTTTCCAAGCATTCCCTGAACCACTGCTCTTCCTGCGCATCGAAGGGCAGGCTGGTTAAATCGAGTGCCTTGCTGGGCGATTGATCATTACGTGAAGACTCCAGCACTGTTGACACAAGACGTTGAAATAGTTGGCGACGCATGCATTCAGCATGCGATCGTGTGAACTCAAAGGCTTCGACAACACTAGATCGCGCGAGGGCGGTGAATAATAGTTCTAGCGTAGAAGACAATTGGATGAGAGGCTGGACCGTGTGATAATAAGCCAGAGGAAGGCTGTAATCGCCATCCTTGGCGTGGCGGACGAGGGCTGTGAGAATATCGTCGACGAAGTCAGGCTGCAATGAAGGGTGGGTGAGGTATTCCAATGCGACTTGGAACTGCTGGGCGTCCATAAGCCATAGACCCTTTATGAAGATTTTGAAACTTGTAGGTAGGCTGGCACGCTGGGCGAAGGCTTCTGCTCGGGTAGAGCCATGTTGATCGTCGACATCGAGTAGTAGGTAGTATACCACAGAGAGTTTGTGATGAATAGTAGCCGTTTTGCTAGCACAGATGTGTTCGAAGAGCTGTCGAAGGGCGGCTTCGTTTTTGGGAGGAAAGTGACTTGTAGCTATGACGACTAAATGAATATGCTGTTCGTGATGAAAATTGGGCATTTTACACGGGGATCATACCTTTGGAAATATTCAGAGTTCTCAGGACTCGGTCGATAAATAAAGAACCTTCAAGACTACGGCGCGTAGCTTCGATATGATGAATAAAGGTTCGATTGTAGGGAAATGGGTCGAGAGCACCGAAGATGCGTTCGAATTGAGTCGGGTCCAGCATTTTCAAGTATTTTCAAAGTTCCAGTGTTGGATTCAAAAATACGTCTTGATTTCCCACTCAAGTCTCTCGGAGTGGAGGAGTTGGACTGGGTACCCAGTAGGTTAGTATGTGTTATGGACGGATCCGTCAATGTTGATATTAATTCTAAGAATCAAGAATTTAGATTTACATATCCAGAGCATCGATAGCTACACTACACAGGTACAATGCAGGTATGTACGCTAGCGCCAGTACCTTAAAGGGTGGATCGAATAGAATAACGTGGTAATTCTTCGGGTAATAATTAGCTACCTAGCTTATCGCGTTTGCTCCTTGTTCAAGTGACGCGCCTTCTGACTGACTTTAGTAATAACCTTAATTCTGGTGGGGCTAGCCAGTAGATAGCCAGCCCAACTAGGGGAGGGGTTTGTTTTGTTTACTTTTGTGGTTTGTGATTTGGTACGTGCACTTTTTACCTTGTACCCAATTTTTATCCATTTTTAATTAATTCAACATTACATTGAATGTTTTCTTGATACATGTACATATATTTCCGCCTCTGGGGTAATACACAACGACGACACAACATCGACATCAGCCCACTACCTAGTGCCCAGAATAAGGTACAATACTATATCAATACAATCGTAAGGGGGATTTAGCCACCTCTAATATATACACGATTCGAGAAGTCAGGATCGTCCCTTAAGTGCTGCTTCGGCTACCGCTAGTTACAATGTCTACCCGACCTACTCGTCGAGCCGCTGCGGCGCGACGCCAAGCTATCATTGATTCGGATGACGACGAAGACGATGTTGTCGCAGAGACCACTAGAAAAATTAAGGAGGAAGATAGCGAAGATGAATTTGCTCCCGAAGCTTCAAATGCTAGATCATCCCGTCGTCAGACCCAAAGCAAGAGGAAATCCGTCGCACCTCCTACGCCCGCGACACCACGCACAGGCCGCTCTAGAAAGAGTGCTAGTGTTACCATGGAACCTGGTTCAGCAGAAACCAGCGAAATAATTGACGCTGATCAGTCAGCCGCTACAGTACTTGGCCCACCATCGACTGCCAAAAAAGCCCCTCCGAGAAAACGAAAGAGCGTTGCGCCGCGCAAGGTCAGCAAGGAGTCCGCACCGGAAACTCCGTCTCATCTGCCGACGCCCGCTCGGTCCGATGCACCATCTGAGCTCCAGGGATCGCCACTAGCTAGTGCTACTAAGCATAGTGTTAGTGAGCAGGAAGAAGCTGGGGATGAAACGATTACACAAATCAAACCAATCCGACCTTTGGATACCATATTAGAGAAGCCTATGGATATCGTCGTGAAGTCGCGAAAAATGGCTGTGCCAGTTGTCGAGGATACAGGACCGAAAGCTCGTATGGTCATCACTTATTTAATATTGACCAACTTCAAGAGTTATGCTGGGCGGCAAGAAGTTGGCCCATTCCATGCTTCCTTCTCCTCTGTGGTGGGACCTAACGGTTCTGGAAAATCCAACGTCATTGATTCTCTCCTTTTTGTCTTCGGATTCAGGGCAAGCAAGATGAGACAAGGAAAGATTTCTGCCTTGATACACAACTCCGCCGCTTTCCCGAATCTGGATCACTGCGAAGTGGCTGTTCACTTCCAGGAGGTCATGGATCTAGTTAGTTCAAGATGACAACTTGATGTATAACGATGGTATGCTAACTATAACTGTAGCCTGGCGGTGGTACGGAAGTGATCCCTAATTCGCAAATCGTCATTTCACGACGGGCATTCAAGAACAACTCGAGCAAGTACTATATAAACGGGAGCGAGTCCAATTTCACCACCGTCACAACGCTCCTCCGTGACCGAGGCATCGATCTTGACCACAAGCGTTTCCTCATTTTACAAGGTGAAGTCGAATCGATCGCCCAGATGAAGGCCAAGGCTGGCAATGAACACGAAGATGGTCTGTTAGAATATCTCGAAGATATCATCGGAACCTCCAAGTACAAGACGCCAATTGAAGAATCAGCCGTGGAAGTGGAGACACTCAACGAAATATGCATGGAAAAGAGTGGACGTGTACAGCATGTGGAAAAGGAGAAGAACAGCTTAGAGGACAAGAAAAACAAGGCATTGGCCTTCATTCGAGATGAGAATGACCTTACCCTCAAGCAGTCAGCTCTCTACCAGCTCTACATCAGCGAATTGCATAACAATGTGAGCGTCACGGAAGAAGCAATTGGCCAGATGCAAGCTCAACTTGACGCCGAATTAGAGAAGCATCAAGGAAGTGAGCAAGTCATTAAGCAGTTGCAGAAGGCATATTCCAAGGGATCCAAGGACTATGATTCCCAGGAGAAGGCTACCCAAAGCCTTGCCAAGGAAGCTGCCAAGTTCGAACAGGAACGAGTCAAATTTGACGAGAAACGGAAGTTCTTGACCGACAAACAGAAGAAGTTGGAGAAGACAATTACTAATGCTGAGAACTCTACGACTGAAGCTGAGGAAACCATTGAACAGTGCACAGAAGATATTGCTTCACGCGCCGAGGAGATCGAGACCCTCGAACAGCAAGTCCAAGAGGAGGAGGCAGAGCTTGCAACAATCCGAGATAACTTAAAAGGAAAGACACAGGTATTCTCAGACAAGATAGCCATCAAGCAAAAATCACTTGAGCCGTGGAAGGAGAAAATCAACCAGAAGCAGTCTGCTATTGCGGTCGCGGAATCCGAATTGACTATTTTGGAAGAAAAGGCCAACGCTGGCGCTGTTGCCCTTGAAGAGATGCAAACCAAGATCTCTAATATCGAAGAAAGTCGTACCACGAAGCTCTCCGAGCTAAAAGAGTGCCAAGCTGAAAAGGCAAAACTCGAGAAGGAGGTAAACAAAGTTGAGGCAGATCGCGAGAGTCTGGCGCAGATGGAGCCGAAGGTTCGCTCCAAGGTGTCAAATGCTAGGCAAAAGGCAGAGGAAGCCAGGTCCAACCTCTCACAGAATCAAAATCGTGGCGACGTCCTCACAGCATTGATGCGAATGAAGGAAACTGGACGAATTGATGGTTTCCACGGCCGGCTTGGAAATCTTGGCACGATTGACGAAAAGTACGACGTTGCTATATCCACAGCATGCCCTTCTCTCGACAACTTTGTCACCGATACGGTCGAGGTTGGTCAACAATGCATTGAATACCTCCGAAAGACCAATCTAGGACGCGGCATTTTTATATCTCTGGATAAACTGCGCTCGCTCAACTTACAACCCATTCAAACCCCCGAAAATGCGCCACGACTTTTTGACTTGATTGATGCCAAAGAAGATAGATTCCGGCCTGCCTACTACCACGCTCTCAGGGATACTCTAGTCGCCAAGGATTTAGCTCAAGCGAACCGTATTGCTTATGGCGCGAAGAGATGGCGAGTAGTCACACTCGCAGGAGAGCTCATTGATAAGAGTGGTACCATGTCCGGAGGTGGAAATACTACTAAGAGGGGTCTGATGTCGAGTAAACTAGTAGCTGATACGACTAAGGAGCAAGTTATCAAGCTTGAAAGTGACCGAGACTCTATTGAACAAAAGTTCCAGGAATTTCAAGACCATCAGCGAGAACTGGATACCCGCCTCAGGTATCTCAAGGATCAGATTCCTCAGTTAGAAACCAAGATGCAGAAGATCGGCTTGGAGCTACAAAGCGCTGAGAAGAACCTTATGGATGCCCATCGTCGAGTCAAGGAATTAAGCAAGGAACACCAACCATCGCAAACTGACGATAACAGGGTGGCCGTTTTACAGAAGGAGATCGCAAAGCTCAACAAAGAAGTGTCCAAGCTTCATTCCGAGACCGAGGGCGTGGAAGCTGAGATCAAGGAACTGCAAGACAAGATTATGGAGGTTGGCGGTGAGAAGCTTCGCGCTCAACGTGCCAAAGTCGATGCCCTGAAGGAGGAGATTTCCTCTCACAATGAAGAGGTTTCCAACGCTGAGGTCAAGAGAGCCAAGGCAGAGAAGTCGAAGACGAAGCTCGAGAAGGATCACGCCAAAGCAACCAAAGAACTGCAGGCCGCCATACGTGACCTTGAGAACCTGGAGGAAGAGGTCGAGAATCAAGGCAGCAAGTCCGAATCCTTGAACGCTCGCGTGGAGGAGGCAGAAGCGGAACTCGCAGACAAGAAGAAGGAATTATCCGAGTTGAAGGCTGAGCTGGATGAGAAGACATCAGAGCTAAATGCGACTCGTGCCTCCGAGATCGATATGCGTAATAAGCTTGAGGAAAACCAAAAGGTCCTCATGGAAAATCAGAAGCGCCTGCGCTATTGGGATGATAAACTGAGCAAGCTTGTTCTTCAGAATGTCAGCGATCTTAGCGGTCCGCCACGAGCCAAGAAGTCGAAGCAAAAGAAAAGCCAAGACGAAAATCAAGATGAAAGCGAAGAGGGAGCCCAAGAGGGAACTCAAGGGGAAGAAGGGGAAGAAGGGGAAGAAGAGTCTGCGGAAGATGAAGAAGAAGAAGAACAGGAGCAACAGCCTGAAGAACTTCCCCGATTCACGGAGGATGAATTGCAGGATATGGATAAAGACTCCCTGAAAGCTGAGATTGCCGCCCTCGAGGAGAAGACACAAAATGGCAATGTGGATGTTAGCGTCTTGTCGGAGTACCGCCGGCGAGTGGAAGAGCACGCAGCTCGCTCATCCGACTTGGCGAGCGCCGTCCAGCAACGCGATGCCGCCAAGAAGCGCTGCGACGATCTACGACGGCTCCGGCTGGAGGGCTTCATGGAGGGCTTCAGCACCATCTCCTTACGACTAAAGGAGATGTACCAAATGATCACCATGGGCGGTAATGCAGAGCTCGAACTCGTTGACAGCTTAGATCCTTTCAGTGAGGGCATTCTCTTTTCCGTCATGCCGCCCAAGAAGAGCTGGAAGAACATTAGCAATTTAAGTGGTGGTGAAAAGACGTTGTCGAGTCTGGCGTTGGTGTTCGCTCTTCACCACTACAAGCCCACGCCGCTGTATGTCATGGACGAAATTGATGCTGCGCTGGATTTCAGAAATGTAAGTTATTTTCTTCTTCTCTTGTTCTACTCATTGAACATAGCTCCTTACATTGTACACTGGTACTGACAACATTTATTTAGGTGTCAATCGTGGCCAACTATATCAAAGAGCGTACCAAGAACGCACAGTTCGTCGTCATTTCGCTACGTAACAACATGTTCGAGCTTGCCGCTCGGTTGGTCGGCGTCTACAAGGTCAATCATATGACGAAGAGTGTGACGATCGAAAATAAGGATTACATTGCCCGTGGCGTTCCGAGGCCACAGCCTAGCAGCAGTCAGACAGTGACGTCGTGATAAGTATGCTGATAGCCAGTCAGGGTATGTAGCCAACGATTCATAATTCTAAAACGGCTTGGGTGGAATAATGAATGATTGGTATGGTGCGGAGCGAAATGAAATGAGTTATGATGTTTACTTGCGAGATGAATAAGGGCTTGATAGCCGGGTCACGCATTGGATGAATTGGTTGATTAACTGATAGATGATAAGGAGGTGCGTTATGTTAATCACGACATGAATATACAGTTCCAGACTGAGAGGTCCGGGATGGTTGCAATGTGTAAATTGGTGTGGTCTGATGGCAAAAAGCTTTACGATGGCCTACTACTACAGGTATAGGTATGGTAAAATCGCTCAATAGGTACCTACTTAGTAGTAATGTGAGTGTGCCAACAATTTTATTTGTACTAACACTAACACGAATCCTCAACCCCCCCTTTTTCTTATCTTCAACAATTCAATTATGGCCGTTATAAATCCATTATTCAACATGTTCTTTATTCCTACCATTGATGTACATCAAGTACCCGCTTTAACCATCGCTGGAGATCCAAAACTCTCCAAAATTCTCCGGTATTTAGACCAGCCGGCAGCATTTACAGCATCCCGCCAGGAAGCAAGCAAGCAAGCAAGCCAGGCATCTCCCCAGCTCACCTCGAGGTTTCATTTACTGTACCTACCTTTTACCAGTTCACCAAGCCATCCACATTGTTAACGTCGGCGCGGAACCGGCGGCGGATCTCCCGGCGGTCCCAGATGGCGCGCAGCTCGAGGTCGAGCCGCTCCCGCAGCTGGCGCCAGTGCCGGCACTGGGCCAGGGCGGCGCGGTCCCGCGGGTTCGCCTGCAGCTCCTCGATCCACCGCGTGTGCTGCTCCTTGATGGCGTTGTAGGAGGCCAGCGTGGACTCGATGGTCGCGTCTTCGCGCTCCGTGAAGGCGAGGGTTGGGGGGGGAGTGGGCGTGGGGGAGTCTGAGTCGTAGTCGTCTTCGTCTTCGTTGTCGTTGGGAGAGTTGGAGTTGGAGGATTTGCCGTTGTTATTGTTGGATGATGTGCCCTCCTCCTCATCCTCCTCCTCTTCCAAGCTGCTCAACGGGCTCGTCTTCGAGTTTGGGTCTGAGATGGGTGCTCTGCGCGGGTTGGGCGTCGGCAGGCGCGTGATCGGCGCCCGCCCGTGCTTCTGGCAGAAGGCGAGGAAGGCGTCTGCCCGGCGGGTGGTTATTTCCTCTGGCGAGACCTTGTACCGGCTGGCTGGGATTGTCAGACGTGGGAGGGATTGGGGGGTCGGGCGGTTGGGAGGGGTTGACATCTTGGAATTTCTTTTTTTTTTGGGGGGGGGGGGGGAGAGTTGGACACAAAGTTGTAGTTGGAGAAGAATCCAGTGATTCTTCTAAAGTTTGGCAAGCAAGATGGATAGATGAATAACTGCCCAGTTTGCGGGTGGATTGTGCGCTGTGTGCTGTGTGCGAGCTACGACATGGCTACGCTGCTAGGGTTGGGGATTCGTATTATAGGATGGCTGAATGGCATTGTTTCGTATTGTTGAGAGAACAAATGAAATTCAGCCTGGGTTTTTGGGAATAGGCATGATTGTTTATGGGTTGTCACGTCTTTGTGTGATGATTGTACCGCTACGCTTTATTGTGCTATAACTATCTCCTTGTTCTCCCTGTTGATGAGCACTGCTGATTGCTTATGAACTTTGCAGTGCTGTGTTGGATAACTAGAGCAAAGTATGTGTCTCTAGCACTTACACACGCGCTTATCGCATGGTTTCATACGCTACTCTGGATCTTTGTATGTATAAGATGCCACAACTCGCTTCATATAGTTTCATAGCGTCTCGCACCACAGACATCGTCGTTTCGTTTCGCTGCCTTCTTGTTCGTTTGATCATGTGACATTCAAGACACATGACATGGCCCGAAAAGGAGGTTTTTGCTCACCAACAGAATAAAGGGGCTAATTAGTCAGCGTGAGCAGAATAGTGTAGGCAACCATGAATGTCTTATCTTGTATTGTATTGTACATGATTTACGTGATCCAACATCCATACGATCGCAAGCCAATCCAATAGGATGCATCGATTCAGGCCAACAGTTTATAGCGCTTATTCGGATGCCTGGGCAGGTAACTCTTTTACGTGTCCATTTAACTAAAACCTTTTCAAACACCGATCTTGTTGACTTATGTACAACTTAAAACTGATTCTACTAATACAACTATTACAATATCTAGGTACTAGGGACTAAAGCCATGCCGCAGACCTGGCTAATCACCGGCTGCTCCAGCGGCTTCGGCGAGCTCTTCGTGCGGAAACTCCGGGCCGCCGGCGACAACGTCATCGCCACCGGCCGCTCCGCCGAAGTCAAGCTCCGCCACCTCAAAGAAACCGGCGCCGAGATTCTCGATCTCGATGTTTCGATCCCCGCGGAGGAGATCAAGGCTAAGATCGACCATGCGTGGAATATTTATCCCGGGGGCATTGATGTGGTTGTTAATAATGCGGGTTATATCCTTAGCGGTGCGCTTGAGGAGTTGAGGTGGGTATAATTGCTACTTTCACTGACATCGCTTTTACTATCACTATTGCCTGATAGCGTGGCTTTGTCCACACTTCGATTAATATGAGAAAATTGGAATGTAAGCTGACAAATGACGATGATGATGATGGCTATTAGCGTGCAAGAAATGGAGGACGTGATGAAGACAAACTTCTTCGGCCCTTTCAACATCACACAAGCCATACTACCCAAAATGCGAGCTACAGGGAAAGGAACGCTGTGCTATATGAGTTCGCAAGCGGGGTGGCACGGCGATCCCGGCGCCGCCGGATACTGCGCTTCGAAATTTGCCGTGGAAGGGATGGCCGAGTGTCTCTCGAAAGAACTCGCTTTCATCGCGCCCGCCGTCAGAGTCCTGCTCTTCGAGCCCGGATACTTCCGGACCCGCGCGTTCCACAACGTCAACTACACGACCGTAAGCGACGCCAGTGACTACTCCCAGTTCCACAGCGGCGCGGTGGCGCACGTGGAGGGCGTGAAGAGCAACGAGCCCGGCGATCCGGATAAAGGGGTCGACCGCATGATTGAGATCATCAAGGGAACGGGCGTGGCGGCGGGGAGGACGGTGCCGTTGAGGGTGCCGCTGGGGAGTGATGGGTGGGGGAAGGTTCATGATAAGTGTGTGGAGACGTTGAAGATTTGCGAGGAGTGGGAGGATGTTGCAAGGAGCACGGATGTGGATTCGTCAGCATAGGTGCCCTGAAAGGAACCCATTTCACCTAGCCTACTGCTTAAGAATTGAGACAGTCTCTTTCACTGACTTTCTTGCTTTTATGATACTGCCTGTACTTGTGCCGAACTTACCTGGTCCCAAGATATTTCAAAAGATGTGGAAGTACATAGTCGGCGCCGCCGGTCTCACTAGATCGGCAGTAGTTAGAACATTCGGACGACGATCTCCCCCCTTTGAAAGACCCCACAATTCACTTGATAATTGTTGCAGGTGCCTGAGGCACCATAGGTTCCACTAGGCCGTATATTGGCACTCCGCCAGTATAGTTAGGAATAAAGCAAGCTTTCTTCCATTCGTCTTTCTTCTTCATGGTTTGCAGCTATCCTGCAACAAGAATGATGTAGGAGGGACTAGTACTAAGCATGGGTAGTCATCATTCGATTAATATCCCCAACATTTCTAACAACACCTAGCTTACATTCTAGAACATGCCCACCCGCAATGCCACCTCTCAACGGCACCTATTACACCAAGCCCCTCAACCTCGCATGTAAAGCCAGCTCCCCCGCCATAATCCACCACCCCATCACCGTCTCCGGCGCACAAGTAACCGCCCTCCCACCCAGCGCAATCCGCCGCCCACATCCACATCCCTGTGCTCGAGGCTCTGATCGCGCACGGCCTGGGACGTGAACTAAAGCCCCCACAACCACAACGACGGTGGCAGTGAGACGCTGCTATACCACGTCTCCTCCGCTCCTTCGCTGGCTCGTCGACCGCGCCGCCGCCGATGATGTGTCGCTCGGCGACTCGACTTCGCGGATCTCGCAAACGGCAGGTTCACACCCCGCCCGCTACCGCTGCTCGAGGCGTGTGCGGAGAGGGGGGGCCGTTGGGTACTTTCTGTTCTTGCGCGGGAGGGGCGAGTGGGAGGATGCTGCGTTGTGCTGCGCGAGCTGCGGCGGAGGTTGGGGTTGATGAGGCGGCTCTTGGTGGGGATGTCCCGGCGCATACGCACTCGTTAACTATGCTGCTACGGCGAGGTGTAGCGCGGCTGTGGTGAGGTGGCTGTTGGACAAAGGTGCGGATCCGACGGTTAGGGGGCTGGGCAGTGGGATAGATGCTGAGGATCTAGGTCGTGTGTACGCGGAGCCGGTAGAGAGTGTGGAGTTGGTGAAGTGTTGCAAACGGACTATTAGGAAATCTAGGTGATGAGGAACTGTGGAAAAGGGGGTACCGATATTACACCACTAGTATTGTAATAACTTCGTATCCAGCATACATCTATCTTCTAATTAGGCCATTAATCATATTACAATATAACAATCCCGAGGTCCGTGTAAAGAAATCGGCATGAGGTAGGCACTTTGGCTCTTGAGTCGCCTATGCTCTTTTGGTACGCTTTCTTCCAGCCTGGGCCTCTTCTCCAGCAGCAGCAGCTGACCGCTTCCTGCCCTTCTCCTTCTCCCTCTCCTCCTCCTCCTCCTCCTCCTCATCATCCTCCTCCTCATCCTCCTCCCCCACCTCCTGTATCATATCTTCAAGTAGGTCGAACAGATCTGTCATGGATCCAATTTTTCTCCTCAAACGTAATACCCCGTCCTCATAGACTTTCTTGCGCTCCAATGCCATGTCAATAACTTCATCAATCGATCGAAGTAGCTCGCGCTTCTTGAAGAATTCCCAAGCCAGCGGGTAGACTTTAGTTTTCAAGCCTTGCTTTGGGCCCTTCTTCGCCAGGAACTCACTCAGCTGCTGTCGCGTGATGGGACCTAGAGCCCAGCGGAACTCGTCAAGCGTCCAAGTGTAATTGTCCTCGGCACTTCCCAGGATCAAATGACGGATCATGGCGCGAATTTGGTCGCAGTCTTGGTCGATATCGGTGCCGATATTGAGATACTCTTCTTCTGGGAATTTTCCTTTATAGCCTGGCCTGATGATCGAGTACCGAATTGGCCTGAGGGAGTCGTAATTACGACGACTGAACCCGGGCTTGGGTGTTAAATCGATCGTGCCATCGACTTCCTCTAGATATTTTGCCTGCTCTTTAACCCGCTCTCTTTCGGCATCACTTTTAACTGATCTGGACCCTAAAACACCCCTAATCGCCCACGTAGACTCCTGCCATAAAAACCCAAATGGGTTGCGTTCCCTCCCCATTTGCATCTCTTCCTCATACTCCTCCTGTAGTTGCAAAATACACCAATATTCGTCGATATCCCCGAGACTAAGATTGGGGAACACGGCCTTTGCTGCATTGTCCCGTTGGTCTGCTTCGATCACGGTGTTAATATAATTCAGTAGTCGATCTTGCACATAGTGGTTAGGCACATCGCTAAGCATATGATTGTAGCAGCGGCCAAGTCGGCCGCCACTGACGAGGCCAGTGCCAAGGGTTAAAACGCTGCCGTTATTGTTTTCGTCCTTTGAGTCTCCCCACACGATCTGACCACGGATGCGAACTGCGTCCTGGCCTGATAGACCGGCCGAGGCTACCAGAGCGTCAATCAGTTCAGCGTTTGTCTTGGTATCCTCTGGTGCCTTAGTCAGAGTTAGCATTTATTTCCCAAGTTTCAATCAAAGGAGGCCAGCAACTTACCATCCTACGGGGGGAGAATGGCGCCTTTGGACGTCCTCGCAGATTCGGCCCGGGCGCTGCAGGCGGCTGCCAATATTCATCGAGGGGCAGAACAGAAACAACATCTTCATAAATTTGGATGCACCGATGATTAGGAGCATGAGTTTTTATGTAATGTATGACACCGTCGATAAGAGAAGTCAGATTCAGCTTGTTATACTTTTCCTCTATCTCAAGTTGTTGGCGTTCGGTACTTTGCGACGGGTTTTGGCTTTTTTCTTTCGCATCATCTCCCTCCTCGCCCCTCTTCCCGTAATGGCGGTCTATCTCGTGCACTACCTCGTGCTGGAACTGATATATCTGGTCATCCGAAAGTATGCCGTGTTGTTTTAATTTCGGGATTATTTGATCCTTGGCTTTGGCCTAGAAGTCCCGAATTAGTCTGATTGGAAATCTGTATGTATTGGGGATATGATGTGCTTCTAGCTTACTTCTTGAGCCTTGCGGTCTTCCAGCCTATTCATATTTGATGTAGTCACGCTTCCGCAAAGGCAAGGCAAGTGATTTATTTACTTTCGACACGTTTTGAAATTTAGTTGCTAATAAGATTGATGACATTGACGTGAATAAGACAACCTTGGAACCTAAGAATAACATTGGATAAATCGTTGCGCGCGCGGTGGCACGTGTCATCGTTACCCCTAACTCTGGACTTTATTTTGTGCCAAGGGTACGTACGAAATACGATATCTATTTACGTCATTGTAATCAAAGTGAACCAAGAGAACGAACTCATCCCATGTCTCATGAATTCTCAGAAATGGCTTCTAGAATATTTCCCCATACTATACCCCTGTTAAGACCCATGTTGACTCTTTTTAGCACCTAATTGGCACCTCTAACCAATTAAGCACCAAAAGCAGGTCACCCTTAGTTAACTACAATGTTTAACCTAGGCATCCAAAATAAAATAAATAAAATAAACAAAAAAAGCGAATAACCTTAGTAGATTCACCCAACAGCCGACTGGAGCACTGGTAGAGGTGCAAGATAGAATAATATTCGGGATGCGTCCTCTATAAAGATCCAAGCTGTAAGAGCTTACCCCTGACCAAGCCTCTTGCCCCACAGCTCATAGCTCACTCGGAGGCACATTGTTCAACTCAGCAGCCACAGAAGACGCGGTTTCTTTCATTTCGTTGTAACTATTATATGCCCATGAAAGTATCGTGGTGTATTTCTCACGACTTCAACAGGTTTATCCTGAATGTACATGGATCACGGGAGGGCAATACGAAGACTTTGGAGGTTAGTGAGATAAATAGCAGAAACGTTATTCCAACCTAGTATATATCATGACAACATAACTCGATTTCCGGCTACATACCTAGGTACCTACTGAGCCTGTTGCATGGGTCCATTAGGCTATCCCCATAGCTTGGCAGCCCATCGCCAGCAAGGTCATGAATAAAGCAAGGCTTCTTCCATCTCTCTTCCGGTCTTTTGGCCACAGTGACTGGCAACAGAAGCTCACTTATGTGTAGTACCCAATGGGTATATACGGTTTATAACGGAATTGAAGCAGAATGGAAGTTCAATTACGTTGTCGATTCATTTATTCCGATCGTGTTAAACAAACATAGACCATCATTGGCTACCTATTCACTATTATGTGTGTGCAGCACTTAGGTTAGCGAGTAGTTATAGACTTAACTTTATCATTCCCATCGGTAGAATATATGACGAAACACAGTTACCCAGGAAATCATGTTCGAAGCATCTAGCCTACGTACTAGTGACTACACCACACTAGTAAATAACTACAACTAAGGAGAGAGAAAAGACAAAAAAGAAACCAAAAAGAAAACAAACATACAACACCAGGGATTCGCTGGTCGTCACCGACCCAACTACTGATCTGGCGGTATCTGGCTTATCTATGGGAGAGCGGACGGGATCCCGAGTTTTCCAAATCCTATGGTCGTATGTGCTAGATTGAAATGCAATTGGCACTTATATACATACCTAGGTTAGGTACTGGTGTGGATCTTGGATCGCGCCCAACAAGCCGCTAGTTCATGGCCGGCTTCAACATTTTCCACTTACCTGGTAAACCCGGTGAGTTGGAGCCGGGCCGAGCTAACGGAAGACGGTTCCACGTACAATGTGCTCGATATCACGTTGAGTTGTAATTCACATGGTACAGTGATATCATCATTCATGCCTCTTTATGTTTCTTAAGAGTATATGCATACATGGATCATGACATTCTCCCGAGATCCCTCCATGATATTCATGATGCCGGAGCTGTGTACTTTCCAGCACCCCCTAGCCCACGATTTTCCCCTTGACTACCACCCAATCACGAACAGTCTCTAGCCCTGTAGTAGTTGAGCGGCCGAGTATAGTCCCCGATGTAGAAGCACTGGTTAGCATCTCCAGTGAGGCTAAATGCGCTTCTGGAGCAGGAGTTGTCAGGGTAAAACTCGACTCTGCAGTTGCTGCCGTAAGGAATGTCACCACGGATCGATCTGTGGCGGCGGGCATGGCGGATGTGGTGGCAGTTCCCATCACTTGCTCCTTGAACCGAATCTCCGCCGATGGAGCTTTCCTCGTTGTGGCACTGTTCGTCGTTATACATGGTGAAAGACCAGCCTGTCACGGACTGTAGCAAGACCGGGGTGACCGCAATGGCACATTGAAGAATAGTTGGCAAGCGCATTGTTCTGGTGTATTGTTATTGTTTCTGATTGGGTGGATTGCTGTTGCCTTTCATGAAAAGGACGGGTTGTCTGATGACTGATGTTGTAGACAGAAGAAGTGTCGGTCTGAGACTTGAGTGATATGAGGATAGATGTAGGACTATGGTATCAAAGGTGAAAGAAGAGAAAAGAGAAAGAGCAGTTGCTGGAGCAGTTGCGGTTCTTATCTACAAATTTCGAAACCCTTGAGAGAGTTGTTGCTTGGATTGAATTGCATCTCAGTGACGACCTACAGCAATTGTGATGTCAAGATGTCGAATTGAAGTTTAAAATTTCCCGACAGACAGGCCGATATATAGCTCATGCAGGGTTGTCGATGTATTCAAGTGGAATCACTCCCAGCTTAGTTCATTGTCATGTATCATCAGTTCTTGGCTGAAGCTAAAATGTTTGCTATTCGGTAAAGTCCATGATCCCTTCCTCCTTGGGCGATTATCGATGTGGTGCCACCTTTAACATACAAATTCGGACGGAAGGTGCAACCTCCACCCCCGCAAGTGGATCTTGAGCTAGTTATTCTGTTGGGTTTTTGGAGGAACTGGGAAGGAGCAATAGAAAGTTCTGGGATTAGGAATCTTATCATGGTCATTTTGCACGTATGTGTGACAAAAGAGAGTTGTTTCACGATGTCGTTGTACTACGTGCCTTCTTGAATTCTCTCTACTCTTAACTCCACCTTCCACAAGTCTATGTACGTAGTGCTATGTAGTTAGGTACATACAAAATACACACAAAGTATCTCATACATAGTAGAGAATGTAATAATGTATTGAATTTTAATACAATGTAGCACTAGTACATGCATCACATCAAGGACAGCCTTGTCCACCATCCAATAGGGACATCGGAATTATGTAAGCGTATATAGGTGAATAGGGGGTGGGACTCGGAGATGTCTACAGTGTAGGGGGACTGATATTTCAAGTTCAAATGTGGGTGTATGTGCTCAAGCAGTTATCACTCTAGGATATATTTAATTGTTTGTCATTGTGTAATATTCATTCTTTTTATTGTTCATTCGTTGTTCTTCGTTCTCCTCTACTCACTAGAGACAAGTCTCTTGAAAATACCTCGCGAGTTGGAAATATCAGATTAATCTCAACGTGATATTCCAAGACAGGACAAGAAGGTATAAAAACATCACCTTCAATGTCATTTAGGGGAAATATGACAAACTGATGTACATACAGTACAAAGATTTCGTTTTTTCTCTGGTAAACCGCTGACACTCCTCGAAAGTAATCTGTACTGGTATAAGAAGTGTAGATTGGTAAACTGTCCCCTCTACTTGATACAAATTCTAGCATGAGCCATATCACATTCGAATATACCTACCTAACCTAGGTTGACAACATGTTATTAAATTTTCTATATTTGTGATCTACTCATCAACGTAGGCATACAGGCTTGTTTCAATTTTTGGTCCATCCTATTGATCAGGGGAGGCAACGTAGCTAATTGTTACAAGAACGATGTAGATGAATCTAAACGACAACAAGACTACCAAATTCATAGCCAATTCTGTTGTATACTAGGTATATCATCTTAATCCAACACAGAGTCAATCAATACAATACAAACGATGATGCTGCAAGGCGTAATCTCATTGTGACACCTGCGTTCGTTCTTTCAATGTTATAATTATTTACTCATTACCCAGCACGCAACACTGCATGATTTGTGTGCACATGGTAGTGACAAGCTGCTTATATCCAATAGTCAATGTCAATTGATTTCACCATTCTATCATTTCCTATTGCATATTTGACGGTGCAAGAAGCAACGTGATTACGAGTTCACTAACAACGCCCATTTCACTTTATATTTCCTTCATTGTTAGTATAGGATGGCTCTGCTATGCTTGAACAGTACTAGAACTGCTGAATAGCTAGGCACAGATCAGGTCACAATGATAATTATGAATTGCCTAGGTAGGTAGGTAGGTAGGTAGGCACCTACTGTTCCTTGTTCTATTGGCTCCGCATCACTTATACTGGAAACCACTGCCCTACAGTACCCCACCGCTTACACTATGATGCCTCGTAACGCATTTGTACTTTCAATTTAATACTTCCGAGGCTAGGTACCTACCTAGGTACTATTCTGGTGAAAATATTCGAGATATACTGGCAGGTTTTCGACAATGCTCATTAGGTCCTTCTATTATACATACTTGGTTGCCTACCCACCTACCTAGTAATACATAACCTAGAGGTAGCAACCAGTACTACCTACTATACGTGTAATTCAATCTGGCCTAGGTAGGTACTTAGGAAGGTATACAACCCTACATACTATGTAGGTAGCTACATCGATGATAACACCTCCTGTATGATAGAAGTGAAGAGGGTGATTCATTGCATTCTACCAGGACAGTACAATACTAAGTAGATAATATAGTATCGCAGGAGCTATCATTGATAATACATTGACAAAAACCCAATATGTAGAGGGATGTAGATAATGGCCCTCAAGGTGGTGGGCAATCCCCTGGCACCATTTGTGTCTAAAAGTTATTGTATGGCCCGGGCTGGGTAGCATAGCACCCACCTGACTTATCTGTGGACTTAGTGGAATACTTCAATAGTAGGTACGTATGGGGGGCACCCGCAATGGATGTGTTGCTTACCTGGGCAGCCCATAATAGGTAGGTACCTACTATGCTCTGAGTACCTGCCTCTACTAGGTAGTACCTAACTGAGGTAGTGGAGATTGTGGCAGCCCATAGCAGCCCCCTTAACAGCCTGTAAAAGAAGATGGAGATCTCCAGTACAAGGCAATACATATAGAAGAACCTTCTACTTGCAGGTATATACTTGCTTCCTTGTAGTACCCTACTACCTAGGGTACTATGGAGGTAGGTACATAGCCCTGTCCCAAAACACCCCCCCTATCAAGCCCCCATAGCACTACCCTAGGTCCCCAGCTGCTAAGAAGTGCGCTGAGTCGGTTACTGCCTTATTACCTACTATGTAGCTACATACAGGTCATGTAGCACGCTGGACGTTCCTGAGCATCTACAAAATTTACTCTGGAACATTGAAAGCTCTAACTTCAATGTTTGAAGCTTATAATCAACTCATAATCAACGCGCCCTTTCCACTGCTCATCCCTTCTTCCATCAATCATGATTTTCTTTTCTCCAGGCACCTTCAACCTCTCTCCCACAAACACACCAATACCCAAGTTTGTCAATTTCATACCATATTGAGACCAGAACAGAAACCATGGGGTTAGCTTCATCATCTCATCGATCTCTAAGTCTCAAAATGAGCTGATAGCTATCTCAAAGCTCAGCTCGCTTTATGCACACAAACTTACCCAGATCAACACCAATAAGTCATCTGGCAACTCCATTTTCTTTACTTATCTTCCTTTCTAGCCACTTCATCATCTGGCAAACTCACGACAAATATATAGCCTATCTAGTAGAGCTTGACACTAATTCTTCCCTTTAGCGATCAACAACAACCATTCAGACAATCCAACAACAGACACGACGGTGTGGTTGGCCGTCGCCTACTAATCATGGTTTTTATCATCATTCGGCTGACTGCTTTTGGGCATACTTCCTCCTGAACAGCACCTTGGAGGTAGCCACATTATCCATTCATACCTATCTACTTGATTTAAACACAGGCAATTGGAATGGTCCACGTCAAAGTCATCTGTCTCCATGGCGACGTTTCCGCGGTAATGACGAGCTACCTATGATATGAATGCTACGATGACACCTACTCTAGGTTACTATTTTTGGACGAAGAACACAAAAGGTATGATCTCGAGATTTACATTTTCCCAATTCCTCTTCTTTTCCTTCCTTTTCTTCTTTCAACGCAATTCTTGTTCTCGTTCTTTTTCGTTGCTTCCGTTCTTGACGCTGACTTGACCCAGCATGAAGAAGTGGGAGGGAACAAGATGTTAATCCCCTTCCAAGCGAATGCTATACGCCTGTACGCTGATACGCCTATTGAGAGTTTCAATTGACTCGACCACAATCGACGCCGTCTGAACTCAACGTTCTCCCTATACATAGACGAGTGGTTCGAAGAAAGACTGTAGCAGACGAGAAAATCTCCGATGATATTGTGAGCGGACGGTGAGAGACAGAAGGGCCATCCTTCGGAAGCCTTGTCCCTGCAGGAATGAGGATGCACCTATTGAGAATGTGGTGGTTCAAGGACCGACGACATGGCAGTGCCTAGAGATCTTTATGCCCGCCGGGTGCGGCTGAACTCTGGGCTGAAACCTTGGCACCGGTAAAGGGGACCACTGGTGAAGGCTTGACCTTTGTTGTCAGATACTAACCTATCCAGAGCTCTCTAGAAGAGGACGAGTTCACCAAGCCAACCGAAGAGTGCTCTGTGCCAATTAGCCACCGCATTCTTGTGGGAGCAAGGGCTTATACCCAGACCATCTTCCAGAACCTTAGGTCTCCCAAGCGAGGCATTGATGGCCCAATTCATGATCGCGCCGAGAGAGCATACGGTGCTTATGAGCAGTGGCCATAAATAAGATGGCGAAGGCACTAATACTATTACTAGCCTTATTGATGGACAACTTCATGCCATTGACCGACCCGTAGCCTGCGGTGCTGTAAGCAATGTCGCGACCAAGAGCTGACCCCAAATGAACTCTCCCGGTACTCTATCAGTCCTGACAGACACTTCACAGAGACAAAGCCTACTGTGGACGTCACCCAGATACAGTACATACCTGTATGGGCTAGCGCTAACACAACGTTCCAGAAACCGTGATAAGCGGACGCGGCAAGATATAACTGGCACATCGGAGCTCAGAAGCCAGAAGGCAAACTATTCTTCTGGCATAGAGCAACGCCGATTGTCCTTTCGTTAGGTTGCGTGTCCTTAGGCTGTACTTCTGGTTATTTGGACGAAGACTTGGAGGCTTCAACCGTATCGGTCACGGAAACTGACACGCTATAATGCTAATATTCGGATCCAGCAAAGTGACAATGGAACCAAAGGAATTCCAGCTCCTGTCTACTCCTCGACTCAGAGAAGCGCAGGACTTCTATCTCTGGCTCATACGGGAGGCTGTACCATACGTTGCCTTGTAAATACTAAGGCAATGTTCACTAATATCGTCACGATGCTGGAAATGTTCTAGCCTTCGCGGCGACTCTTCGACAGTTGCAGTGATGTAAGTCGCCTAGTCTTGTGGTCAGGGCGGCCTTATGTATGGTCGGCGACATGACTTATTACAAGACTAGGCGGCTTCCATCACTTAAACACTTTCTATTGAGCCTATGCGGCGGAAGGCTAGGTGTCACAAGAAGGCAGCCGACGAGTTATGACTTCATATGTTGTATATGTGGAGGTAGAGCCTTGTCCTACTTGTTCCGTTTGCCTGCTTTCCGTTTCCGTTTCCTTTTATTTTGCCTTTCCAAGCTTCTTTTCGGACTATGCAAATGGCATAGATAGCAGCCGCTATCACCAAATGGCGGCCCTGCTCGTATCCAGCGTTTAGAGTGAGAGGTCCGAGCGACATAGGAGCTCCGGGTTGAGAATCACCCATGACTCATACTGACAGCACGCAGCAGTCCAAAGAGCTGAGAAGGTATGCCAAAGGCAACTAAGAAGACCAGGACCGCTTTATTCTTGGGGCGGCTTGTGCCATTCCTCCATGTCCTGGCGCTATCAAGATTTACGAAGACAACCGTTAGATGCCCAGGTGCTTATCAATCTCACACGGCCGATCTCTCGTTCGACGTCCCGCGGCGGCCTTCATACCCTTCAAGCTGATGATACTACTGTGTCTTACACCATATCCCAAGCATGGGATCGTATTTAATAGCCACCCTCACACAATGGGGTGGGGTTTGGGGAGACAGAAGGCATTTGCCACGTTGTCCTACGGCTCATTCTCAGTACTCAGAACACGTTGAACCGCAAGCAGCTCACTGGCTGTTGGACACGCTCTGTCAAAGTACTACCGAGAAACTCCGACGAACGAATGTCAATAAAACCCAAACTGGCGCCTTTAACTTGTCCATTTTACAGGGGCTGTTTCGTCCTTGTCTGCAATAACACCAAAGTCCACCTCAAGTTGTAGGAACCTTGTTTTGGATGGGCTTCCAACCATGCTCAACTCTGAGCGCTGGGAATCCTGATAGACGAGGATTGGTTGGAGCCCTCGTCCATCAAGTGACCTGAATGGCCTACCCAACATCGACCTCTGGAACTATTCGGCAAGGAGTCATTGCATTAATGTAGGTCCGATGCCAGCCCCGCTTTCCTAGGAGTCCTTCCCTCTCCCCCTGGATACCTACCCAAGCCCATTACTTCCCCAATCTCGCAAGCAGCAGCGTCTGAAATGGTAGAGAAGACGCTATAAATGGCCTTCCCCTACTACGAAAACCCATTCCATATTTTTGTGGACCGACGGGTTTCAACAAGATTTAGCACATTGCGGCGTATGGACCAACGCAATCCATCGCCGATGCGTCCAATGAACAACAAAAGCGCTACTGTCCGGTAGAGCTAAAACAAGAGCAGTCGTCTTCGAGAATGTACATCTTCAGAGGACCAGAGTCTCATTGGCGTGATTGGTTAAGGCAATGTAGCAACGTGCCCAGTCTCTAGCTCCAGTCCTCAACTGGTATTAAGACTGCGGCGGGTTCATTAGCAAGACTGGCTTGTTTCATTCATTATCTGAACAAGTACGGTGGATGCCTTGAATAAGGCATCCATTGATGTTCCTGTCGGTTGCCTCGCAACTTCTTCACTGTTTCTCCTGTGCTCCTCCTGCTCCTCTGAGTGGCCCCATGGACTTATGAGCTGCCCAATCAACAACAGGAGAGCAGCAAGAGAAAGCGGTGGGGTGGGTGGTATATTTATAAGGCAACCGTCAAGAATCTGGATAAGTGTTCCCACTGAGACCTACACTTGTTAACGACAGCTAGTCTCTTCGCTTCGCAAGGGCGGACGATCTCCGTCTCTCTCTCCTTGCATTGAGTAAACAACGCTGCACGTGGGAAGAAGAAGACGATGACTCCGGTGAAGGAGATCTTTGAAGCTGTCTGGCATACTGGTGTGTGGTCCGTACACTAACCGATGTGGAACTTGCTGCAAGCACTTTCACACGGAAGCACGGCGGCGCGCTCTTGGATGTTATCGAGGAGCTCCGGAGCGATTCATGAGCACTACCTTGCTCGAGTTTCTTCGATTGAGCAACTGCGCCTGAAAGCCGGGCGAAATCGATGCATTCGAAACTTATCTCACTTACTTTCCTTCCTCCATTTCCTTTGTTTCTTTCTTTTGCTGGTGTCTTCGTCTGGCGCGACGTCTTCAACTGCAACATGTGCCACATCATGATGCGGACGTCCACAAGGGTGCATGCCAGATCAAGGTGTGTGTAACACATGTCATGTTGAGTGTTGTCCTCATTGCGGTGGGTGGCACATTATGTCTACCCCTGCCAGAACCTTTGTCGGCTGCCCTCATCCGGGAAATTCTCCAGGCGGTGCCTCTGCTTGCCAGATCCAAGCTACAAGAGGGGCACCGCTGGGATTGGGACATGTGTGGCAGCTGAAGAGAAGAAGAGAGGATAGGTGGGAGACATATTTGACAGCCGACAAGATCCGACAATTACACGTCCCTACATGCTACCCTTCATTTCTTTCAGAAGCGCTCATCTAGGTTCGAGACACTATCATGTCACCAATTTGAAAGGCAAGAAGAAGTTGCAACACATGAAAGACCTACTGCAAAACGACAATATGGGAATGGTCTAGAAAATGAGAGAATCAAAACTGACACAGTTGTACTATAATAGATATGTCGGTTTCACTCTCCCATTGACAACTTGCAACACTTACGACTGCAACGCGAATCTTTCTACCCTGCTTGTTTGTACACCCCCCTTTTTACTTGGTCGAACCCCAACCGATGGGCACATGATTGCGGGATAGAAGTTCGGCTCGTACTTAAGCAACATTGTCGGTATCCTAAACAGACGGCCCATCTCCACACTTATATATATCTACCCTTACACTCATTCCCCCCTTTCTCCTGCCTTACCCCATTATCCAAAAGCAGGAGAGCTGTACATCATAGCACCTAGCTAACTTTTCCTAATCCCCCTCGCTATATTCCGCACCACCACAGTCAAATCTCCACACAACTATCGATGAACAACAAACCAAAGCAGCCTCAGTTCCACTTCACAAGGTTGTCATTGCACCCCGGTTTCGCGGCAAGCAGATACCGCACCCAGCAGATCCCCTGCTCCCGCGTCATGCCCTTGAAGTAGGAGTTGAGCCGAATCTGGTCCCAAGTGACTGGCACACCGCTGGTGGCGATGCTACCGAGAGACGTGTTTTCTGCGACGGCACGGAACTCAACTGATTCATGCCGGATGCGGATGCCGTATACGTGCTGCGGCTGCTGGGGCGCGCTGGTCGGCGTGCGAGAGAAAGGCCAGGAAGACATTCCGACGAACACGGCCTGCGCACAACCTTCTGCGCTGGGCGGGGGCTTGTCCTCGCTATCTTCGGCGCAGGGTTCACTTTCCGCGGCGGATAACTTCGGGGTCTGGAGGGGTTCGGGCGTTGGCGGGAGGGGGACTTGCTCTTCGTCGATGCACCGGACTTCTCTGTCTGCCGCTGTTGGTGCTGCTGTAACCGCTGCTGCTTTCTTCCTCCTTTTCTCGCGATGATGGCGCTTAACCTCTTCATAGAGCAGGTTGAAGCAGTACGGAAGCTCCCCGGGGTCCTCGTCGCTGGAGTAGGTGAAGTAACGGCGTTTCGTTGGCACAGGATCAGGCGCGGCTATGGTTGAGAGCTCTGGCACAGGAGCGGGCGCAACTGTGGCTGGTTCTTCTTGCGCTCGGAAGGCTGTTGTCTGCGTAGGCTCAGGGATATTGGCGTTGCTGCTGGTGCTGGCTTGTAAGTCGAGGCGTGCCGCGGCATGTGGATGGCTGTTGTAGATGGGCATGGCCGCTCCCACAGAGTCTCCGAGCTCCTCCACATTCTCCTTTGGCTTTTCTTCCACTCGCTCACACTCGTTTTGGGTAGATGACGGCGCTGGTTGGACATCGGGGTCTACGAACGCAGCTGGACCCGAGGTATGCTTTGGAGTACTTTCATTGTTGTTGCACTCGGGAACGGTTGCTGGAGGTGGTTGAAGCCTCTGCGATGATTCGGCTCGCTTCGGTGTGTAGCTCCGTTTAGGGGGTGGGGGTGGGGGGTATGGACTGTGTCTGGCTGGAGCGTTCGGTTGGCTGTGGGGAGGCTTGACCTGTCTGGCCTGTCTGGCCTCTTTGACAGGTCTGACCGGTTTGGGGCGTTGAATAGGTGCCGAGATATTTGCAGGCAGTGAAGGGAATGGATTTTGGTACGAAATGGGAGGAGGAACTCCCACGTAATTAGGGGCTATCATCGGGGCTGGGACTTGATTGTTTGCATTGTAGTACATGAGATCGAAATTGGGCAACTCATTGTAGTAACTTGCTACTGGAGAATTAGTATAGTGGTTCATCATGATGAGGGGTGAGTTGTAGTTACCTTGTGGTGGAGGCACCATATTGGGTTGCATCATGGGTATAAAAGTCTGAGTGTAGCCCGCTGGCGGTGCTTGGTATGGTAACTGACGACGAGGTGGCTGACTCATGTTATTACTATAATATGCCATCTTGGTAATGATACCAAAGTTATTGGTGATGACTGTTCAAATAAAAATGTAGTAGACAGATATTTGTGTCGTCTTTCCGTGATGTCCCTAGGTAGGAACCTTTCGTATAAAGTGTTGGTGGTGGATGGCTAAGGAAAATAGGTATGGAAGTGAAGGAGGAAGGGACATTTCCTAAGGAACTCTGGGATTTAAATAGGAAGGTATGGATGAGAACTGAAGTTGCCATAACATTCTAAAGACATCTGTCATGTAGGCAGATGCGCGAAGCTACTGCATACATTACCGTAGTAACTAAATACGCGTGTATTAGTCGACTGTCAGACTACGAGTTTATTTCTACCTATTAGTTCTCAATCTAATAAACTACTGCTTATGAAAGTCAGAAAAAGACTGCTATTGTTGCTACCATAATTATTTCGAATCTATTCGGACTCATGGTTGTCAAGGAGATGGCTTACATCCGAAGGCTTAAAAGGGGCTAAAAGGGGCACGCTGCTGACAGCACCAGCAAACATACTTCTGTCAAACTTTACTTAACTAACTGCTTGTCAAACGTTAATTATGCTTTCATCTGACAGGATTTGAGTCATAAAGCCCGAGCCCAACACATGCCATGTCGACGTCTAAGGAACTAATGCTGCGGATTACTTCGGTGCCTGCACTAAAGCGCACCATGGGCCCGTCACCCCCCGCCGGCGTATTACTAGGAAGCCAGCCCAAGTTCTTAATCCCATTTTCGGGATCAGTCAGAAAGGCTAATACATAGTCCTGCATAGCGTCTGCTACCTGCCTTTGAAACTCTGTCGCGCCGCCGGTCATGTTGTAGCTCCCAAAGATCATGGGGAGGTCCGCGCCATGGTAAGCTCCCATCCATGAAAAGGGGGTCAGGTTGGGAAAGATTCCAGCGTATTGGTATCGGTAGGTGGTGATGTTGTTTAGGGCCCGGACGTTGGAGGAGTTGCATGCTGGACAGACGAACTCGTCCAGCGTTCCTTTATCGATTTTGGTCTTGTCAGGGCCTCCGAGTAAATCATCGATGGGATATGTGATGAGGCTTGACTGTTCGTTGGAGGTATCGCTGATAAGCGTTGGCACCTTGGATATGAGACCCTTTTGTGCCCTGTCCATGTAGTCCTTGTGTATGACTTTGCTGTCAGCCACAGGTCGGAAGAACAAAGAAGGCTTCTTTCCATCGTCCCCATAATGGCCGATAAAGTTCGTTATTTGGTGAACGGGCACTTGCTGCATGCACTCTAACTCGGCTTTTGGGTCATCTGGGTAATCACATCCGAGTTCTTGTGCGACATAAGTGAAGTTCGCCTGTAGCGCGTTGTCTCCCTGCGAGAACACACGCATTGCCGTGCCTGACATTAAGAAAAAACCTGCTGCCAAGGGGTTGTCGGGGTATGCGAAGCTGAGAAGATCGGCCGATACTCCGCCGGCAGAGTGTCCCCATACCGTGATGAGATCCGGGTCTCCACCGAATGCTTCGATGTTCGAGTAGACCCATTCAAGCGCCATCCGCTGATCCAGTACTCCCAGGTTCTGGTCCTCCAGCCCAGCAGCGTTGGGGAATCCCATGATATGAACCCGGTAGTTCATCGTGACCATGATATGTTTCTGGCTGCGATTTACCCAGCCCGCGGGGATGTGATGAGGCGTGTCAAGCCCGCCGCCTTTGAAGCTGCCACCGGGCAGGAACAAGCCTACGGGAAGCTTGGCTTGCGATGTAGCGTTTCTCGGTGTCCATATGGCTAGACTCAGACAGTCCTCGGCTGTTGTCTGTGCCATTTCCCCGGCATGAGGGCTCTGGTCACCGGTGTTGATCGAGAAGTCCGTGATGTTAGAGTTCCACAATGACAGTTTCGACGTCAGATACTGCGGGCACGATGCAGGGAATCTGCGCGAGTAACGGTGCTCTCTCGACGGCGGCAGTGGCACCGGCGGTTTCCATCGTCGCTTGCCTACGGGTGGTTCTGCATACGGGATGTTGCGAAACTCGCGGACGTCGGGATATTCCGGATTCTGCAGGCCAGTAAAAGTCCCGGTCAGGGTTTCTACCGTCAGGCTGGGCCCTTTCTCCCGGTCACACAAATACCCGGCGACGAAAAGCGTTGGCAAGATGCTGGTTACGAGGAGCAGTTGGCTGATCGTCGTGATCAGCGAAGGGGGCGCCATGTGTGCCAAGAGCGATAGGCGTTAGGTACCTAGGTCGGTATCGTATTGCCGCAAGACTACCTAGACAAGACTACGAGGTTTGTCATGCACATCTAATAGGTATCTCGAGCTTACGAACATCATTCATTTTCCATTCTATCTGGCGACAGCTCTCCAGTCTTATACACAACGATAACGCTATACTGATAGAAGTACACGCCATAGGCACGACAGCTATCCAACACTTCCATCGCTCTAGAAGGTGTCGGCATTTGTATGTAATCTAGGGAGCTTCCCCTTCTGGTCAATCAAAGCCTACATGTGATTCCCCTGGATGGAACCTCATGTGACCACCCTGGGTGCGTTCTGGCCCAGCGTCGGCTATCTGTTTCATCAGGCTAAATAATGCGATCTTGCATCATTGGGACGCTGTGTGATAGGGCGAAGATGTTTTTGGTGTGATATGACGGGAAGGAGATATAAAATTGAACGTGGCCCTAATGTGAATAAATGATGGAATATTGTACGCGCGACGTTTCCGTGTAGCGGCTGAAAGGGGGCATGAACGATTTCCTTTGTTCCTCCCCCTATTTGGTGGAAATCTATGAGCCTTTGTTGAGAGCCCCTGACCCCTGACCAGGGACAAGACCTACATAGCACGTTATTTTTGGATATAAAGGATACCTAATCACAGGCACACAGAATACTGCTGAAATTAATGAAAAATAACTCAAATCAATCAAGCAAATGAAGCATTCTAGGATACGGAGGTAAACATGGCTTCATTTCTATCTATGTGATTAAAATCTAAAATTAGAAACGTAACTCCCAAGGTGAGAGTACTACGGCGAACATAGGTCATAGCATTCATTACCCGCTCCAAATAGCCCGGAACGTTGTCCAACAATCAGTTCTCTCTCCCAGCCCAACCCCCTAAGATCATATCAACGTGAAAACCTCCTCATGCCCAGCGACCCTCTCCTCAAACCCCTCACCCTGCATAACCCCCTCAACATAGCACTCCCCCACCAACCTATACTCTCCCTTCCCCTCCTCGCCCGCCGGCCTTAACAGATACGGCACTCTCCCACCAAACAACACCACCACCACATCGCCGACCCGCGACCCGCTCGGACACAGTCCCACATGCGTCTCGGTGTCAAACATGCACTCCCCATGACACGGCAGATAATCCGGCGTATCCTCATCCTCCTCCTCACCTACCAAGCCCGAGGTCTCATCCAGCGCGTACCGCGACGCGTTGCGCCAGTGCGAGAAGTAGTGGTACGGCAGCTGCCCGTGGTCCATGACGGGCAGGTGCGTGAGCAGCTTCGCGTGCCCCCACGTGCCGATCGTGCTCGCCGGGTCGAAGATCCTGGCGTACGCGAGGTGCATGGCCTCGGAGAGGACGGGGCGCCGGTGGAAGGGGTAGGGCCGCTTGGAGCGGATGGTGCCGAGGCGGACGCCGCGGAGGGAGAGGGTGTAGGGGGATTCGGTGAGGGAGGCGGCGTCGACGAGCTCGAGATCAACCTCCCGCCCACCGCTCGCATTGTACTCGTCGTCGTGGTCGCTAGTGCCGAGCGTCGCGCGGCGCCACTCGCTGCGGCCATCGCACCAGAAGCTCCACGACGGCGGCGGCGGCTGCTGTTCATCCACCTCCCCAACGTTAACGCTAAAATCTCGCCCGTGCGGATCATGCCCCTTCCACATATCCAGCCACGTGCGCCCCGTCAGCGTGTGCACGGCCGACAGGACTCCCAGGGACCGATGGTGCCGGATCCACCAGCGCGTGAAGTCGGCGTACACGCGGCGCACGCTCTTGGCGTAGTCCGGGCGCACGAGGTCGGGCAGCTCGCGGACCGCGTGCGTCTCCTCGCCGAACGCGAGCAGCGCGAAGAACTTGTCGCGCGGGTCCGTCGCGCGCATCTCGAGCGCGGCGACGAGGACGGTCAGGACGTCGAGGCGGGCGCGGGGCTTGAACGGAGCGTGGAAGTGGTTTTGGTGGTGGTACGCCATGCGGTCGGGCGGGTGGAACAGGGTCCCCCAGATGGCGGGCATCGACGAGTTGTAGCTGCTGCCGTTGTTCGACTGGATGCACTGGTTCGCGCGCATGACGACGGACCACGGCAGCTCGACGGCGCCGCACAGCACGGTTGCGCGCTGCGACAGCTCCGCCGCGGTGCACTGGCGAGGTGTGTTCCATACTTCTTGCAGCACCCAGACGCGCTCGAACCAAGGCCGGTGGAACACCCGGTCGTGCGACATGTGCACGTTGCCGTCCGACGTGATGAGCTTGTGCGATATCTGCGGCGTCAGCGAGATCTGCTCGGGCCCCGCGTCATCGCTGAGCTTTTTGCCCTGGGCGTAGGCGTCGTAGATGCTTTTCAGGATGGCGAAGTCTTCTTTCACGTCGTCCTCAAGCTCGCCGAGCCAGATGCGGATGTTCTGGGCGCTCGTGTAGATGTCGCCCATGAGCGAGACCTGCTCGGCGCGCTCTTCGAGCTCCGTCTGGTTGATGCAGAGCTGGTCGATCCAGAAGGTGCGCGGGGTGCTTGCTCTTCGCAGCGCTTTTAGGGCGAGGTACAGGCTCTTGCTGACGAAGGTCTGAGCCTCCGGTTGAGCTTCCGGGTCGAGATCTTCGTCTGATCCCTTGAGGAGGATGGGGCGTTTGTGGCGGTCGTCGCCCCAGCAGTACGAAAGCGCTTCGTAGGGGACATGGTCTTCGCTTGTGAGGTAGGTATGGGTTAGGGATAGTTCCAAGACGCTGTTCTCGAGGTCTGGCGATGGCTCGATGGTCACAAGCCGTATCTCCTTCCTTGCGTTGTCGAGCTGACGATACAGTGAGAAGCCGGTTGTGGAATGAGTGATACCCCGTATCAGGGCAACCCTTTCGACAACCTCGTACCAGACCTCGATGCGTGCTCCGAGCACGAAGTTAATCCAGGCCGGATATTCGGCCATGGGGATGATCTGCACTGTATCTCCACCCTGCATCTCGGCAAGCCAAGCCCCATCCTTAGCCGGACTATTGGTATCAGCAGGAGGGTCGTCTTGCTCCGACTCTTGAATCCAATATTTGACATGTCTTGTGGGCCGGTAGAGTGCGTGAATATTGTGTATTATGGCGCGGTGCCTCATACGGTCCTGGCCACTCGGCTCCTTGATTCGAACATCGAAGTACGTGTGAGAACCTCCGTATGTGCCGTGCTGACCAGGGTGGCCACTGTATCCTTGGTCGTGCGAGACCGTGGCAATTTGAAGACAACAGACTCGAACAGCTGTGTTTGGGATATTAGAGGTGGGCAAAGTCAGGGAGAGATAAGGCTGCATGGGACAGTATTGCGATACATTGGGTTTCTCCTTTGTCGATGCTGATACATACTTCCATTTGGGGTCTATAAATCGCTTATCTATAGGTTCAGTCATGATGCCTATTGAATGTCGGTATCTCAAGTAGGTAGGATCACAGTTGCCCTTCGATATTGAACGTTGAAGGTGATAAGGCGGGGAAGTCGTGAGGGCTGAGTCTTTCTCATCGTTGCGAATACTAGGCACAAACTAATATGTTGAATGTAAATCCTATGGTCCCTAAGATCAGGTTAGTATAGGTAGGTAAGCTGAGCTATAGCTAGGGTGATGCAGGAAGGCTTCCCAATGTCATGGTAATATCACGATCTTCTCCACAGGCTAGGCAGTAAGCTACCTAGTACATATAAAGTCCTTAGGCAGCTGTCATATTATCCCAGCTCCGTAGGTTAGACAGATCGTCAACGTTGATTCGTCATATTCTGTATTCTATTTTCAGTGCAATAAATTAGGTGCCTACCGTTCTAATTAGCTGCCTTTTCCGGTCGTAAGATGTCTCCCATACCATTACCTCGTCTACGCAATAAATATACCTAGTATATATATCCAAAAGATCAAAAAAAGAAACTCTCGACTCACTACCTAGGTACCATACACAGCAATAATCTACTCATAAATATAACACCGTCCACCCTTCGTCGCCGGCATCCCCTCCTTCGTCTTAGGTTTCCATCCCAATCCCATATCCATCACATCATCAATCGTCGCTAAACTCGGGGGCAAGTTCGGTGCCGTGTCTAGTGCTAACCCCAGAAATGTCCTATTTCCATCAATCGCGAACGTCCTCGCCTTCAAGTCCTGCCCTTGCCATATCGCCCACAGACGATCGATCTGCGCGTGTAGCAGGTAGAACACGGGATCGTTCGGCGTGCTAAAGGGATCCGCAGCCTCCATTCCCACGAACGTGTGCGAGTTGAAGTGCCACAGGTCCTCGATGTTATTGCGCAGCGCCTTGATGCTGTCGGACGCGACGATCGTGGTAGCGTTGGCCCAATTCAGGACCCCCTGACTGGCGGGGTTGTAGAAGTCCCGCGACAGACAGCGCGGATTCGGTAAAAATCCATACTTGTTTGCTGGGTCGATGACTTCCTTCGCGACAGGTCCTAGACTGATTCGGAAATTCTTGAGCGGTCCGTCGGTGATGCAACCTCCACCCGTCCCCGCGGGCTTGGGAAGTGAAAAGTTGCTAATGGCCAACCCTGGTAAAATGACCTTCCGAGGCCCGTGAGGTACGAATGCGCCGTTACCACCGAAGGATGTCATAGAGCCATCGAAGACTTTTGATTGTGCCTGGTCCTCGGAGAATCGTGGGTTGTCCCAGTAAGGGAGATGCCCCTTGTACCCACACTCATCACGTAGGGCATGCTCTATTTGCCAGAGGAAGAGACGGTGCCATGGTAGGAGATAACCCTAGAAGATACATTTAGCGAGGGATAACAAAAGGCCATGATTTTATTTACCGACTGATGAATTATGTTTGTTTGGTTAATGTGGATGTAGGTAAAGTCGTCAAGTCGGTTCATAGCCCCAGGTGCTAGGCTCGTATCCATCTTTGGCGGTTTTGCAGCCAGGCAGTTCACAGCTCGGAGATAGTCTGTTCTTGTTGCATCATCGAGATCATCCCTAAGATGTCGTTCATAAGTATAACATGTTACTCGCATCGGGGAGTTGTTCCGGCTGCCTTACCATGATCTGCGAACAGCGATATTCTTGTTTGTGCACCCTTTGATTCCCAAGGACGCTCGCGTATTCCTTTGATACGTATCTTGGTATCTCTTGAAGGTACTGGGCATTGGTATGCCAGTAGCGTGATTGGAGGGATGCTGAACAGCGCCAGCGAGTACCGACTGGCCTACCAAAGCAGCGTACACTCCGAACAGGATAGGATATCCAAGAATATACATTTTGAGGACAGACTATCGGTAGCGATATCGCTATTGGAAGCTCTCAATAATCGAGACTATTTTGGATAAATGGACGCGGATGATTATCATATTGGTCGGTGCCTATAGAAATCACTAATATCCCCGTCGCACTCGAAGAACACGGGTCGGTACGACAAGACGTCAGGCATCTAGCCATTATATAGACGGCAGTGGAACGGTTCACCAATCCTCTAGGTTAGTATAGACGGGGGTCGGTGTTTATGCAATGCCTACGTAGGGAGAAATCCTGTGAGCCGCCTCATCTCGCAAACCCCATTGTCCGATGACAGCTGTGGGCCATGCGTAAACCACTATAGAAATTATCTAGCTGCGCCGCAAGTTCGGGACCGAGGACGTCGGGATCTGGCGTGCCCTAGATGACCGAGCTAGCTACAGCGTCGTATCTCAGCTATCTGCATGGCGTCCTGTCCGGGTGGCGTAACATCGCAAATCCGCCTGGCTAATCAATGTACGATGCATCATCCCACGTGCAGAATATTAGGCTGCTATGTATCACGGTAATGTTGTCTTACCTGTGTACTCGGGTCCGGACGCTTGGAACAGAGAAATGGCGCCGATCATCTTTTAGCGTGGTCTTTCGAAGGCTGGCACGAGCTCGAAATAGTTGATTACGGACGAAAATGGAAGTAGGGGTAAGACAGTTGTTGAAACATTGGAATAAGATAGAATGTTGGCTTTAATGGCTTGTCCATGGGCATCCGTGCCGTGTGAAAACAGGTAAATATGCCGCTTCCCTACCTCCATACTGCCGGCTTGGGATGCTCATGAGTTGATCAGGCCATTGTCAAATCACGTATTTGCTGATGATATCTGCCAGAACAATCATGTGATTTCCAGATGTTATGTAGTTGAGTTGTAGCTGATCCCAGAGCTCAAATCAAATCTGGGATCAGCTACAACTCAACTAGCATTCAGGAATTCATTGTCCGTCTAATATTCGAGCTAGGTAGTGAAACTGTTCGATAAAGAGCCCTATGGGTAGGTAAGCCCTGTCACGATAAGTCAGCGCGAGACTGTGGTTCGTCTTAACTATATTGAGATTCCACCTGGACGAACAATAGTCTCCGACTCTCTGTAAGTACACGGCAGCGCGTACAGACAAGGTTACATCGTAGATTTGCAGGCATTGACTAAGTGCCCAGGGCAGGTAGGCATTGGCTGCTATTCATATTTCCATCAGGACCCGGTTCGCAGGAATGGATCAACGGTGACGATAATACCATCAGTTTGGTGTTTAAAATAGTAAAAGGTTGATGAAGTTAATATAAGAAGGACTGTTTGCTAACTTATTCCCTGTCACTTGAGAACCCTAGCACCTGACCTAGGTGGAGGACTAGGGTAGGTAGTTCCGTTTATCCCTCGGAAGCTTAAGAATTGGCTTGTATCTACCTTGATAATGATAGCCAATCATAACTCCTCGATAACTAGCTAAGCCTTCCACTTATCTAAGATCTAATTAACTAATCGGCACTAAAATAACTTGAAGGGAGTGCGATGTGTCTCAGGGCCGTCTCCAATAATATCCAAACTGTCAAACCAGAACACACATTTACCCACACCTACATGTACCTACACCATCTTGGGTGTCCAAGGTCCAAGGTTAATCGTCGCCTGAATATCACTTTTCAACTTACAAAATGAGTCAAATTGAACATTCCGGCGACGATGATATCGCCGTCACTGAACGTACTCCTCTCGTGGGGGATGTTGAGACCCCCACATCATCCTGGAAGCCCGGCCATTCGAGGTCATCGACTCTTGCCTCCATCACCAATGCTTCCATCACTACCACGATACCCTACAAGCCTAGCGCTGTCATCATTATCTTCTACACCATAACCTTCATCACTTCTACTGCTGGCGCCTTTCAACAGATTCCTATGACTAGGATCTTTGAGGATATCCTGTGTCACGAGTACTACGATAAGGCTGCCAGCCTCGATGAACCCATCGATGAAATTCTTTGCAAGAATGACACCATTCAATCTAAGCTTGCTTATATATTTGCTATCCTTGAGTCTGCCAACGCTATTGTTAGCTGTATTGTCGCACTATTCTGGAGTATAGTGGCCGATCGGTGAGGATGGACTTCTTTTTATCTGCGCTTCATATAGCGCTTATATCCCCCTTTCGGCTTTGCGCCTTAATGGACTTGTCAACTAATTCTCATCCCAGAATTGGTCGCAAGCCAGTGTTCGCCTCTAGTTCAATAGGTATGACTTTAAATTTGGTGATAATCATGGTCTTCGGCTGGTTTCCGAATGTGCTTTCGATCCAGTTAGTTTGGTTAGCATCCCTTGCGCACATATGTGGAGGTGCGCCTGCTATGAGCGCTTGTATCTACAGTATCCTTAGCGACATCGTTCCCGAATCCAACAGGTATGTCCTCACCTCAGAAATCTCCATTGCAGAACATCCTCCATCTTGCTTACAGTAAATAGGTCAATCACGTTCATGCGGATCCATGTTACGAGTTTGGTTGGCAATCTGATCTCGCCGGCGCTAGCATCTGCCATGATGCCCTCAACTGGCCCTTGGCCTGTCATGTTGCTCACTCTGATCCTATGGATCATAGGTACTGCTATGATAGCCTTTGTCCCGGAAACATTCCACTCTGGGCAACCTTCCAATACAGATGCAGAATCTCCATCTGTTACGTTTAAAGCCCGTGCGATGCAGGGTCTGGGTCAGCTAATCGACTCTCTGTCTATTATCTGGATACGTTCCGTCGCCCTGGTTCTTAGTATCTGCCTTTTATCACTACCAGTCCTGATGTGCACTTTCCAATTCATGGTACAGTTCATTTCGATGCGATACCGAATCCCCTTGGAAAAGACCGGTTACATACAATCCCTCTACGGCCTCGCGCATATAGTCGTAGTCCTCCTCATAGTTCCGTACGTTTCTAGTCTCGTCGTCCGTCCAACAATTCCCAGTTGGCTCCGTATTGCCGATGATAAGCGCCGCGATTTAGTGCTAGTTCGTTGGTCTTACGCCGCTTACGTCGCTGGCACTTTTATTTTGGGAATATCTCCATCGCTGCCGGTCTTCGTGGCTGGTCTCACTGTCATGTCCCTTGGTTCCGGCTCTGCGAGCTTCATCAAGAGCATCGCAACTTTTCACGTCGACCCTGCGCATCGATCCAGGCTTTTCACTCTAATGGCCCTCACGGAAGTGGCTAGCAACATCTGGTCCACTCCTGCGCTGGCAGGCCTCTTCACGCTGGGTATGCGACTCGGTGGGGGATGGATTGGCCTACCCTACCTTGGCGTATCCCTTTCTTGTCTCGCTATGCTAGTTCTAGCGCTATTCGTGCGGGTGCCCGCTAATGGTAATGGCGATGAAGAATCAACAGAGTCTAGTGCAGAGTCTGTTAGGTCAAGATAAGAAGCACTAAGCCTATGCGACCCAAATGCGGATGTTTTAGAGTAGGTCTCGAGCTAACGAACCATATGGTATACATAGATGGAGTGTCGGAACCCGGTCAAGTATATACGAAGGTCATGTCATTGGCGGGCGCTACATTCATCCCTTTGATACCAAAAAGCGGGAGATGTAGATGAGAACATGTGCTGTACTCAATTTAATGATTTACATCTAGCAACAATATCTTCGGCTTACTCCTATGTTTCGAAATATCACGATGATCATATCTTAGTTCAGCCAGAGATTATTTATCCCGATGCATACCTAGGTATCTATTCTTAAGCATTTGGCTAGTGCCGAATGCGCTTATGGGGATTCGTGGAATTGTGAGCCGAGGTAATTCTTTGGCACCTTGCCAGCTTAAGAGTGTCGTAAATTGATGTTCGAATATAGGATACTATTACACCTACATAAATCTCCATTGATTCAAAATTCAGACCATAAGAGATGCTGCACCATTTACGAGACCACATCCGTAGGCTTCCTAGGTACCTACGTAGTAGGCTAAAGGGATCTACGTGCTGCACCCATCCCAAAGAGGCGCGATCTGTAGCGTATCTACACTGACAACTTGGCGAATGTGCCAACGATCCGTAGCACATTGTGTCGGCTTCGGCATCCACGAAATGGGGTAATATTGTCTCAATTGAGATGATCCTGCGTATTTGGGTTCATTAAATCATGCAACTTGGACGAAGGCACGGGCGAGTCATAAGAGTAACTCTTAATAGCTCAGGAATCAGGATACCATCAATTGGATGCACATGATGACGATGGAGGGGCAATGGAGGGGCGGGGAGTCAAGTTGGGTACCTATCCATATAACTATGTTCTACTTATGTGTATGTTGTCTTTTCTGTCTAGCTAACACCGATGCCTGATCTGATGATTATGGACGAGGGGAAGACCAGAAAAGAGAAAAAAAGGACGAAAAACTCCGTAAAACATGCGCCTTACCAAAACCCTGGGTTGTTTTTTTCTTCTTCGAAAGGCATCCGGATGCTTTGAATCTAAATGACTGTTTGCCCAAAATCGCGAGTGTAGGTATATATCAACCAAAAAAAAAAATGAACAACCGACATGTTATTATTTTTTTCATGCCACCCTGAAAATATATGTATATCGCTCGATGCAGCTGCAGCTCGAGCTTCTGTGTAAAGTCAACAACATTTCCTAGCCCGACTACCTAAACAAATTCCACTAGGTATTTAGTTAACCAACCCCCTTTGATTCTCTTGATCTTTGATGACGATGATGTGAAAATCTGGCTATAAAAACAAAAAATAAACCAGATAAAAGATGTAACCGAAAAAAAAAAATGATATATGCTGCTTCGCTGCGCCTGTATGCTCTTTGAAATGATTCTCACCAAAAACCCCAAGACGAAACAAAAAAAAGGGAAGATAAAAAAAAAAAAAAAAAGTCCTGTAAAAGTACACCTCCGCCATTCCATAACATAACATTTCCCTGAACCGGTCGTCTTGTCTATTCGTGATGCAACCTTTCATAACAAGTTTTTACCAAAGTTTTTCATTCTTTCATTTGTGATGTGATGTTGTTGTAAATAATTTTTTCGGTGATTGATTGACTGATTATTTTGTTTTTCAATTGTTTGTTTGTTTGTTTGTTTTCTCACGCGGCCAAATCTAAGCCGTCCCTTGGGTTCTCGTAGTATATGCCACCCATCTGCCTGATTATGCGACATTGCTCTTCCATATTATAGGCGTTGTTGATTCTGCCAATCCCCCGCTCGGAGGCGTCGCCGTGCGTGGTGCGGAGGACCCAGGCGCCGCCACCGGCAGGCCAGCCGACGAAGACGACCGGGTCGTTGTACTTGTTGGGGTCCATGGCCTTGCGGATGTAGGCCTCCTCGCTCTCCCACCACATGGCGCCGAGCTTGCGCATGTTGGCGCAGTGGGCGTCCTCCTCTTCCTGGTCGGGCGACCGCATGGCGATGTGGAAGCGGTCAAGGTGCAGGAAGTCGAGCTCGACCGCGTTGCAGTGGAGCACGTACAGCCCGCCGTGGCTGGGATAGCCGCGGACGGCGGCGCCAGACCTGACGCCAAATTGTGTGCGGAAGGGCAGGCCGTTCAGTATCACGAGGTCGTCGTCGTCGTCCCCCGAGTCGTAGGCGAGCTGCCGCTGGTTGGTGCTCGCTATCATGTCATCGTCTTCCTCGGTGTCGAAGTCGAGGTCTCTAGCTCTCGCCCGGGTTGCCAGGTCGCGTGTCCTACTACCTGAGCATCGAGTTCTTAGCGAGAATAGATAGCTGCCGGACAAAGCTGCGATGAGGAATATAGTTGGCGTTATTAGGGTCATGATGGGATGGGAAGCGTGTGACCGGTTTGATGGGGGCATTTTTTGGTTATTGAGGATCGAAAAGTATTATCTACCTACCGTCGGTTTTACGTCCCATAATAAATTCCAAGGAAACCCATGGAAGTCATGGACGCCATGGATGAATCAGAGTGGATTCACTGCACCACGTCACATTTGTTGTTTGACTCCTGGGTGAATTGGGCTCTGACCGCGGCCCGGTCTCTGTTACGTGTTTTGCAGCCATTTGCATTACGGGCTCGAATGAACGATGCGGAAAGCGAAGAATCGGCTGTATAACTGGTATAACTGGCATTATTTGGTCACATTCTCAAGAGACCCTAACGCATGCTAACCAGGTAAATAACCAATCATCCAGCAACTCAGCCACCCTTACAACCAATCTGCTTACACGTGGCCGCGAACCCGACTGGCGGGCCACTTTTACCATCCCTTTCACGGCCTCTCATTGCTTCTTGCTGCTCCTTTGTCGCTGCACTCGCGCTCATCAGGAACAGCTTTCAGCATCATGCAGGTACAAGTATCCGCCCCTAAGCCAGGATGATCGTAGGCTCTATTGAGCAATCTATGGTAAGTGGTCGCCCTATCAAAATAATTACCCAGAAACCCAATAGGTTCTTAGGAGTCCTCCGAAAGCGAAAGCAAGCCCAACGCACCAAGAAACAATCCAATCCCTCTCCTTCCAGAGAAACCAGAACTTTGGGATGGATTGCTGTTCGTTTTTCTTTTCTTTTCTTTCTTTTCGCCTTCTGCGAGCAAGAGGGCATCAACGTCATCACCACCCTCACTGAGTAGTCCAGACTTGCACCGCCAAGCTTTCCGTTCATGTATCATTCACGGCACTATCAAGCACCTGACTGAACAGCACTTACATAGTTAACTAATAGGCGGAGCCTAAAAAAAAAGATAACCCCCCTCCCAAGAAAAAAAAAACCTGACGTGACGAACGTCGGTGTGGGTTTGCTGGCCGGCTTGTTGGCTGGCTGGCATTGGGTGGATCCCAAGGCGGCAGCGAAAGAATAAAAAAAAGGAAAGCTAGGTTAGCCGACCCCTTCACCGCTCCGAGATTCGAACCACCACGACACAGCGGCTAAATCTAATTCGGCCAACGGTTCATTCTCAAATCACTTTCATTCATCCGGGGGGGTTTTTTTGGCTTAGGGAGAGAGGAAGGGATGGGATGAGAGGGCCCCGCTACTAGTGTAGTCACGCTTGCTTCCCCGTAGCTTAGGTAGGTAGCCAAGAGATCAGGGGAATCGGCGAGTAATGGGGACATGATGAATGTCGCGCTGGGAAGAGGTCATCGTGGGTATGGTATTGACTAACACGTGATGGTTTTTCGGCCTTTTTTCATAAGTAAAATTAATCGTAGTGTTTCATAGACTGAGTATGCTAACTAGGTAAGTAAGTAGAAATGCAAATATGATTGACTTATTCGCGTTCATGATGCATCGTATGAATATAAGGACGTCCTTGTCTCACCGAATGCTTGCCCGTGTCACGACCACTCACCTTCATTTTTCCTCGGCAAGCCTATCTTCATAGATCTCGGGTACGTGCATCGATTTACTCAAGGGGGCTCCACTGAGGACGATGAACTGATATAGGATGATGCAATCTTCATGCTATAGACCTTGTCCCATGGCCTCGGGATCTATATTAGGGGACCCCTATATCGGGACCTTATACGTCTACCCAGGTGTGTCTGTCTGGGTAGCTACTTTCTCAACGGTACCTGACATCATGTAGCTCTTAGGGCTGTCTTATACACCTGGCTATGCTTCCAGGGCTCCCGAGGCCCTCGGCATGAACATCTGCCGAGTGCTCTCTCGCTCGTGTCACTGGTTCTCGAACAAAGGATCTCACTGGGTGATCGATCGAGCTTGACGTTGTATAAAGTACTACCTATTGGAAGGCAAACAGCTTAGCCTATCATGTCTTGTTGCTTTGTAACAAGCATAGACTCTATAAATATATATCATATAACGTAATTCAAGTCTGAGCTCTACCGTTCTTGCCTTTTCAACACTAGACTTTTACTTATTCTATCCGTGTTAGTTATAACATAGCATACTGTCACTCAAACAGTGTTCGCCTAGAATACAGTTTCTGCTAAAGGAAAACAATCTACCAATAACAGTTTTTATCTATCTTCAATGTAAGGAGTTGAAATCAGTCCAAATATATAAATCCGTCAAGTGGCTTAAACACTAATGACTCTTGAAGAACTAATAATCACAATCTAGACACTCACATATAGTCCAAGCATCATAGGCCTTCACAGCTTCACTTACATGCTGTCGATGATTTTTTTATGGATTCAATGTGTGTTCTAGGTTTATGAAGTTCTTTGATGAAGAGGTTTGGTATAACGATTCCTTCGTTGACTAACCTTAGCTGTTATTTATAACCTGGTTGGACCAGCTCAAAGACGACACTCTTTTTATAGCATATTGGGCACAGTCTATTGGTCGATATACTCATGAAATTGTCGTGATTCTGGTGTGTTGTTGACCTAGGTTTGGAAGTTGTCCTCCTCAAACGATGCTCAGCTGCACTCGAGTTTTGAAGGTTTCCTTGCAATATACACGACAGCTTCACTTGGGATACCAATAATGTCCATGCCCTAGGCTATAGCACTGTCCCTTCAACAGTGCTGGAATACTTAGCTTACCCTATGTGGCGGCCGTGATGACTGTGGCTACAGTCCTTTGTTTGTGAATAGCTTCACGTTTCCTAGCAACCACTATCACGACGCAACCCCAGCCGAGATTCAGCCCAGTCCATGAGTTAAATACATGAAGCAAAGAAGCAACATGATTATCAGCCAGACTGGTATGGTCTAGTGGTTCGAAGTGCTCGAAGAAAAAATGTGTATTTTAAATCACCACTCCAACCGCCGCTTGACCTTGGGGTTCGATTCCTCAGTTGGCTAACTAGGTTAACATTCTCTTTTCTGTTTTTTCTTTCATTTTTTATACCTTTCTTATATCTTATGTTCTCATTACGTATATATGCAGTACAAAACAGCTTTTCACTCTTTATGATCTTTTGGGTCACGTCGTCGGCGGTATGACACCCCCGAGCGCGACCCAGTCAGACAAGCAACGGCGAAGTCAAGATCCAAGAAGTAACTTCCCTCTACCTCTCCCAGTACTTGTGTCATGATCTGATAAGTTACAACATATCGCTGCCCCTAACTTCAGCCCATCTATCTCTTAAACTTATGTATCTGTCAATGTCCGAACAGGCATATAACGCAAATTCTGTGTTTTGAGGAAGCAGGAACACCACACAGCACACCAACTTATAAGATTAGTATACACCGAAAACTATACTAGATTCTCGCGATTCTACCGTGTTTTACACTCAAGCTTCACTGTACGTATGAAACAAGTCTCGTGATAATGTACCTAACCTACGTAGTTCGCACCAGACGATGTCCGATGTCAGTTACCCCTGCCCACTAGGCGCAACCAGTTGGGGCCCGGGGTCCACCGGCTCAATGTGGATCTCTTCACCGCCAAAGAGGAGCAGATTTGACCGAAACTCATCAAGATCCTGAAATCGGAGGAAGTTAATCTTATGATCATCTTATCTTTACTACATGTAGTCGTGATTGAAGCAAGGGTTCTAGAATTTCAAGGCTGGCAATATTCCGTAGATACGGTGTGCAGCTACTCCGTACATTTGCTGAAATGCAAGATAGCTAGCCACTAGCAGAGAAACGTATACACGATATTATCACCGGTTTGTATTGCCTAGACCCCTTCATCGCTACCTAGTACCAATTGACCGTGATGGGGAAACCCATCACACGCCCTGGCGCTTGAGGAAATCAAAAACCATCTTAAACGCCCGCAGAGCAACCTTGTGCAAGTTGAGGTTATGTCTAAATCCCCAAACAAGTCAGCCTAGCACCTGCTCATCAAAACAATCAACCAACCAACCAACCAACCAGCCGCATAGTTATCCAGGAGAAACCGAAAGGGGAAAAAAGAAAACAAACTCACCCCGCCGGCAAATCATCCACCGTCTCCAGCACCCTCGCCCCTTTAAACTGCGCCCTCAGCGGCTCCAGCAACCCCACACAATCCCCCCCGCACGCCGAGAGATCAAACCGGCCCTGCAGAACGAGCACCGGTGCCGTGACCGCCCCAAAGTCCAGCAGCGGCCCCCCACTGCTCGCCAGCAGCGACGGCAGCTCCGCGACCGCGAACGGCTCGCTGCCCACCGCGTGCGACCACTCTGCTACGCGGCGCTCGTAGTCGCCGCCAAAGTACGCGTATGTCTCGGCGTACACGTCCGCCGACGCGAGGTACGCGGCATCCAGCGCGCCCCACCTTCCGGGGTCCTGCAGCCGCGCGACGCGGAAGGCGGAGCCGGCGAGGAAGGGGGTGAAGTAGGTGAAGTTGCCGCCGAAGCCTGTCAGTACGAGCGCGTCGATGGTGGAGGCGGACGCGGCGGCCGCGATGGACAGGTAGGAGCCGTAGCTGTGGCCGACGAGGGCGACTTTGCTGGCGTGCATGGAGCGTCGCGCGTAGGAGGCGAGGGAGGCGAGGACGGCGGCTTCGACTTGGAACTGTGCGTCTGTGAGGGCGTTTATTCTAGCGAAGGAGTTGGTTGATGGAATCTAGGAAGGTGAATTCTACGTGAAAAAAAACGTACTTCGAGGAGGAACCAACGCCTATCCGGTCATAGCTGAGAACGGAGTACCCGGCCGCGATGGCGGCATCGACGAAGCTGTACTGTTCGGCGCCCTCGAAGGTCGGGCGCCAGTACCTGCTCTTCTGTCAGCGTGTTGCTTGCGACGTCTGGGATTTTATCCGAGAGGTAGGTACTAAGGGCTTACAGCTTAGACTCAATGATCCCATGAGTTAGAATCAGTACTGGGCCTCCTGTCCCGCATATCGTGGCCCCGACAATGAACTTGCTCTCCACCGGCGCAGCTGTAGTCCCGGCGATCGGCAACGGATCAGTGGGGTTGCCAAAATCCCGTCTGGTCAAGTTCAGTGTTAGTGCTACCACATCCCAATTATCGTTGACCGTCGCATTCACGATGAAACGGGGCGCGTTGACGGTGATTGGTATCTTGACCTCCTTGCAGCCCGTCAACGTAGGGTATGGCCGGCTAGAAGCTGTGGTGGCAAGACAGAGAGCGAGTAGACTGTAGGCAATCATCATGGTAAGCTTAGACGCGGTAGGTAGAGGATGAGGCCTTGCTTACTGGTAGTAGGTACTCGGGCGATTACTTATACAGAATCCGGTAAGGGAGAAGTTGGGAAATCAATGTCCCCTTCTCTTTACCTGACGAGCAGGGTCAAATATTGACCTCTCGTAAGATGTGAAATGAAGTTGAAGATCCACAAGCATCCACAAGTTGCTGACTAGTACTATTACTTCACCCAGGCTTGCGAATAACCTCCCTAGTCGATAGTCCTGTATCTGCTGACTACCTAGGTAAATAGCGGTTTTGTATATTAGGCATGTAATGTCTATATTCTTGTTCGATACTATAAGATTATTAATCTTTTACTCTATGCTAACTGGATAGCCAGGCATCTCGTTTCTTACGGCCTAGTATCTTTCATAAGTGCTGACTTTAGTGGAATGAAATACGCTGGTCGAGAAACACCATTTCCCTAATTCGGGTAGTATAAGATGAGAACCCATGTTCATCTCACCTAATCTAGAGAGACCCGCATGCATGTAAAGATGTGATTATATATCTTGTGTGTTGGGCTTGGGCGGGGGAGTCGAGCTTCACTATCTAAACTGCCTGCTTCATCGCTGATTCATGATCAGTCTCACTGTGCTCTTTACAACAGATACCTTTGATTATTGAAAATAGCGACTCAATGTCTTGAATTGAAGCGACCCTAGATATCCCCATGGACCCCCTATTTCCTATCTACCATAGTCACTATCCTACACACTCCTTGAGCCGAGTTCGAGCCCTGCCAACACCCAAGAAATACTCCAGTAGTATTTGAGACAACACTTAGATGATGTCCATAAAAACATTCTCCAGACTTACTCATTAACCCCGCCATCCCAGCGTCACATCTACTTATCCCTCTAACTCAGCCCTATAATCCCCTCCCGCCAGCGACAGCTTCCCGAGTGAATCGACGCTGGGGGCAGGACTTGGGATGGAGTCAGCGACCGATTGTTTCCGCGCCGTGATGATCCCGGACAACCCCGAGGCGCGTTTCTCGATGACGGAGGAGAACGATCTAGCCGTGGATGGGCCTACATAAAATTAGCCACCATATCCACAGCAGCAAAGCACAGAAAAGCGACAACTCACCACCCTGGAACCCCAACCCCCCACCCCCATCCTCGCGCATGATCCGTCTCGGGAACCCACTGATCGGGAGCACCGTGACCCCGCTCGGATACGGCCTCGTCCTCAAGCACAGCGAGACATTGACCTCCGCGCCCTCGGTCGCCGCGTGGATGCGCAGCGGGTCGAGGTCGAACGCGCCCTGGAGGTGCATGTCCTGGAGCACGGAGCTATTGAGGACGATCTGGCGGGGGGGCCACTTCGGAACCGGGACGCTTTCTTCTGCGTCTTGTTGTGCTGCTTCTTCGCGCACTTCGAGCAGGAAGTACGGCTCGAATTCACCGTCGAGGCGCGAGATCAGGAACCAGCCGAGGGCTTTGAGTTCCCGGGAGCAGAGGGGGAAGCGGCAGAATATGGCGCCTAGGGGAGGGAGGGGGGGGGGAGGTTGGTTAGTTGACTATTTGACGAGTACTAGGTAGGTACCTAGTTGGGTATGCATGTAGGTATGTATAACTTACCGGTACAGCTAAACCCCGACGGGCCCTGCTTCACGCCCAGGGCATCCTTCTCGAAGAAGAAGGTGCTCGCGACCAGCCTATGCGCGACCTCCACAAGCTCCTGGTGCGTCTGCCTCAGCAGCTCCGCCGCCTCCTCCTCCACCATCTCCATCTTCCCCACCTCGTCCAGCTTCGGCAGCTTCCCCAGAAACTCCGGGCACACGCGCATGTAGCGCATGCGGCGGCCGCCCGCGGCGCTGCTCGCCATGAAGCGCGCCCACGCGCGGTCGCCGAGCCGCTGATCGTTGAGCTTGTCGGTCTGGCTCGGCAGCGGGTTCGTGAACGAGACTAGCATTGGGGTTTTGGGGTCGCGGACCACGTAGCTGCCGCTCGCCGACTTGCCCCCCTGCCCCCCGGTCTCGGATGTCGGCGACGTCGCCGTGTTGTTGCTGTTGTTGTTCTGGCGCTTGTAATTTCCCGCGCCGCCGCGCCCCTGTCGGACGACGGCGCTGGAGGATAGGCCGCTGGTGGTGACGGTTTCGTTGGTGAGGGAGCGCGATGAGCGCGGGAAGCCGGAGGAGTCGTCTATCGTGCTGCGGTCGCCGACGTTGCGGCCGGCGCCGATGGAGAGGAGGAGGTCCGGCGGGCTGTCGGCGATGTCGCTCCAGATGGACTTGGCTTCGTAGTGGGCTACGACGACGGGGCAGGCGTAGCGCGGGTCGTTGTTGGCGAATTCTTGGTTAGTCTCGGCTTTGAGGAAGGGCTTGAAGAAGGGCGGGGTGGCGGATGTTGCTCGAGCGCTTTCGATCGAGCATGTTGGGTTAGTTTTATTTCTTTTCTCACCGGGGAGCTCAGGGATAGGGAAGGAGGACTTACGCTTCCCACATGCGCATCTCTTTTGCTGGCGAATCTGATCGGATAAACCTATATGGAAGTTCTAAAACTATCTGTCAGCAAGCTACACAGTAATTTCCAATTCGAATCATGTTTGTACTTTTACCAGGAAGGTCAGGGCGATTATAATTCGCAAACACGACGGCCTGCCGCTCTATTCCCATAGTCGCCGTGACAGCCACCTTGGTGGAGGTCGTAACCCGTGACCGATGCGTAGCGGCGCCGAAGAACGGCTGGTCTGACAAGTACCTCCTGAGCGCTTTGGTGAAAGGCTGGGTCTTGTATAGACTGCCGTGGTAGAGGTTTGATAAGGCGCCGAATAACGGCAGACTGGCCATCTCCCGAGGCACGAAGGCCTCTTTGCATATGTCTTTGAACTTCTCCATCGTCGCGTTGACGGTCCATTTCTTTACTCCTAGTCCGATCGCGATGATACCACCGGTACTTATTAATGAGTTCGTTAGTAGGCAGGTAGTATGAATGCATAGAAGTACCTAGGTCCCCGTGTACTTACTTGACTCCGACAATGAGGTCAAAGAAGAGTTGGATTGGCAGGTCTGGACCCAGCACATTCTCCAACTCCGTGAGGACTTGGAGTTGTATCACACCACGAACGCCGCCACTGTTATCGCCCTGTTAGTAATCTCCTACGGAATAGGAGAGGCATTTAGTTTATGAAACACAATATACCCATCAAGACATAGTACTCGAGCGCCGGCATAACGTGGCTTCGTCGTGATGACCCAGGGCGGACTGGCAATGATATCGCGAACATGCAAAGGACACCGACTGATCTCGACAGTAGTCTTCGACGTTCTCGTCCCATAAATCTGTACACAGGGGAAGCACAGGACATGACCACAGGGCAAGGCGCACTCAGGCAGTTCTCTCAAGCAGCAAAGGCACGCAGAATAGCTGACATAATTCGTCGCCGCGCCCAAGACGTTCGAGTACAGCTCATTCAAGCGTTCCTGGTGGATGAGCGCCGCGACCTGGAGCTCGCTTCTGTCGGGAAACTCCTGGCCAAGCTTGAAGTTACTAGCTTGTACCTGAGCCAGGCTGGCTCTGAGCAGATGTTCCCAGACGGATCGGAAGGCGGAGGCGTTAAAGTTCGACTCGTAGTCCCCGTTCCCGATGATCTTTCCTTGCTTGTTCTGGTGGCCTTTGGGGTTGTGGCCGGCTCTGACGTTGCAGCAGTGCCCGAGCTCGCCGCTGTACGACGAGTTGGTGAAGCTGCATGGCCAGTAGAGATCGGCGAATGTCTGTAGTGCGCCGGCGCAAGGCTTCGCGTATCGGTCGTCGAGGAGGCGGCTTGCGCTACCTATGACAGATGGTCAATAAAGAATGAATGAAAAGAGGTTGATGAGAAAGTAGGTAAGTATAGTCTTTGATCTACCTGGCAGGTTCTGACGGACAGCGTCAAGCATCACACACGACGCGATCATAGGCCCTATAGCTCTAAAGATCTGTTCCGCATCATGCACGTTCGACTTCTCCTTGATCGACAACGCCAAGTTCAATATATTGCCCTCAAAATTTCGGGAGATGGGGCTATGTCGAAGGGTTTCCTTCACGAAATCAAAGGGTGTATGGAGGTCCTTGGTGAAATGGTCGTAAGCGGCTTGGAGGTAGAACTGGAGCTTTTCCGTATTCGCCAGCATCCGTACTTGTCTTTTCCTCTGATACGAAGTCTTGCAGCGATCACTGAGGAGGTTGCAAAGCTTCCCGACTTGCTCGTTCAGCAGCACTATCACATCGATAGTTAGTATTTAATGCGCATGATCATCACAAGAAAATCAAATAAACTTCTGAGATTTGACTTGAAATCGCCAGGCAGTAGATAAGGTAAACCACCTCTCCTGAACTGGGACTGGAATAGCTTACTATATGAGCCCTTGTACGGAATGCGAATAACATTGATGGAAGCGTAATAGCATTCAAGCAGCTCCTTAGTGCTGGTTATAATCTTCCCACGTCTCCGCCATGCCCGTACCTGTTCGATGTTAACTCTATGTAGAATGAGGGATGCAGTATAGAGAAGGATGGCGGGAATGTAGTCATACTATAACCATAATTAGTATGAGTTAAGACCCCTATCGTTGCAAGAGACGAAGTCTGTAGTCTTGATCTTGCCGAGTTAGCTACATACCATATTCCTGTAAAGCCGGCTCGCGTATAATAGCATCATGGATATCGGTCATTAGCATTTGCGTAGCTTTAGTTACATCCCATTCCTTCTCGTCGACGTTGATGTCCGTAGCGTTGAACACGATTACTGCGTGGGGGAGTACTGGCTGATTAAGGGACTTATCGACTGTAGTGAGATTTGTTAGTTGTATATCTGCATTGATGTTTGAATTCAAGGCTCGCTCTTTGATGATTCAAGTCGATTCCATTGAACGAAGCTAAGTGGGCTTGAGAATATTCATTCATAGGGATGAGAGACGTACTAGAAGCTGCACCCCATCTAACTAGCTTATCAAGTACCACCGACTCAAATGCTCGAGGGTTTCTCAAGACGAAAACCACGACGTCGGAGAAGGTGTAGAGAATTCGTGGATACAAGTTGCCCACTGCGAACTCTCTCTTCTGTGTCTGGGGCGTATCCGCCCACATGATCCTTCTCGTCAAGCAAGGTCTACCAGGGCTACTGTCGTCTGGGTCTACAGCACCTGGCCCTCTCGAACATTGTCGAAGCTGCTTCGGGATGCCTTCTCCGCCACTCAGACCTTCGCAGTCAACTAAGAGCAACGGGTTGTTGCTATACAAAGTCGATGGGTCGGCGTATAAGTGGACATCACCGGTGGTGGAGATGCGATCATGACTGGACGATGTGACCGGAGCATAATAGTTATTAGAGCCGTCGCCGGCGGTGAATTCATGTCGGTCGATGAGGAGTTTAATAAGAGTGCTTTTCCCGACGCCTATGAAGCTTGGTTAAGCATGGCTTGTATTGAGTATAAGAGTAAGGGTTTAGACATGGGAATTGTTAAGTAATACCAGTTTCTCCGATGAATGTAGCTAATTGCGGGTATCGCTCAACCGTCTCATCAGTGACTGTCTCACTCATAATGGCGGCGAACCGGCCATAGTCTTGAAATAGAGGTTGGCCGGAGGCATCGCGGCCAAACCCGAACCATGTTGTATCGCGGTCTTCAAGCAATTCGGATTCGTGCTCGGCTTCTGTGCGGGTTGGCTCTAAGATCTGACGCAGCCGATGGACAACAAGCGGATCCGCTTTCTCATGCGGTTTGCCGTTCCTGTAAATCATCCATCGCGATTAGCCTACATAGCCTAGGTAGTATTCTTTTGGTATGAGTCTGTTTTCTCTTCCATTACATCTGAAATATTCCGTCATGGACGTGGATATAACACTTAAGGGGTTCCGGAGTTAATACCACTTATTACCTACTACTTACTACCTAGTAGTCAACTATGTAGCAGATATACTACCTAGGTAAACAACTAGGTACTAAGGTAGATAGATATAAGGACACTTGAACACTGAAAGTTGCTATACTGACCAACCAACTGAGCCTGGCGTGTGCAGCATCCATTTGGGCCAGCACGCGTCGCAAAAGGCCAGATTATTGCACTGGATGCAGGTAAAGGTCTTCTCGGCATTCGTTCCGCATGTCTGACAGGGTTGCGACAATCCTAGACGCCCCGACATGGTGGATGAGGGTCATCGCAAAAAAAGCTTGTGAGCCCCTTGGAGTTGTGAGCATTTAGTCGTTTCTGGTACGTAATCATAACCCAAGGAAGTTTTTTTGGTCGGGAGTCCTCGGAGCTTTCGAGAAATTCATACATACACATAAGTCTTTTCCTCGGATTCTCAAATCTGGGGGGGGTGTCACTCTCTCCTACGTGTAGGCTGGCTTACTGGGCTCTTTCCCCCCTCTCGGCAGTCAGCCGCAGAGGGGTTCAAATGTTGGCTTGCACAGAGTGTTATGTTAGGTGGTGATACGCGAATATGCATGTCTTGATCTCATCAATGATACGCAGGATATATAGCGGTAGATAGCAAGTACCTGGTAGTATTGTATTGTTACGATAACACTCCTTCTCAGTGGTTTTATTTGCTTGGCTTGCATAGCTGTTGATTGATGTCGATAGCTGTATACTGGGCAACCCCTGACCCCATATCTTAGGATCTTAGGCAGATCGGTTAGTCCAGCCAAGCTGAGCAAGCCGGTGCATGTATGTTTACTATGCAGTATGCTAGTCTGAGTACAATGTAGTGAATTGATGCTTATTTGACAGCTTCAACCATCCTAGCTGAACTTCGTTGGTACATATGTACCGATCAATCTGAGAAAATGTATGTATGTATTTTGTACCTTCGTATAAGGCAACAATTTTGCGCACAGCCAAAAAGGCAAAGATCGACAACAGCGTTCGCATCAATTGGGTGTGTTTGCCTTATACGGACATCCTAGTATCACGATGCCAAAAGTAGCCAATCACCTCTCACCCAGGAGACGAGGAGGCACCCAGGAGGCACCATGATAGTTGTCAAGTATGGAAACTTGACTGGCATGACTTCCTTAAAACACTGCAAATCAATATGAAGTTTAGAGGCAGTGCAGTTCGTCTCGTCGCTTACATGGCCCCCTACGCGACAATCTATGAGGAAGCGACGTTAAGGGGGAACGATGAAAAAGGGTATATATACGTTGGATTGGCCTCGAGATATTCGACAGGATGACTTTTCTCAATATCCAAATCACAAAATCACTAAACGACGCCAACAGCTCAAGTGCTGCACTGGTTGCCAGCATCGGGCTGTCCCCCCTCCTTGCCGCTGCTTGTGGCGTCCTTCGCGGAGCGTAAGTCACACTCTTCAAGTGTGTCGATGAACTCTATTGATACTTGTTGGTTATCCTGAGGCGCGCATACATTCTTCCGAAATCTCGTCGGCCGTTTGACGTTGCATACCTTGTGGTATTTCATCTCCTGGTGACGACCGCCATCGCCCTTGTTGCCGTCGGGGCCTCAGGTCTTAGCAAGACCACGCTGTCGCCAGCCCAGATCACATCAAATCAGTCTCTGGTAAAGGCGGACATGGTGATGCTACTCCTAGAATGGGGTTTTATTACCGCTTTAACCTTCCTCGCATCTCAGCAGGCCTATGCGAAGGCGACGAGGAAGCTTGCAAACGATAGGGGAGGGAAGACGTTGCTTCTGGCCATGGCTATCTCAATACCATTCCTAGGCATCCGAGTATTGGAAAGGTTCATCTACTTCTTTACCCAAAACCCCTATTTGAGCCTTGTGTCGGGTAGTCTTGGGTTAAAAGTTGGACTGGAAGTTGTTGAGGAGATCGTCGTGAGCTCCTCATTGATCATTGCTGGTGTCTTGACACGCAATATCCAAGAGATGTGAGCGAGGGGCGGCATATTAAGGAGTTCGAAAATAAAGATTATGGTATCGATGTGCAGAGGGTGGCTTTCAATTAATGCAGGTTTATATACACATTCAGATCTTATCGAGAAACACAACGTACTATATATCTGCTAGAAACCCAGCAAGCTCCACGTATTCCGGAGAATCATTCTGGAGCTGAGAAAAGGACTTCAAGTAGACTACGATTGCAGGATGCCCTAGGAAAGACCGAAGGCGCGCGCATGTAAGCACGTTATTAAGAGCCCGGTGCATCTTGCATCGATCTGGTGTGCCCTAATATATATATAGTATTCCACTACTGATGCGCCACATCAAGGTTGGCATATGTACATGTACCCAATTACTAGGTAGTAAAAGGGGGTGGCACGCCACTATCAGGCTTACCCGTTCAGTGGACCGGTCAGCCAACAGCCGCGATGCTGATTAAAGACATTATCGCGAATATGCCTACCCCTATACCAAAAGTGGAGGGATATGGCCGAGATGGCATATGCAGTTATCCAAGGGGGACAGTGCGGATAATGAGTATCCTGGTGCTCGTCGGTCTCGTCCACTTGAGGCATCTGAAGTGGCAATTACGACAGGAGGCCCACGCACGCTCATTCTTCATCACTACCGCTTTCGCTTGTTTTCTTTTCTTTGCTTTTTCTCCTTTTCAATTTCACCCCAACCCATCCCCACCTTCTCCCTCACCCACCCCATCAACCCCCCATACTCCCTTCCCACCTCCCCCCCACACAGCCCGCACCGTCCGTTCCGGCCACCCCCGAATCCACCAAATATCTTTCACATACTTCAGCGTGACAACCCAGTGCGCAAGCAGCACCAGACTCAGCGGCTCTCTCTCGCGCGCACACTCTCGTTGAACGCGGGGGTTTACCATCGCGAGCCACATGCAGGCCGGATTATACACGCCGTTCGTGCCGGCCACGCGCCTGAGAGTGTGATCTCGAGTTTTGAGCGCCGCGTCGATCATTGCTTTTTTTTTTCTTTTTTTTTTCGTTTCTAGCTCTGCATTCTCGCACCTCTCATGTAACTACCTGCAGCTCATCCCCGCCCTCATAAATCCTGTCCAGCACTCCATCAACAGCCGGCTCCGCCTCTAGCCACGCGCTTTCACCGCCCATTGTCGCCACGATGGACTGCCCGCAGCTGGGGGGGTCGTGGCATGAGACAGAACCAGAAGCCTAGGGTCTTGGCGGCCGAAGTGTAAGATCGCGATGGTCCCGCGGTACAGCGCCATGATCTGCGCCAAGAGATCGATGGTGTCGAGGGTCATGCCGGCGTGCAGCATTGCGAAGGCGCAGACGGCGAGGAGACCCGAGGCAGCGATGGCGGGCTTGCAGGTGGTGGTGTTTATGGAGCTGATTATCGCGCCTACATGTAGGGTCTCGAGGGCGGATGTTTTGTGGGACAGTGCTGTGATTAGGTGCGGAGAGCGGTTTTGATTTTGGAGGGAAGGGGGGCGTGAGCTGGTGGTGGTAGTGAGAGATGCGAGGTGGAGTGCGGAGACGGATAGCATGGCGTGGTAGACGTAGGGGTACGAGGAGGAGTACTGGATGATGGCGTCGTGGAAGCATGGTAGGATGCCTACTTGGACCGCTGACGAGGCGAAAGCGGATGAGACCTCTGAAGTGTAATGAGATATAAGTTCCAACGTAGCTAAGTCCAAGGTTGAGGGCGTGGTGTATAACGGAGAAAATGTTGAGTTCATAGACGACTGGGCAAGGGTCATAGAAGTAGCCGGTGAGATTGGCTGTTTGGTATGAGACTCGTTGTCAAAAGGATTATATGATAACATGAGATGCCTGTAAGTACAGACTTGGTCTTTCTTTCTACATCTCATACATGAGGGTTGTTCTTGGCCACACTACTTATCGATTCAGAGGTGCTCTATGTGCCTAGGTATCTAGGTTGGTAGGTTCTGATGCGAAGTTTCACGAACCTTGACTCGCTTTGATTTGCATTGCAAACAGCCATGGTGTGAACTGCTGTGAGCCTTTCTACATGGCATCCCTTATCCATGCCATTGAAATAAAGCAATTCGGAGATACACACCTTATAGTAATATGGCTGCCTAGACATCATACCTATGACAATAAACCGTAGGAACGTTCAGTCGATCACGACCGATTAAGCCAATATACTAGGTAGGTACTAAGCAGTATGAACCCTTTTCCGTTTGCCCCTTTTCAATTCTAGACTCCAGATGTCCGATTGACCATCCAGTTGTTAACTTCATGAACATTCAAGAACCTACCTAAGGTTAGGCATGTATATCTACCTATGTATGAGACTGTCACTAGTACATATTTACGAGGTATGCATGTCTCTCCCGTGCAGCTGCAAGAACCCGCCGAACGGAGGCATTTATGTACTTTTACTAGCAAAGTAGATACAAATTGTACTTTGGATTTATGTCCCCTCCTTGCAGCAACATGCAGTATTTTATGTGATATATGATATCTTGGGGCAATGAGAAAACAGATGTCCGAGGCAACCAACGTCTGGTGGCGCACGCCTTTGTCTAACCACAGCCTCGAAGCTCATTCGTTCAATTTTGCTCAAGTGAGTCCTACATCATACATATTACGAGTACATTTATATACGTATTTCCCCTCTTTGTGAGCCGACCGGAGCAACCTCAACCTAACCCCCAACCCGCCCATTTTCTCAGATGCAAATGTATACTGTCAACTAGCAAATAGCCACACTTGTCATCCCCATTTACCTGCCTAATCTGAATAATATTCATGGAAGAGATGGGGAGAAGAAAACAAAAACATTCGAAGTTTGATCCTGTGAACTGGGATGACGACGACAAATCCAGTTCCACAGTCGCGGGCGATGAAAAGTTCATACCAACACCCAGCGAAAGCACCCAGGACGATGTCGTCGGCCTCGACAACGACACCTACCACTGCTCTCCGTATGAAAGCAGCAGCTTCCTCAGCGACGTCGTGCCGTGGCCGGGCCACACCTTCGTCATCCGGGACCTGGACTCCCACAGGATGATCACGATCGTGGACGGCGTGGTGCGGCTAAAATTTAACATAGGCGGCCAGGGCGGGTACTACTGGCAGTGTGTCGAGAAGAACGGGTGGCTCGGGTTCCGCGACCCGGTGCACGGGATGTACCTGGGGCATAACGGGCAGGGCAGGTTCATCGCCGAGGTGAAGCACCACCGCAGCTACGAGCAGTTCTGCGTGCGGAAGCATCCGAAGCAGGGCTACATCCTGCTGACGCATAACTCTCGGCTGGGAGGATGCGAGATGAAGAAAATGGCCGTCGCGGAAGATGGCGACAGACTGGTCGAGACGACAGCCGAAGGGGCTGTTTGGGGATTCGAGAGGACTACATAGGGGCTAGGTATCAGGTATTACTAGTTAGTACATTTGCCTGGATGGGTAACATTTTGCTGGATAGTTCAGTCTGACCTCCTACCTGACCCTGGAACAGATATCTGTTAGCAAAAGGGGTACTCTTGACATGTTGGACTGGTTTACCATCTACGCTCTTCTTTCTCAGCTCCATTATTGTAGAGTGAAAGCTTGTAATAGAGGTTGTTGATATGGCATTCTAACCACTAGTGAGCTGAAATGATGTATTTTAGGGTCGGAGAACAAGGTCGCTATAGGAGATGCCGACCCCCCCATAAGCTCCTTATCACTTCCAGCCTAACTAGGTCACCATATCAAACACAAAGAACAAGGTCCGAAAGAGCGTGATTGTATATTCAAAGTGAGTGGTGAGTTTCTAAGTCTAGTCTGTGTTTTGAGTACATACATCCATCTCCTTTAAGGTCGCATGGCCACTTGACAATCCACTCCACACCAACTCACTGATAACGCCTGGGCTGGCTGCCTGCCTCTCACGTTCATCCTCATGCCGTGTCCGGCCATTTTTCGAACCCATAAAGTTATGAGATTCCTGTATCCAGGCCCTAACATCTCTCTAGGATACCCCACATCGTTCTACCACTCCAGTGGAACGGAACCCCAACCTATTGCTAACCTCGGAAGGTCACGGATGGCCTTTAGATCACAGCAAAATTGCAGGCACGCAGCATCTCGATTCATGTAGGCGACATCCCTTGGAAGACCGCGTTGCGCTCGTCGTCGGCGAACGATATTCGGGAACACATGGAATTCAGCGTTGGTAAGCCGATACCCATACTGAAGACGTAGCTCCGACAGACAAAACATCTTGTCCCAGAGTTACTAGGTAGGTGCCTAGGTGTATCTACCCAATTGACAATGGGTGAATAGGCGGCATGGAACAATATTGTCGCTAAGCCATTCCAAAAGACATTGCCTTTCCTCGCCGACATACTCTTCCCCCATCTTTTCATCGGAAATAATCTTTCCATGAAACTCAGATATGTGGTAGCTTCTGCTTGAATTAGAGAACTACCTACCAAGGAGAGGACGACCCAGTAACTCCGAAGCTACATATAGGGAACCTTCTGTCGGACACAGGCTAGGTAGTAGAGGGGTTAAGGTGCCTATGAACAAAGTTATCAGGTTTTGCCGTCAAACTCGCGCGAACGCAGGATTCTCAACATGTAACCACACTAGGTACTCGTTTGCACGTCTCGTAGGCGTGAGCCAACATGAACGAGTCAATGAATCGCATGACTTGCATATGGTTCTAGCAAAAGTCCAGAGTGTAAACAAACAACATCTCTCTTGCAAAGGATCTTCCAAGTTTCTTCGAACCAGTAGGTTCGGTATTATCTACCCAACCGCACAGGTATGTTCATAGGTGATATCTCGTGATGGATGTGCGGCAGTGAGCCTACCTGTGCCACCACGATCAAGGGGCCGTGGTCGTAGGCGAGAGGCCAGCGCGTTAGTGCTTGACGAACATCTGTAAACAGAAAAGAAGAACACGGCATTCGAGAGACAACAAGCGACGTCGCATCCGAGCTCTCCGTATATTATAGCCTACATCCCAAGACATGATCGGCGATGCGCGCAAGTCGATGGCCTTATCGCCTCAAGTATTCGGTTAGCAGCTACTACGGCTTGGTAGGTGTATACATACCAAGCCATAATGATCTGCAGGTGCCAATCCCGAAAACACGTGGACCACCCTTTAATGAGAACCTTGAAGATATCAATAGTCTCCTAGATGGAGGAAACCCAAGGCATCTTGGCCCATCGATATCATCTCGTTCTAGCTGCGCGGTAGTTGAGTCGACGAGATATTGAATTTCCAAGTCTCTCTTGGCTTGCTCCGGGTGAGATGCAGGTATATGTAAGTGCTAGGTAGGTGATGATACGCTCTGACCATCATTGGGCTGCGTATTTAGTTTTCTCTTTCACGGATAGATAGGGCTTTCTCTCTTTCAATGATTCCTATGGCGTCGCGGCAAAAGGGCGGCAGTTGACGAGATAGTTCGCTGATCTACAGTTGGTGAACTGAAAGGGGAAAATACCCGCAGATATTTAGTTCGCGGACGGCACTTGGTAAATAGTAGAGTTGGTACCTACATGCGTATTAGTAGCGCGCAGCACATGCAGCCTGCACGAAAGCCTAGGTAGTTAATAACTAATCTTTATCATGGATTGCAAGCATTGATGAATGAGAATGATGTATGATGTAACTCCAGAGATAAGTGAGACCCAGATAAAATATCTCAGGTCTTGGATTTAGGTGTGATACAGATTCTTCAACGAACATTGTTTCAGTCTAGCCACACGATGGTTCACTTCGAGATACCATTTCGCGTCATAGTCCATATTTAATTGCCTATCAGTTGTATCATCCGTTGTCGCATAGGGCTGAGTAAATCTATTCCAAGAACCCCCCCCCCCCCAGCTCATAAATCAAGTACCGAAGTGCTGGACGGTCTTGCTGTAGATGCTAGTTAGGTGACCTTGATGTCCTCAAAAGATGAGAAAATCTGGTTTCCAATAAATGAATCTATGGGTCCAGGTAGTATGGATATGTCTTTAGTCACCCAACTATTTTTCCAATGGTCTTGTTTGTTTACAACGGTGGCGACGACAAGAAGAAAAATGAGGTGGTTGTTCATTCAGTGACGACAATTCAGTGTTGTATGATGTTTCCATGGGTACATTGAAAGCCATGATTGTAATTATAGAAACATGAGATCAAAGCCACATTTATCAGGTCCATGCCTACCTATATCCTGATAATTTTATTATTTTCGCCATTGTTATGATGTCGAATCCCCAGTTTATGTGCCAACGCAGCCAAGTAAAAAAAAAAAAAAAAAAAAAAAAAGGAAAATTCAAAAGTCAACAACCCTGATTATCTTTGTTGAATTAGCAGCAAATGAACGACGGTGAGAGGCTCAAGAAGCTAAAAACAACCACCAATGACCAAAAACCGATCGGCGATGATAGACAAGTCGATCATGTCATAGCCCCGGGCCCCTTGGATTTCCCGCCCACTTCTATCACCAATCCATCGCAAGCGCCTGAAAACGTGGTTGCGCGGTGGATCGGATGCCGTTTGATGAGCAATTCACCGCACGGCGCACGCCAAACCAGCACCAAGAAAAATTGGAAGCCGAAAACGAAAAAGAAGAAGAGGAAAAAAAAAAGTAGTTAGTTAACCGAGAAGCGCTCAATGAGGCCGCCACACACACCCCCGGCCAGGCCAAGCCAAACTTAACGGGCGGAGCGGACTACACTACACTACATCACAACAAGTCTACATGATGTTGTAGTGTACCTACATACAGAGTGGATTCCTCCTTCACATCCATGATGTCTGATATCCAACTGTAGGGTCTAGTTAAGCTCATTTGGCAGACGATCTGCCTCTACCCCTGACGCAACCAGTCGCAAGATAGCTAGATAGCACAGGCTTGCAGGAGTTGGCAGCGGCATTAGCTAGAGAACAGCTCGTTAGTTAGTCTGTATGTTGCGGCTCATTAGCCCGGACAAAACAGTCCACATCGCCCGCGAGCCATTGCTCATAACCTTATATCCAGCTATCTCTATACATATCTAGCATTATGTAGGTGTGTAGCCATATGGATGCTATGATGGCGTAGTGACCCAGTAGTGTACAACAACGCAAAGCTAGTGATGTAGGCGATCATGATTGATGTGTTTTTTGGTCCGAAGATTAAGTAGGTATTCTTATGCCAACGTACCTACATAGCTGGCAAGCAGACAGCTAGCTAGCTAGAGATTGGTATCCAGAAAGCAAGCCCTGCTCGATCCCGGCCAAAAAAACATCCTATCTCCCAGTTGCTGTCTTTCACCACCCCAACCACCAACCCACGACTCGGTGAGGGTTCATGGGCGATCGCAATATTCGCCAAGGGTTACCCTTCGCCCAAGTCTATGTAGATCCTCAACAGAGGTATATATTGGCCATCTCGTAGCCCTTTTCTAGCCCGTGTCTACTTTTTTGTTTATCGTTTGCCATTGTGTATCGCATCTCTCTTCCAGACTATATTCCATTCGCTCAATACCCCCTTTCATCTCATTCTACTGCATCCATAGAAAAACAGCCCGAGGTAAGTTCCACGATAAACACCGGGTTATGAATGCCCTTTTCCTCACCCTCTTCTTTTTCTTATTTTCCGGGGAATGTGTTCACTGACGTGCTCATAACCGTAGCCGTTTAATAATACCACCGGACAGCCAAGTCTTCCGTCATCACATATCAGCCAGCCATATAGAACCAGAGTTTTTTCTTTATAGATCTCCACAGAAACAAAGATATTCCAAAACAAATCAGTCACCATGAAGACCTTCAGCGCCGCCACTCTCCTCCTGGCCGCGGCCAGCTCCTACGTGTCCGCCACGCCCCTCAACTTCACAGCCCGCTCCTTCGAGAGCCAGAGCCTGAACTCCAGCGCCCTGCTCCTCCCGAGACAGGCCAACGCCACCGCCTTGACGCTCCCCAGACAGGCGAACGGAACCGAGAGCGCTGTCGTGCTCCCCAGACAGTTGAACGGGACCGACGACGCGTTGACGCTCCCCAGACAGGCGAACGGAACCGAGAGCGCTGTCGTGCTCCCCAGACAGTTGAACGGGACCGACGACGCGTTGACGCTCCCCAGACAGCTGAACAGCACCGGCATCCTGCGCGTCCGAAGCGTTGCCCTCAACCAGACCGAGCTGAACGTCGCTCGCTCCTTCGGTAAGTGCTAACTAAGCCAGCTTTCCCTAGCTGATGTAACCTACCTCACCGTGAGGAAAACCAAAGAAAAAAAAAATTGTAATCTAACCAGACGACACAGACATCACCAACGCGACCAAGACCGCGAACGAGACCGAGGCCCTTGCTGCTGGTATGTGTTACCCCCTCCCAAGTCAGAGCTTGAAAAAAAAAAAAGGTTCCCATTACTAACGTCGCCGTCAGTCATCCCCCGCAGCAACTTCCGCCGCTTCCTGAACGGAACCTCCATCTAAGGAGTTGAGTTGAGCCGGGTCGGGTCAGCCGTTGAGGCTGGAACGTGACACAAGATGCTATTTATTTCATCCCGCCAATGAACAGTGAACGGGACACACTTAGGGAGCGGGCGAAGGAAGGAAGGGGACGGAGGCCGCCGGGCTAGCGGCGTAATGAGAGACTTTGAACTGGTGTTCAGGGTGTAATAACATGTCTGGACTTCCGGGCTTGGGGGTCTAGATATGTAGATATATACTAGGTATATATAACTAATGAGGTCTTGCGGAGAGCTGCGGCTGTCCCAAGACGTATAAAATGCCCGATATCACAAACGACAACGTTGATTTGGTCTGACTTGTGTTCTGCTATTGCGAATGAGATGAGTGAGCGTATCAATGCCATGCCGTCTTGGCATCTTGCGGCTCTCTTTCGTGTCTTACCTGAGCCTGAAGGATCAATAAGCTTTTGCCTCGTAGCAGTAGGAACGATGCAAAGGTAAAGACCGTTAGATGTGCCGTTGTTAATCTAGAATCAGATTAAATAATACCTACCTATTAATCTAAAGAAGGATTGTAGCACCGCCGGGTACCTGCGTATGGTAAGAAACCTACCCAATCGGGGTATATTTCCACCCTCCTACTCGTCGTTATAGTTACACTGCTCTAAGACCTACATGCCCGATCTCTTCCGCCTATCTACCAGATACACGAACATGTCATTTAACGTCATGTCTGGTTCGGCTATTAGGCAATGTAATGCAATGAGCCGTTATGTTGCGGAACAGGCTATATTCCTTGTACCTATCGACAAGAGTCAATGTCTCAATCACACAACGTGGCACAGCAATTGAATGAATAAAATGCGTTATGTAGTTTGGGTTGTGAAGAACGTTAAAGTATTCCCTTGTTGTCGTAAAAGTAGAATATGTACAGCTGAAGGAGTCGTATCAAAACGCCCGTATTCCAAAAGTTTCTGCATCAATTGGACTGGTAATGATACCGCCATGCTTGGTAATACACAAAAACAAGAAGCGCCCAAATAATGACTGTCGTGAGGACCCCCGAGGGCCGGTCGGGAGTGCTGCTATAGCATCTCCCATTAAATTGGTATATCCAAAAAAGAAGCAATTTTCATGGTAGTTCCGAATTGAACTTCTAGAGCACCGCCCCAGTATTTACTCTATCATTCTCCCTCGTGGGGAGCTAGCTAGTGAGAGATCAGACTCTCACCGCACTTCCGCCACGTCAACTTCGCTTGGCCTCCAATCCTGCGCACTGCTCTTTGTCGAGGAGCCAAATCCAGGCATTGACGAGAACCTGTGTAGTCGCTTCTTTTGCGTTTGCGCCTGGGTTGGTGGCTCTGTGAAGCGCCTGTTAGGTTCCTCAATAATAGCGCTGTGGCGTCTGGTGCTCTCCTCATTTGTTGGCGAGTACGCATTGGTGGAGGAGCTGTTGGTAGATGAGCCCGTGTTGTTTGGTGTCTGATAGATGTATTCGCCATCAACGTAGACTGCATTGCTGATGAACGCAGATCGGCGGTGACGGTTACGCGTGTACCTCTGCTCAAGTCGAAATAGCTCGATCTTGGCTTGGATCTTCTGGATAAAGCTCGGCATGGTGACTGAAACTCAATTTCCGATTCTTAGCTTCGATTCCTGATTCGTTCGTTTTGAAGCAATCCGTCGATGAATATATAATTCCAATTATTACTATGTATGTCCCGGATGAGTTTGGTGATTAGTCAAACAGGCTAATCGTCCTCGGTCGTAATGTCGTATCTAGGGTTTCCAATGAATGTATTTTCAAATGCCACGGATGTTTCCCGTCAAGTCAAGAATGGCACGTATTTATTATGGTAGCGATCGATTGGTCTCTTCTGTTTAATGGAAGAGAGCACTATGTTGTGTAAACGAATGAAAGGGAACAGTCCTGTGTTCTCCAATTATTATGTATTCGTAGGATGCCTAGCAAAAAATAGCAATTGGAGGCCGGGTTGGGAAGAGATTTGAAGAAGTGAGTAAATAGAAGAAGTTTTATGGACAAGGGGGGGGGACAAGGACGATTTACATAGGTATTTCTAGAAAAGAGAAGATGAGGAAGGGAAGATTAGAACGAAAAGACCCAAGCTCCCTCTACTCTCCAGGCCATAAGATTAGTTAAGCCCACTTAATAACAGGCATAACAGGCTCTAACCACTCTAGTACTTTTTAGCCCATCTGACCCCCTAACTAACGCATTCAGCTCTAAGCCCGATTAGATCCACTAGAAAGGGTATCAAGTAGCATTACAGGGCAGGATGGGGCAAGACAGGGCAAGACAGGGCAAGAAAGAAGCACTATGAAGCACGAAGCTGTGTGGATGGTCGGGATAATATGGAGAATGCTGGGGTACGCTTGCAAGAATAGAGTCTTAGCGTTGGGCTTGAGCCGATACTGTCTTAGCCGCATGCACATTCCCTGATTCAACTGATAACCCCCATGTCTAATATGCGTCTAATATGCATAAGGCTTTACAGACTTTACCCGTTAAGACAGAACTTTGTAAAAGCGGCTGCATTAGTTACGTCTACCAATGCAGGGGCAACCCACGTTTCAGGCACGAAAGAATGCACACCATTCCAAGCAAGTGCTATCTTAGCAGTTAATAGTAAGTCGTAAGATGGCGTCTTTGATTGATTTTATTGGCTTTAACCGTTTAAGCCTTTATGGTAAGCAAATAGAAAACTTCGCGAACATTTAACATCGAACATTGGAGATTGGTCACATCAACCACCAGTAAAGAATCCGCGGGGTTTATTTATAATTGATAGGCTATCATTCATCAAAAGTGGTTCGCACCTATGAGACATGATAAATCTACTTTTTATTTGCTATTCAATGTTCGATTAGTCAATGAAATAAAATCAAAAGAAGGGGGGTTACGATAGCCAAGAATAACACGAGGAACTCGGGCCCGATATCTTGATGAACTCAACTACAAACACGAAGTACGGCATAGTATACTTTCATCGATTATCCCGATTTATATAACTACAACTTGCCTACGCATAAATCAGTATCAGCCAATACGGAAATAGGACCGGATTTGACCGCAAGCAGTGCCACCTACGCACAGATGGGGATTCTTATTCTGGTAGACGGTCATAGCTCATCAATTCTCATTTCAGGTGGAATGATTAAATGATTAGAAAGGGTGCCGATACGCACTCAGCATCCATGGATACCATACACGCTACGGAGTATTATCAGAGAGCTATGCGTACTACTGGGACACGATCAGCATTGATCTTTCTTGATCCGCGTCTCAGCTCAAGACAGAATTAGAGTCAGAATTAGCTGCCTGCTACCGCCCAGAGCTTCTGAATCTGTTCCGCAAGCGAGATCGACGTCGTGTACGCCTTTCTAATCTTATCATCATCCACATGCTCCCTATTCCACTCCAAAATCTCCAACGTCATCCCCTCAAGCGTCGTGAGGACACCGGAGTATCCTAATCCGCCCTGCGAGACCGGTTTCCTAGCCTCCTTATCATCCGCAATCAAATGTGTGCATATTGAAAAAATCCCAGGTTTGAGGTGTTTGATGTCACCCGTCAGCTCGGGCAGAAATCTCCGTAAGATTGGATGCTTGTAAAGCAGTTCGGCGTAGATCTCGACCACGTGGGAAAGTAGGAGCATGAAGACCGGCGGGACTCTTATGATATTAAAAGAGTGAATCGACAAGGTCGCGATCGCTGAATATAGATCATTATAGGTAATCGGTGGGTTCGGGTCCGTCACGACAAATGGTCGACCCGCGTACCTGGTGCTCTCGGGCCCTGGGAACGCTAGCACGGCCTCGTGTTGTAAATGCGCAATCGCCACATTAGCGCCATGTACGAAGCTCTGGGCAATATGCTGAACCCAGCTATATTATTATTGAATAATAACTTTTGGTAAATATTATGTGCCTTGACCTAGAAATAAATAGGGTTCGGGAGCATTAGCGTACAAACTCACCTTGGCAGGATTCTTCTGCTCAGAGGGTCGCCGACTGTGTTATCTGTCGGGTTCCCATAGACGCCATTTGCGGGACGGATGCAGCCCGTACGAAAGCTCGGGCTGCTTGCACCGCAGACCAGCCTCTCCGCCACCGCTTTCGTAGCAGGGTAATTGGCAAAATACCCCTCGCGCCTCCTTAGCGGCTCATCGAAATCCACAGTGTCCAAGATCTGCCAGTAGTGCCGTGGTTCACGGGCCCAAGGCACGACGAAGGGCTCAACAGGCCGAATGCAGATGGACCCGGACGATGTGGAGCTGAAGATATCCGCGCCAGCGCGGCGTGCAGCGTCCAGAACATTCCGCGTGCCTCGCACATTAACGGCTTCCGGGAACGCGTGCTGGAACCCAGACCGCTCGGAAGCTAGGATGACAGCCGCGGTGTGGAACACCGTTAGCGGGAGCTGCGCGACAGCCGCAGGCCAAGGACGCGTAAAAGCGGCGTCGACAGACTCCACCGACGTGATGTCGGCCTGCACGAACTCGATTTCGGTCGCCGGCCCCGTGCGCATGTCGTTCCGCTCCGTTTTCCGGATGTCGACAATGCGGATACTCTCCGGGGGGCTGCCCCTAGCCAATAGCTGGAGGACGATATAGCCGCCCACGAGACCTAAGTTTAACGCTTCAAGTTTAGACGGATGCGAATCAGGCACTAAAAGCCGGGAAGATCCACTCACCCGAACCGCCCGTCACAATGTAGCGACGGTCTAGCTTTGGCGGGAGCTTATCCGTGTAGTCGATTGGCTCGTCTTTTAACTTTTGGTACATTTCTTTGAGCTGATCTGGCGTCCAGCGTGGACCCGAACGCTTCCGCACCTCGTCCGGTGTTCGACTAAGTAGTTGGTTCACTCGGAACAGGTAGACTATTAGAATCGCTAAAGCGCTCCATAGGAGTTTGGATACCCACTCAGCGCCGAACATGACGGTGCTGGCGCGTGACAGGATGCCAGGGCTAATGTGCAAAGATTGAGCAAGCAGTGTTGAATTGTGCACCCGCTAACACTGAAGTCCAACTTGTCACCGAACGAGCAGGCGAGTTATTAATTTTGGAGTCTACGAGAAAGAAATAATACAATTAAGCGAATAAGTATTAAATAACCGAGGTTAGTTATATGCTAAGCTAATGTGAGTCTTGAATGACTGAGCACCAACAGTCCAACACCTGCATTAATCCTCACATCCCTTGCCTCCTAACCTCCCATCTACCCAAAATTAGATACGTCGCATGCATTCATCGCAGAGCCTTCCAATAATCCAATCTTCCACCCTCCCTCCCATCCAGTTACCACCCCCCCCTCACAACCTCCCATCCACCATCGCCTTCTGCAACCACTCACACCTGCCCCCCCTCAAATCATCCTCCCCCTCCCTGAACCCCCCATCCCCCAACTCCAACACCCTCGCCCCCTCCCCATACACCGGGAACTGCAGCCCCGCCCCCTCCGCATTCGGGCTCCCCGTCATCGCAAAACTCACAATATAATCCTGCAGCTGGACCGCGAGCGCGCCGTCGACGGGCACCCCGTTTTCCAGCGTCGTCGTGTCGCCGTTGAAGAAGACGTACGGCACGTCGCCGGCGTGCCAGCCGGGCGTGTACGAGAAGACGTACGCGTACGCCGAGCCGCTGCCGTGCGCGAGCGCCAGCAGCCGTGCCGTGCACGCGAAGTTGATCTCTGCGACGAGACGCGCGGCGCGGCCGAACTCGGTGGTCCAGGGGTAGGCGCCCGTCAGCACGTCGGGGTACAGGGCCGGGTCCGAGAGGAGAGTCTCGGTCGTCGTGTTTGAGGCTTCCGGGAAGGCGGACTGCACGTAGGCAAGGACGTCGGCGGCGGTGGTGATGTTGGGAGGCATGAAGGGGATCGATTCGTTGGATGTGTGGCTTATGAGCAGCTGATCGTTACAGTTAATACTACCTAACCGCTAATCTTCGTTTGTGGATGGGATTATCTTTTTCGCGTAGGTTGTAAAAAAAAAAGAGGAAGGGGGAGGGGGGGGATGCGAATAGCGGATCTAGGTAGGTACTCACATTGACATTGCGATCGAACTTCCCCTCGTAGAGCAGGACCTGCGGTATCGCGGGGACAAAAGACCCATCGGGACCAGGACCGAAGCCAAAAGTGCCGACGGGCGCTGAGCCCACGGCACCTCGATTGATCGCAATCAGCTGTTCGGTTGGCAACCCACGCAGCGCCGCCACGCCCTTGACATCTGACCCGACCTGCGTAGAGGCTTCTGCCAGCGCGTGCGCGTAACTCGCGTCAAGGTCGATGTTGAACTGGAAAGCGGGCGACTGCGGGATCGCGGCGCGGAAAGGCGCGGGTTGTTTCCCGCCGTACGCCGTGATCTGGTGCACGACGCTCGAAGCGCCCGCGCTCTCGCCCATGGCCGTGACTTTCTCGGCGCTACCGCCAAACAGGTGGATGTACTGCTGCACCCATTCCAGGGCGAGCCGTTGGTCATGGAGCCCTAGGTTCGGGGTTACGTCGTCCCCTGCTAGCCACCCGAACATGCCCAGACGGTAGTTGACTGTGACGATGATGAGCCCGTCCTCGCCATTGCGGCGCGATCTAGAGATGAGGCCTGCGGGGTTGCCGAAGAAGGTCTTGGAGCCAAAGGTAAAGCCGCCCCCGTGTATCCACACCAGGACCGGCGCTGTGAGACGCACAGTTTGTTAGTGACCTACAACTACAGAGAAATGGACATGTCTCGAGATAGGCAAAGCGTGTGCTTACCTTCAGCCTCAGCCCCCCGATTAAAGATATCCGTCGGCACGTAGACATCCAACACGAGGCAAGCTTCCGTCTGGCCTGTCTGGTTGTTAAGTAACGCAGCCATGGTTGCTGGGTCGACTCCGCTGTGCGCTGCCATGTTGTTGATGACCCATTGCGGATACGCCTGCGGGCAGATCACGATGCTGCCCTCGTCTGTCGTTCCATTGTTGATTCCTGAGCCTGGGTCTTTGATAGCGACGGGCTTCTGGAAGCGTAGGTCGCCAAGTGGCTGCTCCGCATAGGGGATGTTGTTGAAGATGTAGTAGTTGCCGGTGGCCTAATCTCGGTTTGTTGGCTTAGTATATGAAGAGGTATTCCGAATGTTCTGAAACGAAATCAAGTCGAAGTGTTGTTCTACTAGGTAGGTAAGAAAGGGGCAACGCACATTAACCACACCCTCATGAACCTCATACCCCAAATCCACAATCGGCACCTCCAACTGCCTCTTCTCATTGCGTCCGAGGCCTATCGAAATAGCGCTGGCGCAGGCTGCCAAGCCAAAAACCAAAACAGACAGTATCTTCGAGTTCGCCATCATATTTATCTACCTCTTGCCAAGCACAATCTATATGTCACCACGAGCGGGGAGTAGAAGAAAAGGCCAAGACATCGTTGGTGGTCCATTAAAAATTATACTTGGCGCACGAGCAGGCGTAGAGTTGGTGACTCGGTGCGCCAATAGACATTTTGTTTTTTTTTTCTGCTCCAAACATGGCTTCCGTGCACAGACGTAGGTAGGTAGATCGCCTCCAGCTGCGCGTAGGTATGGATCTGGATCTCACGGACATAAGCGTGCCGGCTAGCTGTCGAAGATCAGCCAGTGCTCTCTTGACGCAAACTCCACGGCGGCATGGGAAAGCGGAAATTTCATCGCTCGAAACCCGTGATCCGTAACCCGTTTGATATATCATATCTACACTAACTACTTACCTACCTACGTTTCCAGGAGCTGAATCAATTGTTACGCGGCTCAAAAGACGCGGGTCCCAAGTCCAGGTTCCAGGCTTTCCCTCGCAAAGGTGCGCATAGAGGAGAGGGCCCAAATAGGCAGGTTTATACACAAATACGAGGTAAAGGCTGAGAATCGACACGCACTTAGCTTTTCCACGGAAGCTCCACGGAAGCTCTATACTGCATAAATATTGTGTAATTGTAGGTATGTAGGTATCTACGAAACTCAATACGAAGTCTCATGTAACCCACTTTAGGTATCCATCCAATGTTTACGAAAGGGAGAGCTTGGGAAGCTTTAAATGCTTTAACTACTGGAGAGAGAAAACCATAGAATTGATGCTGTGTTAATTAGGGGTAGCTACCTGGTAAGTAAATTCACGCAAGGACCAAGCTCACTGAACCTAATCGGCGATTATTATTTTCCATCGGATCGAACTTTTTCGGTTTCGAGACGATCATCGTTGCTATTTTTAACTGCCCAGGTAACTAGGTGGTAGGCATCTTTTAGAATTCACCAAAGCCAGGTTCCTCGAGGGATCATAGCTATCCATGACAACATTATGGAAGCACGGTCCCTTAACCAATTCATAAGGCCACAGCCTTTAACAGAACCTATTACTGTCTCAAGTAACCACCCGGACAGTACTATGCAAGTATGTAGGTAGGTACAGCAATTCATCATGGCTGAGGTTGCTTGCTTCCCTCCTTTACTTCAGCATCCGCGGTACTCTCAATCACCCCTTCGATGTCGCCGTCAGAATTGAACAGCGTTTCTTGGGCTGCAAAAGCAAAGGTCAGCTACTATCCAAGAAAGAAAAGTATGGATTATATTTGAAAGGAGTAAATAATTAGACTTACCACTCCAGAGCTCCGAGTAAAGGCCTCCGCGATCGATCAGCTCCTTATGGGTTCCTTGCTCCGCGACTCTACCCTCTCTCAGCACGATGATCAAGTCAGCGTCGTAAATAGTTCGCAAGCGATGGGCTACGAAGACGCTTGTTCGCGACTTTTCGCGGAGAATACTGTTAATATTCTGCATCAGGGCCTGCTCCGTATGGGTATCGAGCGCGCTCGTCGCCTCGTCGAAGAACAATAGCGGTGGGTCCTTGAGCAGCAGTCTGGAGACCGCGAGACGTTGCTTCTCTCCACCACTGATCATCATGCCTCTCTCGCCCACTTTGGTAGAGTATCCGGCCGGCCAGCTCGAGATAATGTCGTGGATGCGCGCACGCTTAGTGGCGGATATAACCTTGGATTCGGGAGCTGACAAATCGCCATATCGGATGTTGTGCTCGACGGTGTCGTTGAATAAGGGAGTATCTTGTGGAACGACACCAATTGACTTTCGCAGTGACTCCAATGTAACGTGACGAATGTCTTGGTCATCGATGAGGATGCGGCCATTCTCGACGTCATAGTATCGGAAGAGTAGTCTCAAAATCGTAGACTTTCCACATCCACTGGGGCCTACGATCGCGACCTTCTTCCCAGCAGGGATAGTCATCGAGAGATCCCGAAGAATTGGGCGCTCGGCGTTATATCCGAAATTGACGTTCTGAAATTTGATCTCACCACCTTTGGCTAAATGCAGCGCCTTCGCGTCGGGGAGCTCCTTGATAGAAACATTCACTTTCTGTAGGTTGAAGAGTGTTTCCATGTCCAAAAGGGACTGTCTAAGCTCGCGATACACGGAACCGAGAAAGTTCAATGGGACCGACAACTGAAAGACTAGTTGGTTGACCATCACAAGGTCGCCAACTGTCAAGGAACCACTGGCGACACCGTTGGCGGCGAGATACATCATGGCCGTTAGTGCGCCAGAAAATATTATGTTCTGGCCGCTGTTGAGTAAAGCTAGGGAGGTGGCGATCTTGATGGAGCTTTTTTCGTACTCCTGTAGTGCCTTGTCGTATCGAGCCACCTCGAACTTCTCATTGTTGAAATACTTGACGGCTTCGTAGTTGATCAAGGAGTCCACTGCTACGGTTGAAGCTTTGTTGTCTGCAGCATTGGCTTGTCTTCGGAACTTGGTTCTCCAGGATGTGGTCCAGATCGTAAATGCGGTATACGCAGTCATAGTGACGGCGGTAATGACAGCATACTTTGCGCCATATTGCCAAGTGAGAATCCCACAAACCATGCCAATCTCCAGTGCCGTAGGGAAAATGTGAAATACCATGCTCGTAAGCAGGAAACTGATGCCTTTCGTACCGCGGTCGATAGCTCTAGTCAATCCACCGGTCTGCTTCGTGAGATGAAAGTTTAGATCCAGGCGCAGTAGATGGTCAAAGACGTTACAGGCTACTTTTCGGATCGCCTTTTGAGCGACCGAGGCGAAGACGGCGTTTCGTAGTTCTTGGAATAGAGTAGCTCCTATCCTCGTCGCACCGTACGCGATGATCATGCTTCCGGCGATCATGGCAGCAGTGCCACCCGTAGCTCCCACGTCGATGTTCATGGCGTCTACAATGCTCTTGAAGTAGAAGGGAACTTGGACATTCAACACCTTGGCGCCAACGAGTAGTATAACTGCCAACGACACGCGCAACTTAGTGTTGAGGCTGTCCTTGGGCCATAGATAATGTGCCATCTCTTTCATGATTGCCCAATCCGCCTTGCGCTGCTCCTGAGCATTCTTGTCAATGGCGGCAAGGGGATCTTTCGGGGTGGCGGCGGCTGGCTTCTTCGAGGCATTGGAGCTGAACTTGGCTATATTATGATCCGTCTTCAAGGCTGGAGTTAAGGCTTGAGGTAAACCTAGGTGAGGTCTTCGCAGGGTCAATTGGAGGGAGGTAGTGAAGACTCGGGTGGTGGTGGTGGTGGTGGTGGTGGTATGCGACAACGAGAGCCATGGGCTTAGTTGGGGCCGATTCAAGCCGAGACAGCTCGGGCTTGGGCCGGCTGCCCGAGTTATATTTCGGACAATCATGGCTATGTGCTTGGGAAGGTGGTCATGGTTGGTGAGTAGTGCGAGTAATAAGTGACTGTGCTATACTACTCGGGTCTTGCGGGAGGAGAAGCTTTGGTAGGTTACGCGACAATGATTTTCAAGGGATTAATGACTTCCAAGATTCGTAGGTGGGTACTTGGAGGTATGCCTAGGTTAAATACTGATAATGATAGTTACTATAATCATAACCCAAAGAATAACACCTAACCAAAGGGAAGAATCAAGGAGGAAAGGGGTGATTTTATTTTTACAGACGACGAGGTAAGAGATACGTATGGAATAGGATATGAAAGATGTAGATGTATGTATGGAAGAAGTATATTACCCTAGGTATCCATGGATGACATTGCATGTAAGTATTGTACAATGCCGACACAGGTACCCATAAGTTCAGATGGAGGGGTTCTACGTCAGATGCCGCAAGCATTGCGCGACACGCCCAGCTAAATTGCCTCAAGCTAATTACTGTAAGAAGACTAGTTGCACCACATGTGTAACAGCAATGGCACTGCATTGGCGCATGCCTTAGCGCCGAGTCCGATTTTCAAATCTCCAAAGTCTTTCTTTATCTCCGAATCGCGTGCTTAATCCCGTGCTTCTTCAATTTAGTCTTTTGTACTCTGTACCTAATCTTTTCTTTTCTTTCCTTATGTATTTTCCCTTTCCAAAGTTTCCACATTATATAGTACAGTAGTTGTACCTCACTCAACATCACCCCCCGGCGATGAAAGCCTGTATCCAACCAACGTGATAGGCTGACCCAGCCTATGCTCTTGCGTGTCTGGCTCCGTCCATTCTGCAAATTGGACGAATCCGCTCTTCTCCAGGACCATCCGGCTTGCTATGTTCTGCGCATCCGCGTTGGCAATGATCTGTTCCACGCCCACCACTGCGTTCTGCATGCATGCTTCAGGGGAAATCTCCTCGATGGTGGCACGACGACGTCTAGGTAAGGCCCACCAAACCGCGAGGAACGCTTGGAGGAATTCAGTCGCGTACCCTTTCCCCCAGAACTCCTTGCGAAACTTATACCCGATTTCTGGCCAGCTGTAAGGCGAGGATGCGAGGTTGTGGACACCGCCTTCCCCGATCAGCTCGCCTGTTGCCGCGAGGAAAACGCCGAATAGGAATGTGTCGCTGTCGTGGGGTGGTAGGAACCCCTGCAAGGCTGCGCGAGACTCCTCGATGTCCCGGTCAGGCCTGCCAAGGCTAGTGCCTGTCATGGCTTCTGGCTGTGAGCGAAGCTCGTGGAGAGCCTGGAGGTCATTCTCCTGCAAAGGTCGAATCACTAGTCGCTCTGTTCTGATTGGTTCACGCTGTGAGTTTGGCGGTAGTGGTTCGCATGGGAACGTGGCCGCGATCGAAGTCCATGGGGTTTCCATTGATGGCCGCTGCAATTCTATTTCCCCTTCTAAAATACCCATCTGGAGTATGCTTTCGCGCAGTTCTGATGAAAGTTGGTATGATCAATGCCTTCTAACTAATGTAGTTGAGCTTCGAATCTGCTCCTGTGTGTCTCCAAGATGACTCACCTGACCGGGTCGACCCTACACACATGCAGTTGGTAGCATGTACTAGGTATGCAGGTACCGATATAGTACGGGCGTACAAGTGATCTACGCACTAACCGGCAACCCGTAAGGAGATAAGTGTTGTGCGATCACTAATCAGTGCTATTCCGGGAAAGTTTGACTCACGCCGGAAGTACATAATACACTGACTGAGTTACGTAATCAGCACCCTGGTACAATGGCTAAGTACTACTAGTAGTACATAAGACGAATTTAATCTAGATAGTTGCGGTTAATATTGTCGACCAGAATCCCCTTTTTCATTTAATGCTTAGCTGTTTTGCTAAAATAGGTAGAGGTAACGAACAGGGGGCCCGTTACTGCTTGTGGTTACGAGGGCGAACGAAGGAAGGATAACTAATAGTGGTTGCATGCCTAGGGGTAGGGTTAGGGTTAGGGTCTAGATCAATATCATTAAATACCTAGGTACGTAAAAAGAAATATCCATACATGTATAAACGGGAGGTAAACTCCTCGCCGCTCTAGTAGCGTGTATCCTCCGCACTACCTACTAATCCAAAAATGCCGGTGACTTCAAACGCTCCACAACATCCCTTGCTGACATGCGGTTCCCTGGCTCGTACGCGAATATCTCACGAAGAAGGCAAACGTACTCCCCCCGCCGACCCGTGGTAAGATGTGGCGCCTCATCAGCAAGCCGGCCGACCAGCGACTTCTCGGGAGGCTTATCTTCGAACCAACACTCCAATTCTGCCATGCCCTGCTCCTGTCCCATTTCCCCTTTCCCCGTTCCCTGTAGCCGTACTTGTTGAAATCGAAACGCCCCTTCCAGTGCAGAGGCAACGGACTGAGATAGCTCACCACGTACGTTTTCATTGAGTTGCGTAAACTCGGGTTATTGTGCACGACCATCCGGATGCCTCTTGTATTCCAGGTTGATATTGAATTCTCCAAAGAGGTATATTTCGAGCCTACATTTCTAAAACCCTTATTTGTAGTCTAATTCCCCTAGGTTTGGTGGGTAGATGCCCACTAAATTATATCCAGTATTCCTCTTCTACACTTCTACCTACCGTACCATGGCCCGACTCAACAGCACCATTTCCAGATGGCCACTGCCGAGTACTATTCGAGCCTACCGAGTCAATGGTGTTATCGCCGTTGTTGACACTTACCTTGACAGGCCTCGGGCTGTGGTACACATTTACAATGGGGACAGCTGTCGCCGTTGCGATTTCGTCAACAATAACACTTTCATCTTCATCGATAGAGCCAACGGTAAATCTAGAGTCGGCATCGTCCTCCTCGTGTTGAAGCTGGTCTTGCTTCTTCTCTTCGATTGATTGTCTGCCGTGGCCTACGCTGAGAGTTTTGTCAGACTCAGGGGTCATGCGGTGAGACAGGGCCACCTCGTTCGCCGTACCTGTCTCGGAAGCCTCCGTCGTGGTCTGCCAGTACTTGAGCTCATACTCCCAATCTACGGGTCTGAAAGTGACAGGCATGGTGGTAGTGGAAGCCGGGCTCACGGCTCGAGGAGCGCGGCCGCGCGAGGCGTGAGAGGTAACGTTTCGTCTGGTGTAGGTTTTGGATAGTTTGTCCGCCTCCTTCTGCCTGCGACGAGCTATGCTGAACTTGTGGCACTGCATTATAGAAAGCGATATGAGCATCGTTGCAAGCATACTAACGACGACAATACCTGCAATAACGCCGGGACTCAGCTGATCCGAATCGTCTCTGCGGATCATGTGGAAGATTTCGTGATGCGAGCTACGGTGAGACGCGGTATCTAGTATCGTGGAGGCAGCATTGAAACGTGCAACGTAGGCTGCCATGTCTGATTCGGTTCAGATGCTGTTTTACTTACTCTAGTTGATATAGGGGGTAATGATGTTTACCTTTGCACAATTGGAAGGGAGTCTGCTCGCCACACGTTCGACATATCTATCGTAATTATATGTGCCGCTAGGCTTTATTGTTTTCCGGTATCCTTTATCACCAACCTTTGTCCTTGCGCTATTGTTCAACATAACAATAGCCGTCACAATACTATGGCCTGAATCAAGGCCGGACCCTCCGTTCCTTATTCAAACTGAATGGAATGATGGCCGAATGTACTCTGCTTTTCAGACAAGGCAAATCTTAACAACTCCATGCCCTTTTGGGTAACGTGGCCTATCAGCCCTGCTTAGGGGTTACTCATCTTTGTTCACTCCAACTATCCGTTTAGCTTCGTCCTAGCCAATTGAGAATTGCTTTAGTTGTAGCTGAGATGACCGGAAATGGCCTCCACGGTGACCGAAAATACGTCTTTATCCAAAATTCACAATGCCACCATAGCACTTCTTGGAATTCCCATACACTAGGTACCTTTCTTCCGTACCTAGTCTCTTTGGCTGTTGCAGATTGAAACGTGTCACCTCCTTCCTCTCCCTCACTTAACTTTGGTATTTTGTGTTGGTACTATGGTTGTTCGCATCTGATATATTCATACCTATGCATAATACAGTTGTGCTTTTGAACATCTTTCTCGCCCTTGCTTCTTTCAAAGAAACTAAGTCACACAATATGAACCGAACAAAAACAAGGAGCTCGGCAAAGGCACATAGAGATGCCGCTATTAAACGTGCCCAACTGCGAGGACTTGCAACAGATTGGTGAAATGTGAATGGATATTACGTGTAAAGACTAAGTTGCATTGTGACTAGGTAGGTAGCCATCAAGACTTGTAAAAAACAAACCCAAACTAGGTATCAATTATATATAGACTAGGCAAGTTTATGTTTTAATTGAAATTTGAGGAAGAGCATGTTGAAGATAGATACATAAGGTAAGCAAGGGGTTACATCAAAGAAGAAGTAGGCATAAGCCACAGCTGCCACACGATGAGGCAACATCTCCAGCCAACTGCCAAGGCTCCCCCTGAATTTCTTCCCATCCTTCCAAGTAGCTCTCCCAGTACCCTTGTATACCGTCTCATTCATTGCCATGGCTGAAGCTCAGAGGCCACCCCCTCTTACAAACCCCGCTGAAAATATTCATGACGTCGAGGGTGTCTGGATGTACAAGCCTGGTGGATTACACCCCGTCGATATCGGCGACGTACCTAATAGGCACCGATAACCGCATCGCCCAAATGTGATAGAAAGTCTGAAAGCATCACCAAATGCGACATGATTTAAGTCGGATATAGCCTCGACTCTAAATAAAAACTTCGTAAGTCAGTATCAAATCTAATGCAAGTAGACGCAACCCGCACCCAAACACCGAACATGAATCACCATGTCAGGAGGTGTCAGGCACGAGAGAATCGTAAAGTCGTATATCATCTAGGTAGGCACTACTATGTAGGTAGGTATTAGGTAGGTATTAAAACTCTGGCTGATCTAGTTTATCAGCCGCACGTCTGATCTTCTTGGAAACATCCTCGATCTAAAGCGATTTCGATTAGTTAGTTCGGTTACCATCAGGAGAAACATGACCGCGAAAGAAAACGGGGCGAGAACTCAGAGGTTCACTCACGTGTTCGAATGAGAAGATGGAGAAGTGGTGGCCTTCTACTTCAACAACTTCAATGATAAAGTTGCCGTGCTTCTCATTGTACTCTTCCCAACCGATGAGAGGGTATTCTCTGACATAGTCGACGAAGGTCTGGGAAGGGTCGCGGCTGACAAACTCCTTGGCGCGTAAGAGGATTGTTGGCGGAACTTTCAAGCCATCTTCCCACTGCGGCATGTCCCACGACTGCACCATCATGCGGGCATGTGTCATGTTCAGGTTCACCTTGTCCTTGAGCTTCATAGCTTTAGATTCCATGGATGATAGGAACACAGGTTCGGGGGCGGGAGGTCCGCGTAAGATCTCCAACTGGGTGGGAAAGACTGTGTCGATGAAGATCATACCCAAAACTCGAAATTGAGGAGCTGCCGGACTACCCGTGCGGCTGCTCTTGTCACTGCTGCCAGCATCACTACCGCATGTGATACTCCCGTTTCGCCCCGCTACAGCAATCTGGTGGGCCATCTCCAGGGAGAGGTGTCCCCCCAACGACCAACCTAGAGAAACCTCTTTAACATCGTGAAACGCAGACAGGATACATTATGGGGAATAGTGCTACTCTGGAAAGAGGTTAGGGAGAAGACTTGAAGTTACTTACCACCCAAAATGATATCACCACCTTCGGGCATGACTCTGGATATGAGGTTGATGTAATGAGCGGCCATCTCGGGGATTCCGCCCTCCCACCAACCGCCGGCATGAAGCTTGGCGTTTTCGACGCCCCAGAGCGGACGGTCGAGCGGGTCTAGCAAATGGTAGCTAAAATTGGTACCGCCGCCATCGTGGACGAGGAACAGCGGGGCGCGGGGTTGTTGTAACATCCACATCGCGGGGCCGCGAGGGCCTTCGTGGATGAGAACCGGGTTCTCCGATGTGTATGCTGACATGGTTCCGAGCTTATATCCTCATAAAAAATGACGATGAAACGAATAAGATGAGAAAATGAGTGACTGAGTGAGTTGAGCGAGAGATTTGCGACTCGATATCGAATGCGTGGGTAAGGGTTCAATGAATGTATGTACAAAAAAGCCCAAATTATCGACGTGAACACTCGTAATTTCCAAGATTCTTCTCCGTCTACTCGAGGCCGAGATTGAGATCTTGTTACGGAGACCTTATCACGCGCATTGTCTGTCTCGTTGTGTTGAGCTCAGTTTGCGCCTGTAGGTAGGCGCAGCTAGTGGCCTAAGAAGGTCGTTGGGTTGCAATGATGTTGCTACGATGTTAACTAGCTCTGTCTTTAAAAATTACCGACAACGGGGCTATCTTGTAATTTAAGAGAAATAATGCGGCTTTTTAGGAAATCATGAAAAGGTGAAGCTTTTAATATAGAGGCGATCTGATTAGAATAGTACCTGCCTGATAGGTCGGTATATGTACAAATTACAACATCAGGTGAATACCTAGTATATGTAAGATTTGAAAGTCATAGGGCACTAAACTATACGTATAGTCAATCATTATACGGTATTTATTCATACATACCGAATTATACCATTATACCCATACTAAAGTGGTATAATATACCGTATAGTAAATTATCACATACAAACCTTCCATTTTTCATCTTTTTACCATTAAATCCAAAGCTTTCCTTGCTTTATTTCTTATTTTATCTCGATTATGTAATAAAGTGTTTGTTTACTTATTTATTTACTAATATTTTTGAAAACTTTTTCGAGATTTTTTGAAATTTATTACAATTAATGCTGAAAGTTAAGGGAAAATATCGAAGATATATATATGAAATGTGAATAACCCCGTTATTTGTGGGCCCGGAAAGGGTTCTTCCGTTCCGCTATACGTATAACGAATCATTATACCGTGTAAATACATGTATCATACGTATAATACTTATACGTATAATAAAATTTCGTGCCCTAGAAAGTCAGGACGTGCAGGTACTACTGGGTACTAGGTAGTTAACTGGAATGGATACCATGCATGTACCTAGTACGAATCGGAAATTCAATGTTGCTGATGACATCAAGTGAGACTGCGGCATTGTAACGGTATGCACCTGCAATATACGTGTACAGTGGTAGATACCTACATATGTAGGGTAAACATAACACCGTCCGATGTACTGGATACAAGTACATGTACTAGCTAATGTACAGCCCACTTTATCCAGTCCTTCGGGTCTTCAATAATCCAACGCTTGAAGGTTGATTGATCAATTAGACATCACTTCTTCAAATCTTCCCATCAGCTACCAATTTCAACACTTTCACCCTTTTTACCACCTTCACATCCAGATGTCATCATCACTTAGTTTTCAATAAGCATACCTTCATATCTATGTAGAAGCCGCTCAGTACTCCTAACATGTGTAACTTCTCACTACCTACTCTCGGCACCTATTGATCCGACCTTCATACAACTGCTCAACCCAGCGGTATGCTTTGCTGCACAAGAGACGCGCCTGAATATGTTGTGGAACAATGCTGGCAATGGGTGCATGAATCCAAAGGCACTATCCCTGTCATGTACGATGATTATGGGGCCTTTACGTAAGGGAGGTATCTATGGAAATGAGGACTAACTGTTTTGTGTGTTTCTGAAGGCGCTCGTTATATATGAGGTTAAGTATGGCGCCTGTTTGCTCTGCTCCGATCTGTCTTTCGAAGTGAGCGAGCATTCTAACGGTGCATACATCTGGTCGTGGGATCAAATCAATCCAACTACACCCTGATATATTGATTGCACCGTTAGAAGCCATAGCCATTGCGCTCTAGGACTTGTAGGGGAATGAATAACTAACACCAGCATGTTTAAACTCGGGTGGAGTATCTGGAGAATATTCAATACTGCATCAAATACTGCATTATTGTATCAGCACATGATGCTACAAACCTCGGTAAGGCGACGGTTTGCTCTGCGACGCCCAACTTGAGCCCGAAATCAGCCCCAGGAGGCTTGCGTGGCTTTCCACGGCGGGTAGCCACTTCAAGCTGCAGGTAAGTTGCGCGTATAACGTCTCCCTGTAGCCGACAGTCCATTCTCATTATGTGACCCCGATCAAACCATTCTCGCCTTCCCTACAATTGTGAAAAGTCTGCACTTGGACCGATCTAAGATGATTACTCTTGCCTCCCTAAAGCGGGCTCTTCGACAGAAAGCCGCCGAAACGGTATCGTCCCCGACACAGCCTCTATCTGATACACAGTATCGCGCTGGATTTGACATCTTGGTGCGGAGCTCAGGCTGGGCGATCTACGAAGACTTTGTTATTCCGCAACTGGTTCAGCTGCTAACCCCCCTCTTCAACTCGCGAATCCGAATATCGGTGCTAGAAATTGAACCTGGTCCACAAAGCATCCTCGAATATTCGCCTGTCCATTTGAGACGGAAGGTCAGTGAATACACTGCATATGAGCCTAACGCTTCATTTGCCGCAAGCCTGTACAAGTGGATTTCTTCTACCTCGGATACGGGGTCCCGGCTGCCTTGTCTAGATAGCCAACCGAAAATCCATCAAGTCCCGTTTAGACCGGACAGTCACACGAGGAGCAACACCAGCACAAGTACCAGTGATCGGGACGAGAAATTCGATGTCATCATATTTTCTCGCGGTATGGACTATATGAACCCCAAACACAAATTCGTTGAACGTGCGTTGGAGATGCTTGTTTCAGAAGGTGGGATGGTGGTAGTTTTTCATAGCGAAGAATATCTACACCTCGAAGGCTTAGCGTGCCATCGGACAGCTTCTTTCCCAACTGGGGTTATTCGAGTGGTAGATAACGGCGAGGTATTAGATAATTTCGCTTCCTTCGTTGCCGGGTTTACCCTGCCGGCTGTCGACGAAGACAGGAACATCCGTTTTAAGTGGCGTGGGGTGTGTCGAGACTTGGGCCGTCATGAAGAAGCTTACCCGGGTCATCTCTTGTTCAGCTCTCCCACTGTCATGGTAGCCTTTAACCAGTATGCAACTTCGTTGCCGAAGCTGACGGCCCAAGTGCCATTGGTAAAGGGGGGCGTGACGATGAAAAGTCGGGAGGGTCGTCTTCATCACCCTGCCGCCACTGTTAGACCAACAGAGATTCAGCATGTTCAACAGTGCGTTGAATGGGCTCTAAAACATGGGCTCGGCCTGACCGTTATCGGTGGAGGCCACAGCGGCCACGGTATTTGGCCCAACGTTGTGTCGGTCGATATGAGCGCCTTTGATCAAATACACATCGTCACCGCCGAAGAAGAGCATGGAAAATCTCGTCCCAGCTGCGCTTTCTGGGCCGTCGTAGGGGCAGGTTGTAAAACGGGGGATATCGTTTGCAAAACTATGGAAGCTGGTTTGACAGTACCCATGGGGACCCGTCCAAGCGTCGGGGCGGGACTATGGCTGCAAGGCGGCATAGGGCACCTTACCCGGCGGCACGGGCTGACGTGTGATGCCATTATCGGTGCCGTAATCGTTAGCGTCAACTCCGGCCAGGTCCTCTGTGTTGGTTGTGTACCAAGCCAACACCAGCCTCCCGGTGCCGTACGCCTAGATAACGAAGCAGAATTGTTATGGGCGATAAAGGGCGCCGGGACCAACTTTGGCATCGTGATTGGTTTGATTTTTAAGACTTACGAGGTTCTGGACTATTTGGTTCACACTTGGACTCTCCCGCTGCACGACAACGACGAAGCACGGGACAAGCTCTATAGATACGATGAAATTATCACCAAATGCCTTGTCCAGAGCTACTCTACGGACATTTATTTACACGGGGACAAGAATCAGTTCTTTCTTAACGTGACTATCCTCGAACCTTTCACAACTAGTTCCATGATTGAAGAATCCATCATTCCGTCTTTATCATCTCTAGATGCAATTTTAGGGTTAAGACACAGCGATGCGGTGAGAGACGGCCTTGGCTTAGTTGACGATGAAAAGTATAGACCCACAATGCCAGGTGACCATAGCGGCGTCAAGACTTCCTCATTCAAGCGATGTTTATTTTTATACTCCTTCGAGGACAGGGATATCGTCGACTCATTATTGACGGCTTTTACGACTCGTCCCTCGCCACTCTGCTACCTCCATTTGATGCGAACTGATGGAACAATTGGCGATGTGATGGCCGATGCTACTGCGTTCGGCTGTCGAGATTGGTGCTATGCCTGTGTAGTAACGGGTGTCTGGCCTCGTGGCCAAGATGGGACTGAGGTCTGTCGAGCTGCCATACAATGGGTTTACGAGGTTACCGGGGACTTACTACCCTTCAGCAGTGGAGCTTACGGTGCTGACCTTGGGCCAGATCCCAGGGATGCAGCATTGGCGGCCAAAGCCTTTGGGCCGAACTGGCTGCGCTTGGCCCGTCTCAAACACACCATGGACCCATGCAATGTATTAGCTTACACCTGCCCACTCCCGAAAGCACCGATGGGACCGAAACTCATACTTCTCGTCACGGGCGAAAGCTGTGCCGGCAAGGACCATTGCGCCGGTATTTGGGTTTTCGCATTCATTTCATGCACCAACAAAGCTCTCTCGGCACGTTCAGTCAGTATCAGTGATGAGACAAAGCGGGAATACGCAGCAGCTACCAGCGCTGACATAAATCGCCTACTGCGGGACCGTACCTACAAAGAGCAACACCGGCCAGCATTGACAGCGTTTTTTCAGGACCAGGTACGGCGACGACCTCGGCTGCCAGAAGAACATTTTTTGAGTGCGGTGTACGGCGCCCTAGATGTAGATGTGTTGCTAATCACTGGTATGAGAGACGAGGCGCCGGTTGCAAACTTTTCGCATCTGGTGCCGGATAGCAGAGTGCTCGAGGTTCGCGTCGAAGCCAGCTACGTGACGCGGTGGCTTCGCCGGGGAAGTTACGGCCATGGCCATGCCAACAGCCCCAGCAGAAATGAAGAGCCGAGCATGAAGGCTCTAGATTGCCTCCCCAGCCTTGTATTCAACAACGAAAACAACGATATAACCGGAAATAGAGCTGCAGTAGCGTTCGCCGAACGCCGCCTGCTCCCCCTTTTCCACGAGGATCTGCAAAGGCTCGCCAACATGGTTCGCTCGGTCCCTAGCTTCCCGCGCCCGGGTATCGACTTCCAGCACGTTCTCGACATCTCGCAGCAGCGTGGCGGGCTAGCGCTGTGCACGTCTCTACTGCAAACGCACTTCACCGGCGACTGGACCCAGGTCGATGTAGTGGCCTGCTGCGAGACCGGCGGCTTCATTTACGCATCGGCATTAGCCGCGCAAGTTGACGTACCGCTAGCGCTGATCCGCCAGGCCGGCAAGCTCCCCCCACCCACCGTGTCCGTCGCCAAGTCCCCATCGCATATCTCGTCGTCTTCCTCGGCTACAGCTGGCAACGGTTCGAAGGAGAGCAGGATTGAGATGGACCGCGATGTGATCCCTAAGGGCGCGTCGGTCGTGGTCGTGGACGATGTGCTGGCCACGGGGGTGACGCTCTGTGCGGTGCTGCAGCTACTGACCGAGGTTGGCGTCGGTGCTGCGCAGGTCAGCGTCCTGGCGGTAGCAGAGTTTCCTGTTCACCGCGGCAGGGAACTGCTGCGCCGACGTGGGTTCGGCGGGGTTAATGTGCAGAGTCTTTTGGTGTTTGGCGGTGCTTAGAATAATGACGATGATGATTATGATGATTATGATGACGATGTTTGAATTTGGGCACATGGCTTTAAGGGGGGGAAAAGTGGAGAGGCAGATAAAAGGGGTGGCAACGAAGCAGCCAGTTAGTTAATAGTGAGAGAGCCTCTTCGATTTATCTATCAATCCCAGTGAGCAGGTTCTTAACATTCAAGTTATTTCCTATGCCACCATATTGGTTCATCTATTTTGATCATGTTCAGTTTATGTTACGCCAAATATAACATAACAATATTTTCAAATATAAGACTATCGCCAACCATTTCGTCTACCTACCATATCATAGCTAGGAGAAGTTGAATTATTTGCATCTAGGAATCTCAATATTGCCTAAACAGTAGGTACCTAGTATCGAATGAATTACTTCATATATAGTAGCCAGGGCTCATACTTGATTCCCTTCCCCCTTTTTGTCGGCCCACTTTTACCCCTGAAAACCACCTAATATAGCTTACTTATGATATTATGGGAAAAGGGGTAGCCAACAAAGTAAGCGGTACCTTCATATGGAAGCTAACCTACCATACTAAGATACCTACGTAAGTGGGCCACCCACAACGGTTATACCTACAATGTACCACTACATCTAGCCTACCAAAAGCAGACTACAGTCAGAATAAACACATACACGGTCTAAGGTAGAACAAAAACCGCGCCATGTAAAGCCTCATGACTTCTATGTGCTGCTGTGGACTGCAAAAATGAGTAATACATATACCATCCACATGCTTGTGTATCTAATCTCCAACTACGAACCGAACCGCCGGGTACTATGTAGATACCTGCTTGCGAACTTGGGTAGGTATCTACATACCGATCATAGAGCTCCAAACTACTACGGCGATATGTTCACCAGGTTATACGCAAAGCCGCACGCCTCACCTACATCGATTTTAATGATCGGATATGTCACTGATGCGAGAATAATGGTCACGGCTACGTTATCACGGAATTACGTGCAGATTGTATCTCCTCAGGGGAACCTCGGTATGTGATAATCCCCCCATTTCTTTTAACTAATTGAGCGGCTTATAGCTCGGGAGAAATAGGAAACACTCTATCTTGCCTTGCAAACCCTCCATAACGCCTGGCAAAGTGAGATCCCGGATGTCGTGAGATACGTGACTCTAACCGAGAGTCACGAATATCCCTATCGGCCTGGTACCCCGTCTACAGTAATTAAAATATCCTTGAAGCAACGATATCCCCCGTATATGACATACTAATCAATGTCCACCGCCAAGCAACTTCATACCTATCAGGTATACAACGTCGAGCTGCAACCCCTATTCCTCACCCACATCTTCCTCCACCATCCCCTCTTCTCGGAAGTCCGAGGGCGCAAGCAAATGAAAACCAAGTAGCTTCCCCATGTGCGTCTTATCAATAGTCTGGCAGTTGCGTCGAATCTTCGTGTGCAGCTCCGTGAAGAACGCAACCGGGCTGACTTTCACCCCTCCTCCTCCTCCCTCTCCCTCTCCCACTTTCTTCCTATTTATTCCGGAGGAACTGTCTTCGTCGTCGTCGTCGTCGCGTGGCTCCCAGCTAACCCCAATAAACTTACAAGCATCGACGTACTGCTCATACGACGCGAAGTACAGCTGGCCCGCGAACAGATTCAGCTCCGTGACGAGGCGCAGCGGCACGCGCCGCCCCTTGAGCTCCGCCGGCACCGTGTACAGGTCGAGCGTGTCGAGGCGGCGGTACTCGAGGTTCGCGCGCGGCGCGTACACGTGGAGCGCGACGCCGCCGCCGCCGCCGCCGTGCGAGGTCCGCCGGTGGTGGATGAGCGGCAGCAGCTCGTGCGCCTCGAAGGGGCTGATGACGATCATGTCCGCGCTGCTGCTGGTCAGGATCCACTGGACGGGCCGCTGGTACGCGTCGAGGACGGCAAAGGGGCTGTTGGCTGCGATCGTGGTCGCGAAGTCGGCGGAGACGAGCAGGCGGGTCGGGAGCTCGGCGACGGGGAACAGGGCGCCGGCTGCCGTGTTTGCGAGTGTCGAGAACGCGGGCATGTATGCGGTGGAGTTTGGAGAAAGGGTTCCGGAGAGGACGAACGTCTTGATGTCCTCGTGGAGGCTGTGCGGCGCTGGATCGGCGCGGGGTGGTCGCTGGTCCTCCCTTTCTTCCTCCATCTCTGGAGATAGCTCGCGCTCCTCCTCCTCTTGCAGGGCTGCTGCGGAACCTTGCAGGTGCTTGAATTGGCTGCAGCGTAGGGAGATTGGATCCGTGATGCCGTTGGTCTTTGGCGCGCATGCGTTCGCCGAGTCTGGCTTCGGACGTGGCCGGTATCTGTGTTCTAGAGTCTGGCCTTCATCCTCGCGATACCTTTCGGCCAGGGCCTTGTCGAAGCCAACGTCGGGGTTATCGTCGGCCTCTTTCCATAATGCTTTGTGCTGTTCGTATCGGCGACCCTGTGACTCCCACATACCAATGCTTCGGTGGATGTCCTCCCAAGTTTCTCCGATGGCCCAAACCAGGATATCCAGGACGGATATGCCTTCATTATCAGCTTCTTCGGCATGTCGACGTTGCCGGATCTTTGTTTGAATCTCGTCTGGCACGCAAAACACTACCGACTGCCCTTGTCCGAGCATTCTCATTCTCATACATGCTATTCGATATGTCAGTCTGCCATACCACACTACTAGCTGAAGACTATTCGCCATCGACTTACCTTGGACTAATCTATCCTTCGTCAGGTTTGCGCCCAAAGTGACTGCTGCACGACAATCCTTTGGTAGCTTCAGGTCTGTGCCTCTCGTATGTGCCTCGTCCAGAAAGACGACGCACACATCCAGCTGTGTAGCGAAGGGCGACGTATGAAGCGTTTCGATGTGATTCTTTCGGTCCATGACGCACATCTCATCCTTGTCGTTGAAGTATATGGCGGCCTGTATTTGTGCAATGCCGGAGGTTTTCTTCAGCCATGCCCTTGCTACCTCGTAGTTAGTGAGCTCGAGGATTTGAGCTCCCACGTCCAGAATAACCCGAGTCGGCGGATCCATTTTTGTTATCGTGTTCAGGAGCATTTCGGCCATCGTATCTTCGTCCCGGCCCCGCGGCATAAGTTCCACGGAGTTCTCAGGCCCGAGCAAGTATTCCAGAACCAAGGCGTTGGTATGCCTTTGGGCGTCGAGGTCCAACTGCTCAACATCCAGTGGGAGCACCTCGCGGGAGTCGTTGGTACCACTAAAGCCTGTGGTTCGGTGTCCCTTGATCGCGCCTAGATCCCAGCCGGACGCAGAAAGCTTGTGTGGGAAGACTTTCATCTCTTTAGGGAACACGATGTGCGCCAAGAAGTAGTCAATGACTCCCTTCTCGTACTTCAAGTGCGGGAATACTTCCTGGGTGCATTTCATGTCGTCTTCGGTGTTGACTCCCACCAACTGCCGAAAAGCATCAGGCAGTTTCTGTGCGTCTTTTACCCACACCTGATACTCTTGGACAGCCTCGTCAGACTTGAGAAGGTGGCCGAATGCTTGGAATAGCTCCTCATCTTCCAGACCACGGTAGTAGTAGCTCAAAGATGTAAAGATAATAATGACATCTGGGTGGCTGAATTCAGAGCGTGGGGAAGGGTTATCCTTGGCTCTGTACGGGACTGCCAGCTTAGTGTTGGGTTGTCTGGTGGAATCAAGGCCATAGTCCACCCTCCACCGTTTATGTGCAAAGGCAAACGTCAAGATTCCTCCAGCTATGAGACCTCGTAACAAAAGCAGCGTTTTCCGAAAGAGAAGGTCGGCCCAGAGCCCATTCGAGTGTTCGTTCTCGACTATTTCTATATCGGCTGGATCAGGTTCGTATTGGCTGATATATCTAAGCACCGCCTTGCGGACACGTTCTGGTTCCCTTGTAATGGGGAATGCATCTAGGCCCATTTTACAGATTTCCTCCGCGATTCGAGATATCAGTTCATCTCCAGCATCTTGCCGCAGAATACGAGTTCGCGGGAAGCACCCAGCAGACTGATGGTGAGTTTCAATCGAGGTGGGAAAGGCGGACTGTAGTTCTGGGATGATATTTCTGATCCTATCGAGCACTTCATGAGTGCAAGTCCACCTCCGGGGGCTGTGTTCCGTCGAGTTTTGTAAGCCAACTGTGTACACCAATTCAAACTTGACACTAAAGTTGTCATCGCTCTCGTCCACGATATCGCGTGTGTGCTCGTTAAGGAACTGTTGGCTTTGTACCAAAGACTTTCCCATGCTCTCTTTCCCGGTGAGAGTACACTCGATGCCCATGAGCTTGAAAGACAGGATATGTTCAGGCTGGACCAGCAAGATGCCACCGGTCTCCAAGCATGAATCAAACAGATTCTGTATCACTCCGATCTCTGTGTGTCCCAGTTTCACTGCCCGGGAGAAAGGTACATGATATACCCGTCTGTTTAGCAAGCCTCCCAGTTTGGATATTAGCATGTGATACATCTGGTTCGATTGGGCCTTTCCAACGATCACTCGGACCAACTGGGAGCCATCCGCGAGGGATGTAGCAACCATGGGGACAATCACGGAGGATTTTCCTTCGCCCATGTTCAATTGCATGACAGCATTGCCTTTGGTGTTCTCTCTCATCTTCGCAGCGATTTCCTCTTGAACCTCTCGAATGAGAATATCACTTTCTATTTCCAGCAGTAACGACTCCGGGTGGTCTAAGGGGTTCCAGTTAATGTGGCCCGAGTTGTTCAGCTCGTTTGTCAAAGACGTGGTGTTGCCAATTGCCCCCAGCAAGCGTTCTGCTCCTTGTCGGTGGGTAAGCGCCCGTCCATAGTGAACTATGCAATTCTTCCAGCCTTCTGGGAGCTTCTCCTGATTCTGTCGACAAAGACGCTCCAAGAAAAAGCTTGGTGAGAACCTCGGCAACTGCTGGATTGCAATGGGCTTAGTATAGAGGCTATTGTGCCCTATTGCTTGATCAGGGGTCACTGCGCTATACATAGCATCATAAATATCATCCACCAATCCCTGGCAGCAGTTTAGATGCTCGATGAGGATCTGTCTCAACTCGGCTTCCTCCCGTCCTGGTATTGAGTAGTGCCTATTGTTCCTATCCTGCAGAGATCGGGCACTGGCTTGAAGATCTTCCAGGTATTTTCTTTCGTATTCAGACTCCTTTGATTTGGAGAGCCTTGACAACAATGATAAAATTCGAGGCCCCGACAGTAACTGCTTCACGTCATCCACCATAGGCGGCAAAGTTGTAGGAGCTTGACACGAAAATATTTCATCAAGACAAATGAAACTCGGTCTTCTCACACAATCAAAGGGTGGGGTTTGAAGTGGATGCGTGCTCATAAAGACTGGCGTGACTTTATGGGGTATCGTTTTTTCAATGCTTTGGAGATACTCCTTAAGTTTGTGATTGTGATATCGTGGTTCAAAGTACCGCCTTGCTCGTGTCATGGCATAGTCAACCATGATATACGGCTGGCATGAGATCCTTGTTGAATAGCATGGATAGTCCGGCACTTCGCAGGGCCATTGTCTCGTCAAGGCATCCACGAAAGTACGGAGAGCTTCATCTTTTTTTTTCGTACGTATTCTTTGTCGTCTCTCGTCAAAGTCCCCCGCGGACTCACCATGTTCCGGTTGAAGCTGTGCTTCTGGCCAATCCTTCCGTGGGACAATTGAATCCTCGAGAGACGTCTCAAGATCTGAGTTGTCAATATCATACCCACACTCCAAATCAAAGTCCTTAAATCGGGGTATTTGGATAAGAGACATTGCGGGTGCCACAAAGAAAGACGCCAGAACTTGGAGGATGTCCATGTCGATGTGATCACTTGTAAAAGAAAGGGTAGCCAGCCACATCATAACTTGAAACTTGGTAGGTCTAACCGTCCCAGACGCTAGTAGTCGGTGGAGCGGAATCCAATTTTTGGCGATGTCAGACTTGTATCCATCTAGAAGCAAGTCGGCATAGTTCAAGGAAGGTGTAACTTCGGATTCATATCCTTCCATTTTCCCTGCTGGACTATGACTATTACTGTAATCCTTCAGAAAGCACCAGATACGAGACCATAAGTCTTCCTGAACGTCTTCTACGAGACTGAAAGGCTCTCGGGATGCAATGATCGACATAGCAAAGGCCCGACTGGCCGCTTCTGAACATGGACCGCCATCTCTAGCCTGGTAATCGACCTTATCGGCGTCAGTTGTATAGTCTTCAGCACCAAATCCCAAGACACGGAACGTTGAGGAACGAATGAGGTCTCGCTGTAGTAAACTCGGCTCAACTTTGTGTAGCTCGATATTCTCCAAAGGCAATTCTGGGTAGAAAAAGTTTAACGATCTCGCCTGGTCAAATATTGATTGTACGATTTTGAAGAACTCGCCATGCTGAGATAGAAAACCAAGGCTCGACCAATCCACAGTCTGCATCAACTTTGAGTAATACTTTCTGGTCGGGGTGAGATGTGCGATCTCAGTCAACAACTGGATATTCTCCTTCGTAAGAAACTTGAAAGATCGTACGGCAGCAGACTTCAGGATCGTGAGCGCTTCCTCCGTCCCCGTTCTCCGAGTCAGCGGATCTGGTAAAGGGAATGAAGTGAGGGCATGGAGGTATGATACAAGTAATCTATCCTGTAAACTCTGGCTATTGAGGAGTCTGCCAAGCAAACCGTCAACCTCGAAGGCGTGAATCCTCGTGGAAGAAGATTTTTCGATCTTGACCTGTACATGTTCCTGTACATGTTGTTGGGTGCCCTCAAAAGTAATGTTTCCATTCGGGATCAAGACCTTGCGTCGACTTCGGTCATCTTCGGCTTTCAGCACAAGCTTGCTACTGAGGCCGAACAGAGTTCCGATGTTCTGATTCTCGTCCACGCGCATTCCACGGAACTGACGAGAAACAACTGATGTTTCTCCCAATCTCACGGAGAACCCAAGGTTTAGTCTGGGGAGCTCGATGTCCAGCAAAGGTCCTTCGAGAATAATATGTATCCAATAGCGTTCTTCCAGGGGTTCTAATATCCGTGATACCACCTTCGCCGTAGGACTACTGACGGCGATAAGACCCAAGCGACCTTTAACTAACTTCCATGTAGACTTTCCATCTTCTGTGCGTACCAGCTTCCAGTTCTCCTCGGAATGAGACCATGGATTCTCATGAGGGCATAATTCCAAGTAGCCATGGGCTGCGTTATACCAATGGATATATTTTTTCACAAACATAGTCGGAAGCGAACCTTCTAAGATATGCGGAGGGACGAGTTCATAGGCTTCGTGGGACTCGTCTTCCGTCATGGCTCGAATTAGGAGATCATCAGCTCTGATCACGCTCCCGTCCGAAGATCCCAACGCCAAATTCAAAGCATGCCCCTTAAATCTGTTCTTGGAGGAATATCTCATTCGGCCAACTGTGACGGGCAAAACCTCCAAGATTGAGTCGCCAAATAATGTACGGTGCATGGCATGATTCTCGTACTCTTTAGGTAGCCGGCCCAGTGAGGTACCATTTACGAGAAGTTCGCCGGTCAGCAGACTGAAATGGATGCTCTCTTCACTTTCAAGTGTCGAGAAAACCCAATGATCACACGGCCTTGGTAAGGTCTTCCAATTGCCCTTGACGTGTAATGTAGACGAATACTTTCTAATGGCAGTATCCAGCGCATTGTTGCGTCTTTCCACTACCTCGTCAACTAAAATATTGAAAGCCCGATAGGCTAGCTGCTCCCAACGTTGGTGCATGATGTAAGTCAAAGTCTTGGGCGACTTTGGTATGTGGTGGAGTCCCTCGTGAATGACAATGGCGCATTGTATCATAATACTGGCGTCCTCTAACGAGGCGAGAAGGCCAAGGAGGTGTTCATCGTCAACATTGAACGTGTCCACACAGATCAAGGCTATTTCGACGGCTTTCTTTCGTAAGGAACTGTTCACATCACCACTAGCAGCAACCAAGGTTTCTATCCATTCCAAAGCAGTCTTACGAAGGCGGCCCAGAAGCTCAAGACACTGAAACTTCACTTTCTCCGTAGGGGTCAAGGAGAGAACACGTCTAGTCAGGGCAACATAGATGCCCAGGGCTTGAAAAGATTGCCAATTCTTCTCAATTCTCAGCCATGCCTCCTCAAGACTTCTTAAAAGGGCATCAGTAAACTGCTCATCGCTAAGGATTTTATGGCTTTCCCTAACTAAGTCCTCGTCTTCGCGAGGGCCCGCTTGGTAAATGCACTGCAGGATGACAAATGCAGTCAGTTCCTTATTGAAATCCAAGCTGGGTAATGCAATCTGCACCAAGATGTTCTGCCATTGGATCCTATAGCCAAGGGGGATCGTTGCGAGTGCCTTGTACTCCTCCAGAGAGAGATCGTCTGGACATTCGCACTGGGTGGCTAGCACGCTATTCGGCGGTGGACCACTTGCTTTTGAGTGTGGGCGATAGAAAAACCTCGTTAATGGGGGTACTTCGACTTCTTTCGTTTTCGATGATGGATACATATAAGTGCATAGTCTAGGAATGCGGTACGGATCCTTTCCGCGCTTGACGCCGCACTCCCGAGACTGATAATATTTGTACTGTAATCCACATGGTTGGCAGACTTGATCATCGACCACAGTCGCAATTTTCATCGGTGGACGGGACTTTTTCGCTGCCCGTAAAGTTATATTCTGTCGTTCGCTGAATGCGCGAAATTCTGGGTTTTGTGACTCATGATTAATACCCCTTAGACTCTCGGCTCCTCGATACTCTAGACCGAAGACCTGAAGTATCATAAACAATGTGTCACGCCAATGACCGATGTACTTAGGGACTCGCAGCTCGAAAACAGTTGACTTAGCCTCGAGCGGCTTCTCAGGGAGTGGCCATATATGAGGATGTATTTGTAGATCATTGGCCTTCGCAAAGAGTTCACATTTCTTGCAATTACGAGCATGGCGATAGTTGGTGTATTCGTGCGGCTTTTTCTCCGCTTTATCTCGCAAATCTCTATACTCATTGCTAATACGTTTGTATTCTTCTCGTTTCCGCGCCCTCTCTGTGCTTGCTCGAGACTCGATCTCATCACGTAGCGTTCGAAGTTCGCTGGACTCATCAAAATATTGGACGGAAAGGCAGTGGTCTGTGCCAAAGTCGAATATATCATTGAGTGAAAACTTAGCCCCTTTTGCACAACTACGATCACGCAAATAGTTCTCAATCTTCCTGAGTCTATTCATCTGACACCTTAGCGGCAGAATCAAGCTATCCAGGATATTCTCTGGTATGCCTAGCTTGTATTTGCTTAGCAGCGGACAGTTTTGGACGGCTGACTTATCGGATGCGACCCAAAGCTCAAGGAGAGTAAGAACCATTATAGAAGCTCCTTCTGGGTTGCCTTCGTATTGCTCGAATGCTTCTCGATGATAGTCTTCGATCAGGCCTCTCAGAACACCGCATGTGCTAGGATTACTTATATTGGATTCTAACCACTCTTCGAGGCATGAGGAGACCCAATGCTCGCAAGCTAAAAGCTTAAATGACACATTCGTTGATTTGTGCATAGTGCTGAGCTTTGGTGTATCAGAAGCATCGTACATATCCAAAGGGCAGGTCCCATCGAACATCGTACTAGGTCTACTGGCCCTTGCTTGGGATATGACCGCAATGAAGTCATCGAGTTTCGGGAGACGTAGGAGGACATCCTCCGAAGCATGAGCATCTAGGCTTCGAAGTTGTTCAAGATTATTAACAGCAGGTCGTGGATTTTGTATTTCCGACCATCTATCCTGCAAGACCTTGTGGGTAGCTTGAAGCGTCGATTCAACAGACGAAGAGATGTACCCGGGGATGGGCTCAACAAGCTTTTGGCATCGGCGAGAGAGCTTGGAACACATGGCTGACAGTAGATCGCTGGAAATACTATGCTTGGGCGTCATGTCCAGAATTTGGGTTGCGAGGAAAACCATGAAGACCTTGTAGGTCTGTTCCTGGCACTCGGTCGATGTCTCGGTCCTGGAGAAGTGGATTTGTAATGCAACACGGATAAGCAGCCATAACGCCGACCTATTCCAGGGCATGGAAGTGCCATTCTGAAACACTTCCTCGCGGGTATTCTTAAATATCCTTGTGACTTCCACCGTTTCTCCCTTGGATAGGAGAAACGTAGCGAAAAGTTCAGTGACCATTTTTGGATCAGCAGTCTCCTGTAACTCCTGTTTCACTGTAGAATATCGTTTCGTGGGCTGGTTGCTCATAGTGGTGAGTGTGTGTGCTACCGTGGCCAGGAAATCAGAAGACTGGAAAATATCAAGGGGCACAGAAACAGCGAAGCCTGGGAAAAGTCGACGTAGCCTCCCTTTGGTGGAAGTAACGGCCTTGTAGAGAGGAGATAGTTCGAACATCTCCACATGAACGGAGTTATCGAACCTGGTGAAGAGCATACCACAATTTTGTTCTCGAATGTGAACAGCAATTGTCTTTCGGTCTGGGGGATAGCAGATTAACTTTATGAATTCTCAGAGGATTGGAACATCAACTAACCATTTTGGCTTACAGACTTGAGAGATGTGAGAAGTCCTTCCTCCAGTAGCAGAGGATCGGGATGGTAGGTATAATTATCGTGTAGGTCTTGCATTATCTTGATTGCTGATTTGACTTGGTCGAGGTGTACATGGCTGTCAAACATGGAAAGACATTTTATGGTGACTTTCAGCAAGGCTGAGTCGTTGTTGAGGCCATCTCCATTGTGCGGTAAGTAGGGAGGAAGGAAAACGTGGTTGATAACATAGCGGAACTCCGCTTCAGACAGGTCAATCGCCATCATATTGCAACCTGGATATGGTACCATTCAACTTATAAATATAACTTTCAGGTAAACATCGGGGTAATAATGTCGTGCAATATCTCGCGAACGGTCCCCCCAACTCTTCCAATACGAAGGGAAGAGGATAGTCAACTAAAAAGTACGGTCCGTACAGGTAGAGTAAAAAGAGATCAAGGAATAGAGTGAGAGGTAATAAAGATATGAGCTGGTGATAGCGCCAGGAAGTTGGGAATATTAGTACGTAGGTAGAGTATAGGGTTATAGATGGATGAAGCAAGCTGGATATACTTGTCTAAAGGCACTATGCAGATGTAGATACATGTATGTAAGTAGGAATAGAGGAGGATACATAAGAGTCTCACACAATGTATAACCAGGGTTCAGGACCAAAACTACCTACTTATCCTACCTATATGATTGATGTAAGCGTGCCTAGTGATGTATACCTGTTAGTTGTGTAGATATAATAGGTACATATTGATGCCTTGCCCACATTCAAACGAATATTGAAGGTGTAATCGGGTACATACACTTGACCAGCATAACATCAGATGTTGGGCCCCATGTCTGCCCAAATATCTCCTACATATGTATATGTACACCAACATTCATGTTGGTTTCAACATTTGAAGTTCTACATGTAGGTATGTATCAAACGATTCGATTCCATCGTATCTCTTACCCGCGTTACCATAAACTACTACATACATATGCAGGTAGGGAGGTATTGATGTGTTTTACCTAGTAAATGGTGCCCGATGGATGGTGACAGATTATCTCGTCGCCAGTTGTACTAGGTAGGTTGACTTGAAAACGCACTCTCTCAATATAAGCCTACTACTTAGACATATTCCGTAGGCGCGCTGCCGTTGGACCTTCGCATATTAGGTGCCGTGGGCAATTTGTCGACTGGTGATCTATCACAACTCATAATTAACTTTACAAACGTGGATCTAGTGAAGAATTTATGTGACTTAGTAGTTTGCAGGAATTCATATGCACATGTTGTTCATGGCACTCAAATGTTGACAAGAACATTGAAGTACATAATACCTACACCATTCAATGTTGTACTTTTGAAGTGCACATGTGGAAGGGACATCTACAGTTGTGATGTCTTGATTCATCCCCACCTCTCGATACATAACTACATCTAATATGCACGTAACAGGAGATATCCATGTATCGAGCGGCTTACGTAGTCGGATGTATGTGATTATGTACTACTGCTTCTTACATAATCTAATCGGAATTCCGATTGGTCAATTGATGGATGTGAGTGATACATGTACCCATGAGTGATCCCCTTTGTGGGGTCTATCCTTACATACCCTAGGTACACTAGTATTAGTTACTAGGTATCCTTGTTTGCTCTTGTCCTCCTTCAAGCTTGTTTCCCCTCTACTCCCGTACTGACTGAGACTTTTCTCCACTTACACCAACCACGCGATCCTCTCTCCTTGACGCGACGACCATTATCCCGTTGTCAATCGTGGCAAACAGAATCTTATAAATCATTTGCCATCGTCCAATAAACGTATGACTTGTTTTTCTTTTAACTAGCAATCAATTTATTCAAGTGTTACCTCAATCCCGTACAATCAGAAGCACCATGGCGCCATCTGATGAATCTCTCGAGAAGGATCTCCGCGACGGAGTTCGCGCCATTGTCGATGAACGTGGGTGGGATGAAGTGACAGTGAACAATGTCCGGCAACACGTCGAAAAGAAGGGTGGACTCAAGAAAGGATTCTTCAAGGAAGCAGATTGGGAAGCGCGTAGCAAAGATATCATTAAGGAATTTGTCGTACGTGTTTGCATCCAGCATTGCGTTTATGATTTCACGACGTAATGGCTAATTACGTAACATGTAGGCCAAATTATTAGCCGAAAATGACGAACCCCCATCGTCTCCAGCAGCAGCTAAGGCCAAGCCCGAACCTAAGAATGGCGTCAAGCGACAATCGAGCGAAGAGCCCTCCCCTGCTCCAAAGCGGCAGAAGAAAGCGGCCCGCGCCGCCCCTTCTAAGAAAGTCAAGTCTAAGAAGGAGGAATCAGAGTCGGAGCTTAGTGACCTTAAAGACATAAGCGAATTCGAAGAGGCACCAAAGGAACCAACTACAGCAGTATCCAAGAAGGAAGACTCGGATTCTGAGTTGAGCGATCTCAAGTCATCGGAGGATGAGTCTACGAAAGTCAAACCACAAAATTTGGCTTCACGTCGCAAGTCTAAGAAAGAAGAGTCGGAGTCGGAGCTGAGCGACCTTAGCGATTCAGAGCATGCACCAAAGAAGAAGCAGAAGCAGAAGCAGAAGCAGAAGCAGAAGGGCTCGAAGAAAGCCGCGCCCGTTCGCAAATCCAAGATCGGGATTAAGGAAGACGAAGCTAGTGATATGGAAGATTCATCGGCACCCAAGAAACGAAAACGCGCAGGTCCTATTAAAAAGCGCAATAGTAAGCCTACGATAGCAGAGTCCGACGAAGAAGAAGATTTGGTTCCTGAGAAGAGCGAGGCTATGGTGAAGGATAATACGGACTCGAACATCGATGACAATGCTGAGACAAGCATAAAGGCTAGTGGCCTAGCCACGTCGAAATCCGAGGAACTGGAAGATTATACCAAACCAAAGGATATAGACGACCAAGACACCAAAGCGGCAAATGGAGACGACTCGAGCTCTGAATTGTCGTCTGTCATAGACGACCCACCACCCAAGAAGCGTCGATCTAAAGATGCTAAGGGAGCTTCCAAGGGGGCTTCCAAGGCTAAGCAGACTAAGGAGCCGTCTGGAGATGAAGCAGAGATCAAGAAATTGCAAGGACAGCTACTTAAGTGCGGGATTCGTAAAATATGGGGTATTGAACTGAAGAAGTACGGCGACGACAGCAAAGCCAAGCTTAGACATCTGAGAGGGATACTCCGAGACATTGGGATCGAGGGTCGATTCTCCGAAGCAAAGGCCAAGGAGATAAAGGAGAAAAGAGAACTCATGGCCGACCTGGAAGCAGTCACCGAAATGAATCGAAACTGGGGAAGCGGAGGTGGCAGTGGTCGTGCTTCGAGAAGCAAGGCTAAGACTGTTAAGAAACCCACAGAGGAAGAGTCCGATGGTAATAACGAGGATGGAGGCGAGAATGAGGATGGAATCAAGGCAAAACCACGAGTTTCGAAACGAATGGCTGATTTGGCCTTTCTCGGCAGCGACAGCGGATCTGAATAGTCTGTCGGGTACCTGGTATCTACAGTGGAGGGTTACGTAATGATTCTAATACGCCAGTACCTAGCAGGCTGTGTATCAGTAGTTGATGAGGTGATGGATATTTTTACAAGCATTTCTATTTGCTAACATTCATCTTCTGAGCTATAAGACTGAAGACGGCAACTGAGCCCATGAATAAGACGGCATTGTAAAACTAGGTCAGACACTGTTAATTTTACAAGAACAAGAGCATACCCCAGAGGGAGTGTAATAGAAATGGAGTCACCTACAGCCCTGCGTGACACTTCTCTCTCCTCGTCATCCGACCTTGCCTCGATGAAGAGCCGGCGTAGATTTGGAAGGTTCGCCTAGAGAGGTAAGTAACCTAGTCAGTAGGTATGAATGATAGTAGGTAGTCTTGTGATTTTAACTCACCATAGAGAGTTGAGATGCGTAGAGAGAAACAGTAGGTAGTTATTATTGGAGTATACTTAGGTATGATATTGGTGTACTTAGTGGTGTGTCAAGACTCAGGTTGTGTTGTTGCAGCCTGAGTGTTGAATTGGATATGGAGCTTGGGCCAGGTCAAGATGGCGGATTCATCATTGATGCTTGAGACTTCAGCTGTGGCTTGTGGCTTTTTATGTAAGTACCCAGTAACTGCCTAGGGTATAAGTTACGTACGTAGCAGTTGTGGTAGTAGCCAGGGGCTCATTTGAATGGGCTGCACTTCTTTCACACCTCACACTTCACACAATTGTCAACTTCATCTTTCTACCTATCGACATATTGATGTTGTTCTTTCCCAAATAAATAAAACACACCAAACCACGATACTATACAGTAGTCACAATTCAATATTCGACCAAAAAAGGGTCGCATGCACGCATAATAGCCCTCAACGGGCCTCTAATCAACCACCCCCGACGCCTCGACGTTTATAAGGTCCCACACACGACGTCCAGATGTCGGCGGTCAGTCGCATTCGTGGCGCTTTCGCCGTGCCTAGGAAGGGCGAAACGTTTGAGTTGCGAGCTGGTCTAGTATCCCAATATGCATGGGAACGCAAGGAATCAATTCAAAAAACTATTATGGCCATGACTTTAGGGAAAGACGTGTCACAGCTATTTCCGGACGTGCTAAAGAACATCGCGACGGCCGACCTAGATCAGAAGAAGCTTGTTTATCTGTATTTGATGTAAGGTGTTATTGCGTAGCGGCTTATGGTGAATAGTAACATTTCATTTGCTAACTGGAGATCCCAGGAACTATGCGAAATCCCATCCCGATCTCTGCATTCTTGCTGTCAACACCTTCGTCCAAGACTCGGAAGACCCAAACCCACTCATAAGAGCACTTGCTATCCGAACGATGGGCTGTATTCGAGTGGACAAGATGGTGGATTACATGGAAGAGCCTCTGCGGAAGACATTACGTGACGAGTCGCCATATGTACGGAAGACAGCTGCTATCTGTGTCGCGAAACTATTCGATTTAAACCCATCCATGTGCATGGAGAATGGCTTCCTGGAAATACTTCAAGAAATGATTGGAGACCCCAATCCCATGGTTGTGGCGAACTCTGTGCAAGCACTGGCAGAAATAACCGAGACAGCACCCGAGACAAGGGCATTAGTGATAACACCGGCAACACTCAAGAAATTATTGATGGCTCTGAATGAGTGTACGGAGTGGGGAAGGGTGACGATCCTTTCGACACTGGCCGATTACCCACCCCAGGACGTGAAGGAGTCAGAGCACATTTGCGAACGAGTAGCGCCGCAGTTCCAACATGTGAATCCCAGTGTCGTGCTCGCCGCCGTCAAAGTGGTGTTCATCCACATGAAGCTAATCAACGCCGATCTCGTCCGCCAATATCTTAAGAAGATGGCGCCTCCCCTGGGTGAGTATGCCTCTGGTATCGTTAAATTTTCGGTCCCTCGCTGACAAGGTGCAGTCACTCTCGTCGCTTCAGCTCCTGAAGTCCAATATGTAGCATTGCGAAACATTGATCTTCTTCTACAAGCCAAACCTGATATCCTCAGCAAAGAACTCAGGGTCTTCTTCTGCAAATACAATGACCCGCCGTATGTCAAACTACAAAAACTCGAGATTATGGTGAGGATAGCGAATGAGAAGAACTACGAGCAGTTGCTGGCTGAGTTAAAGGAGTACGCACTGGAAGTGGATATGGACTTTGTTCGAAGAGCCGTTAAAGCAATTGGGCAGGTCGCGATCAAAATTGAAGGCGCTAGCGAGAAGTGTGTCAATGCGCTCCTCGATCTAATCGCTACCAAGGTCAACTATGTGGTCCAAGAGGTTATCGTCGTCATCAAAGACATCCTCCGGAAATACCCTGGTTATGAAGGGGTCATCCCTACACTTTGCAACCATATTGACGAGTTAGATGAGCCTGAAGCGAGAGGTTCACTAATATGGATTGTTGGCGAGTATGCGGAGAAAATCAATAATGCTGACGAAATCCTAACAACGTTCGTTGATGGGTTTATGGAAGAATTTACGCAAACCCAGCTGCAAATTTTGACGGCAGTTGTTAAATTGTTTTTGAAAAAGCCAAGCAACAGTCAAGGGTTAGTGCAGAAAGTGCTACAGGCGGCAACGGCGGAGAACGATAATCCTGATATTCGAGACCGAGCCTACGTCTATTGGCGACTTTTGTCTGGGGACCTCGATGTTGCAAAGGTATGATTTTCCTACCTAGACCCCTATTTTTCTTGGCTTTCAAGCTAACCAATGTTAGAACATTATTCTATCGCCCAAGCCAGCCATCACAACCACGATGACAAGCTTACCAGCAACCTTATTAGAGCAGTTACTCGGCGAGCTATCGACTCTATCCTCCGTCTATCACAAGCCGCCAGAGTCCTTTGTTGGCAAAGGACGCTTCGGTGCTGATGAGATCCAACGAGCAGCTATCCAAGAACAACGGCAGAATGCAGCAGAAAACCCCATCGCGGCATCAGTCGCTTCCTCCCGAAATGGGGCACAGACACAGAACAACATCGAAAACTTGCTGGATATCGATTTTGATGGTGCTGCGCCAGCGTCACAAGAGCAACAATCTGCAACAGCCACACCAGAACGTGTGGCAAGCCCGGCCGGCGGAGCCGCTCCGTCAGGCGGCATGGCCGATATGATGGGTCTATTTGACGCCCCAGCGCCTCAACCCAGCATGGGAAGCGCAGGTGGTGGTGTGAACGATCTCATGAACGGATTTGGGGGATTAGACCTGGGTGGATCGAGCCAGCCCCCACCAGCATCGGTGCAGCTCGGTCACGGGGACAGCACGGAGCCGAAGAAAGGCGGCAATAACGATGATCTACTAGGTCTCTTCTGATGGGGTGGCGATTAACAGCAGGGTCATGAGGAGGGAAAGTTGGGAGTCAGTAGGTCGGGACCTGCCGAAGTGATGGCTGAATGATAACTCATTGGATCTGTGACCACGTGGGCTCTGTTTTGCAGACAAGATGTTTTACGAGGAATTCTGTGCGAGTGTCGAAATGAGTATCAGGACTCCAGGCCCCTTTCAAAAGTCCCGGTATCATGATTTGTATGTCCATGGGGGAAAAGAAGCAGAGCGGGGCAGAGCAGAGCAGAGTAAAGTCAAAACGTAGGTAACTTGTTAGATGGAACAGTTCATAACGCGAAAAGATAGATTCCTAGGTCCTCGTGCCCCCTATTTACTTTCCTTGTGGCATAGTACCGTAGGCAGGTACCTACATATTTATGTATGTATATGCCAAGTGTCATGTGGAGGCACTTGTAGGTAGGTAAGTGGCAGTGGTAGAATCTCCCTCCCTAAGATTACCTTAACCTAGGTAGGTACGATCTTGATATGGTGGTGCAAAGGGTTTCTTATGATAGGTAATAGCTAGCATGCTCTTCCCCGGGTATATTCCGCGCGCATATATATGCCTCCCCTCCCCTTTCCTTTCCTTTGCGTGCTGCTTATGTGTCTACTATGTAGGCACCTATTTATCCCTTACCCCCCCCCCCTGACCCCTTATTCTATCCGTGCATTACCTAAATTCCAACTCAATAGCCATCCGTAGATCCGCAGGTACCCAAGCGCAGTCCAGTACGCCACTCCCCCCTCTCACGCATCGACCCCCTGGACCTGGCCCCGCACCGTCCCGTCCATCGGCGGGCCAGTCCCGTCGCCGCTGTTCTTGGCCTTGTCCCGCTCCCACTCGTCCGGCGTCTGGCACTTGGCGCTCCACGCGTGGATCGACGCGATCTCGGCCTTGAGCGCGGCGTTCACGGCGCGGTGCCGCTTTAGGCTGCTCTGTCCCGCGAAGGTGGGGGAGACGATGAGGGAGGTGAAGGATTGGCCGCAGCCGCCTGGTGGTGGGGGTTGGTGTGTGTTTGTTGTTTGAGGATAGGGAGGAGGGAAGGGGGGAAGGGGGGAAGGGGGGAGGGTGAGGGTGGCGTACCGGACATGTCTGTTACTTCCACGTGCACGGCTTGCAGTCGGTCGGTCAGCGCCGCTTTGAGCGACGCTTCGGTTATGCTGGACTCGCTCATTGTGTTTTGCGGTTTGGTGCGGTGCGGTCCGATCGCGGTGGTGTGGGAGTAGGTAAGTAGGTAGGTAGATGTGTACCGAGGTACTAGTTTACACCACGGATGTGTGCGCCGGGCTGTGTGGACTGTTCTCGTTTGTAGGGTTATTATGAATCGCGGATATGTTGGTGCGATGCGATATGGGAACAGGTTGATTTCCTATCGTGTTGTGTTGTGTTGTGTTGTGTTGTGTTGGGTTGGTGGTTCAATATTGACGCTTTATGTAGGTGGCTTATGTAAGTTGGTTATACATAGATGACTGCCCCACGATGATGGAATTCAGATCCAAAGAACTAGATTGGGATGGAATCTCGGTTTGGATGATGAAATTACGCCGGTAACTATTTCGTTATCGATAGTTAACGCTAGCTGATCTTTAACCCACACTACGTAGCTGTGGCTGAAGCTTAAGGCCCAGATGTCCGGCGATAAGATTTAGATAAGGTATAACTAACCTACAGTAGCTCCATTACCAACTTGAACTTTGAAGTATTAGTTACATAGTACTACGGTGGTAGTGGGTTGGTGATGTTGGTGATGCAACAACCATTCCACTACTTGAGATGTTCGTCCGGCCACGATCTTTCATTACCCCAAACGTTCCACTAAAGCTCTCTTTTAAACTATTTCCACTTATCACACAGGCGTATCAACTTAGGAGAGCTAGTTATCACTTCATTTCAAGACCAACTGGAGGATTTAAGACCACAACCATACGTCCAAGCAGCAACATTTTCACCCTTCGACAAAGCCGTTGCTTCAGTTCATCCAAGATCATGGCGGCTCCACCCCCAGCTTCTCTCACCGATGCGGTGGTTGCTGCAATGCGGACGCTGTTAGTACATCTTAGTCTTAGAGAAAGCCTTCCTTCTCATTTCATGCCTACCTAATACGCCCAATTTTCATGTTAGACTAATGCAACTCACAGGTTCCCTGAAGAACTGGCAGATAGTGCATGGGACAACACAGGATGTGAGACCAACCCATGCGGTTTTTGAGCAGACAGATCATGAGAATTAATGGTGATACCTATGTAGTACTACTAGGACAAGCGCCTCCGTCCTCATCCTCGTCTAAAGCTGAGAACGAGACGGGAAACACCGTTCTCCTCACCAACGACTTGACGGCCGCGGTGGTGGATGAAGCACTGGCGGAAGGGGCCAAGATGATTGTTTGCTATCGTACGACTTACACATACCATCCTCATATAGGCCGGACGGGTGAAGGCTAACATTTAACGCAGACCCCGTGATCTTTAGGCCTCTAAAATCTCTTACTACCAAAGACCCAATGCAGACGCTCCTCCTGCGCCTAGTCGCTGAGAGAATCTCCGTCTATTGCCCGCACACAGCCATGGATGCTGCGAGCGGCGGACTAAACGATTGGCTCTGCGACATCATACTAGCCGGCGAGCGGCAGGCGAAGCGCACCGTCGTGCAGCCCATCTCCCGGCCCCTTCCGGACGGACACCAGTACACCGGCTACGGACGCACGGTCGAGCTGACCCAGCCCGTCACTTTACAGACGCTGCTAAAGCGGGTATCCGCTGGCGTAGGCAACCAGCGATACATGATGGTCGCGCTGCCGCCGGCGCTGAAGGACCTCGGCAAGACGCAGGAGATCTCCAAGGTAGCCGTCTGCGCGGGCTCGGGGGCAGACATACTCAAAGACACGGACGCGCAGGTGCTGGTGACGGGGGAGATGGCGCACCACTATGCGCTGCGGCACACGCAGCTCGGCCAGATCGTCGTCACCGTCTTCCACAGCAACTCGGAGCGGAAGTATCTGGAGGCGAGATTGAAGCCCATGTTGGAGGTTGAGCTGGAGACGACAGCATATGGGAATACTCGGGTGGTTGTGAGCAAGGCCGATCGTGATCCGTATGAAGTAATCGATGTTAGAGACCTAGCTTAAGATTCCAGCATCCTTGTTAATTGAAGTAGCAAGTTTCGGTCAAATAGGCCAGCCTTTTGCCATATTTCTTTCGTCTGTTTGTAGTTGTAGTTGTTGATGTTCCTGTTCTTGTTCATTGTGGATAGAATGATCTCTCATCATGGTGCATTCCCATTCCCATTCCGTTCCCGCCAATTCCCCTTACTCGGCTCACCCTTGACAGCGGAATCTCCGTCCTCTATACACGCATCCACATCCGCTCCACCAAATCCCTTCTCCTTCCACACCAGCAGAAGCTTCCGCGGCATCACCCACGCTTGTCTTGCATCCTCTAGACGCCCCTCCGCGACAAGTGCTCGTATTTTATCCGGTGTGTCCAGAACCTCGATGGCTAGCTTCTTCGTCCGCGCTCGCTTCTGACGTGCCTCCTCCGCTTGGGCTCTGGATGGGTCGGGCGGTGGGATGGACTTCCGCAGCGAGTCCCGTATGGCGGAGGCTTGCGAGTAGACCTGGGCGATGGCTGGGTCGAGGGTTGACGCCATCGGGGTCAGGGGGTCCATGTTCGTCCGCATCTTTAGCAGGTTGTTAGCACACCGCACCTTTCTCTCTCTCTCTCTCCTTTGTAAAACCTTCCTCCAAGACAAAAGGGGGAGAGTTTAAAAAAAAGAACTCACCTTCCGTATCGTCTCCGTAGCCGTGATCAACTTGCTGTAGTTGTCGTACACCAGCGCCTTCTTCTCGGCATCCAGCGCCCGCGTCTCCCCCAGCACCCGCGTGTACAGCCGCAGCAGATCCTCCATCCCGTTCTCCACCAGCGCCTTCCGCACGAACGCCTCCGCGTCGAACCCGTCCTTGTCCATCTCGCTCGGCGGCACCTCCGAGTAGTGCTCGTTTTCGTGCGCGTTGCCGGCTGTCTCGCCGAACGGATCCGTCACCTCGACGTGCGGCGGCGAGGAGGCGGCGGCGGCTTTCTTGAGGTTGTAGTATTCGCGCAGGGCGGCGCGGTTGCGCTTCGTCGGGGGTGCATTGCTGCTGGTGGGTGTAGAAGAAGTGGGGGTGCCGCTGTTGTAGAGAGGGTTAGGACTGCCGCTGAGGCTCGGCGAGCCGATGGGCGACCGTGAGGTATCGAGGCTGGGGCGCGTGGACGAGGTTGGGGTGGCGCCGGCGGGTTGCGAGTTTATGCGGCGCGGCGCGTCGCGGGGAGAGGCTATCGTGGACATTTTTTGCCGGAGGGTGGTTGTGTTGTGTCACGTGGCATAGGGATGTGGAAAGGTAAGGTAAGGTAAGTTTTATTAAAGATGGAGGTTATCGCAAGATTTGTTAGAACCAGGAAGTTTACAGGTTTTAAGGTTGGTACTATGGATGCATTGACAAGGTGAGGTGGAAACCATAAATCATGGTCCAATTAGTGAGGTTTTAGGGTATTAGCTGCCGATCTCCCGCCGCCGCTCGAGTTGTTAGCAGGTAAAGCCACTGTGGCGAGAGCTCCAGGGGCTATTAACCGCTAACTACTGTGTACATGTAGCACCGTTTACCTCTTGAAGGTCCAAAGAGCTCATCCCTGGATCTCATCTCATGCACTCATTCTCATTTCCAAAGTCCGGTAAATCATTAAAAGCAAGATCTAAGATTTAGAGACTTACCAAAGTACTTACCTGTTACCATTGAAAATGAGTTAAAAGCAATTACTTTGTCCTCATCATGAGTTCGGATCTCGCAGCACAAATCCGTGTCAGCTTACAAAATCAGGGGTTCCCTATCCCATCGCTAGCATGGATACAGAGTGCCTTGCCCAACCGGAATCCCCTACCTCCTCTGCCGGCCCTAGTAGCTACAGTCAAGGCACGTCTACTAGCTGCCGATCTCACAAATCCATCTCTTTTCGAGTCGCCTGTTCCCGCATTCCCATCCAACCTGGGCAACGCGGTAGTCAAAGAGACCAAGTTGGCCAAGGACACCCCAGTGCAGGTTCTGGACATCGACAACCTGAGCAAGAGCAAATGGGAGCAGGCCGAGGAACTCGAGGCCATCGCACGGGGGGAACAGACCCGAGGTCGGGAGATCATCCGACTCCCCACGGGCAACGAGAACGGACACGGGGAAGAAGATGGCGCGGGCAACGAGTCGACACCAGCAGCTCCCACGGTACGGGCTGGTGGGGCTCCTAACGCTACCACAGCCAAGGGCACAACGCACCGCCTCGTGCTGCAGGACTGCAAGGGCCAGAAGGTGCACGGACTGGAGCTTAAACGTGTCGAGCGCATCGGAATCAACACGCTGAATATCGGCGAGAAGTTAGTCCTGCGAAAGGGCGCGACGGTTGCCCGCGGCGTTGTGCTGCTAGAGCCCGCTACATGCGTCGTGCTTGGTGGCAAGGTCGAGGCTTGGCATCGGGCGTGGGTAGAGGGACGGTTAGGGAGGTTAAAGGAGGCGGCGGAGATGGCTAGGCAGGAGTAAAAGTCCCGACTGAGTGTATACTTACTAGACAGCCCAGTATAGCTATTTTTCAAGATGTCCAATACTGATCACCACTTACCTTAACTAAGAGTCTTAAGTAGTTAACTATTTGCATTATTACAATTACAAACGTTAATTATGTTGTAGATAACGAGGGAACGAGGGTGCTGCTCGGTTAGATGTGCATAAATCAAGTATCAAAGTAACTATGTTGTAACTTGTAAGAGCCTGAAGCACGTGCAATCCTGGGGCTTTCTCGGCCCCGCAAAATGCAGTTACTGGGGCTGCTAGGCTGCTAGATTAGACCTGCCTGGGTAGGTACCTAGGTTAGTAAGTTCGGGGTAAACTTTAAAACGAAATTAAACAGCATATCTCACATACCTAGTAGTATTATTACAGTTACAATTCCGGTAGTACATTCAAACTCAACTTCAACTTCTATCCCTTTACCAATTCATTCGAATTCTAAGTCAATATATACCTACTTACTATGTAATTTGATAAATTGGTAGTTGCCTTGATTATGAATTACTGATAATTTAGGTACAAATCCAAAAACCTGTGGTGACTAGGAGGTACCTAGGAACAATGTCTATAAGACAATATCCAAGACTGATGAGACTGCCTTTCATCGGTTCTATTATCCAGTGGACCACACACAAACGCCAGGCAAACGATGATGGACAAGCTTTACTAGAAGACGATGCCCTAGGTATCCCACTAGAAAGATTCGACTCAAATCCCAGCTCTTCTCCCAGTTCTGCTCCTCGGCAATTCCAGGTATACCGTCATCATCGTGGATTACGGGGAAACAAGTCTTGTCAGTTGGCAATTTTCAGCATTATGCTAGTTGGATTACTATTGGCAGTACTGTTACCGCGGCGTTCAAGTCCTAGGACAGTCAGCGATGGGCTACTACCTTGTGGTACTTCAAGATACTCCATTAATGATGTGAGTTCATATCACACCATGAGATAAGAACCATACATATCTAAACGCGTCAGTATACATGCTGTCATGGCAATTTCCTCTGCCCGGTGGTCGACAGGAAACGCACATTACGGTGCGGTGACAGTTGTTACTCACCTCGAGAGTTTTCGTAAGATAACCAATTCCTCATCTTTCTCTGTCTTTCTCACGCAACACCTTGGGTAACGCTAATTATTCGAAGCTGTGACCATGGGCAATTACTTAAAGTCCAAAACTCTACTTCAGATGTAAAGCCACCCCCAAAGGACGGTCACTGCGTATCCAGGTACCTCCACTTGAGCGACCCCCCATACGAAAACTATTTTATATCCGATTGTAGCAGTGCTAGTCAAGTCGTTCTCACAAGCCCACTAACCGATAGCGACTTGAAAATAATTGGCCCAAGGCTTCTTGTAGGGCCTGTTTCATAGCCCCGTACCTACCTCAATAGGTAGTGAGACTGATAATTCTCAGATTGCATGGCCAGCCGGGAACAGTGGGATCATGGCGTATTTCTCGCCAGAAAATGGTGTCAACGGAACACTCGACATACGGTTGGACAACATCGTTTACACAAATCGGACATTAGACACTCTAATCGGTGGCGTAACCGGCGTACTATCTTTTAACTCCTCTGCAATACTTGATCTAGCCATCCTAGGAAGCATCAGAACAATTCGAGAGTTTGTCGAAGGGCCGAGTACTCTAACATCAAAAATGCAAGATGCAATTGAGGTCCATATGTTATCCGATGGGGGTATCCAACTCAACCGGCCATGGCTAGATAAAACCACAGAGACATACTTGACTATGCACAGTCTCGGCGGAGATGCAATCGTTATCAGCAGTGGTAAACCTCGGTTTATGGGCGGTGCTTACACCTTTAATGCTTGGTCTAGTTATCCACAACTGGACCAACTTGAAGCGACGGAGGTCATCAATCCCGCGTCTCAGTATCTTATCACGCAAAATCCGGATGACTTTGAATCGCTTGCCTTCCTCTCGTACAGTTCAAAGATGCTTGCTGGGGCTTGGAGGTTCCTCACATACTTTGGACGGGACAGCCTTATTTCGCTTCTTCTACTTCAACCCATCCTCAGTGAGGGCGATGGAGGAGCAATTGAGGCTATTCTCGGCGCTGCAATTGAGCGAATCGATTCACATGACGGCAGCGTTTGTCATGAAGAAACCATTGGCGACTACGCATCATATCTAAATGCACAGCAAGGTGCTGATAGCACAGATCCCCAATGCGATTATAAGATGATTGACACTGACTTCTACCTTATAATCGCAATGCATCGGTATTTCGTTCTTTCCACCGTCGGGCAAGCTCGTCGTGACTCGTTCTTCGCCAGAAAGGCGACTATACTTCCAGGAAGCCGTGGTATCACTTATGACGATATGACCTTAGTCACTGCGGAGAAAATAATGAAACTGACAACTAATTTCGAACAATCTCCAATAAAGCAGAATCTTATTCACCTCAAGCAAGGCCAAGTAGCGGGACAATGGCGTGACAGTCCCAATGGCTTGGGTGGTGGACACATACCATATGAAGTGAATACGGCTTTAGCTCCTGCAGCACTTCATGCGATTGCGTCGCTATCGAGCAATGGATTCTTCTCTTCACATCCTGACTGGTCTGAGATCGCTAGCAAACGTGCTACTTTTTGGGAAGATAATACACTTTCCTTTTTCGAAGTGAATCTCACGGCCGATAAAGCCCGCGGTCTCGTGGAAAGCTACGTCGGTACGACCAGATTTCCGGGAGAGGTTGACACAGCCTCGTTGACCTCACCAGTTGTCTTTCACGGCCTAGCTCTGGGCGGGAGAAATGGGCACTCAGTTGTTAGAGTTATGAATACGGACGATTGCTTCCGGCTATTCCTCCTCAATAGTACCAGCCAAACTCAGCTCTCTTCTTTTCTCTCGCAGGCTGCGGATAACATCCTGCGCCCATTTCCTCTAGGTTTATCAACGCCAGTCGGACTCGTCGTCGCAAACCCAGCGTATAGTGAAGGTTCCGTGAAGGTCGATGAATTCACCGAAAGTGCATACCACGGCACAGTCGTTTGGAGTTGGCAGCTTGCGATGATGGCTGCGGGACTTGAGAGGCAGCTGGAACGGTGCGGCCACGAGCGACTCGAATATTGCACAGACGTCGGAATACATAGACGTGTCCTCGAGGCATATAATCACCTATGGGACATAATTGACGCCAACCGTGAGCACTTGAGCAGCGAAGTTTGGAGTTGGATACATAAAGATGGTAGTTTCCAATACATACCTCTGGGCGCTCTACCACCCTCAGCAGGGCAAAGCCCAGTCGGTTAGTCGACAATGATGTAGGACTCAGAGCCAATCGGCTAACCCGAATACCAGAAAGCGATATTCGACAACTTTGGAGCCTGACATTCTTGGCGGTCAAGAGAAATAATGAGTACAGGCCCTCTTGAGGTCGAGTTTCCAACTATGAGATGTAATTTGAATATTACAAATAAGGCTCCGCAAGGTACGCTCACCTCCCCTTCCTCCCTTCTCCCCCCTGCCCCCTGCCCCCTTGTGTCCCTCGAAGTCGATGTATAGATCTTGGTGTCTGTCTAGGTATCTACTAGATACGCAGTAGGTATGTAGGTGTAGTTACCTAGATAGGTTAGTAGGCCAATAACCAGGTACATAGGTATCGAGGAAATGTTGCCAGCTAGGTTTCATGCAGCATCTCATCCAACATAAATTACTCCTCATTTCATAACCTGCCACCTCAACGCACGTAGGTGGAGCTGTTCCAAACGTTTTGAGTCAATGTGGTATAGCTAATGCAGATTTATTATTCAGGACATGTAATTCCAGCCAAGCATTATCAGACTGCAGGTCTGGGGTACGCAATGAAGTCAATCATGACACACAACTGCACCAATTCAGAAATTTCAGATTTTTTAGTGAACAGAGATCATGCAGGGTTATCGGATGTCTTGTACCTGCAGGTTAAATGATTCTCTACGAAGATGATGCTGACCACCCAGCTCCAAATCTCAGGCTGGCTATAGGTACAATACGTATTGGACCGACCCCCCGACATGCGGTCCAAACTAAGACTGCCACCTGACTTATAAGTCTCGAACATTCTCGTATCCTGTCAACTTGCCTCTTTTTCTATGCATAATTAGGCTCTGCCTATCAGTGTGCCTACGTTTCAAGTGGCCGCATGTTTCAGGCCAGACATCCATGGATAAGTTGATCAATTCGGACAATAATAATCTTACTAACCCTAGCATATGTTTCCGTCGTTCTTACATCTCCCAGAGTATCTTGCGATAGAACGACGATCTTGGCCTTTATCTTAACTTCTAAAATATTTTTTCGCTGGATGTCGTTGTTCAGATGATCCACCTACAGACTAGTTGCCGTTCTTTTTTTCTTCCTCTTTTTTCAACTCAACCTAATCCCGGTGAATGATCTGCGGTTTAAAATCAGGCTGCCACAGCAGGATGAGCTCGAAAGACGAGATGCCCTTTAAAGTGCCTACCTAGGGTAGGTTATGTAAGTAATTGCTAGGTCTACGCAGTACCAGGCGATGAAATTTGCATCTACGTGGCAATTTTCCGCTAAAAGCTTACGCATACCTCAATAAGGCTGAGACATGTTTTGACTCGACAAACTGTCGACTTTTCATATAACTACCTACTAAGTAGGTTAGATACCTAGGGTAATCTTTTGATATCTTAGTCTCTCTTCGATTAGGTATGATGCAACTCTTCTGACCGTTAGCTAGGTAATCTTACAATATGTCTACATGTACACATACCCCCAAATGTCTATAATGGGATGTCCAGCCTATTCCTAAATAGACACCCCTTGTGTAAGACTTAATTGCTACTAGGTACTGGAATCATTAAATTATATTTTGCGGCGATGCTGACATTATCATAGCAAATATAGGCACCTACTTCATCGAGGTGCTTTTCTCCGGGGCCCCGATCGCCATAGTCCCCCATGACGATTTGTAGTCGATTTGAAGTTAATCTGTTCCGGGGAATATCGTATCGACATAACCTAGCTAATGATTATGATCCGTTCTCTAATCCATGCAACCCAGGCTCTTCCTTACACTGGAGCAGGTCGCCGACGAGCTATATGGCTAATTCTGATCCGATAAGGCTTTGTGGTTGTTATTTTTTTCTCCTCGTTTGTCCTTACCAAGATACACTACCCCCAATGGGCCATCCTGTTCCTTCATCTCAAGTGACCCAGAGAGATTATTATGTAAACCAACCTGGACCGGGGCCATACCAGGTAAACATGCTACCATCAAGTCCAGGACATACGTAGGTACTTGGGTAGGTATATTTTATCTCATATCTTACCTCCTTCACCAAAGCAAAATTTCGACTAATAAATATGACCCTTCGCCGTCAAGCTCTCGACTTTTTCAATCCCGTTGACTTTTCATTCTTCAAGACAGTCACTCTACCTCTCCTCGACCGCTCGAGCACACTCGCAGCATTATATACCTAAAGCCCTTTTCACATATCTTCTCTCATCTACTACTAGTATCTTGTCTCTGCTCTAAACTATATAATAGTTTAGCACTTCCATACCTCTTCATATCCTCCTACCAGACATTTTTATACTCTTCTATCCAATCCAGTATGGCTAACGACACCTCATCCACCGGAGTCTTCCTTGGAAGCTGCCCATCTAACCCGTCAGTCATATACTAGCCAATGTTGTATGTCTGAGTCGTCACTAATGTCAAGACCATTAACTTAGACACATGTCCTCTACCGCTACCACGACTGCCCATGACGAATCCCGACTACGAGACCAACGCCTAAGCACAGTGACACAGCAATCGGGTACAGACCATTTCACGGACAGGCTTGTAAGCCTGCCAGCTACGTACGATCACGAAGCCACTATGAGATCAAGACTTGATACTTTCTCAAGCCAGTTCGCCAGTGCCAGCACTGCTACCGGACGGGCCAATGGCAATTAACGACGATAAATTTAATGTTCTGACGACCATTACGCATATTCCGGTCATCAGCAAAGCAGGTCTTGGAGGTTATGAGATCATCTTTGGTCTTACAACTTTTTCTTTCCTTTTCTTCTTCTCTCTTTTAAGTTCATAGGCCTGCTGGACAGTGCACTTATGTCACCCGCCCAGGAGGATATGGCTTTCTTCCAAGCTGATTCAAACTTTGTCTTGACCTGTCTAGAAGGCGCAAGCTTTTCTATTCGTTATTCTTTTCTGCTTTCTCTTATTGTGTATTATTTATTACCTTTTGGGGACATGAGAAAGCCAGTATCGCTTCTAATGGACAGCATTTCGATAATGTTATGTACCTAGTATACTAGGTTAGGTAATTACGGGTGCTTTCTCTAGAGCATTTATGGATGCATGAGAGTATAGGTAGTATGGCGTAGGTTAGGGTATTTTATAATGTACCTGACTCCGCCTACGGAGATTTCTTTTCACGACACTCTCGTCAATGTTTCAATATACTAGTTGGATGGATGTGTACTTCTAGACGGGTTTACTTCCTTGCGATTGGCCATAGATCAATACAAGCATTCCTACCCGAGTTCTCTTTGGCTAAGACCTATGCCCTGTCAGTGATTGAACACTGCCACTCATGCATAAAAACGTTCAGGGGACAGGACAGAGTCATCACACTGCCTCAATGGTGCTCTCTCCTACTCTCCCAGTAAGTAGGTAAGCCTTATCCCACCCCACACACGATTAAAATCCCCAGCGCGCCCGCCCCCTCCCCCCCTTGTCTGCCACGTGCGAAACAAGGCAAGTCAATCGAACCTACCTCAGATCACGGTTCACGACCCTGGCCGGTTCCTGAACTACGGAACCAATGGCTTTGAGGCTTATATAAACCAGCGAATAGTAAATTGCGCGGGCGTTCAGGCAGTTTAATCGGACAGGCCGGCGTAGTGCTACTACGACATTAAGCAGGCTACCTGCTACTGCTATGTACAATACTTCTGCTAGACTAGATTGCTACCTGGGTATTGTACATAGTAGGTTACATACCTAGGTTGTGCACTCGGTCTGCGTACTGGATGCTCACTTGCTCACTCACTTGTTTTATGTTTTGGGGGGGTTTTTTTGGGTGAGAGGGGGGGTGTTTCGCTCACTCATCCGTCCACTTTCCCCATGGGCAACACAGAATCCCGGGCAGGTGTACAATACAAGTACAACAGAAGCGTTACCTACCTCGGTGCTGCGCTTTTTGTGCTTACAACGTTTTTTTTTTTTTTTTTTACTTACCAAGCTTCTTAACCACATGCACGCGCCGTGCGGCTCCCGTTGTTCGGTAGCTTGGCTAGGTATGTAGGTGCAATACTTTGATTAAATACATGCCAGGTATGTAGGCACCCGTGTGTGGGAAATGCCAAGACATAGGTAGGTAGGTACTCTTGCATATGTATGTAGGTACGTTAGCCAATGGAAATTCCTCATTGTCGCCGCCGGCGGTTATTCACCTACCTACATACATACCTACGTATGTATATTGAGTATTACGGGATGACGATGGTATGCAGGTATATTAATAATTCGCCTGCGGTGGTTGACAGGGGTTTTTCTTTCTTCACCGCGGGGTGTCATTCACCACCATGGACCCCTAGCATAGCGTAGACATGGGTTGTAGGTTGTAGGGGGTACGACAGGTCAAGTCACCCATCCTACATATGTCATTCGGACGAGCGGCAGTACTCAACGTGTAGGCACATGTAGGTAAGTAAATAGGTTGGGAGGGAGGTAGCGTTCCCGCCAGCTGGAACCTAGGTAATCTGCATCCATACCTAATACCTACATGTAGGTATAGTCGTAGCAAGATGCTGACACCCCTCCCTCCCTCTCTCGATGTACCGGGCACTTTATTCGCACCTACTTTGTACAACACCCCCATTGTGTAGTTAGGTAACCTTAGATTGGGCGCGCTTCTTCAAACAAATGCCCCCCCCCTTTTTTTTTTATCTTTCGTCGGGATTCGGCAGACATTATGCAGGTCGCACGTGGCGGCCATGCCCATAGATACCTATGTAGGATCGGCTGGGTTGCAGTATCTAGCGTTCTGGGCAAGATTGGCGTGGGCCGTAATGTTTGTTATACAAAGCATATAATGTATGTATGTATGTATGTAGGTAGGTAGGTAGGTAGGTAGGTAGGTAATTAATATCTATGTGCGTACATTCGCCGTATATGCAGTACGACTTTGCTTTGAACGGTTGTCTCGGAGCGCATCATCCATCCTAAGCGCTACCATCACCATCACCAACCGTCCTCTAGTTTGTGCATCGAGGTTGGCGGTATGTAGGAGGGTATTAGGTACATATGTACTATGATACTACTATCTTCAATGTTGTTTGTCGTACTTGTACCTTGGCACATGGCTTTTTTTTTTTCACAGGTTCGACGCAGAATGTCTTATGTACCTGACACGCGCTCCAAAAAGCGGAGTGGGCTGTCTACGCGAGCCACATGTCTCGCAGCGCGATGACACAATCCACGGATGCGTTGCGTCGGCCTGTACCTATACAAGTACCTACCTACCTCCCGACCGACCAAGCTTGGAGCGCGTAAGTGTGGACATACGTAGGTACAATACCTAGCCAACAAGGTGTATTCTATAAAGTGACATCAGCTCCGATGCACTCTTTTCAACAATTCTGCCCGCCGATCAAACACTCGGCGAATCTCTAGGTAGGTATTCAGCAGTAGGTTTTGTTCTCCTGTGACTCGACACGCGTGAGACATGGGACGCTTACCGCTTTTACTAGTGTGTAGGTAGGCCTCTGTCACCGTCATTAGACGCGCATACCCAACTATGTCTCGCTTCCACGGTGAGTGTACCTGGCCTAGGTGCGTGCCCAGCCTGCACGTATGTATTGTACTTGCATACCTACATCCCCCCGATCGGTACCGACGGTACGTAGTGTAGATTCAGATACGATCGCGTACCGTGCGCACGTACCAGAGACATGGACTCGAAGGATTGATGGAATAAAAAATGCACGTTCCAGACCGAGGGCCTAAACAAGATACACCCAAGATAACTAGTAGAAGATACAGTACCACCCGGGGCTGTAATGGGCTTGCTAGCTCGGTAGCTCGTACCGGTGTAGGTAGTATTAACTGTTCCCATGTTTTTCTACCATCCCGAGCGAGACTCTGATCCCTACCACCACGTGGCTTTCATGCAGGCCACCCGCCAGCATTGCCAGGGATGTTTATTTAGTGTAGTCTACGCACACAACCCCTACTTACTTCCATATAGCAAGCATGTGATATGACAACTATTATACATTAAACTACATGCACATAGATATGTAGGTATGGATGTAATGGATTTATATAGATAGGGCCGAAGACGTCGCCGGAGTTATGTTTATTTTTATTCTTATTCTTATTTACCTACTTCGTATACTACGTACCTACAAAGATATATTTATTTTTATTTCTTGACGCGCAAACCAAACGAACCCCTCCCCCCCTTTTTTTCTTTTTTAAAAAAGCACGTACATAATATGTGCATAATACCCGACCCCCACCGCCACCGTAATGATGCAGTTGCACATATTATACCTACTTAAGTTAGTTGGGGTTTAGCAGATGCGGCCCTTCTTCGATTCCAGAAGACAAAAGCTTTGATACACGCTTTTTAGATTATAAGGGTACGTTGGGGGGGTTTGAGAATTAGACGGGAATAGCACGCCGACTTACGAACCAGAACCAGTACTTGAATGCATATTATTCTATACTTAACAACAGCACGAACCGTTCGATCGAGATTTTGAGTATACTTACTTATTAATATATTCCTACCTAATACCCATATGCATACTGGAACGGGGCGATATGTGTGTGAACCGGCCATGCCAATCGGCCACGCCGCAAACCCCCACCCGAAAGCTCCCCCGTGAACCGTTACAGCCGGAGCGCCATTCAGACAGGCTGTTGAATAAAGGGGACAAATGTGGGGGGGGCTCTCCGTTGTGGTCAACGACGAGAAGCCTCACCTCGGCCCCGAATACCCTTTGAATTTCCGCCGTTTCAGGTCGGCGCGCCACAATGTAGCTTTACATTAAAGAGCAAGTTCCGACCTCGCGGATATGAAGTCTACGTTCGGCTGCTGCTTATTACTTCAAGTACTTCTTTAGGTTAGTTAACTCCCCCCGAAACGCGCGCACGCCAATACCCGGCATGCGCCTCAGTATCGTGCAGGATCTGGGTACCTAGGTAACCCCTATAGATCCAGTACTGCCCGAACTACTGTATGATATCTGCAAGAGACTTATTCTCCTAGCTTCATTGTATCACATTCGCTCCTGGGCCAATCCAAGAATCCACATGAAGTCGTACAGCCAGCTCCCGTCCCATCTCTAGTGCCATCTCCAGCCTCCAACCTTCAACTATGATAGAATCTCTGTGGCTGGTGATAATAGCTCTTATCTACTCAGTCGGTCCCTACTCGTGCAACCCCTCGCTCGCACACATAGGTCGTGTAACACGACTCGCTTGCCTAACCTAGGTATGTATGTATGTATGTCTCTTACACCCGTGTGGCTGCGGGAAGCCGTTACCAAACCGACAATTCATCCTATTGGCACGACTTGTGGTATTTAAGGGGCTTATATAAGGGAGTAGGTATGTAGGTAAGATGAGATTTGTAATCGTGTCGTGATGTCTTTGGTTCATCTATTCCTATATATTTCTTATAATTAAAGGAGGGGTGCTTGCTTACTTACATGGTATTTTTGACGTATGCACATCATAGTATGTAGTATGCAACTTTGGCATTACAAATCATGGTAAAATGCCGATATATTAATTATTATACTTGCTGCTATACCTGAAACCTAGGTACCTGTATGCTTTCAGACGTCGGTATTGGAAGAACTGAGGTGGAATACTTAATCGGGAGGCATGTAGCGTCAACACAACATCCATACCTAGGTACCTACCTACTAAGATATACATACGCCTTTCCTGTCAACGCAGTCTCACCTAAGCCCCCAAAACCAGACCAACTCAACGTGTGGTAAAGAGTCCCCAATGCGGCCAATGCTACGGCATGCGTACTATGGAGGACGATAATTATATCAGCATCATCCTGTGGATTACACCCATTCGTCCGTCTCGCCAAGCCACGGATTACCTGAAACGATGAATCCATTCCCACACACGCGCGCGCATGCACCACACGCCATCTCTTCTTCCATCCTCTTCCCCAACTACACTATTAATAACCCCGGCTAGACATCCATCTATGACCTCTCGCGTCTTGCGGTAGGGCTAGAAGCGAGCGGATGAATGTAACGTAGACAAGAAAGAGCCTCATATGTGCCTATGTAAGTGCATACATGAAGAACTTCGCCACATGTCTACCTAATCTGGCTACCTAGTACCAACCTACTTACCTACTACCGATGCATGTGACTACCTATACGATTCCGTCAGCACCCGGCATGTTACTATACCATGCCGAGGCATCTACTTATTCTCACCTCAAATCTACTTGGGGATCTATCTATTTGCCTGAACCCCCAACCCAAAGTGCATATACTATATCCTACATACCTACCCCTAGGTCAGGTCAAATGGCCTCCTTATAGCATGCCTACCTACCGTAGGAAACTTAGATGCATAGGTGTCTTGCATTCCCCTGTCGTATGCCATGCATGTCTCGCCTGAAGATTCCCCGTACCACCTGACACAACACACACACACACACATGCCGGACATGCGTACAACATCGGACACCCCCCTTATCTCCTTTGCATACATATCAGCTAAAGATATTCATCCCATATAAATATCATCTACATCTTGAAACATACATACATACATATGTATATAAGAATACAAAAATACATACCAGCATAGCCCCCTCCCCGCACTCAACCCAATCTCCATAACGACTGAAACCTCAGATAAGCTTACCTGCCTACCCCCCCCCCCCCGTAGTCAGTGCTACTTATAATATGTACATGCCCCCCTACCTACACTGCATAGGACCATAGGTACCCCCCCTGAAGGCCAGCACTCACATCGTCAATTCGCCGCATCCATGGGGAACTAACATAGTTACCCTTGTACAATACAATACATATACCTGATACGTATACCTATTATTCAAACCTGATACATATACTTGATACATATACCTACACCTACCTACCTACCTACCTACATGGTACCTAGACACGCAATAAACACCCCTTCTTATCAAAAGATTACCAAAGAAAAAAAACCAAAAAATAGTCTCCCTCAGGCCACGCTGACAGGTGCTGTGTTGTACCTGCATATGGCCTGATCTGCCAAGTTACCTATCTATCTATGTACACCTACACCTACACCTACGCCTACTGAGGCATAGGGCAGATTAGCGGCCTACCTAGGCACCTACACACTGAGGCTTTCTACATCTTATTACACCTACTGTACTTACCCACATATACCTACCTACCCATACCAAGGTACCTGCTACGTAAGTAAGTAAGTAAGTAAAGCAAAACATCATACACAAAATACCGAGACCGACCGACCGACCGACCACCAAGAAACCCCCCCCCCCCCCCGAAAAGCAGGGGAGCAACAGTACGCACCTACGCAACTGCACCTCCCAATTATCCATACTAGTTACCTACCTACCTACATAGGTATATAAGATAACTTAGGTAATCAGGCGGGAAATCGCAAAAGCACATGACCAATCCTGTCTGCCCGTCTGCAGCGAAACGAAACGAAACGAAGCGAAACGAAACGAAACGAAACGCAACGCAACGCGCATGAGAGCTAACTGGGGCCGTCACTGAAACACCTACCTAGGCTAGATTATGTACCTGACCTAGATAGCTGTCAGAATATACTCGCATACACGAGGCAGAGACAAATTAGCGAGAGAGACCCATCCATCATTCGCCTTTTGGTGGAGGTAGCGGTAGGTACCTACCTATGTTCTGACAATAGCCTCTACCTAGGCACACCTATGTATAATAACGCTGTGTGATGTAATACCTACTTAGGTAGGTACTCATCCACCTCTTACAGAATAAAAATGACGTTGGGGGAGGAAAGGGAGGGATGTGATGATTGGGGAACTTCAACGAATAGCTGCTGCTGTTGCTGCTGCTGTGCTATGTAACAACTGCCGCTTCAAATCCTTAAATCGTATGACTGGGTACACACACATATAGATATCTACTGCTAAGGTGCCTACCTAATATAACCTATCCACATATATAGTAGGTAGGTGGAGACAGTGATAAACCACAGCTCTCCCCACCTCCTGTATCAAGGCGGCGCATTCGCATTGCCGTCCCAACTATAGATAAGCAGACGCCTACTAATACACGTGTAGGTAAATGGTATACTTTATTTTCGTATCTTTGTAAGCCAGGATAACAATAACCTCTGATCTTTTCAAAGTTCCTATGGGTTCCGAATTCATCGTTTATGCTTCTCGAAACCTCGCTCTCTGTGATTGTGATATTAAACATCACCACGTATTTCGTATGCACGAATGAATCCTCTAGCCCGAGCCCTGATAACCTAGCGCCACGCTCTTTGTCTACACTGATTTCTGTCCCTAAATGTAATCATAGTTTCGATTTTGGGAGTCATGCCGGGATGTGACCCTCGAGTCCCGCAACCGTTGCCAAATTTACTTGACTTAGTTGCTCGTGAGCCTCACCACTCAGTCCCACTCCGGCGAGGAGAGCTATCGACTCCACCACGTCTTCTGGCTCCAGCATATGCCACTTGGCCAGAGTCACCTTCGTGCTAGCACCGACCGTAACGGTGAACACCTGGTTGGCCTCGACTTGCGTGCCGCTGATGCCGTTTAGAGCTCGGAACATATCTTCGTCCGTGAAATCGTCTCCCATGCATAGCACGAAATCCACATTTCCCCCTTTGTCCTTGGCGTCAGATTTGTTACCGCCTATGTGCGCAATGTCGGTATTGTAGTCATTGATCAGACGTTTGGCGATTTGGCCCTTGTTAATAAACGTTGGGCGCACTTCGAGGTTGGCTTTGCCCTTCATCACGTCCACCTCCCATTTTGTGACTACACCTTCCTCGAGCTCTTTATGCAACGCTAGCGATGCATGCAGACCTTGTTCGGGGTCGGCCTGACGGTAGTGCCAAGTCAAAGCGCAACGTTTACGCTCTATGAATGAGCCTGATGGAAATTGCGTTAGCCAAGAATGTATTTCAATAGTGATATGGTTTTGAGAATAATGGAAACTTACCAGGCACGCGGTCAGTATATTTCTGGAAGACATCAACGACATCTGCTTGCCAACCCATATCTAGCTTCTCAGCCAAGTTCTCCCAAGTGTCCTGGCCCGGGTGTCTCATAAAGCTCCCGTGCTCGGCACTGAATCCTAATTCGGAGATGTGTCCCAGGTGTTGCTGGAGGAAATCTTGGTCTCGGCCTGAGATGATCCACACAGCATTGCGGTGGTCTGCTGCTAGCGCCCTCAATGTCTGAATGACACGCTCTGATGGAACGGCCGACTGGGGATCTCTCACAATCGGAGTTAATGTGCCATCGTAGTCAAACATAAAGAGGCGCTTGGTGGCTTGACGATACTGCTTCAACATCAAAGTACGGTCCAGCAGAGGGGTGACATTGTTATTCTTGTTAGATGCTAGGGTGCCGACGAGCTTGCGAAGGAACTTGGCAATCCAACTCTGAACATTCTGTGTGGTGACGTGCTTGTAGAGGCTTGACTGCATGCCCATGCGCTTGTCTGCATCCATGGTGAGCGCATTGTGGATTTGATGGGCAACATCCGTAAGGTCCCAAGGGTTTATATGTATGGCATCGCGCAAGCTTCCCGCAGTACCGCTGAATTCAGAAAGAATAAGCGGGCCATGCGTATCGCGTTGGCAAACAACATATTCCAAGCTGGTCGTGTTCATGCCGTCTCGGACTGACGTGATCAAGCCAATGTCTGCAGCTCTCAGCAAAGCAAAGTACTCGGCTGGCGATAGGTATTGGGGATAGTGCTGCACTGGCGAAAATCCGAGGCTGCCATAAGTGCCATTAATTCTCATGACCAGCTCATTGACTCGGCTTGCAATCTTGTTCTCTGGCTCCTCTCCTCCTTCTTCAATCGTGTTCGGCGAGGTGACCTGGATTAATACCACCTTCTCTCTCCAGTCGGGATAGAGCTCTAGGAACCTTTCGAACGCCATAAGCTTTTGCGCAACACCGCGGACACTATCCAGACGGTCACGTCCCACAATAATTTGTTTGTCCTTGTAGAGCTCCTTCAGATCATCGTACATTTCTGACACCTCTTTGGACCACGCCATCTGCTCTACCTTGGCAACATCAATGCCGATTGGAAAAGCACCGACCTCAACTCGAGACCCGTACGCATCGACACCCACGGAATCTGAAGGGAAATCAAGTATCCGCGTGCAACAGCTGGCAAAGTGACGAGAATAGCTGTATGACTGGAAACCAACGAGGTTGGCTCCAAGCATACCTTCTAGGACCTCCTTCCTCCGCGGCAGACATCTTAAAAATTCGCTGCTGGGGAACGGGCAGTGTAGGAAGAATGAAATGTACATGTTGGGCATTCTTTGTCGTAGCATACTAGGAAGTAACAGCAAATAGTAGTCATGAATAACCACCACGTCTCCTGGCTTATATATCTCGACTATCTTGTCAGCAAACTTCAAGTTGGTGCGGAAGTAGTCGGCCCATTCGATACGTTCCGATCGACCGTCGTTTGGCTCGTGCTGTTTATAGTGGAATAATGGGTAAATCGTGTGTTCTGCATACCGCCTCCATCGTGATTGATCATTTAACGTAATTCCCTCGTTGCTCGTCTCGGCATCATCAGCAAGCCATACTGGCACCGTTTTAATGCGCTTATCATGGATCAGCTGCTGCTCTAACCTAGCTTGGTGGTCCTGCGGGATCCACAGGCCATCAACCTCGGGTGGTGTAGGCGGTGTCTCTCCATCTAATGGGATAGGCGCCGAGAGGTGGCTAAGAGCTGGTATAGTAGAAGTGGTGTCCTGGAGGACTTCTGGAGAGGCGAGTGATTCGACGGGTGCTTCTATTTCGCCGGTCCAAGCGACAACTGTATGGTTCCAAGGCGTTTCATCTGACGAAAGATAGGAGAAGGAATCGAAAAGAGCTGACTGGCCGCGACGGTAACCTAGTTCCTTCTTAGAGTTAGTTTCATGCGACACAAGTTTGTCTTAAAAAGACTCGGACTGTGTAAGACTAACCCATTCACCGTTCTTATGGTACTTTAGAGCGTGAGGAGTTGTGAAAGTAACCGAGAGAATATTTCCACTGAGAGCTAACTCAGGGGCAGCAGCCTTGATTTCCGAGATGGACTGCCTTCGCCCCTTAGTTGATACGCTCATCCGACGCAGAACCTCAAGGTCGGTGGGAGCATCTTTCACTAGGTTGGAGGGAGAAGATTCATTTGGGACAGGTTGCGATGCAGGCCCAGAAGAGGCACTCGTTCCGTTCTTGGCGGGATCTCGTGTAAAGTAGCTGGGGCTAGATGTCCCAGTAGAATCGATGCCCGCTCGCGACAGGTAAGTCGAGGATTGGATGCCCGGGGTTACAGGAACATTCGTAATAGAGGTTCGCTCATGGGGTGGTAGTTCCGGCGAGTCTTGCGAACTGCCATTAACAGGGGATTCGCGGGTCGACATTTGTTCAGCCTCCTTTATGACGTCGTTCGTAGAGGCGATATCGGCTTCTAGTTTGGTCTCTGCGATAATCAGTTTAGTGCTAATTCTCTCGATCTAGAGGTGAAAATCGGTGCGCGATATTGCAGTTATGGAACAAAGTCAAGTAGATAATATAAATGCAATGCAATGAATTTCACGGGGGAGAAAAGATACTAGGTATAAAATAGGTAGATAACTAGTAGCAAAAGAAGGCGGTCAGGCGTGGAGAAAGTTATATCAACCAACAACCTTGACAGCTAAGCAATGGGAAGACAGCACATGCATATACTGACCGATAAGGAGCGCAAGGAACAACAGAAAAAAACGAAGGGTAATTAATTAGGTTGGCAAAGTAGACAAAGCCAGGTTCATATACGGTGTTGTTGAGGTAGAGAGGTAAGGAAGAAATGGTTAGCGGAATGTAGAATTCTAAACGGGCCGGAGGGCTAGAACGACATAGGCTCTTAGGTTCATAAATTCATAGCGGGGCTCCCATAAGAACTGCCATCGTGGTTCGTGGTGATGATAATTGATTTAATCCAGCTTGGGCATGATGGAGTTGCTAGGTAGTACTGGGTTACTTCTTGCGTATGATGATGGTGGGGTACTAGATAGGTACCTGATAAAGGTAGTAGTGTGTTATGTTGGAAAGAGTTGGAAAAGATGGATTATGGATATGAATGTGGAAACTTGAAGTGTCAAGGGGAGTTGTAATGAAATGCGTCAAAATGTGTGTAGAAATGCGTAAAATGCAACCAGGAGGTTTTGCTCCTGATTCGATGTGGGTTAACTACCAGACGACAAAAACAATGTATCCCTTTCCTTTTGTCCTCTCAGAACATTGAACTCATCAGCCAACCTCAACTACTAAGTTGACGGCTCTCTCCGGATTGCGATATATAGGGCAGATTATGTAGGTATGTAAGTACCTTTGAAATAGTCTGGTAACTTGAAAGTGTCCAGCCAATGTTAGGTCTTCAAGTTGTCACCCTTGATAAGGGGTACGGTACCTCTCATTCAACTTCAATAACACAAGGCTAGATTCAATCAAATTAGTCAATCCATCAATGAATTCAATCAATCAATCAAGCAATCAAGCAATCAATGAAACCCATCCATCGTCAAATAAACCTCGGCCTATTATAAAGTACAAAACTGTAGGTATGTGTGTTGGATGTGCTCGACGTTCAATCTGTAACACAAATGTAATGCGGTGGGATGGTGGGGTTATGAGTTGTGAGCCTGTAACGCTGGCACATGCTGAAAGACCAGGCTGGGAAGAATTTAAAAGACATCATCGATTGTGGAAGAAATGGAAGGACATGGAAAAGCATTGGCCAACCCGGCCCGATCTAGCCCGCAAAAATCATGTGGACTTGAAGGTCCAGACATTTCCAATTACTACATGTAGGTATTGAACCCATGTAATCAGGTACGTACCGTGATATTCAGGTTCAAATTCATAGAAGAGATAATGACGTATGTAGGTAATCTGTCCTGGCTACATATGTAGTGTACTAAATTGATAGTAGTAGTCAGGTATTCGAGGTGGAACGACTCTTGAAAACCAAAAAGAAAAAAAAATCAGATAAAAAATAGCCTAAATATCACCCGACAAAACAGCAGGAACACCCAAGTTATTTATGCCTCCCTTGAGAGAATTTCGAAGATTTCTATGGAGAAAAGCCAACATGTAGGAAACCACCAACTGAAATTATGGAATTCAAGTTAGCGGCTAACGGGCTTACACCTTATGTACCTGCCTACAACATCTGCACTTATCTCCGCTTAAAAGAAGTCGGTGCTTGCTCAGCGCCATCCGCTAGTACGCTACGTAAAATACTCATCACGATTGGCCTTCTCTACCTAGGGTATGTACTACTAGGTATGTACACACTACGCGCAGGTTACCTGGGCAGGTACATGCTTATACTAACCAAAGTTCGCCTCAAATTTCAACACATAACTAACCCTCGTAGCGAATGCTGAGTTGTTCAAGTTTATACCGTCGCAAAGATACATCCACAATGTTGGGCACTAGCATATCCACATGCGCAAACCCGCTACCTACGTAGTATCGGATGGAAGGAAAGCCACATGTTAAAGCCAATATCAACATTCTACGTTATATATGTACCTTCAAGGCACATGGGGCGCGAGGTACATACTCCCACTATATAGATATACATGTATTCGCTACATATATCTGGGTGCTATGCAGTTTGGAGAAGTGCATGTTGAATATATAATTTGTCTTACGATCACTCCTATCCCATATACACATGTATATGACTCGTCTGGTAGCCTGCAGGTAATCCTTTGAACCATTTGGCTTGACTCGTTAGAAATTGGGTACCTATACCGGTACGACAACCATCTTATTATTAATAAGAGGGGCTATATGTACGGTTAAGGGAGTATCAAGGTGGAATAACGCATAGATACTCAATGAGGTAAGTTATTCCGCGCATTTTTAAAATGAGGGATTATACGATGCCTATTAGTACTTAGTAGGATACAACCGATAAAATATCTATATCCTGAATATACGCTTCAAGTAGTCAAGAAATCACGCAATGCTGCTGCATTATCGTGACGAACAACCCCGGCAAGCTTCTTACTTGGAACTTGATTCTTCGCCATGGTTATATTTCGAGTTGATAAGACGAGTGACGGGTCACAAACCCGGTCAATAAAGACACGGAAACTCTTCAAATGCAAATTGCCATACTATCTCTAGACCTGATGAGCCAGGTTAAGGACATAGGCCAGTTACGTTGCCGTAGGGATAACTGCTGTCATCTGCCGAGGTTTCCAACGACGCTGCCTACCATGACAGCCACCTCCCGATCCCATCCACCGCTCTTCTCCGAGTTCCCCTTCGAGGGTTTCCCCTTGGCGGTAGCAATGGTGCTCGGAGGCTGGCTACCAAGTATGACGCATTCCCTAATTGCCTCTCCAATTGCATTTCGGTTCGATTTCAGCGTACGGGCCGAGACACCACTGCGATTTACAATCTCCTGAACTCGTGGTGCCAGGCTGCTCGCCATAGTCCTCCAGAAGTAGGACACGAGTGATCCAGTCTCCAGATACGTAAGTAAGGGTTGTAGAAGATTTGACTTGTCCGAAGAGACGTTTTTGTGTGTTGGTAAAAGTGGGTTCGCCGGGGCTTTGGTTGTGGAGAGGATGATCTCTAGAGCAATGATATTTTGACATCGCGCCGAGACCTCTGCCAAAGTCCGATCTAGAGATGGCAGGTTCGCAAGCGACCTTGCCAGCGAGGATATGGAGCTCTGCAGCGCGTTGCGCAAATACACCTCAAGAGCTTGTAAGAGCAGTTGGGGTGTCCATCTGTCTGGTTTTGTGCCAACCGGTGATATGAGGTAAAGAGTGACGGCTGCAGAGATGGTCCGGGCCTTGGCCTCCTCGCTTTGGGCAAAAGTAGTGGATCCAATGTTAAATTCTCGAATAACTTGTTCCGATATATTCTTTATTGACCTCTCAATGGGAAGCACGATAGATTCCTGTAAACTCCTAATGACGTTGATTCTGTCGAGTCCATATCCCTCCTCGCCCGGTGCCTTCTTGTCGAGGATTTCTCTCAAGGATAATATCGTATGCGCGCAGCGGACTGTGACGCTATGGTCTTCCTTCCTGTTGCCTCCAGCGGCCGTGGTAATTTCTCCGTGTTGAATCTCAAGTTGACGGCCCAACTGAAGACAGCGGCCGACAGATCTTCCCAGCCTCAGCGTCTCCCACAACCGGGCGGCAACCAGGCGCACTTCGTCGGCTTCGGCATGCTTTTGTATAACTTCCTTTTCCAGTTGTTTGTAACTTTCATTTAAGCTCTTGACTTGGTTGTCAACCTCGGATAAGATCTTCCCGCTCGCTTCGGTTTGGTCCTTGGTAAAGGTTAAAAGGGGAATGGCAGAGCGAGTAGTAAGTAGATCTATATGCGAATCAACCTCCTGGGCGTCAAAAAGCACCTTGGACAAGGGCGTCGAAAGATCGAGAGGAGTATCATTTGGATTATTGGTAGCGAGAACAAGACTGTTTGCGAAGGAGGAAGGGCTGAAGCTAGGATCGAGAAAGGCCTCGTAGTCGACGTACGATACGTCCTCTGCCTCATTAGCGTCCATTTGCCTGCTATTCTTCGTAATAATCCGTACAATTGATAATGTAAGAAGCTCGGGGGTAGAATGGATGTACAATACGTGTATAAGCTCAGAGGTCCAATGCCCCACTACAGTTAACCTTAGCAATTTACAGTAACTAGTGCTATGTATGTAGCTGGGAAGACCAAAATTCAATCAATGATGTTCGAAGTTTCAAGTTTAACGTTAACATAATGCAGTGCTGGGGTAATGTAATGTTCTAAGCCACACCATGTGCCTGTATCGACCATGCTAAGCCACAGACCAGGTTGGCTATATTTTGATTAATTTGAATATTGAATGTCCAAAATGCACACATACATATGTAATATAAAATACCTAGAGTATCATAAGTGGTAACGTCCACATAATATCATTAATCAAATCCTAGCCCGCTCGGTTTATGTATTACAAGATTACAATATTCTTATCATCAAGCTTCATCCATCATGTCTATATCTCATCCTAAACCTCAGATACCGTAACCCTTGAATGCGTTGCCATCGGCCTTCTTATTCGCTCCGCCGCCCGCGCCGGTAGCACCGCCGACGGTACTTCCAACTGAGTTCGTGACGCCGCCCACAGTGTTACCCACACCTTCGGTTGTCTGGCCCACTGCGTTTCCAACTCCTCTAGTTGTCGAGTTGAGGCCTTTTCCGAGTCCTTCCGTCGTGCTGCCAACTGCGCCGCCGAGACCTCCTAAGAGGCCACCTTGACCATTTGCTTTCTCGCCTCCGGTGAGGACATTATCGAGTCCGCCTACTAGGCCACCCAAAAGTCCACCGTTTTGGTTGTTCGACATTGTGTTGAAAAGCGTGGCTGAAAGAACGGTCTATTCGTATTGGCTTGAAGTTTCAAATTGTAGTTGTAGCAAAGGTAAATGTGATGATAGTAAGTATTGTCAACCTTTTGGTGTTTGTTCAACTATACGATATGGTTTTATTCTAATCACAAACAGAAGAACAGAAGTTTAACTCATCGAGGCCAGCTTTCTTTTATACACACTTCAGTCCAAAGCATTTCTAAACAGCTACTCGTACAAGCTGTACGATGTGATGTAATGCAGAGACCTGGAGGATCGATCATTCTACTTTGTGAAGCAAGCAGAAACGCCACATGAACGCATACCTCTTTTGTGGCTTGCGTCAGCTTACCAGTTGGTGTGGCTACAAACTTGTTTCTTTCATTACTCCAGCTATTCAGACCCGGGATCCCGGTTTGCAAGAGCCAGTTGAGTTCCAGATTTATGATTTACAGCTAGGGGACATTTCTAGCAAGTCGTTTGATTTGCTAATCCGGATCTGCATGTCGCAGTGACGCTACTACCCCTCGATGACCGACAGGCCAAGACTAAATCACGACTGGCGTCATTCATAAGCGGATCGACAGCGATCAGTTGATGTGGTATAGTAGCCTCAAAGTCGATCTACCATGGACTACTATGGAGCAGAAGCATTGTCCAGGTCGTCGAAGAAAGTGACGTCAACCCCACATTGATAGGAGACGTCCGAATAATGCCCCAGAGCACCATGCGTGTTTTGCATAGTCTCCTAAATAGCCTACTGACCTTAAAACTGGACTTCTTTAGTAGGTACGCACCTGGTCGGCCCGGCGAAGTTCACGACCTCGCATGAAGCCTTCTGGTAGGAAAGGTACTATCCCGAACGATCCCAGGAAACACCAATCGACCAGTTCTTTGGCCGTCCCTGTTCCCGACCTGACGGGCCCAGGACACCACCAAGACGGGCCCGATGTGACGCCGTCTTGCTTCCTTCTAGGTACTAGTAAAACTCACCTCACGATCGACGATCGTTGGTGACACAAACTCTTAGTCAAGTCTTGATCCGAAGTCTAGATGTTCTAAAGGGGTACTATCCGCCATAGCGTCATGGTAGCCAAACCTGATATACAGCAAATAAGAGGCAGTAAATTATGAATTCAAAACTGGGCCAGCACTACGGAAGGGCTTACGATAGCTACACAAGAGATCTTTTCCTCTAGTCAAAGGCCTCAGTTTCGAGAGGCTACGACGAATCGAGATGTACCTCACGCAGTCTCTTAGTATCTGAGCTTCATTCTCAGCTAACTATGTCATTCAACCTATCAAAACTTTTGTGGCCAGTAACAGGCAATTACGGCATCGTCGTTAGGCCAAGATCAATATGTTACCCAAGTACCACATGCCTTGCATCCTACCAAGACCCCAAGACCGATTGGTGCTCCCTTCTTCGCCTAGGTAACATTTAATCGACTGGTGAGATGTGATCTCAATATGCACAGGATAAGCATGCAACACCGCATTATTACCTTTTTTGTAATAATCCCGAGTAAGCAACGCCTCCAGGTCTCTAAATACGGCGAGATACTTAGAGAACAAAAACGAAATCCTCGTTTTGCATGTCAGTGAGGTTTTCGAACGCTCTGTCACCGGGTCTTTCCATCTCATCGTTGTAGACAGCGCCGATAGCAGCGTCGCCTTCCTCTACGTTTCGAGCATTTTCCGTCTCTGCCGCCTGCGGGCTCTCTGCATCTAAACTGGTGTCGATTATGACGGCACTCTTTCCTAGTGCCACCCTCCTTGTCGCGTGATCTCGATTCAACATCTTCAGGTACGCAGTGGTGATCCCAACCAGAACAATGATCGCGATGTAAAGTCCCAGATTTGAGCGTAAGCCCCTGGTATAGCCGGGCGCTTCGTTTTGTGTATACAACAATGGACCAATTACGTTTCCAGTTGATTGGCCAACGAGGAGAATCGCATTCGTGCATTTCTTCTTCGTGTCACCGGCCGTGTTTTGTGACGCCCACGAGTATATGAGTGGAGCTGGAAGAGGTTAGTGATATAATTCATAGTCGTTGTTTGTTAGAACTACATACTTATACCCGGATAAACCGAGATTAGATAGTATCCGACTAACAGCGGCGCTCGGTGAGAAGCATCTCGGGGAAGGACCATAAGCATCACACAGCCCGCGATAGGGGGCAGACAGAGTAAGGCGATGACAGGTCCCTTCATCTTGATCTTCTGGGCGAGAAAAGCTCCCCCAATAGTGGCGACGAATTGCACAAACCCAAAGGGGATATTAAACAGTATAGTCCGGAATCGGTCAAACCCGAACGTCTCTATGATGAGCGGCCCGAACGTCGAGATGCCGCCGGAGGGGACGCTGATAGAGAACAGCAGCGCGAACCAAAGCCAAGACTTGGGGTCTAGGAGAGCCTCCTTTAAGTGGTCATTGCTCCACTCGCGCGAAATAACTCCCATTTGATTCATGCGCAGCCGCTCAACAGCGATTACTTTATCGTCATCGCTGAGGAACTTTGCTTCGATCGGTGAGTCGGGCATAAAGGTAAGCATCACGAAGCTAAACGCAACAGTGATTATCCCAAAGAATAGGAAGATTATCTATCCTTGCATATTAACATGCGTATCATACTACCTTATGGCTTAGGGGGGTAGAATCAAGTTACCTGATAGGAGCGCAGTTCTGATTCGATATGGCCTAGGCCGTACGTGATCAAGCTGCCAAACTTGAAACCTGTTAGTTGAACGAAACGATGCTCTCTGAAGGAATAAGATATGACTAACCATATTCGTGATTCCGTTCATCGCACTACATAATCTAGAGTTAGTTATCGATCATACAACTTCCACCTTCAGGGGCTAAAGTAGCAAGGTATACCATCGCGAATACATGCCGCAGCCGAACCCTAGCGAGCCAACATTTACTCCTGCGAATGAAATAAAAGTCATTTTCAAAAAACTGTGTGGTAACTTACTACCAGTAGCTCGTCCGAACCGTCTGCTCCCTCCTCCTCCACCACATCTGAGTGATGGCGACAAAGCTCGGGGCAACGCTGGCCTCGAACACGCCCAAGAAGAAGCGCGTGGCCAGCAGGCCGCCAAAATTATGGGCAGCAGCCATGCAAGCGAGTGAGATGCCCCAGCAGAGGACCATGGCGCTGGTGAACTTGGCGATGGGCAGGCGCACGAGGAGCCAGGCGAGGGGAGGCTGCATGACGAGCTGAGCGAGGTAGACAATGCTGCCGAGCCAGCCAAACTGGTCGCCGGCCAGCCGCGTGTCCTGCAGCAGCCCAAACACCGATGCGTACGCGAGCGTGGCCTTGTCCAGCCCCTGCAGGAAGTACACCGTCAGCATCAGCGGCAGTATCACCACGTCGATCCGCCGCAGCACTCGCGCCGAGTCCGCCGCTGTCACCCGGATCCGCTGTCCCGCTGCGTTCTTCGCTAGGAAGGTTGCCGCGATGTCTCTACCACCTCTGTTCCCCTCTTCGTCTTCGTCGCCGCCCTTATGCGCCTGCTGATGGGTGCCTGAGCGGGTGCCATCTCTGTCAGCATCGGCATCAGGGGGTGGCGCGTGCTCGATTTCCGTTACTGCTGCCGAAGGTGCTCCCATGTTTGTTTCTCTTCCTTTCTCCCTTTCTCCTTTTTCTTTTTTTTCTCTCTCTCTCGCGTGACCTGTCTGTTGGTTGCGGAATCGTGAAACCCCTATACTACGTATAGATGTATGCAATATGGAAGATGGAGGTTGTGTGACCAAGTGCAATGAGGAGTAATGGGCAAGTAAGTAAGGAAGTAGGGGTGTTTCTCTGTCCTTGTAGTACTCCGCACGCCCCCCTTGCCTATCTACATCTCTTTATCAAGGTTGGATCTGAGGGGTGTCTAGTCGGGTCATATTCCTAGCGACGTAGTAGCAGCTAGTTGATAAACGGCTACTGGTGTTTTGACTGACCAACTGACGGACTGCGGGGAGGCGGGGGCATGATACTAGATGCCCAACGGCCAACCTTTGGTAGACGGCGGCGCATTGCATTTGAGATTCTAAGGATGATTAGAAAAAACGTTAAACACGATGTTAGAACTAAGTATCTAGTACGGTAAATGCCAGAGGCGGTTGGATCTTTTTTCATCTGCTCTTCTCAACCATGGACCGTTTCTCGGGCCAGAAACGCTTTGGGGTGCGGGCGGTTGGGGAAGTATGGTCCCGCGCCGTTGGGAATTCAAGCTTTTGGCAACGCTTTGGCGGAAAATAAGACGGCAGAACGGCCGGGCTTATGCACAGCTGATATAACAGCTAGGTATTGCCTCCAATGCCAAGCCTAGAGAGGGATGTTTATTGCTAGTGTAAGCTTAGCTAGTAGGTACCTGGTCAATGTGTGATAGCTATCGGTTTGAATCTCAGGGGTTACATGTGAATAAGATCATTTCGGCTTTGGTAGCAATATGGACGTGTTACGATACATTTTCCAGCTTTTGCTTCCTTGCGTCTCATATGCGGAGAGTGTGCTAGGTAAGACATAACTTCTATGATAGCCAATCCGGAAGCCTACCTACCTACTACCTAGGTTAGGTAGGTATCACAAAGGTACAGACAGACCTATATACCAAGATAGCTACCATCAGAGGTCTTTCTTCAGAAAAAAAAAAATAAAAGCAAAAAAAGGTCATAGTTGTTGCTGTTGAACAACGGTCTTTTGGTGGGTCAACCGTTGTTGGAAAACGCACTGGCGCTGTAGCAGGCTATCAGAGCATTTTTAACGTTGAGTTCCAGTAGGATAACCTTGGAAGTTTGCTTCGAATCACCTGATGTCCCTAGAGTTATTCAGTTCCAGTAGCCCATAGCCATAGTCCGTACTAAATACTACTAGTAGTAAAGCAAGGGAATCCTCCCCGGTCCATGCGGCCTCCGGGTACTTTCGGGTGTCCGGAGGAATGCGGAATTCTGGACCAGAATGGGACATTTTACTTGCTTCTGACTTTGGCTTTCTCCAATTCGAATTTCCGACATTCGTTTGGTCTGGAATCTTTTCTGCATTGTTTGTGGCGCTTCCTAGTATGTAGCCAAGATGTAGATAGCGTAACGAGGTGCTTTAGTTTAATGTTGACCTCGCTCGTCGGACGAGGGTACCTACATGTGAATGATACGTATCACGCATATCCGCGTCGAAGTCGGAGCACATGTATTATCAGGGTAATTCATGGCAGAGCTTCGAGATAGTGGACATTGTCTCCTGTATTTATAAAGAAGAACGATATACCGGTTGCCCAAGCAACCAGCTCATCTCATGCTTCTTCTACGGGGCACCAGTATTAATTGAAAGAGGATTAAAGAAGAGCGGCGCAGACGGCGCAGTTATTAGTGACGCAATGCAATATTCAGGCCTCTGTGCGAACTTCCCAAGTTATGACGATAACTGCTACCATGACATGTTTGGGTATGGTAACGTACATTGAAATAGGTTAAAATAATGTCACGTCAATATCGGTGTGCTTGCCTTGCTGGAGCATTCTACAGAAAACAAGTTGTTTTCGCGGCGGTAGATTGTAAACTTCCATCAACTCGGCAATTTGTGGTTGCATTCTCATCTATTTGGTACATACGGCGTCGTGTACATAGATACACACATGTACAATGCATAGCAAGAAGTACATGACTATATGTATACCCGGATATATACTATGTACTACGTCGTATGTATATAGTTATGTGTATGTAAACATGCGGTTCATTCCCAACGTGGGTGACACATCCCGCGTCCAAAGAGCTTTGACCGGAATTCTCAAGCCCCTACTGCAATCGCCCGTTGATAAATTGCGGCTACTCACTTGTACGACAATTCCAACCGGGTGGTTGCTTGCTGAACAGGTAGGGCTGAAGGAGCTGATTTCGGGGAAAGACGTTTTAAATCGCTTTCTTATTAATATACCTAAGATCCTTCTTCTTAACCTTAGACAGGTAGGTAAATAGGTTCTGGTCGGGTAGGATGGATACCGAATGGATACCAGTGGCTTGCAGCAGGAACACGGAATAATGTGCGATGGAATTGAAACAAAATTTGAAAGGAACATGGTGACTGTGTGGCTTGATAGCCCATTTATGCATGATCATTTAACTAACTACCTCCTTACTTGTAGTAGTACTCTTTTGTTATAATATACCAGACCCCTTAAGCTACATTTGGTTGTTTATTGAAAAGTGATAAATCACGGAACTCTCGTATTGATAACGCCGCGGGCTAATTTTTAGAAAAGTAGGACAATAGCCATTAACTATAGCTAGCTAAGATACCCAAGGAAGCAAGGGAAGTAAGGGTAGTAAAAAAGAGTAAAGAGATTCAGGGGGGATCAACTTGTTGATTGGTGAACTACTTGGGTATGTACATACCACCCATGAATGTAGCATCGACAACATAACCCCGGGGTTCCCCACATGGAATGAGTCCTTCCATAGAGAACGCTATGCCGAATTTTCCTAATTCCTCCAAATTCTAGGCACATACTGCATGTATGTATGTACTACCTGTATACTACCTCAAGTACCGTGGACAGTATGTTAGGTCAGGTAGAGTTAACTGCCAACTACATATACTAACTGCTGACTGTGACTGCTGACTGCGTCCATACATGTAAAACTAGGTAATATACCTTACCTACTACCTACCTGGCTAGCAAGCGAGCGGTCAGACTATCTGCCATCCCAATTATGTCTCAGTCACGCGCGGATGTTGCTTTACCTTGCCGTGCAAACTTATTACCCACCAGGACATAAGGGAGATGGAACGTCTCTCGATAGCGCATTGGAATGCTGCGCCAGACAACAAGGGTATACACTGGGGGGGTGGTGTGGATGTGTTGCGGCGTAGAAATCCAATACCGCAGAATGCTAGTTAGGTAACTCACATCTTGGCTTTCGTCTCTTAATATCCAATCTTAAACGGCCAATATACATGATAGCTACCATATATATGGCCGCCCTGTCGCCTGCATGGCCTGCATCCAAAAATGGCGTCGTCGTCTCACACGTTTTTATATTCCCGACCTAAGTCTCTCATTAATATTACCGCCTTAGACGGCCCCGAGGCTTCACGGCGCTGCTGCAATGGCTTCCCTTAAGACCACTTTCCTTGTGTTATGCCAGCTCTTTTATCTTGCAATTGCCGTTAGTCCAGTCGTCGACTTGGGTTGCACCAAGTATGTCGGCGTGGCCAAGTACGATGGCATCTCCCAATGGCTAGGCATGCGGTTTGCCTCACCCCCTGTCGGCAACTTGAGATTCAGACCCCCGATAGATCCTCCGTGCAACTTCACCACCCAAGCAGCAAGCCAGGTATTTATATTTACTCCCTATCTACATATCTATAGTCATCCCTAAGTGGCCTACAGAGAGCTAACTTTGATAATAGCACGGAGCAGCCTGTATAGCAACTGGCGCCTCTCTCAGCAGTACTACGTCAGAGGATTGTCTGTATATTGATGTGTTTGCGCCTAGCGACGCAACCCCGGAGTCCAAGCTCCCCGTCTACTTCTTCATCCAGGGTGGCGGCTTCAATGCTCTCTCTAATCTCGGCTTCGATGGATCTGGTCTGATCAGGGCAAGTGGGAATAACATGATTGTGGTCACGTTCAACTACCGTGTAGGAGTTTATGGATTCATGACCAACGGCCCCTGGGTCTCACCGAATAACGGGCTTCACGATCAACGAAAAGCGATGGAGTGGGTAAAGCGGCACATCTCCAAGTTTGGAGGTGATCCGAACCATGTTGTCCTGGGTGGCGACTCGGCAGGTGCTGCTAGCATCAGTCTTCACATGGTGGCGTATGGAGGCAGGGAGACCAATCTCTTCCACGCCGCTGCCGCCGAATCCGTATCATTCGGCCCAGTCTTGACTGTGGAGCAGAGCCAATACCAATACGACAGTTTCTCATCTCGCCTTAATTGCTCAGGGCCCGGCCTCTTGTCTCTGTCATGTTTACGATCCAAAACCACCGCGCAGCTGCAAGCCGCGAACGTGGCGATACCTTATCCGGGCGAGAGCGCGGCGCCGCTGTACATGTGGAACCCGGTCATCGACGGCGACCTCATCCGAGACCACACGTACACTGCGTACGCCGAGGGCAGATTCGTTAAGATCCCCTTACTCGTCGGCGCCGACACCAACGACGGAACCATCTTCACCCCGCGGAACACGTCGACACTGGTCGAGAGCGAGAACTTCATCCGCAGCCAGTTTTCGGAAATCACAGAGCAGCAACTGCAGACAATCAGCGAGCTGTACCCGAACCCGAACGACACCTGCCCCAGCGCCGGCTGCTACTGGCGGCAGGTCAGCAACGCCTACGGCGACATGCGGTACATGTGTCCCGTGCTGTACATCTCGTCGGCCGCGGCGCCCCACCGCGACACCTTCACCTACCGATACAACGTCGAGGACCCACGGCAAATCGCCGACGGCCTCGGCGTGCCGCACACGATCGAGCTGAACGCGATATGGGGCGCGGGTTACACGAACGGCAGCCCGCCCTCGAGCTACGCCGCCAACGGCACCAACGCGCTGGTCACCCCCGTCGTCCAGGCGTACTGGACCAGCTTCATCCGCACGTTCGACCCCAACACGCACCGGCACCCCGGCGCGGCGCAGTGGGAGACATGGGATGCCGAGAAGCAGAACAGGCTGCTGTTCTCGACGGGCGGGGTCACCGAGATGGAGGCGGTTGATCAGGACACGAGGACGAGGTGCGAGTATCTCGGTAGCATTGGTGTGGCTATACTGCAGCGATAACATATACATATTATATCACACATATAAAGTATACATAATATATAGGTACCTACCTACCTATCTAGGTCACGCATGTTTTATTTTTCTCGTGCTTTCTCAGCGCCCTCCTTCGTGGGTTCGTACAGGCTTTTAGGGTAGATTTGTTTATGTACTATATTACTTGGAATCATGAACTTTTGTCATAGATGGCGTTGATACCCATTTGACCCTTACTTAGGGGGCATGGCTGGCTGGAATATAGGTACCTAATTGGGATGGGGTTTATAGCATTTGTCGGGGCGATAATAAGAGAGCATACAAACTATTTACTGCCATGTCGACGACTTGCCTTGTTGTCTGTCCACATCGGCACTTAGTAATCCCTTACTCATGTGAATGCCGATGAAGAACGTCTGTTCTCAATACCTACCCATTAGCTCCATACTACATACGTGTCCCATGGTTCGAGAAAATTAAGATCGGGTTAGGTAGATATTTTTAGGGCTGTGCCTCACTCACGCAGGCCTTGTCTGCTCGAGCGTACATTGATGATGATGATGATGATGATGATGATCGCCAAGTGCTGCATACCTACCTACACTAGGTCCTAGGTAATTATTCAGGAACGAACTGTGCCCTTCGGCTTTTGAACCTTGCTGCTCCCATCCAATCTAACTACCAACTGGCACTATTCGAGAATAGGTATTCCGGTAAGGTTCCAAGGCCTCGCGCAACCTTGCGTCGCGACACTGTCGTTTAATCGAACGAATCACAGACGCCTTCCAAGAAAGTGCCAAACCCTCGGTTCGCTCCACTCGTATTTACCAGATCTCCAGACTCCCAGATCCCCCCCTACCCTACCCTCGCTGAATAGATAACTTTAGGTTCTGACTGCCTATCGGATCCGGGTTCCACGAGGCAGATCATAACCGGGGCTTTTTTTTTTCTTTTTTTTTTCTTTTTAATATCGTCTAACTAATTAACCTAGTGTTATGTAGCGACATGGCACGGTTAGCTAGTGTATATCCACACGAAGGGATCGCCATCATGCCTACCCTCTCGTACACGTGAATTTAACGCGAACACGCGCTGTGCCGCTTTCGATACCTACTTTAATTTTCGAATGAGCCATCCATCGGCATGTTGTATAGGTATATGTATTTGACTAGTCCCAGCATGGCATGAACAAACCATGTCCCTACCGGCTCATACTCAAACACTCTGCCAACTCCCTCCTTCATTTCACCGCTTTTCGAACCTACATGTGCCTCTCAAGAGTCAAGACTTAAGACTTCCAATTAAAGGCCACTAAATCTTGGGTGATAGACATTGGAAAGAGGCACGACTGAGTTGTGAAACATCTCGGACACTTATGTAACTATAGAGATGTTGCCCGCATACAGGCATGGATAAGAATTGGTTCTTGGTAGAAACTTGCCCTGTTAACGCGGCTTGGTGCAATGCCCCTTAGGTAATGCCTGGCCACCTCCCAGCCCATGGACTGGCGCGATATGGATCAAGACGTCAGTGACGCGCAACGCAGTTACGCCTTTCTCTATACACCTACCTATCTATCCTCTATGGAAGACTATGCAGTTCTACTAGGTATACCGCTCAGTCCGGGTCGGCGGGAGTATCCCCAGCTCCGCTACCCGCAATACCCTCACCCTCGCCCTCGCCCTCGCCATCCCCCTCCAACCCCTCCTTCTCCCTCTCCTCCCTAAGCACCGCCACCTCCCGCTCCAAAACCGCCACCTCCCTCACCATGGCCAAGTGCTCGTCGAACATCATCTCCATCACCTCCCTCCACCGCGCGCTCTCCGCCACCGCCGCGTCCACGCCGCGTCGCATGTCCTCGCTCAACGCATCCGCCGCTCTCGCCTGCCACTTTTCCCTAGTACCGCAGTAGTGGTTAAAGTCCGCGACAAGCTGCGCGTGCTCGGCCTGCAGGCGCGCGTGCTTTCTCCGCAGGTGGTCGCCGTGTTCTTCGGCTGCTTGCGCGGTGGAGTAGAGCTGGATGATGAGGTCGTGCACGACGGGGGCGATGGGGGTTCCTTGGGCGCGCAGATCGGAGAGGATGTCGATGAGGAGGCTGTAGCCGTCGGTGCGGTGGACGTGGAGGGTTGGTGGTGGGCGGCGGCGTTGTTGTTTTGGGGGGTGGGTTTCTGGAGAGGTGGTGAGTAGGGTGGCTAGGGGTTTTCGTAATAAGATGCCAATGATGCCGATGATGACAATGATGAAGGTGATGATAGGTAAGTGCCTACCTGGGTGGTTACCGTTGGAGAGCCGCTGCTGGACCACGTGGTTTTGCCTATCCATGGTCGATGCCGAGAGAGCTACGCCGCTTATAACGTATGATTCTACAAATCCGTCGTACTTGCTGTTTAACAGATTGAAATGGGCAGCGAGCGTATCTATCGAGGCCTGATATTGATAAAAAAGGCAAAGAAAGGTGTAGCTTAAGAACAGTGGTCTTTATTAGGGGTAAATGAACAACAAGAAGCAGGGGCGTGTTGAATTTATATACAAGTGAAAGGAAGGACGATAGAAGCTGTCATGGTTGGATTTGGAAGGATCCGTGATCGTAAGTGGCCTCTTATCTCGTCATGGGCGTGAGAAACTCGTGATTTTAGCAAACAGTCACCTGTTGCCTGGCGCTTCATTTTAGGATTGGATCCTTCGCATTGAAGCCTTTAGGCCTAGCTAGGTTATCTGTGAGATATCCATGCTGGTGTTTGCTACATGGCCTTACAGTCAAAAATGCAACATTGACTGTCGATTCCATTATCTTGTCAGCTGCTACACGCTTACTAGAAAGGTACTTACTTACCTGGTCAAGTAGGTATGTATTAACTCGTTGCTTCAGCCTCAATTGAAGTTACGGATATTTTATCTGCATTCATGCACGTCCCTTGGTGTGTGATGCAGCCAGGGCAACGAGAATTAGTAGCATAGTTGTTCGTCGCTTGAGCTTGTAGCCCTTCTAGCCCCTTGCCGTACAACATTGGCGAATAAAGCACATAACTTCCTTTGAAGTGTCTTTATTTCGTATTGAAGTGATTTGAAGCAGCTCCAAGTGATCATCCATTAGATCGTGCTTAAATCTTGTCCATGAAAGTCGTTGTGGCCGTCTTTGTGCTCTGGTGGGATGGATGAAAGAGGTTGTCTCGAATTACTCGTCGGCATTGGAATTGAGCAGCCTAGTTTTTATGAGCAACATAGCCATAACAGTGTCTCTATGGTCAAGACATCAAGACAGCCTAGGTATCAAGAAAGAAGTAGGTATAACCATTACTTGCAAGGCTTGGCCTCGTCTCTCTGGAGATCAGACAATTGTTAGATAGGTATACCGACATAAAACAAAGACCAATAATGAGAGATCAACCATTCACTTTTTGGTGTGGCGGTAAAAACTACTAGGTAGCAATAATCTAGCCTCGTAGTTAGGTACGTAGGGGTGTCCTGTATGATTATCCAATGGCTTGACGATATAAGTGACGATATGTGACGGTAGTAGAAGAAGTACCGAGTATAACATTCCCCGGAAACGGTCGCCGGGCAACAGTTGACATCACCGGGTCATACCCATGACAGTAGACACCATGCACGTCGCCGATATTCCATTCGGATAGCTTCCAAGGTCCATGATGAATTCGTCTTAGGACCGATAGCTACCTAGGGTAGTACACGTACGCTCCCACAATAGGAGCAATAGGAGAGCAATAGGAAGAATTGTTAAGCAGCTAAGAGGGAACTAGCCCGGTTCGGGATGATACAACACCGACAACGATATCTATCGATAATAGTCAAATTACCTAATTACCTAATTACCTAACTCTATCGGAGCTTGTCAGGTACGGATGCTTGAAAAAAGATGAGGATAAAAAAGTATATCTCATATCATAAGCTCCGACTAAACTTAGACTACCCCGCCATTCATCCCCAATTCTCCATTGTATCCCGCGGGGTGCGTCTCCGCCCCCTCTCCGATTTCTCCGCAACGGAGCCCCTAGTGCTCCCCCCTTTAGTCATTTGGGCCAATGCCCATTCCCCTTTATCGGTGTAACATAGCTTCGACCGAGTATTCGTAGTTGCCAAGGAAATTACCTAGATAAAATTACCTAGATATTAGTATGTATATAAAGTTCAGGCAACCGCCAGCCAGCAAGAGAAAAGAGACATAGCATTGAATGAAACCGTTTTGCAATCTACCTAGGTACCTACCCTCTATAGTACTTACTATACTTGTCGAACTACTAGGTACATGGTTAGTTCTTGTATATCATTTGAATCGTAGTTGGCTCTTTCTGCTTTCTACTTCTACCCTCTACCTTCTGCTACCTACCATCTATCCCTTTTCTCCACGTAGAGAATCTATGGCCGATATCGTGCAGTTCTCTACGACCCTGATTTTTATCTCACAATAATACCTACACACCCAGACAGAATAAAATTAGAGAACCACCACCACCACCCACCAACCTACCACCATCACCATGTATCAACAATACGAACAAGTCCCTAAGCAATATGCCCCAGCTCCCTCAGCCGATGGCGCCGATTTGGCAAAGACTCCTTCATTAGCACTTAGCTCTACTGATGGGAAGGGCTCAGGACAATGCCATTTCAGCTTCGAAGCTCTACGCCCAAATGTCTTCCGCACTACATTTACCCATGATCAACATCCATTGGCACCGCATCCTAGCGCCAAACGCCCCGACCCTGCGTTTGGAAATGTCACCCCAGAAGTCAGCATTGACGCCGGAAAGAACACCAAATCCATCAAGGTTGGAACCACCAAGGCCGTTATTGATTGGTCCAACACACCAGTCGTTTCCCTTTTCTTTGATGGCCAAGAAAAGCCGCTTCATGAGGATCTTCCTTTCCGCTCGTATGCCCTTGATGGCACTGGCGTTGCCCATTACCTAAAATACGAGACTGATAGTCTCTACGTCGGCCTCGGAGAGAAGGCGGCACCCATGGACCTTAGTGGCCGTGGGTTTAACATCACAGCCAGCGACACCTTTGGCTATGATGCTTACCGCACAGACCCCCTTTACAAGCACATCCCCCTACTAATCAATGTCACCCCCGAGGGATGCGTTGCCATCTTCTCAACCTCTCACTCCCGAGCCACTTGGAATGTTGGCTCCGAACTTGACGGCATGTGGGGTCATTTCAAGGTATACCGCCAAGCTCACGGTGGTCTTGAGGAGTACCTCATCGTCGGCAAGACGGTGGCCGACGTGGTACGGTCATACGCCGAACTTGTGGGATTCCCACTACTTGCCCCACGCTACATGATGGGTTACATTGGCGGCGGCATGAAATACACCATGGAAGACGAGCCGCGTGCACACGAGTCGGTCCTAAACTTCATGAAGAACTGCGAATTGCACGATATGCCTTGCTCAGCTTTCCAGATGAGCTCGGGATATACCGTAGCAGAGACTCCACCAAAGACTAGAAACGTCTTCACTTGGAACTTACACCGATTCCCGGAGCCTCGAGAATTCACCCGTGAGTGCCATAAGTATGGCGTTCGTCTGCTAGCAAACGTCAAGCCGTATGTTCTCGCAAACCATCCCGCCTACGAGGAACTATCGAAAACAGGTGCCTTCTTCAAGGATTCTGAGACGGGGGCTACTGCGGTGGCACGTCTTTGGAGTGCTGGAGGAGGAGAAAGCGGAGAAGGCAGCCATCTCGACTTCACGTCGAAGGCCGGTTATAACTGGTGGTACAACGGAGTGAAGGCCCTTAAAGAGGTGGGAATCGATGCTATGTGGAACGATAACAATGAGTACAACACCCCTGACGATAACTGGCAATGCGCGCTCGAAACTGTTGAGGTACCGGCCGGGGAAACTCGTAAAAATATCGGATACTGGGGCCGAGCATTGCATACTGAGCTCAATGGTAAGAGTTCTCATGACGCGACGATCGAAGCCGAGCCCGCAGTTCGCCCATTCGTCCTTACCCGCAGTGCGACGGCCGGGACGATGAGATACTGCGCTAGCTCGTGGAGTGGTGACAACGTAACAAGCTGGGAAGGCATGAAGGGAGCCAACTCGTTGGCGTTGAATGCAGGCATGTCTTTGATTCAAGTAAGTATCAACCCAAGCACTCTGTTTTGTTTTGTTTTTTTCCAAAAACACCAACTAACCCCGAGTCTCACTCGTTAAGTGTTATGGCCACGATATTGGTGGCTTCGAAGGCCCTCAGCCTACCCCGGAGCATCTCGTCCGTTGGATTCAACTCGGCATTCACTCACCTCGATTCACTATTAATTGCTACAAGACGAATGCGGAGGATAGTCTCATCGGCGACGTCATAGAACCTTGGCAATATCCGTCTGTATCACCTATTATTCGAAATGCGATGAAGCGTAGATACGAATTGGTGCCGTACACGTACGCAAACATGCTGAAGTCCCATCGCGAGGCGATTCCTCCTCAACGATGGACCGGCTGGGGTTACGAGTCTGACCCGACGGTCTGGACCAAGGAATTGCGTCAAGGAGACACGCAGTACTGGTTTGGAGACGCCTTGTTAATTGCGGGTGTATACGAGCCTGGTGTCTCGACCGCACGGGTTTATCTCCCAGACCGAAGCGGGAGCGACCTCGGATTCTTGAATCTTTCGGCACCTTATGAGTATCTGGAAGCTGGCAAGTGGCACGAAATCTCTTCGACTTGGCATAGCCATATCCCGGTTCTTGCACGCATTGGTTCGGCTGTCCCGGTTGGAAAGGGTAAGCCGACCACGTGCGTCGCTGAGGACGATCCAGAATTCCCGAACATGCAAAAGGATGATTACCGAGCCGTCGAGATCTTCCCCCCACCGGTCGCGCAATATCCTCACTGCCCCAAGGGAGGCGCGCCTGATGTTCCGGCTAACGTCATTTCGGGGACAAAGCAGTTCGATAACTCATGGTTGGAAGACGATGGTGTGAGCCCCGCAGAAAAGGCAGACGCCGTTGAGGTTAGCATCACGTATGGCGTACTGGGCGACGCAATCAGCGTCAAGGTAGAATTAAAGAAGGAGGGCAAGTTTGAGCCTCTGTGGCTTAAGAATGATATCACAATTATCCTGCCCGTTGGCGAAGAGCGTCCAGTCAAATCGGCGGCTGGCGCGAGCGACAAACTGCAGGACTTGGGTCGGGATGAGAAGGGACGACGTATTTGGAAGGTTGGTGTCACTGCGAAGGCGTCAAAATAAAGCTATATATGGCTCTCACCTGGACGATTCAAAATTTATGACTCCCAGGCGAAGATATGAGAGCTTCCTCGTTTGTTTGAAGAGGTTTAGAAATAAGAGGTTATCTAGATAATATATTGGAGTATTAATGAACATTAATCAACCCAAGGCCGTTGCGGCGTTACTAATCGCGAGCTATCGTGTCAAATAACAGTGCGATCTCGTACTGTTTGTTGATCCAAATGATACTGTCTCCTTTACAGCATAGAAGCTGTCGCCTTCTGGCTAGATAACATATTTGAAGTTATTAGGTAGCAAAGAGCATTCCACATGGCTATCAAGCATTGCTTTTGAATTGAATACTAGGTAGGTACCTACCTCACCAGGTACATGTAGAATAAGTTCAAATGTTCCTTACATTTCATGTATCTACTAGGTACTACGAAGGTACCGAATCTAACGCTGCCTATCCATTTTATGACTTGAAGAAGAGATCTCAACGTAGCATATGTAGGTGTGAATATCAAGTAAGTTACCTACCTACCATCAGGCAGCTTTTACTTACCTTACCTTATGTAACACGATACTATTGACCACGATCAGACAATAGTTCTATTCAACTAAGAATATTTCATCGAACCCAGCCGGTTGGGTAATGTCAGACAGATTATTTACAGGTTATTGATGATGTGCAGTTCTCCCCCCCTCTTCCCTTTTTGAGACAGATGTCGCCGCATTGGTTTTTGCGATGGGTGGTGGGTGGGTGGTTATTTGGGAGAAGTTGAGGGCGTTTCTGTGAAGCTTCTATTGTCCGGATCTGGAGGAAGTGTGAGATATTACATCTGTACTTGGCAGCCTGAGAGGGTTGCCTCATTGGTTTCTATAATTTTGCCCGGTGGAGTTGGCTAGAAGTTACTCTGGATAATATGCAATTCGGTGATTGCTCTTCTGCTTTGTGTAACTATACAGAGAGTGAGTTTAATGTCGACAGCTGGCATGTACTCAACTGAACGACATCTGGAGTTGAATACCTACCTAGTACTAGGTATTCTCCGGTGCCTACTAGGTACATAGGTACAAAGCAATACAGTGTGCAGATTCGGATGCGCATTATACACACTGTAAGGATTTGAAAGGATTTACCAATTTTCTGATTGGCCATGTGCAACGTTTAAAAAGTACTGCCCCACTTACTGATTTCGCAGCCTGCCGGACCACTATAAATACCTAGCCTCCATTCCCCAATTTCTAACTCTTCTTTCTTTTTCTTTTTTTTTTTTCTTCATACTTACCTTGTACGAAGAGCCCTCGCTCAAGAATGAGGGCTCTTATGGAGGGATGCCTGCATTGCACATCGCGGAGCCGCCCTCCATCTATTATCCCTCGTGGATCGTAGTGTGCGCAATTTTTGATCTCACAAATTTCTGTTTTCGTTGTGCGCCGGTGCCCTGCGGGTGCATTGCCATGAGGAAGATGGTGCGAGTTAGGCAGAGCTTTAGGATTTACGTGGGAAGGCTCGAAATGTGTAGAAGAATTAGGAGTCTGTTGGTTTCGGTGACAAATGATTCGCTATATTGTGCGTCTCTGTGCCTTACCAAGTATGTGGCGAGAACGTGATAAGCTAGATGCATCAATGCGTATGTATGTGGTAGTGGAGATTAAGAAAACATATCTGCGTCACCGAGAGGCAGTGTCATGCGAGGGACGCGTAAGAGATAGTTATGATTCATGAACTCCATAATTGTAGAAAGGAAATATATTTATCTCGGGCCACGGTGTGACTCTTTCGGATATTAAAAGAATAAATATTTACACTTGATCTAACTAACTATGCCCAAAGGCAAAGAAAGCTGAAAATGAAGAGAAAGAGTGAAGATAGAAGTGGTGCAAGGCGTAAGTACGGTCTTTTTTAGAAGGCGGTGGCGCTATGTAGGTGATTAGGCGCTAGGTAAAATTGTCTCATCGTCCAATCAAAAGCCATGTATACTCTCTGTATTTAGGCACAGTCAATTAAATTTCAGCTGGATGTCCCTCCTAACTCATACCCTCACAAATGTGTCTAAATTCATGACCGAACTCTTGAATCATACCGACTAGTGTCATTTCATTCTCAGCTCTCGAATTGACATTGCTTGGCTTTTCTTACCTTATTTTTTATACGTTCTCACCTTGCGCCATGGGCAGCCACGAATCCCCAGATGACGCACGAAGAGCCTCGCGGAACGATGGCGATGATACCCGCTCGCGCCATAACTCCCACCGACACGACGACAGGCGAAAGGAAAGATCCCGCAACAGATCTAGAGATAGGAGACGCCACCGACGCTCAAAATCCCCTGATGATTCGCGTCGACGTAGATCGAGTTCGCGAGGCCGTGGCGACGTAAAAAGGCGGAGACGCTCACACTCACGCGACCGTGACAGACGCGGCGATAAAACCTCACTCCGCCATCGGGCGCGAGATGACGATGACGGCCACGATAGCCGGGACAGGGGTGATAAGCAAATAGTAAAGCGCAATGGCCCACTGCCATCACAGGCTGATTCATTCGCCGTTACCACCGGCGAAGAGCCATCAAAGCCAAAAGAAAAGCCCAATTATGGAATTACAGGTGCCTTGGCTGCTGCCTCCAACTCCGTCGTTCAATCAGATGGCTCCAGGATTGTCTTAAAGTATCACGAGCCGCCCGAAGCCCGCAAAGCTTCACCGAAAGACCAGTGGAAATTATTCGTGTTCAAGGGGGAAGATATCATCGATACGGTACCCCTTGGAGGTCGAAGCTGCTGGCTAGTAGGCAGGGAGCTGGCTGTGGTGGATCTACCCGCTGAACATCCCAGCATCAGCAAACAGCATGCAGTCATACAATTCCGGTATATCGAAAAGCGTAATGAGTACGGCGATAAGATTGGCAAAGTGAAGCCCTACCTCATCGACCTGGAAAGCGCCAATGGAACTATGCTTAATGGAAAGAAAATACCAGAAAGCAGATACTTGGAGCTTAGAGATAAGGATATGGTGCAATTTGGGCAGAGCACACGAGAATACGTGGTAATGCTTCCCCCCAAAGACTGAGCTATGAGCCTTGTCGAACAAAGAAAATGTTGGTTTGTGGTCATTCCACATGTTCTATTTTCGCCACGCTACACTTACACTGTGTATCTGCTGTGCCTACTGCGCACTTTCACTTTTTAGATGGAGACGGACAATGTCACAAGCAGGTAGTTCCGCAAAGAGCCGCACCTAGAGAGCAGCTAAATGAAACGACAAACCAGTTATTTCCTCGCTATGGTATTCTCATCCTCGAATATCTTCTATCAGCATCGCTCGGCACATCCTCGCTTCGTTCCCGAGACAGAACCAAAGAGGCTATTATCGGCACGAGTCGAAGGAGCGGTGTCTTTGAATTGACGTTACACCCTCAAAACTCGCCTCTAATCTAGCTGATTGATACATCACTCGCTGACCCATGATTACGAGATGGTTCTTGAGGTTGGGACAATTTATCAACAATCACGGGATTGTCTCGACATGCGGGTGACGACTTTTGGATGCTACTACTCAAGTCAAGGAATATAAAGTGACAGTTCATAGCGATGCCTCGTTTTTAAAAGGCCATGTCTCGGAACACAGGAACCAACAATCTGAGGATTGGATGGATATGCCGAACATTCGGCTGTGTTCCCAACAGGTGGTATGCGAGGGTGTGTGCCTGGCAGATGGGACTGTGATGAACCGACAATGGTGGTGATAATCGATTGGCCCTTTTCTAGCCGCCTCACATACACACACACACACACACAGATACACGCACGCACGTAAAGAGAGAAGGAGATGCCTTGGCCCCCTAACCTCAACCCCTTACATGATGGGTGGCAGAGTTGCCATGGCACACGAGTTGATCGCAAAACTTTTCTAGGTAGTACTAGATCAACAATTTATCCCGTATCGAGATCCATCACGACATAACATCGGGCAGAGCGAGTCCAGAATACTCCGTATTGGGGACAATATTTTTGATAATGCAACCTCAAGATGCCTAACAGCTAACCTATTCCTCACTTATCCCTTCATGTGAAAATGTCTATTTTGAGGCATGTGAAAATATACAAAGTTCGTCGTAACCAACAACCCCTGGTCTGGGATTGGTCCCTTGCCTTTGCTTACCTACATACCCTACATAGTACCTGGCTAAGCACGTTGTTACAATGTAGAAACGTTGAAGTTAATACGTACATATGTAAATACCTACACATATACATATACATAGGTATGTATCTGAGTTGCACTTGCGATCGCGATGTCGTACCTTGCACTAGGAACCGAATGAATGGTCAGGGTTTAACTCTAATAAGGTGGACCATGGCCTTACCTCGCAGGCCTTGTCCCAATCGCACGTACATCCATGGATATGTAGGTCAGGCTGTGAATTAGAGATCTCTCAGCAGTCCTGCGGGGTACATCACGGTGCTCTATAGAATTACATGCATCCATGATGTACCTACATAGGTAGATGTATTAGAAGATGTATTAGGTAGTCTACATACATAATGGATCACTGTGCATCGATGATATGCTTTAATGCTACTTAAATATAGATGCCGACTATTATGTACGTAATAATTGAATTGATTTCTCATTCTGAACATTTGAACTTCAACTTGTAACAATAGTACCTACACATTCATATGCACCTACCTAATATATAGCTAGTTAACGCTTACTCCATTTTAATGCCGGGCGTCTCATGCGTCATAAGTCTTAGCTTTCGGTACATCAGTCCCTAGCAACTCCATGTCACAAGTCCCTATCCTATACAAAACCAGGCTGTCTTTCCTAAAATATTATTAGCGTATGTATGTAGTATTTCCAACCAGCATGAACATGTTTGTGATAGATATTTATTCATCCACCCAATCAATAATTTTCCCCGAGCAACTTCATGGAGTATATGGGACTCAAATAATGAATAATGCGATTTTACCTGAACGTCAACTCTCTCTACAGAGTCTACACTAGGGCTGTCACTTTCTATTCTTATACAAGACCCCTTACATTCCTGCCGCCCACCCGTCTTACTGCATATCCCTAGTATTATCTTAGCTCTCACTTTAATGCATCCTACTACGTTGAACTACGCTATATAATATATATGTAGTAGGCTCATAGGTAGTGTAGGTATACTACCTAGGTAGGTTCTATGCGTACCTATATCCGAAGGTTACACTGAGCCAGGCAGCAGACAGACAGGCAAGGTTGAAAGGGTTGCGTACCTAAATTTACCTAGTACTAAGTAACTAGGTAGATATCAATTGATATCGGCAGGAGCACTTCAGACAGTAGGGAAGGATTGACTGTATACCTAGTATAGTAGGGGTGGTGTGGGGAAATAATAGTACATACATAGGTACCTACCTAGGTTAGTAGGGTAGTACATAGTTATATGTATGACTAAACCAAATCAATATTGCTGAGGCTCATGTAGAAGGAGGGAGCAGTATGTATGCACCAGCTGACGACTGACCCCATGATGCCTGTCCTCGCTTCTTTTCCCACTTCGTTCAACCTTGCGATGTGACTTGTATATACCATCCACCCAAAAACTAAAACAAATTGAAAATATTATTCCTCAGCTAACCTTTAGCGACCTTTAAATCATCTGACTTGAAATAGAGCAACGCCGTGTTGAAAGCACATGGAGGATAACCGGGCTGTATGGGGATTGTCTCCAGCCACTGGGTCAGGCTGGCCTAAGGAATACGTCCCTGTCTGAGCATACCGCGTACCTCAACTCTGTCGCCTCCCTACCTGGGTAGGTATATATATGCTTTCATTGCTGACGTCTATTGTCACGCGCGGCATCCATTATTGTGAATTCTTACCCACCTTCGTAAGGAGAGGCACACGCTTTCCCCAAGTACATCTCAGGCCTACACACCCCGCCATACAACAGAAAAGGTAATAATACCTACCTCGACGCCCTCGCTTCGCTCATAAGCAAGCATGGTAAGTTGATACCTATTTTTATCCTTTTTTTATTTTATCAGTTCCTTAGATACTATGTATCTGGGACGAGTTGGTGCCTTTGCGATATCTCATCTTGGCTACCCACCACAGTATTGCCATTGTTATCAACGGATGGGTGCTTTAAGATGCGATTTGTTCGCTTTTGGCAATGCTCCCTGATTCGTTTTTTGAGGATACACTTAATTCAGCAGTGGACGACTATATTCCCGTCTACAAACATGGGAAGTTTGCTGACCTCGGCTCCTTCACAGGGCTCGATCAATAAACAGATCTCCCGCTACGAGACGACAGCTGTATATACCCATCCCGATGCTAAAGTCGATATCGTCCTTGTTCATGGTTTGAATGGTGACCCGCAGAAAACATGGACGGCCAAAAATGGCGTTTTCTGGCCGACCGACCTGCTTCCCACCTCTCTGAGAGACGCTCGCGCAAATGTTCTCGTGTACGGATATAACGCCGATGTATATTCGAAGAAGCACGGGTCCAACCCGAGCGACAACTTCATATATATGCACGCACAAACATTAGTGACGTCACTCACGCATTACCGGAAAGATGAGATGTCGTCTCAAAATCCCATCATATGGGTGTGTCACAGCTTAGGCGGGATACTTGTGAAGCGCGCGCTGTTGTACTCGAACGATTTGAGAGCCTCGCAACATGAGGACTACCGATCTATATATGTCACTACGTACGGCATGGTCTTCCTCGGCACGCCACATACAGGCTCTGATGTGGCAGCGTGGGGAACTATGCTGCAGTCGATGTCAGACGCTGTGGTGCCTAAAACCTTCTTTCAGTCGGAATCAGTACTTCTGAGAACGCTGAAGAGAGACAATGAGACGTTACAAAATATTAATAGTCATTTTCTCGACATATATCAGCGATTTAAGATACTTATGGCGCACGAGAATCACAAGACGGATTTAAAGGGAACTAGGGCACTCATAGTCGATGCAAACTCCGCGGGCCCACAGCTGCCAGGTGTGACGTACTACGCCATTGAAGCGACACACTCTGGTATGTGCAAGTTTGAGAGCAGGAATGCACCAGGTTACAGGACTGTGGCTACGGCTATTCGGGAATGGGTCGTAGATGCACCCGACGTTATCGCTACCCGGTGGAGGGTAGAAGAAGACGAGAAGTTGGCGAGGGCAAAACACGAAATAGCAGAAAGGATGAAACCATGGGTATGTTGTTCCCTGAAGGCCGGGCTCTCACAAGAATGGCTCATCTAACTCTTCGCAGCTTGACTCGCAGCGCCTCCAACAGGTTGGCCAAGGATCCAGTAGGTTACCAGCTTTGCCTTTTTTAGAAAGCAGCTCAGACCGTTCTCAAGATCGGTCCCTAGGGGGCTCTTTATTTGAGAATGTTCAACTTCCTTTTGAGATAGAAGAGATTGACGATCATTCAAGAGATCGTTCACGTGATCACTCACAGGATAAAATTAGACGCTGATGTACAAGGAGTTGTGGCTGATTGTTATTTTTTTCTATAGTTCCTCAGCAGCATAATGAGACTACATTACCCCTATCCCAAGATCCCACGAAGATCGATCATCAATCTAGACCGCTTATTACCGCTCCCGAAACACCCAATCAGGGGCCGGAAGAGGAATTCTTTCCGTCACAGCAATCTAAGTCGGATGATGAGCCATCTCAGGAGCCTATATTCGTCAAACCGACGGTATTCCGACCTAACACGTACTTTAAAGGTCGAGATAAAGAGTTGAAACTGCTGCACAAGATGCTGATGGACCGCAAAAGGAGATCGGTAGGCACCTCCTCAGTCCTAATCCAGAGCATGCCCGGTGGTGGTAAGACTCATCTAGCACGCCATTATGTCTTTAAACACAGATACGACTACCCGGGTGGCATTTTCTGGATTCGAGCAAAGTCACTAGAGGAAATAGACTATGGTTATTGGGATATCGCTAAGACGGTGGGCCTAAGTGAGGTGGCTTATCCGGGTCAAAGTGGGTTTAGTGATACTCGTAGGATGGTTAAGGCTGTTCAAGCATGGTTGAGTAGCAACGACAACTGGCTGCTAGTCCTAGACGGCATTCACTTCGACCATCCCGATCTCCAACACTACATACCATTTACTAGGAATACTAGCATCATCTACACATCGACGGAGCGAACGCCGGGCGAAGACTACCAATTTGATAACCCCCAGGTCATGGCGTTGGATTCATTGAGTTTACAGGAGGCTCGGGAATTGCTTTTCGATGAGATGGGAAAGAAACGACCATATACACAGGATGATTTGAAACGCGCAGAGGAGCTGGTCGATTTAATGGATCGGCTACCCCTTATGATTCATGTCGCAGCGCTGCACCTGAAGGCCACCAAAGAACCTCTTGCAAAATACTTGAGATCGTACCGAAGTCGTCCGAAGGTGGGGAAGTTGCCAGCCTACCGCGCGGTTCGTGAACAACTTGAGCATAGAGGAGCCAGTGCTGCGCTCAATTTGATGTCTCTGCTCTCTTTCTTTGGTCCACACATCCCGGTCGAAATGATAGTACTAGGTGAGTTCTTTTTTAAGGATGGCCAGGACTCTGCTTTTACGTGCTAACGACTATCTTAGGCGCCAGAGCTTTGGACAAAAGGACACCGGTTAGATCAGCGGATCTCGAAACACGGAGGAACTCGTTAAACAACACGTTCAAGATACTTATTTCATTTGCCCTCGTGGAGAGGAACGAAGTTAACGAGGCCTTCTCGGCGGCTAGTACACGTAGCACGCGTAGTGTTGACATGGGCCAAGACAGCCTCGATATTCTGAGAATTCACGGGATTGTTCAGGCTTTCTTCGTCGATGTCCTTGCTGAGGAGAAGCAAGCGCATTTCTGGCTGGAACGCGCAACTTGTGTCTTTTGTAAAGCTTTCGATGTGAGCGACAGCAGAGTTAATCAAGATTTTCGGACGGGAGTACCGGAAGACTTTAGAAGATTCCGGATTCATGGGGAACGACTACTAGCTCACCTCGGGCGCTTCGAGAGAAGATATCCCGAGCTGAAGCAGTGTCGAGAACTAGTAGAATCACGTTTGAGTACTATTGATAAGCGGATCGATCAGCTCACCAAGAGGATTACGGAGGTCTCTAGTCAGGGATCTGCAGCGGCGATCTTGTCGGTATTTGAGCGGAACAACAGTTTATCTGAAGGAGATTCGGAGACGCCTCCGAGTAACAATAGCATAGCTGAACCCTACATGCTATATGACGAATTCTCGCCATTGGAGTCACCTGCTATTTACGATCCCATCAACGCAAACCCTTACCACTGGCACGTTACTTACCCATACGGTATACCTTACGACGACACAGATTATTCCAGAACAGTTACGCCGCAACCAGCACCGACGGAAGTCTTCGAGTCGATGACTATGCCAGACGATGACGAGATTACGCGTGAGGTATTTGGGCCTCATCATCGGACTATCAAAAGGCACTCCACACGACGTTACCGTGACCATGCTGGTTCTTGGAGAGCCGCCTCACAGATTCTCAGCGATCCCCGTGTTAGTATCAGCCGCGAGACAGCAAAGGGTATCATCAATGCAGGAACAATTCCAGAGGAATCCAAGCCACGTTCTTCCAGCGATAGCCTAACGTCAGAAGCGACCCAAGCGCAATTGAACCTTGATCGTATCAATAGGGGACGGTCACCTTCGTTCCCACAGGCGAGCTTAGAGGGCAACATTGATGCTATCAGTGACACTAGTACGATCGTACGCCCGAGACTTACGGCAGGTAGACCATCTTATGCTGATGCCAAGGCCGAGGCTGCTGTCGGAGATGATTATCCTGTCTCAGTAACGTTTTCCAGTCCGGCACCGTCGCCCAACTATGCTATGGCAACGATTTTGAAACGTAAAGAGAATGATCGTTCTGTATCGCTCGAAGGCCTTGCTCCCGTGAAAATCTCCAGCCCCCTAGCCGCAGCTCCACTCACCACTACATCTCCCCCATCACCTAGCCCGCCAACGACGCAACTACCTGTATTGTCGGAAGGTGAGGGAAGTGGGCATGTTTTTAAGCCGCCTTCACGGCCAAATTCAACTTCTTCCAGACACCCTTCGAGGCCATCTTCGGTGCCTTTGTCTAAATCTGTACGATCTAGCCCATCGCATGCAACGGGTCCTTTCGCGCCACCCCCTCTCCCGATCGAAGTCAATACAACTAGTAGTTTGCGCTCACCTCCGCTAAATACTCATTTGGATACAAGCAATCGACTGCCACAACAACTCATTGATAGGAATGTCGAATATGCATCTCTAGCTCATTCACTGCCATCAATCCGATCCCAATCTAATCCGCCATACCTACGTGCAGCGCCTAGTCTCCCCGAAACTCTCACCACCTTGGATCACCCACCACCGTGGGCGGTAGCTCCTAATCTGCAGTCACAAGGGTACACTAGCCAGCCAATGTCACGAGATCCGAGCCACCAATCAAGCCATAGTCACGGCTCAAATAGCTCACTACCTCGCAATGGATCACCTCTAGCCCGAATCTCATCGTCGTCTGGCTCACAGATAATGCAGAGACCTCACTCGCGCCGCCCTAGTATGGTTGAGACAGAGCCTAGCCCGAAACTTAACGGACTCGAGCTAGAACCCCTTGACACCAGCTACTCGCTATACGGCGAGTCCGCTCGGGGTCGCAGACGCACTGCCTCAGGCACTTTGCCGTATCCTTCGACTCCGGTTTCATCAAATTTCATATCTCGGTTCCGGTCTATGAGACGGGACAGTGGCAGTCGTCGCCATAAGTCGGCTAGTGGACGCCTTATTAGTCTGACTCGCGGTTCGAGGAATCATACGAGCCCAGACCTGGAAGCGGCGGCCGGAGGCGAAGCTATGTCGCGGTCTGGATCTGGATCTGGCGGGATTCGCCTCATAGATGGCACAGTCGTGGAATTTGGATCCCCGCCCCTTGGGAGCCAGCCACCGACAAATTTGAGCCAAGTTACTGTCGCCGCCGGCGGTGACGGTGCTGGTGCTAACGCTAGTCGAACTAATAGCATGAGCCCGCCAACTGCCACGAGCCCCCCTACCCATGGATTATCTAGATTTAGCCCCCATCGCCTCAACGGAAAGAGGGAAGGAAGGAGGAGGACCGGAAGTGACAAGGTGGAAAACCGCACCGCCGCTTCTACCCCCACCCCCGCTATAGGCCTTGGGATTCAAGAGCCACCACGACGATCGACCTGAAGTCTTTCATGTGAATAAATACTTCTGTTTCTGTATATACATACATGTTGCTTTTAGGGCAGGAAAAGTCTGTAACATTACATCAACTGTGTTCATTCGTTACCAGGGTTGGATGGATTGCACCTATCTACCTACATATAGGTATTAAGGAGGAGAGAGAATGTGGACAGCTAGCTGTACTTGACTTGGTTGACACCATCAGGTACATATGGCATATAATTTGGCATCGCATCGCATCGCATCATAGGTACCGGATCGCATATATACCTACCTAGGTAACTAGTAGTATCAAATAAAAAATAACATGCATCGTAGGTTAGGTTAGGTTAGGTTAGGTTAGGTCGGGAAAGGGAAAAGAAACGAAGAAAAGAAAAGATAAACTACCTAGGCTAGGCACCTGGCAGGCTCCTAGGTTAGGTAGGTAGGTAGGTAGGTACTTTGGGTACTTTGGGTACCTACCTATTTAGTGCGTATTTGCTTCGTCGTTTGGGATTTGCTTCGTTGTACCTATGGGGGGATAGGATAGGGGAGAAGGGGAGAAGGGGGGGGATACAGTAAATACATCTTAGCTTACATAGGTACCTAGGACTTGGGAGAGATTGTAGAGATTGCCATAGAATAGCTACCTACCTACCTAACCTAGGTAGATATAGGTAGATAGATAGTAAAACTGTTAACGCCATCTCTAGGTACATACATATAATAAATCATGAAGCGTGACTTCTTAGGTTGGTTCCTTTTATTAACTGGTCGTCATGCTAGTACTACGTAGTACGAGCCACATAAGAGAGTGGGTGAGTGGGTGGGTGGGTGGGTGATAATACCTACCTACCTACCTACCTACCTAGGTACTACTACTCACTCGACAAGAAGAAATCCAAAGTTGGCAATACCACATACGCAAACACGCACATAACTATATCTTCTCTCTCTCTCTCTCGTCATCAATGTTTGTTATACGTTAGATGCTTAGGTTAGGTAGGTAGGTAGGTAGGTACCTACATATGTACTCCAAGAGGGAGATCTCAGATGCCAATGGATTAGGTACCTAGGTCAGTATTATACCATACAAATAAATCACAAATCACAAACCACGATCAAGCAATCAACCAAGAACCGAATCACCAAAAAACCAAGTCATAAGAAGAAAGAAAGAAAGAAAGAAAAAAAAATTGTACCGACAACCACGTCTCCCATCCCCCAACTACAGCAAAGCACAGCGCTTCGCTGCGGCAGGGAAGGGAGGGCAAATGGTCAATTCGCTTTAAAAAAAAGCCGAACCAACCCTAGCCCCCACCCGTGATAGAGTATATCACCCTCCTGGGATTGTCGGCGCGTATTCTCATTACCGAGAAATACGTTGGGGGCGCTTGAGCCTCCCTCTCCTCCTCCCTTCCCACCCTATCCTTTCCCTAGAAGAAAGAGGGAGACAGAGAGAGAGAGAGAGAGAGAAGAAGGGGGGGGACAGCGCAGCCCAGGTTTAATGTACCGCGTAGGTTACAGAGCTTCAAGGAAGGATCTCGCCTTGTGCTCCACCTTACCGCGCGGAAATGGGGATGGGAATAGGTAGGTAGGGACATGAATTCATGGTGGCAATAAGCCATTGAGAGGGTAGGGGACATGGAACAGAGAGAAAACCAAAGGAAGAAAAAAAATGATATCATCAAATGGTTGATCCTTCGTGTTTTTTGCTACTTGCCTGCCAAGAAGGAAGTCCTTTGAGAAACTTGGGCATCCTAGTGTGTTTGTTCAAGGTTAGCACGGGGTATCGTACATAGCATAGTTTCCCAACCCTCATTAAGTCTTTAATTTGTGATAGAAAGCCCTAAGTGATCTTGGGGAGAAGGAAAGAAGGCTACGAATCGAAGATGACCTTCTTCCGACCTCTTCCTCTACCATTATCCAGGGCATCCAACTCGCGGTCGATTTCCATTATATCCAGCATTTCGACCTCGACGTCTCTCTCATCCTCCTGGTCCTGTTGTTCGGCATCAGCTGCAGCGTTTAAGCTGTCAGCAAATGCAAAGCCGGATCTCGGTCTCGTAGGCAGATGTAGAGGTCTTTGTTCAGATTCTGTCTGCGTCGAAAAACTATTTATCGGTGATCCACTGAACAACCCCTCCATGCCTGGCCTTGAAAGCTTCCTTCGGGGACCGACAGATAGGTTGTAAGCAATGCTGCCGGGCTGCTCTGGTCGAGGATAGACAACAATGGCGCTATTCTCTTTTTGTCCACTTAATCTCTTTCGCCGGCCTATGACACCACCAATTTTGGTGCCAACAACGGTTTCACTCTCTCGAACGACAACTAGCCTTGTCTCACCACAAACCACCAGTTCACAAGGCAGCCCTTCATTGCCTGATGGGTTGGCATCGACATTATCAACAAAGCGAACAATGGCACCAAGATTGGTGCAACGTTCACCCATCAACCCAACACTTAAATCGTTGAGACGGACCATTCGTGTCGGTTGCGCTCCACTGAAAAGGTTGACGCCACCACCCACGCCTTTACGTATCTGTGCATCCCAGAATTTTAGAACCCCAGGAATAATGAAGACGTGCTCGGCACCTCCAATCCATAAAGCAACACTTTCATCGGATGTCGTGGTCGAGCTTGCTGGCAGAGACGTCACTACAATGCCGCCTTTTACTGACGCTAGGCGTTCGGGTCCGTTCGGGGTCGCCAAAGCGTCACGTCGGGAATGAGGAGTCATGGGGACAAAATCAGAACCGCCACCAGAAGTGCGTGAAGAAGCGGGGTTTCGCAAAGGACTTGTCCCCTCAACGTAGCCAGATACGTTAAATTCTGTCAATGCGTCGCCGCGAATACCAGAACCAGCTTTACCAAAGAGCGCAGGACCCTGTGGAGATAGGCCATCAATATCCCAAATGCCCCACTGTCCATCGCCAAGGAGAGCAAAAATGGCTCGACCGTGGGCGATCCAAGATGCCGCCAGTATGGGTTTTCGTGTCGAGGAAGGTCGAGAAAAGGGGGCGTAGAATGTGATAAGCCAGGAACCTTGGGAGGGGAAAGGGCCCTCGGACAGATCCTCAGGAGGCATCGAGGCAAGCGCACAGTCGTATATCCTGACACCATCGGGTGAAGCATTGCATAGTAGTTGGGTCGAGTGGGTGGGGTTAAAAGAGATGGATGTGAGAGGTTTGGGTAGATATTCAGTCTGGAATGGTTGGATACGGCGGCCAACCTTGGATGCGTCTTCCAGCGGTACATCCCATAGTCGTAGAATGCCAGAAGCTTCACGAGATTGAGCAGCTACGATCACTCGTGGCAAGGAGCTGGATTCGGGGCGCGATCGGTCGTTCGATTTGCTACGCTCGAGCACAGCCTTGGATCTGATGAGAGACATGGCCAATCCATCACTAGGTCGAATCTGGCCTTCAAGAGGAGTCGTGGTCTCACCCCACTTGCCGTTGCCAACTCTACCGGCCAGTAGACTCTCTTGCAATTCAGCCCGAGCTTTGCTTTGTGGTGATGGAGGCACTAGAGGCAGTGTGATGAGGAAAAGATCACGATTAGCACATGAGGCAGCAAAGACCATCTTCTCCTTCAGGATATCAGCGCCTCCCCAAGCTGCGTCTTCGGCCGTGCATGGTGTTAAGGGTAGCGCAGCAAGATGGAGTACAGCCGTGCCAAATTCAAGATCGAGGGTTTGAACGATTTCGGGATAGGGAGATTCATCATCGGAGAAATCCTCAAATTCAGGATTGTCAACAAATACGCCCTTTCCGATCAGCGCAGTATCCTCATCATCAGAATCAATGATCATAACGACATCAGCAGCAGGCTTTCCATTCGGTTTAGTATTGGAGCCGCGCTCAGATTCCTTAGCACCGTCGGTCTTGAACTTCCGACCCCCGCGCCATAATATTGTTATACCGTTCTCGTGGCCGTAGATTATGATGGTAGCGCCCTGTGGCGATAAAACAGGGTAGGTTTGAACGGCGTGGATACGATGGGTGAGGTTATACCTGCGAAGAAAACGAGGTTAGAAGAATGCTAGAAGCATACCCGGAAATATCCCTACATACGTATATTGAGTATTCTGGGCGGTCCGGCGGACACGAGGTGCCGTGGTGGGAGCCATACTGGTGACTTGTAGGAATAGCTTCAGACGAAGCCAGTCCTTGCACCTTAGTCAAAATACCCAGGTAAGTAGAGAATTAGGCCAATAGGAAACCTCTTGAGCATTCAAAACATTATAAAATGCTTAAATACAACCAAGCGCAGTTGTATGATTGAGGTTTGGTGAGTGTTCGTAAGGTCGCGTGAAGATGGAAGGGATGAAGAATTGAATTTGTTGTTGTTGGAATGACGTTAAAGTTTATTGAACTTTGGACGTGCAGTCGCGTTCTTACTATTAGCGTACCTACCGTACAATACCTACATAGTACTAGCGCCCTTGTACGTACCTAGTATCTGAGGTTACACAGCATGTAGGTATTCAATATTATCATTTTTGGCACGCAACATTGAACCTCAACATTTCAACGTCAAATGAAGCCTCGCAATTGCCATGCCACTATTCCAAAATCTTGACAAAGAAAACGTGTTGAAATATAAAGCTATGACCACATACCTGTACAAACATTCTACCTAGTATTAGTACCTAGTATTACATACATAGTACGCATTTACCTATATGTACTATGTCTGTATTAATATAGGCATGTTAGCAGGCTGGTACATGAGTGAGATGACGTTTATTACATAAGGATCTTCACTTATGTAAAACCATTTAATCAACAACATGCTGATCAGAAAAGGCATGAAAGAAAGAGGAAATAATAGAAATAGCCAACCTAGATAGTTATAAGAAAAGACCTCAGAAACATGAAACACCTTCCCTTACACTACTATGTATATACCAACTAAATACCTCAAGGCTAAATACACTGGCGTCATCATAGGTAGGCAATTATCCTCGGTTATTACTATCGTCATAGGCCACCCTAGCAACTCCAACTTGAGAACAACATTCGCAGGGTGGATGTTCATTCAAGCGGTTTCAGACCCCGACGATCGCGGCGTTATACTCCCACGGCCACTGATGGGGTCCAGCCGATCACTGTATTGGCGCTCGGCCTACCCGTGCTAAATTCATTATTTGTCTATCAATTAACATACATACCTACTTCCCTAGGCACCTAGTCATCCAACCTTATATTGAATATGCCATGATGTAGTAGTATATTAGAGATAGATCGTCAGAAAGTACCGAAGCAAATGCATACCTACCTACTTACCTATAGGTAATGTATCGTACAATTCAGTGCCTACAGTCTACTCATGTGTAATACCCCAAATTAAACGTAGCTAAGCAGCAATTACCGGGTAAGATTTCGTCCAAGTCATAAGCTGGGTCATCATAGTCAAAGTACATACTCAGGTAAGGGTGCACTTTTTAGTTACTAAAAAGACATATGGGAATTCCAATGAACAACTAGCCATTTCGGACTATCTGAATAATGTACAGCAAAGTCCCCTTAATGACCACCACCGCAATGCCCTAATTCCTCTATCGGTATTCTCCGCGCGCACAACTCAAGTTTGGTATATCCGATCAAATCCCCATGAGGCAAAGGGGAAACACCTTCCGCCTGACTTTTCAATTAACTATCTCACGTAGCGTAGTGGCCAATACGCAGATCATGCCAATGACTGCTTCCACTACACTCTTCCCTCCTTCCCCTTATTCGGCCTGGGCCCTAGTAGATCTCGTGAGAAATTTCTGAAGTTGATGTTGAACTGCAATGTCGTAACATGACCGGTCAACGAGGTGCAAAATAAAAAAGGAGAGGACGGCACAGGAAACCCTTCATTGGTATTTTTCTAAGCCGACTGCCACACCCTATACTGTGGTTGTTGAACTGGCGTTGCTTCCTACAACTCAATTCATTTAACGCCAGGGATCGTCGGGTCCGATCAGTGTCCCAATGACGAATGGCCCCCATGAAACGCCGTCGATGCCAATGTGAATGGAAATGTGCTACAAGCGGAATTCGTTCGTCGTGATAATCTGCGATACGGGCTATCAAGCATTGGTGACCTGTGAGAACTTTGTTAGACCATAGATCCACGTGACCCGCCATCAGCGTTACATACTCTCAGAATCCTCCGCGAGTAATCTTGGTTGTCGGCAATGCTACCATCACTCATTCGTCGGTTCATGACAGGGTCGAGGCGAGAATCAGACATGGATACACCACCGCTGCTACTAGGTGGTTTTCCGCCGCTGATAAATGCATTAACGGCAGCATTGCGACGATGCTCTTCTTCAATTTCGGCGTTTCTCTTGCGACGCATCCAGAAAAAGCCTCCTCCAAGAGCAGCACCTGCAGCCACGACACCGACTACAACACCAGCCGCAATGCCGGCAACATTTGGACTAGAGCCAGAGTCGTCCGCGGATGAAGTAACAGTTTCGACGGTATCTGTAAAGCAGTCAGCAAAAAAAAAGAACCTCACCGATAGAATGTTAGAAATATATATACTGGTCGACTCACCCGAGGTACTAGACGGCCCTCCATTGCTACTTGTCGATGTAGCGCTTGAGCTAGAGCTAGATGAGGTACCAGGTTCATCAGCCTCACCAACGGCCAACATGAGACCGGTATTGTAGACGGTGTATGTGTTGAGACCGCCACCTGGAAGAAGTTAGTTACCTACAGCTGAACCAGAGGGTGGGGGGTAAAAGTGCTACGTACAAGCATCAGTACCGAAACCAGGACACGGCTCGGTACACTTATCGTCAGCGACTAGATCGGCACCATTCGGATATTCGTCACCGCAATAACAATCTTTACGGTTTGAGGCTGCAGCGACCTTGTTCTCATTGCGGCATCTCCTAGTACATTCACCTTGCGTATTGAAATCGATAGTGGCTAGCTTTGTCATCGTTCCTAATGATCCATAGCAACCGTGGACCGTATCTGTACCAGATATAGGCTTCTGAGGCGCCTTCTCCGTGGGATCATCGGCTAAGGTGAAGGAGGCCAAGGCCAGAATGGCCGCGAGCGTGAATTGACGGTGCAACATGGTGTAAAAGGATGCGCGTTGCGTCCGGAATCGAATAAAAGGATACCAAAATCAACGAAGCAAATTTAAGATCCAATTCTCTCAACCCGGTCAACGACTAGAGAGATGGGGATCTTTTCGGTTGTTTAAGATTGAAAAATTCCTCTAGGGAGGGGAGTCGCAATTTCCTTTTGTCGTGTGGTATTTCGTACTATCTTGGATGTCTCGACCAACACTGGGCTCCAGAATTTAGGTATAACGCAGTCTAAATCGTACAGATCAAGACGACGTGCCCTTTGATGACGATTGTTCCTTGCCGATTATACTGTGTCGTAGTCGGGTTAGACGGGATTTCTTTCTTTCTTTCTTTCTTCTCCTTTAAGTTGTTTGTGAGAATGACGTCCACGTGAAAAAGGCGTGGAAACAATGGGCAGCTATAAAAACAATTAAAGTTAGATATATTTTTCTTTGTCCGACCAGTCGTAATGTTTCCCTTAATAGATAGCTTGTTGGAGAGGGTAAGGTAATGTAAAATGAGGTGCGTTGAGTTCAAGCTCGTCGGGGATAACAGTTTGTGACGGATGGTTTCGGCAGTGATATACGAATGAATCGCGATGTTGTATTGTCGAAGTCGATATGTATCAAGGGATATGTTCGTTGTGGTCTTCTTGTTCTTCTTCTTTTACTTACTCTAATTCTTAATTGAATTTGAGGTCGATGTTACGATGACCTTCAGAAAGCGACCTGTGGAGGTGTTTGCGTGAGGGTAAGGTGGGAAAGAATGAAAACCACAAATTCAGAAAAGAGAAAGGAAAAACGAGAGTACACGTCGAGATCAGACGAGGAGGGAAACGAGTGGACTGACTAGCCTGAGTAACTTTGAGGGAGTGTGTGGGAATGGGGTTTGTTTTTGGTGAAAAGGCAGGTCGGGGGGTAATGTCGGAAAGGGAGAAGATGGGAATAGATGGAGGGAGGGAGACACGAGGTAGGTTTGGGGAGAGAGAAGAGAGAGACACAGGCCCAGACAAGGACAAGGGCCCTGGTCGTGCAGTAGAATGTAGGTACTACTTTGTATGTAACTATGTATGTAACTAGGTGTGTACTTGCAGTAACTTTGCACTGGGTTGGACTGGGTTGAATTGGGTGACTAATTCGCCTGCTTATTGGTGGGTGAGTTGGCGGGTGACTTGCTAGTGGTTACATGCGGTACCCGTAGCTATCTGGGCAGTGACTCTTGCCTCTGCAAGTTCCTGCAGTTGCTGCAGTTGCTACCCAGATATGCAGGCAGATGTGCAGACAGAGATGGCAGGATGGCAGGGTGTACCACTGTACCTATGGTACCTAGGCGAGATGGGCGAGATGGGCCAACGGTGGATAGTTAAAAGGAATCAGAAGAATTTGTGGGGATTTAATTCGATAGGCGGCGTTGTCCTCTGCGCTCCTTACCGAAAAAAGTATAGCAAGCGAGAAGATGCGAAATTAAGTCTGACCAGGGGAGGAATTGATGGATGTACTTACGTGTTGTATTGTTGTACATAGTACTATTTCTTTCCTGACACTTGGGCACAGTGTCGATGTACATACATACACACATGTAGTTACATTTTTCAAGTTGTTCAAGTGCTTACAACATTGAATTCCCAATGTTGGCCAAGTCGAAAATATGTAACTATGTTGCGCGCGCTTTTTTTTTTCTTTTTTTCTTTTTTTTTTTTTTCGTTGTTGCGCAACATTGAACAGCCCATTTTTACTTCAAGTTCTACACAAGATGTTTCCCGCCCTTCACCTCCAATTCATCCTTCTATGTAGATGAACTGATTTGTTTCCTACTTCATTTATCCATTAATTGTCCATCACTGCCATTATACACATGTATTATCTATCGATGTGTTTCTATTAGTAGGTTCTTATTCACTCACTCTATCAATGTTGTTTGTTCGCTCGTTTCCAAGGTTAGGCATCTAGCCAATTATTTCCAAGTTTCAATGCATCCCATCTTCAATTCGCCCGGACCCCTTGCAGTAGTTTTTGGGCCATTCAACCTTGAAATTTTAGCCCTTTAAGCACTTTCACACTTAAGGTGCCACTAGCCCCTGCAAACTTCCTAAAGAACTATCATCCACCAATCAGTGGCTCCAAACTGTCGCGTGTGTATCCACCTCCCGTACTTGATTGGCCTTTTAATCAGAATAGGAGCTGTATCCTCGTACAGGCTCCTACCTCTTTCGGGCTTCTTATTCGCGCCACAATGTGTCTGCACAACGCTGTTATCCACGTTATCCTACGCATAACACGATCTACCATGCACAAGCAAGCCAAACTAAGCCAAACCAGTTAAAATCCATGGATTGTCCCAGTAAAGCCGTCCAGCGTTCCTGACGCCGGCTGATTAACCATAAATGTACTATTATGTATTAGATAGATACCTGTTTTTGTACAAGATTCAATGCTAATAAGAGTTTGGTAATGCATATGTAGAACATCAATTTGTATGTACTGTGTCGGCGCAGTCAATTAGGTGCTGACGGATAGTTACAGGTACAGGTATTTTCAATTTGGCCTTTTTTTTTTTTTTTTTTTTTTCCAGAATCTGAGATTTCAGATGCATGAATTGTACAAATGTTTTACTTTTTGCTTTTTACTTTTTATTGATACTTTCGATCCCCTTTTAGGTACATATGATATGTATGCTTGGCCACCCATAATTATTCAAGCTTTATTCATATTCATTCCTAGACGCGACACCCTCATTTAATTGGTAAACTACCCTGTTTGGCACTTAAGCTAGCTGAACTTACACAGATATTAGGTGTGCAGGTACCTAAAGTATCCCAATTTAGGTGTCAACTAATTACCCTAGGTATGATACTCTACTGACAGTAGCTAACTGACAGGCTACTGTACTACCTTAGGTACCCTACATATACTACTAGGTAGTACATAGTGGTCTATACTGAAAATAGTTGCAAAAGAACACAACTTAAAACTGGCGGACGACAATGACGAATCGCAGTCCTAGAATACAAATAAATTCATCCTTAAAACTTTGGATCGGCACCTTAGCATTGCGACGTGCTCTCCTCTTTTTCCTTGCCTATGCACTCAGCTTTGAGTAATGGTAGTTTGCCAAGTCCGACTCGAAACAAGAAAACGTGTTGGCAAACTGATAGAATTAGCTGGAAAAGTGCTAGGTCGGTTGTTTGGGAACACAAGAAGCATCGAATTGCTTCAAAACCTTCCACAGCCAGGTTGGTGTGATGCGCGATGATGTCGTTAGTCCGAACCTTTTTCTCGGCATTTCTCTCATACTAGTTACTTACACATGTGCATCTCAACATTGAAGTGCTTCTCTTCAAAACAAGACTTCAATACCTATCTGGATTCTGGAAAGTCATGTACCATTGTTACGTGTCGTGACCAAGATATTTAGACTGGAGAAACTGACACGAGCTGCAAGTTCAACCAAGTCATCCGAAACAAGACCGAGCGGTTTAAATACCTTTTTCGTCTTTTCCATCTGCGATCAAGTGGCTGAGTGGCTTGCATCTGGCCTACATCTGGCTTGCATGATGGATAAAATCAGGCTGAAGTTTCGGTAACGCTACATAATTACCTATTATGTACAAACGTGCGTGTATGTATTTATATCTTTTACACACATGTGCAGTCGAATTCATCATTTCTTTTAATGAGCTCTCCAAGATGCCACAGCCTTGGTCCTCGTGTTCGGTGCTCTAGGCCCCTTACATCAGACAACCAACCAGCATCGCTTCCAAGGTTATCCTCGATCATGAAGCCATCCGGTGTCAAATATCATGCTTACTATCATAGCAAAAGCTTGCTAGACACTTACAATATCCTCTTCATCCAGTGACATCCACCATATGAAAGTAACTGTATCTTGAGAGACAGCCTTGGAAGAGTACATACTACTAGTAGTACATAGGCAGCTCCTATGTACATAATATGCACATTTACACATACATATTCCAAGTTCCAACACCGATTCTTAAAACAAATCACATATGATAGAACGCTAGGTACTACATCAAGAATAGAAATCCCCCTTTCCCAAAGAGCCCCATCTTACACAGCTGCGTCCAGTAAGCTAGCAAAGTCCACGATCCCAAAATAGCACACTATCATCTTAAATCTGCATAGCAATGGCGTTTTATAGATCTTGAAGGGGTTTTTTTCCCCGAAGCTGTGTTACTCACAACTAGGATGTACGTACATATCTCACTAATACTATAAAGTGCACAGATATGTATATCCAAGGAGTTGCTTACTATGGTAAATACAATATTTGATTATTGTCAGCCTCGAAGAAGGTCGTCTATTACTGCAGGCACCAACCTAGATACATACATAGTCAAGCGAATCTCAACAATTGTACAGTACCAACATTTTTCACTTCTCACAGCCGGGCAATCCCGATCAGTCAATATCTCCTGTTAATGAGCCGATTCCACTATTCATTACACATTTCGAAATATTCTACAATAGGTATATAATCTCCAGACGTCGTTGTGTGAAGTTCTACAGTCGAGTGGACAAGCTGTACATACTATGTTACTAATTGCTTCCATACCTATGTATCAAGTAATTACCTTCTAGACTCACGCTCCAGCCGCCGCCAAGACCCACCATCCCGCCGAATCACCCGGTGTATAATCCTCGGCACTGATCGAAATTGCGAGACTTGTCCAAGATACATAGCTGAAATTCTCCACACGCTCCACTTCGCACGGTGAGTTGTTAAGGAAAGCAGGGGACACATGTGAAGTGGTAAAAGGGGTTCCAAGGTTTGGATATCTGAATATCTTTTCCAGTGTTCCGGAAAAAGAAGACAAGCAACCTCTCGACATAAAAATAGAAGCTAGAAAGGGAAAGAAAAAAACAAGTAGTGAGGCTCAAAAACCTTGGTAATTATATCGTATATTTAATAAGTACCTAACCTAGGTAGGTACCTGCATACGCAACGGCCCAATAATTACTACCTATAGATCCTTCACCGGCGCATCCCCACGGCCCTCACCGTACGTCCGACGCGGTGCCTTCCCAGCGTCCCTATCGGCCTCGAACGCCTTGACCTCCGGGCTGCTCATCAGCTTCACGACATTGTCCGACTGCCACTTCTTGAGCGTCGCCCCGAAGCCCTCGTTAGAGTAGTCCTGGTCGTTCGCCTGGTCCTTGTGGTACTTGACGCGGATGAAGTCGCTGTCGAGGCTCGCTGGGTCGAGCGAGAGGCTGACGAGCGCGTTGATCACGGCCGTCTTGGGAATGATCTTGAAGGTCCATGCCTAGATTATATATGTACATATATATTCACCTATCAGCTTCCGATCCCGAGAGACAGGAGAATAGACTACGCGATTGTAGATTTTTGCAAAAGTGATCAAACTAACTAACCTCTTCATGCCTGAACTGTATCAGATCGCGATCGTTCGTAACGACCTGGTACCCCTGGCTCTGCGCGCTCTTGAACAGCTTCGGCAGCGCGAACCACTGGCCCGCCATCTTGTGGCGGTCGTTCGCGTACACGAACTGGTCGTTGTACACGCAGTCCGCCGTGTACCGCCGCACCCGCTCCACCGTCGGCCGCATCTCGTACAGCGCGATGATGTCGTCGACGAGCGCCTGCCGCGCGGGGGACAGCGGCAGGGATTTGGAGGGGTCCGGCTTGTAGTCCCCGGTGAGGTGCGTCTGCCGCACTTCGAAGTGCTCGCCGGGCAGTGATGCGTCTGAAGGGAAGTTCGTCTTGTCGCTGCCGGTTGGTGGGGGGTTGGGTGATGCCATTTTTTTTTTTTTACTCGTTGGTGCTCGAGTGGGTGGATATAACTATGGGTATGTATGAAAATGCACACATTTGACGGCCAAGTCCAAGTCCAAGTCTAGCTATTTTCTATGTCTCAAACAAGCCATATCCTACAGATTCGGCGCAGAAGTGTATGACGTAGTAGCCGCACATAGATGACAGGTTGATCTGTGAAACGAGAAACCTGCCTAACATAATTCATGAATAACTATTGTTCGTCCTGTTCAATCCTTTAGGCATTGTTCGTGTTGGAGCCGATGATGATGACAATGATTCATGTAACTAAATGGCCACCCCCTTTAATTTGCCCTTAGTCATCTTACCCCTTTAACTATTGCTTACATATCTAAATCCCCCGAGTTTAAGTCCGAAAGAATCCACTGATCCTCAGTTTGCACACTTAAGATTTCCTTGAACATATATTCTGCTACATACTTGCTATAAGGATGCATTGAGGCAAATTAGTAAGTGTTGCAGTACAACTGCAACCAAGAAGAAGGAAGAGGAAAGGAAGAAAGCTTGCTTTATTCCTAACTACGATGGCGGAGTGCCAATATATGGCCATAAGGGCCATATGGCTCTAGTGGAGCCTAAAGGTGCCTGAGGCACCTGCAACAGTAAGTGTCTAAAGAACGAACCACAAGCCAGAGGTCTCTTGCCCCCAGAGACGCTGTTGATGGACGTATTACTACACAATTTTTAATAATGCAGACTTCCAATCATGAATACATCAATACTAAGTAGGTACCTACCCATCACGCACATAGCAAGGCTCAAAAAAAAACACACACACTCGAAACCAAACTCCCAAAGTTTAGTTTACCTGCCTAGGTACCTAACAGACCGTCAACCACGGTCTCGCAGTCCAGCTGAACGGGGTAACCGCAGCCCACCTCCCCCGGTTCGCACGCAGAGACCTCGGCGCGGCAGCGCAACCCCGCGAAATGGATCGCCGAGAGGGTCCATCTGGAACGGTGAGGGTTGTTGTCGCCAGGAGGGCGAGGCTGCAGATTCTGGCCATGGTTGCGGGAGAGAGGGGACTTGCAGGAAGAAGTGTTTAGAGGATGGGTCTGTATTTTGCTAGCTATATGAAGCCATACCTAATGTCTCGTTACTTGATGTCGGTGGCTTGTTACAATTCCATCTGGATCATCAAAACTGTAGACTGTGCCAGAGCTCTTCGCTTCAAAAGCGCAGGCCGAATGTAGGATATTGTCCGGGGCTTGGCCAAAGAGACTGTCTACGACTACACTCTAGACATGATTATAGCGTTTACCTTAGGTAGGTTAGTAGGTCAAAAGTACGTTGATGCAGGTTTGCCCCATAGCGATCAAGGCAGGTATGTTATCAGATATGCATCAGTCACCAGCTTGTTCTAGTATTACTGCAAACCTTAGCTTGAAGCTTCTCGCTCAAAGTGAATTCAAATTCGATTGGGAATAAAACTTACTTGTCGGGGAAAGGGCGAAAAGATCCAAATAGAAGGCTTCGTTCGCTATGACTTCGAAGTATTCTAACCTCTGCTACGTGAGGAATAGGGGGGTTTCATTGGTTTTCAGCTGAAATAGCGATTACCCTTTCCATTGGGCTATAAAAACAGAGAGATCGCCAGACGTCAGTACTTAATTCTTGATCTGCCCACCTCTTATGAATAGTTAGGTACCTACGTACTGAAACGAAATGTTCGAATGATAGCCTATTTGGATGCGCCCCCCTTTTCGTGGTCGGCTATAACACTCACGGGCAACATAGTACATACACCTTATGCTTTTTCAGTATCTTTCATTAAGTAGATATTCATCATTCTTCACTGACAGTCAAGACATCTACGATTCCGATAATATCATACACTTGGCAATCTGTGCCTCCCCAGGCCCTCTACACCACGAAACCTCACCAGTCCTTTCCACTTAACCACTCTCGCTCTGCCTAACACCTGACCCCTACCTGATATCTACCCCACCCGACACAACCTCCCATTCTGCGACATCGCATACCCATCCACCGCCCTGACCTCCCACCCCTCACTCCCCACCGTCGTCGGCGCCCAGAACACGCCCCACGGATCCCGCGCCCGCTTGATCCCTAGCAGGCGCGGGTAATTCGTCCCATAGAACGCCTGCTGCCAGTCGGGCTCCCCGGGGTCCCCCTCATTCATGTACGACCCGGCGTCGGGCGACACCTCGCGCAGCAGGTCCATGTATCCCTGCATCGTGGCGTCGCGCGCGCTCGACTGCGCGGGCGCCATGTCCATGAGCATCGCGTGCATGCGGTTGCTGCGCCAGGCGGGGTTGACGGCGGCGTCGCGGCCGGGCCAGCCCGCCACCTCCGCCGTCGGCGAAGTCAGCGTGCCGTGGAAGTAGAAGTCGTGCTCCAAGCCGCCCTCCGTCGCCGCGCGGATCGCCCGCATCGTGCGCGTCCACAGCGCGTCGTCGTCCCAGTTCGCGCGCGGCAGCAGCCGTGACCGGTACCGCGTGTTGCCTGGGGCGGGCCCGCTCGCTCCGCTGCCGCCCGGCGAGTTGTAGACGCCGGTGAAGAGCGAGGTCGGGTTCGTGAGGTTGATGCCGAGGCGCTGCTGCAGGTCGTCGTAGAGGGGCTGCATGAAGGCGACGACCTCGTCGCGGGTGAAGTCGGAGAACTGCGAGCTCGTGGTGAATCGGAACCCGTTGTTTTCTTGCGGATAGATGTAGCTGAAGCCGAAACCGCCAACGTCGAGGATACTAGCAGCGAATCTGTAGTATGCACTGACACCCTGCCAGAATGTATCGGCGTCCGTGACCGTACCTGGGGGCGGCGTGGTCGCATTGGAAGGGTTGGCCAGAATAAGATTGAGCGAAGATGACGTTTGTCTTATTGGCGGATATGCCTTATAGATGATGGAGGTAACTATACCGTAAGTAGCTGGAGACCTTGTTAGCCAAAAAAAAAAAAATACTTTATCTACGCCAAGTCTTGGGAGAAGTGAAATCGTACCTCCACCGCCGCCCCGGATGGCATAGAACAAGTCTGTGTTAGTGAATGGATCGGCGGTAACAAATCTCCCAGCAGCAGTTACGACTCCGAGAGAAAGCACTTGGTCGACCCCCAGGCCAACCTTGGAGGTGATGGTGGTGTGGCCTCCCGAGCTCATCCAACCACCGGCGCCCCCTACTGTAGAACACCCAGGCGAGACTACCGAAATGTTATGTTCTGCCATGAAGTTATGCTCTTCCCACGACTCAACGCCGGCTCCAAATTGAACAGCCATGCCACTGTATGGGCCGATCGTATACGAAGGGAGAAACTCCATCTCCTTGAGGTGATGCGTCCAGACGCTAATGGATCCTGCTCCCAGGGACCTTCCGCCAAAGTCATGTCCGGTATTCCTGTCGCATACTGTTAGTGCATCGGCCACCTGGAAGTCAGGAGTGATCATCACAACAACATGAGTTCACCTTACTTGATAACGAGCCGAATCTGCTTGTTTCTGGCGAAGTTAACTGCCGCCTGGATATGTTTCACGTTCGTAACGTTGACCACATACTCAGGAAACCCTCCTCGAGTGCAGTTGCCCTGGGGGTCCGAAGAGATCATGCATGTCTGGCCTTGAGGCCATTCTGTCAGTGAAGTGAGTGGCTGGTCTAGCCAGTAATGCGAAGCCGACGTGTTGCTAATGAGAAACTGACACTGCTCCGGGTTGAAATCAGGCCCCGAGTAACAAACGGCGGCTGGCGGTTTCGGCTGTAAGAGGGCGCCATCGAGAGTGTCGTTTAGCTGAGCCCACTCTGTCTCAGACGGCCAACCTTGGTCGCCTGGGAAGACTTTACAGCTGGGGAAGTCAATACCCTCTAGGGAGGCTATGTCTTCATCTCCAAAGTCTAAGGCGGAGAAATCACTGATGTCCTCTGGAGTGAGCTGAACGGAGTCGGACGGGAGGGCACGAATCCTGGGATCTTGGGCCCTCGCGAGCACTATGCTTAGGCAAAGGAGAGGCAGGTTCTGCTTCATGATACCGAACGCTTTCTTTCGCCTACTCTTCCCTGGAGACTCTTCTGGAGAGCTTTCTTGGCTGGCAAAGGAGCCTATGTATATAATACTTGGGAAGGTACATGCTGTGTGGCCTAGACTTTTTCGTTGGCCAATTTTCTGCATTACCAAATCACCGAACCACCGTGGAATGGACTAATTACTCATTGTTAGTCATGCAGAACAGGCCCAGAGGTTCGTCACAGGGCCATCTTAGAAGCCTGGATTGTTGGTAATCCACAAGCCACCCCTTCGTCGGGATGGCGGGCTAGATCCTGACATGTGCTAGGTATCAACCTAACGGTTACTATCCATCTGCATCCTGAGATTGGGAACTATGTACATTACAACTATAGACACATGTTGCCGTAGTCAGGGGGTTTTGTGAAGGTGGGTGCTCCCATTGTTTGGGATAAAACAGGCTTCGGGGCCACATGCTGAGGCTACATTTTTCATCTACCTAGGTAGGTGATATCAAAGCTTAACCCAAGGAACTCCCTTGGCACCGGCCTTTTCTGCGTAAGTATAAGTAGGACTAACCCTTCCCACATGATTTCGAGCTTATAGTTTATTCGTGGAATAGGCCGCCCCCAAGTTTGGAATGGGAGGATACTGAGAGTGAGTGTAACCTTCCTTATTTCATAGGCTTAGATCTGGCAGATACCGTATAGGCATTTATCACCTGTTTCTATTCGTGGGATATTCCTTGCTTGTATCCGAACGACGATCATGGTGACGCGGGGTCAAAAGTGGTGAGTTTGGCATAGTCATAGGCCTGCCGGCATACTCCAAGCACCCTGCGGCAGAGTAATTATACAAGTTCAGGAGATTATTTGACAAGGTAGGATTGATAGTGAGGTGCCCCATAACGTGTGCTGTTGTTCCGTTCTGAGTTGCATTGCTACCAAGGTATACACAATTGCGATACTTAATCAAGATCTACGATATCCTCGACGAACGGCACAGAAAATGTTGGGCTGATGGCTATGCGCGTCGCATGCTTCGACGCCAGAGCACCTAAATTAGGCAAGGTTATGAAGTCCTTTGGTATTTTGCCTTGGCCGCAACTACAGAGGTACGGCATCTCTTTTTCTGTGCTCAATGGAATGGTGGCTCCGGATTTTTTGTATTCGCAGTCGGGAGTGTGGCTCCACGTGCGGCAACGCTCTGCGAACACAGGGAGAACATGTTTCCAGAGCGCCACTTCCTCGTCATCTACGGTGATTTTGGAAATATTTTCTAACTCTCCAAACGCGAGGCCGACAAGTTTAATATCTTTAGAATCAATAATACGTCTCGTAGCTGGGATTACTGCGGCATCTGCTACTATCGACCCCTCGGCACCGTGGAGTCGAACCGACCGGATGATGACTATGGCCTGGATGCCATCCTTGGGATGGTCGAGGACGAATAAATTGGTCTGTTTATTAGCATGGAGCCCCAAGGCCAACGTAAACATTGAGAAAATGGAGTCCTTGAAATTGACACGTGAAGTCATCCCAACCTTCGAGTCTCGTATCTCTCGTTCGCGGACAGAAAACTGACACGAAATTAATCGAGTCACCCATTTGTTGGCATTCTCATCCGAGATTTTCGTATCGAGAATTGGCAATGAGTCTAGGTTGACGTGAGAGCTGTTAAGTAGGGTGGGTATGGATCCTTCCCCTAGTGTGATGGGATAGATAAATGAAGACAGCGACCTTGAATCGAGAGGATCGGCTAGGGGTGCGTCAACGGTAATATAACTTTCCTTGAATACTATATGTGTCTCGGTAGTTTCTTTAAGAACTGGGGCTGGGAACGAGACAGGGCAAACCAGACAGTTCTTATAGAACGCGATGTCGATCGAGAGTGCCGAGGATTGACGAAGCCTTGCCCGGGCCTTCTTTGAGAACAGCGCTTTGCCTCGTTGAGACGATGAAAAGTCGACGCGGCCACATAGGGACACGGCTTTGTCGTCTTTTAATTTCATAGTCATGGTTGTCGTTGTGGGTATATCACTCTGGGCAATGCTACTTATCGCCGAAGTAGCCGTTTGAGCAGTCGGGAAAGGGTAGGCAGACATCCCAGGCGCGTACTTCGTTATAAAGACATTGGAAGTATCGTGGATCGCGGTCGTATGAACGGCCATGGTAGGTTGAAGATGTGAGAAGACATTGAGACTCGACGGCGTGTACTGAACGTTTACCCCTACCTTAGCATTCATTGGATCTTCGTATAGAGATGCCGATGGAACATAGAAAGAAGCGATCAGGGGGGAGTCTCCCTGAAGACCGTGAGGATCTTGCCGAACTGTTACTGCGAAGTCTTCGGTCTCACGGCTCCCCGATGTTTCGATGTGCCCGAAGGCGATGTACATGCTGCCAAAGAAATTCGCCCAGCCGCCATCTTTAACTGATTTCAGAAAGCCTTCTAGTGTTGGTGCAATTTTTCTACTCGGGATCGTGCTATATAGGTTGTCAATCTGCTTCCTCGGTACCACAACTGTGACGCATACCACTTCAGGTATATTTTCCCAAGCATAGAACCCGCCGGCACTAGGGACTCGATCCATTGACTTGTCTTTTAGCCAGTTCTCGGTATGTACTCCTTGAAGATGCAGCTGAACACTTAGCTCCTGCCGATTCAGGCAATCTTTGTTGATCAGTACTAGTAAGTGTTCCCAGAAGGCAGGCCAGTCTGTAGATATATTTGCTTGAATCCGTTTAATTAGGGCTGCATAACTGCCCTTGTGAAAGACCGGATACATGGTGCTTTTAATCTTTTTTCTCATGTCTTCTAATGAAAGGCTTAGAAAGTTGGCGGCATATTCGCTTTCGAACATTTGCTTAAAAGCTGCAAACAACGCCTTCGCGAGCGCAATGGGTTCCACGTAACAATTCGGGGAGGTCTTAGCTGATTGTAGGAAAGCCGGGTTTAACTTCCAAGCTATCCGTATGTGTGACTGCTGGGCTGGCCGTGATAATTGTATTTTGTTGAGGAAGAGTTCGTCTACGCAGGACACCGAAGTCGCATTAGTCCATAGGTCAAATGGAGCTAAACCAAGCAGGATAGACATCGTTGGCAAGTGCCCACCAAGTAAAGCATCGAATCGCTGTTTGGTTGTCTCTTCATTCTTGACTAACGTCTCTATCCATAGAGTAGATCCTGGGGATCTTTTCAGCAACGGTGTAGCGGCGACCAACAAGTTCAGTGCACCAAGATGATCGCTGAGATTTGACGTATCAATCACATCAAATCTTACTGGTGCCGAGCTACGTTTAGCGAGTCTTAGGTCAGGGTTTCTAAGGAAATTGCTTGCTGGTATACTTTCCGGAGTTGTATCACTCTGCAAGGCATAGCTGAGCGACAGAGCATCAGTCACGGTGAAACGAAGAGTAAGAAGATTCTTGGGGATCGCCTGGAAGGCTGCAACCCATTCACGAAACTGAGTCTTGGCTGCTTCAACGACATTTTGTACATGGTCGCGTGTCTTCTTAGGACGGAGTGGAGAGCTTGGGGATAACTTGGCCAATGTAGTTGCAAGGTGGAATCCTAGAAGGGGGTCCGTACCATAGTGAAGGGGTTTAGTTTCACAAATCGTCTCGAAGAATAGTGGATTAGGCGATGATTCTGGCTTCTTGGAGAAGCTGCCATGCTTCCAGAAATGAACGAAAGCCTCACTAACTTCGCCCGTCGAGGCAGCCGTCATTGGCGCCAAGGACCTAAGACCAGAGAGGGACATGGGAATTCGTCCCTCGGAGATCTGTTTATCGGAAAGCCCAATTCTATCCCGAAGAAGCTCCCGGGAGCGCTCAAGGTCAACTTCAAAGCTAGCCCTACCCTTTGACTGCTGTGAGCCGTACTTGGACCATATATGCCTAACTTGCTGCAACGAGGCGGCATCGTGGAACTTGAGTATAGACCCATAGGGACCGTTTCTCCACTGATCGATACTTTCTGATAGTGATACGAGCTTCTGAGCTTGGTGCTCGATACCATCTTTTGACCCTTCGCTAATAAGGAGGTGAAAGTAAATATCCCAAGCGCTATCGGCATTTATACCATCGATTAGGAGAGTGAAGAGGAACACATTGCGCGCTGGAATATTTCAGCAAAGTTCCAAGCATGTCAGAGATGCTGCCTGCTTATCTACCCAGGTACCTACCTATAATGGCTGGCTCAATATCGCAAGAGGTGATATCAATATTTCTAGGTGCTGTACATATCAGTATGGCCCATGATATAAACGAAGGTTACGAAAATTCGAGAAGTGAGATACTCGAGAGGGGTAAATTGAAAGTCTTACGGAATCCCCTTTCTGTGTATGCCGTGAACAGGATATTGCGCACATCTCCGCACCCGAGGAGGAGGATATCGGCATCTACGCCTTGAGGCAAACTCCTAGTAAGGCTGACAGCTGGGGTGTTGCCAAGGGGATAGAAGAACCGTATGTACGGGAGAGTACATGGTGTAATGATATTGGGTGCTGCGAGTGCTGAGTAGAAGGATCTCCAGGTTTTATGGTATATGTGGTGAGAATATCTAGGAACTATACGTAGTGGGGACAATCGAATTCTCATTGAGACCGACATAAAAGATGATGCTATGATTGAGGTAAAAGTTGTACTGAATTAGTTAACTTTAGTCTTCAAATGTTTTCCATAGGCACATTCAACTGCAGATCACGTGAGCGGGAGCCCTTGATGAGTTCCAAATAAAATGTGGGGTAGTTAATTAGATTTGGCAACTGGCCGCCAACTTTCACCCCCGATATCCTCCTCACTCCTCACATACTACTACTACTCACACATACTCACCTCCATAAACAACATTGAACAAACAACATTCAAAACATCGTCACGCGTCACGTACATGTGTGTGTACATATGCAGGTACACCCCAAATCGTCGGATTACAACCCAATAGTTATAGATAATATTTTGAACCTATGGAGAGAAGAAACTCTTTCTGAAATATTCACTCAACTCACCACCGCCACAAGTAATTATAAAGACCGGCGTAATTTTTAATAAAAAAAAAAGAATAAGGTAAAGAAGACGGCCACACACTCTCTCATATATCGACGCTCTTAACACCAAAAAAAAAGAAAAAAAATCACAACCCCATTCCCAAAGCCCTTGTGCAAACCAACCCCTTTTCACCCCGGAAAAACCTCCCAATTCACTTTGTAGTTCCCAACATATAATTATCGTACATGGACATCTAGAGAACCCCGAAACCCAGGAACAGTTTTCTTTTCTTCTCTTCAATTCATATTTGTTTTTAAAATTTGTAGGGTCTGGAATCCGAGGCCAAGTATATTATTACTCAAAAACACATGAGCTTCATTAACTTTTTTTTTCTTCTCGCCCAGCTAACTCCTTATTAAAGGGGGAAGGGGAAAAAAACAACAACAACGACGACAACGAATGGCTGGCCTGCCGCGACTCATCTCAAGTCAGGGGGAGAGAAAAAAGAACTCGAAATGCTGAAGAATCGGCACTGCATAGGTAACAACAACCTTGCTCGGCGCCGCTTAGCTGCTGCCAAAGAACAGATCATCATTATGCGTGAACATGCCGACGCTGTCGAACGCCTCGTCGAACTTGCTGTCGGCGCCGAGCATCAGCAGGCTCGAGTCGCTGTTCGTGAACTGCAGCAGGATGTCATCGTTGTCCATGGTGGCAAAGCTCGGGATGCCAGCCACCGTCGTCGTCGTCGCCGCCGTCGTCTCCACAGCCGCATTGCTGCTGCTGCTTCCACTTCCGCTGCTGCTGGAGTGCGGCTCCGCGGCGTCGTAGTACCGGTTGCCCGACGATGGCGGCGACGAGGACCGCGAGAGCTCCGGCAGCTCGTTGAACTGGCTGGCTACGCTCTTGGCGGGTGACCCGGGCTGCGAGGACAGCACGTCCGAGGCCAGGTCCTGGTGTTGGCTGTGGTGCTGATGTTGGTGGTGTTGTTGTTGTTGTTGTTGTTGGTGCTGGTGGTGATGGAGCGACATGTGCGAGAGCTGCGAGACGTACGAGTGCACGCTGGTGGCGGACGGCGACGGCCTGCTGCTGCTGCTCATCGGCGTTTCGGCCGCGAGACTCGGCATCGGCGCCGACGAACCCACACCGCCACTACCGCCGCCCTGGAGGGAGCTGGGGTTCATGGTGGTGCCGCCCAGCGACACATCCATGATGTCGAGCATGCCGAAGTCGGCCTCGACGTTCTCGGGCGAGTTGGCGGCGGAGCTGTCCGAGTACCCCGACTGCGACGAGATGGACGAGACCGACATATTCTTCTTCAGAGTACGCGTGGCCTTGTCCTTGCGCTCGTCCATGTCGGGCCGGTGCTTCCGCGGCCGCCCGCGCTTCACCACCTTGCGCACGACGCCGTCGAACGCGCCGATGCACATGCCGCGCTGCTTGTGCCGCGTCAGCGCGTCGTGCCGCGCGAAGCTGTTGCCGCACTCGCACGGGTACGGCTTGATGCCCGTGTGGATCTTGGCGTGCCGCTTGAGGTCGTGCTGCCGGACGAAGCACTTGTGGCACGTCGGGCACTTGTACTGCCGGTCATTGAGGTGCGTCTGCACATGCGACTTGATGTTCTCCTTGCGGCCGAACTTCTTGTTGCAGTCCTCGAACGTGCAGGTCCACTTGTTGTCTCGGGGATCCGGCCCCGAGATGTACTGGTGGATGTCCTCCATCGTGATTCCCGTCGTGGTCTTGGTCTTCTCAATGTCGATGCTGGCGATGCTTGCCGCACTGGCAATGCTCGCCATCGACTCGTTCCGTCGATGCTGGGCATAGTGCGGAGACTCTCGCCGGGAAGGCTTCTGTGTAGAGAGCCCTCCTTCTTCGCTGGTGGAGAGCATGTCTGATGATTCTAGGTTGGGATGTCGCATATCTGGCTTATAGTCAAATGAACTACTGAACTCGCTCATATGCGGTGTGATGGGGGTCGTGTGCTCCGACAGATCCGAACTGGTGCTCAGAGGATGTGAGGGGCCGGGAAGCCCGTCGAAAGTAGTATCAACCCTGAGGCCATGGTTACCCATGTGACCCATATTCAAAAAGTCGGCCATTGGGTCCGATGGTGGATTGAACGTCTCCATCAGAGGCATGGTGTTGGTCCGATTCGGCACAGGCATGGAAACTTGGCCTTCAGCTGCCTGCCGCATCTCATCAAAGGTCGTTCGAGACCGTCGATGGGTGGGCGGTCTGGTGGGCTTCACAGTTTCTTCCATCGACTCATCGTAGCCTTCCGAGAACCTTTGCGGCTGTTGGGTAGTATGCTTGATGGTTCGGTCATGGGGTGTATCCATAGGGGTAAGTGGGAAGTAATCTGGCTTTCATTAGCCCACGATGCTGCCGAGGTATTCGAAGTTTTTCAAGAAAGTGCTTACCTGTAGCAGTCTGGTGTGGTGTTAACGGTCTCTGCACCTCAAGTCCCATGTTCTCAAACTTGGCAACCCTGTCCATGATGGTGTTGCTAATCCGACGGGAACTCCGTCTCGAGTGGCCGGAGCTTTCTCCCTCGGAGATCCAGCCAGGACCGCCTGTTGGGCTGTCCTGGAAGCTCATGAATGTCGGCGTGGACAGGGCGCTAGAAGGGTATTGATCGAACTCGTGAGAGGTGCTTACATTGCTGGAGAAATTGTCTTGATTCTTCTTGATCATTGCAGCATTCATCGATTCATTATACATGTCAAGGTTAAGTTGCACGTCTTGTTGGTTTGGCAGGCTACCAAACCCTTGTCCTTCAAACTCCTGGGTCCGTGGTGTCCCGTGGGGGGATATCAGGTAAGCGTCATCGCTTGCCAAGTTCGCGTATGCCTGCTGGGGGCCCGGGCGAGCTATGCGTTGCTGCTGCGTTTCTCGCAGCACATGCTGTGATGTGATTGATCCTGTATTGTTAGTAGCGTTACTTACCGTGGAGAATTCCTGCCGTGTTGATGTTGCCGGGGATTGCATCTGTTGTCGTTGTTGGTTGTGTTGTTGCCGTCGAGTATCGAGGCTCATGCCCCGTCTGTGGGTCATTCGCGCTCGTTGCTGTTGCTGGTGTTGATGCATATTTGGCAGGTTTGTTGCGATCTTCATCGTCTCGAAGCCTGTTGGTGTTGAATTCTGTCGTCGGTGTTGCCGATTTCGGGCTTGAAGACCGCCTTGAGGCGGATTGGACAGCATCGTGAAGAGAGTCGAGCTCGGAAAAGGGGGTCCGTTGTCGATTTAATAATCCTGGGAGCCAATACCTGGTATGGCTATCAGTTGGTTCCGAAACTGCATGTATCCGTTAGTCATTGAGTTTCTCGGACCACAACCTCACGAAGGCACGGTCTGAAGACACGTTCTCTCTGGAGACACGTTCTGGATGGTGATCAGGACTGGGTGTTGGCTATACTGCTCACCTCACGCAGCGCAAGCCAGTCTGGCCGGGCAAACTAGTCTTTTATGTCGTCCTCAGCAGTAGCAGGCAAACTTGGCAAAACGGGATCTAGATGGGTGTAAGTGATGCCCTATTCAGGCAGATAGTAGGACTATGTGTGAGATGACAGTCCGCCTTCGCGTTCTGGTCAGGAATATCAGGTAGTGTTCAGGTCGTGTTTAGGTAGTGTGTATTGAAGTTGTTGTTTCCTACAACAAATTCAATGTGGATAAGATTTCTGGGATTGATGATCTTGTGTATGCAAGATAAGGTGGAAGTATGTAGGCAAGGTATGCGTGAAGTGTTGTAGATAGTATAGAAATGTTATTAGTTGCTGGAGCTGTCGAGTTCCAGGGAAAAGCTACCAGGGTTGGTACAGCTGTATGTTGACAGACGCCCCAGCTGGTTGCCACAGTGACAAGATATCGGGTCGAACCATTGGCCAATGACGGTGGGCTCTAAGAGTCGTATCAACCAATCAACGTACGATGCATAACCATAAGTGGTTAGTAACCTCTTTGCTAGCATTCAACGGCCCGCACAAGCTCTTTCTAGCGCTTCTAAGGTAGGGTAGGTTGTGCAGCGCTACGCTGTTGCATGGCTAAATCCGGATTAGAGCCGACTAACGTTAGGACTATGTAACTGTAGTACCCTAGGTACATAACCTTGGAAGTTGGAAGTAACAAACGATCTTCAAAGTTCAAATCGTTCTTCAATAACTACCTAGTACTACCCTAAGGTTAGTACCTATGTAGGGTATTCAATAACTATTCTTTTTCATGTACAATACCTAGTACTGTACTGTACATGTACAAGTAATGCACAATTCTTGATCAATTGAGTTCAATCAAATTCAGTGTTATTCAATTGCAATGTCCAATCTGTCCTGTATAGAAGACACTAACTAACCTACTGTACATAATAACCATGTAACTATTTCTTACGAATTGTCAAATGCCATTGGATACATTGCATCATACAAATCCGAGCTCAAAATCTTCATACCAGCTGTGACCAGGTAACCAAGGTTACCGGCAGTACTTATGTACACTAGAATCTTTCCAAGCCGCTTCGAACTTCCAACTGCTTCTTCTGTTTCACAGCAGCTGAACCTTTTTATTCAACATTGTGGCGATTGATCGCCGAGCTATGATAGTCAAGTCAACTTGGCTTTATCGAACAGTATCCAGTATTGACTACGAATATACATGTGTACTTAGTAGCTACATCATCAATGCTAACATTGAATATAGGGTCTTTTGTAAGCTTGGCCAAGATCCATTGCACTCTACACCTTATGTACATACTAGTTATGTAGTAGAACTATTCGCGTTTGATAGCCTTGGAAGTCTCAATTCAACGCCAATACATCCGGGGAAAGGGAACACTGTCGTCAAAGGGAGTATCGACGTTTCACACCTATTGGCATTGTCTTGCGGGGACCAAAAATAGAAACACGCCGCATAAGTTAGTATATCCCCAGGAAAACTCAGTATCAGATGTGTATCGAATCAAGACTATTTACTAGGTAGATACCTAGACAGTTACTAGGCATTGTATGGCAATCACTTCAGGGACCTGGGCTACACATGGCGTAACCGGCGATTTACTAACAAGATGTGGTAACTTACATACACCATCGACTTTGAAGAACATCTGTATATGTCTACCTACCTACCCAACTAAGGCACAAGAAGCAAGCAAGTGTATGCAGCTATGAGTAGTTACATACGGGAAGCTTAAAGCGAACTACATACCTACGTACTCATCTTGCCTTGCCTTGCATACATCATTACTAGTATATGCTATGCAATGCACAATAATGTACATGAACAGACCGCAACAAGGTGGATATGGGAACAGCATTTTGCTGCAAGTAAGCCGTCGATCATGCTAGGGCTCACCGCTTGCGGACACACATAGGCGAGCACTGACACTTACCACAGCACTGTAACAAATCTATGATAATAGTTAGTTAGTTGGCAGGTAGGTTATGGAGCCGCAACCAATGTTTCTTTTCTTCTACACCTCTTCACCTACGAAAGTCAGCGGTGTAGACTCCACACATCATCAAGAACTTCCCAACCCAGCAAGGCGAGCTCTGCTGTACTGTACTCCGTAGGCTATCCTGGCACCCTCGTGTGAACAGAGCTCAGACCAGTCGTTCACCGCGACCAACTCAACTCAACGCCCTTGAAAAGAAAAAAAAAATTTTGTTCCTGCATCTCGAGCTCCAAGGGTTGTGTCAGCGGCGACAGGGATAAAAAGTGCTAGGTTGCTGTGTGTTCACAGGGATGCGTCGATATACTATTGACATACCCATACCTACCTATCCATCCAAATCTATACTGTACTTATCGTGTTTACTTCCATCGGAGCGAGTGTACATAGGTAGGTATCAATGGATGTGACGATGAGAACTTTTTTTCGTTTTTACTGATACCCATACGGACGGCACAACTTTCCGAAGAATACTTTTACTCACCGCGTCGAGCGCCACGATCGAAAATGCTCGGTGAGCCGGATGATCAGCCGAGAGAGATACCTACCCTAGGTAGATGGAAGACTTGACGGGCTTGGCAACAAGCAACAAAACGCACGATGCATCCCGAGGCCTGCATACATACCTAGACACATACATACAGAGCATCATGCTAATGCAGTACAAGGATTTAATAGTGAGGCTTAAAACTTCAAACCACGTGCACCATCGCACTACTATCTGGACATCTACATACCCTACTTACCGACATTCTCCCCAATGCATGCACGCGGAGCTTTAAGATCTTGCTTGAGTTAGTGAGGTCATTTGACACATGGCAGGAATTCTGGGCACTTAGAGCCTAATCCTCTCTTAGAAGCTTAGGTATCTCTATCTGTCTCCTTCAAATCTAAGCACCGGTTAGGCTTTCTATGGTACTGGCATAGGCTTTCCCAACATCCATGGACTGCTGCATGTTGGAATAGATGCAGTATAATAGCCTCCCCCCCTTTCTCATCCATGTAATCCATCGCTATGGTATGCAGATGAAGCTCTGGCCACCTTTCATCATACCTACACAGGACAAGAGTTGACGCGCTTCCTGAAAGACGTAGCTAACATATATAGGTATGTAGGTAGCGTGAATTGGCTAGATCACGGCCTGAAAGTTGCTTGGTGTTTGGTCAAAGGTCGACGTGTCATATCGGTTACAGAACCATTCACCATCTCTGTGTAGGAGACTCTACTCGAATATCTTTGAGGATAGGCAACAAAAGAGCATACCACTCTAAGTCGCTTGTTCTTCGTCAATGCGCGAATCGAAAGTCAAGCCTCCTAGAGCCTTGGATTTTGGTTGTCTTTCTGTATTGGACTTGCTCCTCTTCGCTTAGAGCATTCCATATACTCTCCTTTTGCTTATTCCTCCACACGTAGTAGATTTTCGTTAGAAGGAATATTAGGATGGAGAATAAGTTGATGAAGAGCAGAGTGGTGTTTCCCCGACGATAAACGGGCTTATCATCTTCACGGTATATATAAGAAGCGTACACATTGCCGGCTTGGACACTCATCTGGAGCTTTGTTAGCGAATGCAGTGGACTAGCGAAGGTGATGGATGTCACACATTGTACAATGCAGCTGAAACTGTACGGGTGCCAACATTATTGGAGTTCTTGGAGCACCACCCGACGATGATCGCATCTGGGGATACATTAGCTCCGCATGAAACGTATAGACGAGGCACATACGGCAGTATGGATATGAGAGCAGGGTCATAATGATTGCGTAGGTACCCCATCTATCTTCAACCACCCCTCCCCAAAATCTTAGAGCAAATATACATGGCAGGGTCCAAAGAGGTTGTATCATAGCCACCAACGATCGCTCGTTCAGCCACTCAGATAATCTGGTAAGGAGAATTAGGTTGATAATGTGCATTACATCCTAGTTGAGATGAGCAAGTCTTGGTTTGACATGATGGCACAGGGCATACTTACGGCCGGAATAGTCAGGAGGTTTGTGCTAAACGTACTGAACCCAAGAGATCGAAGTGTGAGAGTGATATATGTCTTCGGTGGTGATTGCGGCACGAAAGCACAAAGACCAATGGCGTATAAAGGCCATAGATCGTAATCTGTTAACGCTTCCCATAGTCGCTTTGGCGTTAGAGCCTGCCGGTTGTGCATGTCCCCTTTCGAAGGGTCATCGCGAAGCACTCTGTTCACGACGATCGCCTCCTCTCGCTCTGTGAACCACCCATTTGGCCGAAACCATGTTTTTGTCTGTACAGCAGATGCAGGCATCATGAAGAATGACGCTACTCCCACACACAGGGTGATAAACCCTTCAACTAGGAACAACCACCTCCAGCCCTCCCAGCCAAGGAAGCCTCTAAGATGCAGCAGTGCAAAAGCTAGCAAGGAAGTAATAATTCCTGTCGCCGAGAGTGTGGTCCAGAAGTAGCTGAGTCGTATTGGCAGTTCGCGCGAGGTATAGAAGTATGAGAGCCAGAGTACTAGGTCAGGAATGAAACCTCCCTGGAGAGAAGGTTAGATCTGAGAACCTAGGCACACATGAGCCTCAGTGGAAACATGGGATATTTACTTCGAGGAAGCCAAGCAAGCTTCTTGTGAGTAGGAATGATACGCGGCCAGTCAACGCGCACTGCGAAATGGCGACGAAAGACCACAGTACCATCTGCATAGGAATCCAACGGTCTGGCCCTACAGCTTTTGAAATGAGTTGCGAAGGCAATTCGGCAAGCAGGAACGAGACTAAGAAAACCGAGTGCCCGTAGTTATAGTCTATTTGCTGTCAGTACGGTCATCGAACCAGCTAAGTAGACGCCTAAGTGGTGGTAAATTGGGGTGTAGGAAAAGCCCTGCTCTAAAGACCTCAAGTGAATGTTAAACATGTTGATCCATACCATTGGTGTCCAAGCCGAGGTCATCGAGCATATTATCAGAGACAGCTTGTGTGAGGTTTCCGCGGTCTACCTGTAAGCCAAAAAACATCACACACTAGATAGACAGGATTAAATCATCAGTAGGTAGGTCGTTATCGGCAATGAAAAGTGAACGGTTCCGTACCGCCCATAAGCAGACTCTCCAGTCGAGCTTCCGAATTAACTCCCTTTCTTCTGTGGCCGACCACTCGAGTTTAGGATTAAAAACATGTCTGCATTCGTATTGACAATTGTTGTAGACCTCTCGCCAGTACTCCGCAGTTTCGGAATCTAGGAATGGATTATCTATGTTTGTCGTAGGATCTTCTACATCGAAACTCTCGCTAGAAAGACCCGTGAGAGCCGTGGGACTATGATTAGGGGTTGTATTTAAAGATCCATAAGTCTTCTGTTCGTCAGGATCATCTGAGGCTAGTGGTTGATAAGACATGTTGGTTGAGATCCGAGGGGGTTTTTGACGTGAGGACTTCGCAGCTTTCAAGTCTAATAATTCAAAACCCGAGCTGCTACTACTATCAACAAAGGAACCGCGGGCTGAAGTAGAAATAAATGAATTAACCAAGCCTCTATCCGAACTCGCTGTGTTTGGGAGAGGGGACATGGCAGTTGATCGGCATCCTTTTAGAGGGCGATATTTAATACACTAAGCAAATCATAGAGAATGTATGTACGATAGCACGTAAACAGGTATGTGAGAATAGGTGGGATGGATTGCGTGATACTAAATGCTCACGCGGGTGTGGTTGTTAATACCAAATACTAGTACCAAATAACTTTACTAGCACTTGAAGTGCTAGAGTCATGGGGGTTTGAATGGGAATGCATGATAAATAGCGAGATTCCCATTATAATAACCCAAGGGGTTGAAACATCCATCACGAGATAGATAGTGGTGTTGACGTTGGACGAATAGAATCGTAGGATGTGCGATCTAAGCGATTTGGTGATTGTGTTTTTAGATTTCATCATTTGAATCTTGAATTTGGAACTTGAACCTTCAAAAGTTGAAGAAATTGCACCGCCATATCTTACCTAAGTATCTAACCTACCTAGGTTAGGTAGGTAGTTATCTCTAGCCACATCATGTGGCTTCGAGTTCAATCAACTCCACATCGGAAGAATACAATCTCCGATCCATCTTGCACATCAAACAGGTGACATCACTTTCAATCCAAGATATGTACTTTGTAAGCTGACACCAAATCTCACAAGCGTTTCAATACGAGCGCCAAGACGGTTTCACTCTCCACCCATCGACTTATCCTCCACTAACTTTCCTTGCTCGCATCCATAACCGAAAATCGTTGCCAAAGTGCAATTGCGAACAATGGGGTATGGCAACATAGCCTACAAGGCAGTTGCAAGGTACGAACAGGCTACCAACTTGAATACTCGTACAGAGGAAGGGAAGTTGCACAGCCGCCTCTAACGCGTGGCACAGGATTCTTTGAAAGCTCTTTTCTTACTATCATTGATCATTGATGTATCATTCGTAAAAACTTACACATCACATACTTACACATAGTACTTACTGTTCGTTGCTGAAGTTGTTAAGCAAACAACTCCATTTTTTTATTTTTTAATAGAACAGTTCAGGTTTCTTATTTTTTACCGATTTCTCGTACTGGTTTTGGTTCATTCTGATTGCTTTTATTTGCCATTTCAATCTACTATAAACCTGATCCAGCAACGATTTTTTTTTGGCTGGCCAAATTCACGAATATATCATCTAGATACTCTGTCAAAATCGCAAACCCTCCATAAACCACAAACCACAAACCACAAACCACAAACCGGCACACACATCTCCTCCATCCGCCAAAATGCAATACTCTGTCGTCGTCCTTTCGCTGTTCGCTGCCTTCTCTGCAGCTCAGAGCAGCAACAGCACTTCCCTCCCCGATCTCGTTTCCCAGTTGCCACAATGCGCCACAGGTTGTCTGGCGTCCGCTTCGTCGGACGCTAAGTGCAACACTGCCGACTTCGAATGTCTTTGCGGTGATGGACGATCAACTTTTACCAGCAGCATATTCGGTTGTCTCCTGACATCGACATGCTCTCAAGATGACAGAGATAGTAAGTCATGCCTTTTGAAAATGACTACTAGACTTCCCCTATAGCTTAGCTCAACTAACCCACCTTACTAGGCCTCATTTCTCTTGCCCCTCAAATCTGCAACGCTGTCTCCTCAAACCCGGACCCGTCGGCCGTTGCCTCGGCTTCCAATCTTATCACCTCTGCTGTCGGCACCGCAACCCCTACCTCGACACCTGACGCGGCTGCCAGACCAGAAATTGGGTTCGGATTACTTGGAGGAGCTGCTGCTTTAGCGGCTTTCGCGTTGTAAGACCTTTGCACTTCTGAGAACAAGTTTTAGGGGGCATCACATCCTATATTGGACGGGTTAGAGTTTCGATCTTCACTATGGCTCTTGGGATTGGGACGGATGGTTGCGGTTTAAATCATACATGACCGCCTAGGTACATACATATACAGTTTGGGTGGGTCGCAATATGCGAGGCTAGGGGCACCTTGGTAAAGGGGCATACATACTCGCGGCTTTTCCGGATACTAGGGCTGAGGTTTACAACATTAAAGTTTATAATCTCTGGGTCTGCCCTTCTACAAATACAAGTGGATTTCCGGCTAGCATTGTTTGTATCTTCTTCTTATTTTGCTTTGAATACTCTCCGGATCCTTCTGTGCTTGCTTTTCTATGTCGCTTTCTATGTAATATTTCGATTCTGGAGAATCTATACGTCATTCCCCATCTGATCCACATTGCCATGTGGCCGATATATACCAACTCCAAAAGTGCTAGAGTCAGGTACAATACAACTGTATGCATGGATGTAGGCCCGTTCAAAACTGAAGTTCTATTGGCGCTGCTTTTTTGGTGGGCAGCCCCTTTTTAAGTGGTCATAGAGAGCCCCACTATCCCCTAGATACACCCATAGATATCCCCTCATTCCCCAATATTCACTCTGATCACCAGTGTGTCTTTGCATATTGAATGACGTCTAAGTCACATGCCATGGTAGAAGACGACTTCATCGTCCATGGATTGATTATAAGCTGTTCGCTGGCAATGGCTTGAGAACGAATACTTCGACTGTTCAGCCCAATGCGATATAGTTGATGAAGCTTTCAAGGTCTTGGTCTGTTGCAGGTGCCTCAGGCACCATAGGCTCCACTGGGCCATATATATTGGCAGTCCGCCAGTGTAGTCAGGAACAAAGCAACCTTTCTTCCTTCTTCTTGGTTGCAGTTATACTGCAACATGGTCTGATGTCCATTCTTACGAGGATGCCTGGCTGTGCCCAAATATGGCTGCCTACTAGGGTAATCAATCCTACTCCCCGAACCTCATTCCCTTCCCGAGTACTGGATTACGCCTTGCCCGATGCTCTCTAAGAAAGCTAGGTTAGACGCTTCCCTTGAGACGTGGTGTGCACCATGATCATAAAAAAAAACTTCAGCCCTAGATATTGTCAAGGGTCTACTAGGGGCGATACGAAACACTAGCTAGAACAAAGAGGGCTACGGATTTAACTATGTAGTTTCCGTAGCATCCGAGAAGATGCTAGAGCTCCCGCGTAACAACGACGCTGTTCCGTGTATTCTAGCTTTCCGCACCGCCTGCCTCGTGACATCCGCGATCTCAGAGGGCTGTATTGCGAATGGGCAGCCTCTGCCAAGCATTATATGGAATATGCTTACCCAAACTTGCGTGTAATCCATCAGCTTTCAGGGGGGTATTCAACAGCAGCACTGGGAAGTTCGATTTAGTATACGAGTATTGAGGAGGTATGTAAGGCCTTAACACGTTCTTGACATACTCCTGGCCGAGAACTCTGGAGCCATGCTGTGCATGAATTTGACCTCCCCTTCACCCTCGTACTCGGGTCGCTGGTAGGATATGGTCTAGGACAACTTTCTGAACCGCTTGTTCGAAGTCGCGTATGGATGTGCGCCTGGCTCTTGATAATAACGCGGACTTATATGCGACATACACGTAAACGATATATCCCCCTCGTAGCCTTCCAGTGCTAGATATGTTGCCAATCGCTATAAGTGCCAGCATAGGGGTACTGGACGCTAGATATCGACGTGGATGTTACAGCGTAGGTGGTTGGCAGGATAGCTTAGTCCCTGTCGCCGACAGTCGTAGAGGAATGTAGCCCCTAGGTATATCAACATGGAAAGTGTTGCAGGGCAAGTTGCAACCAAACGGAACAAAGAAGGATGGAAGAAAGCTTAGTTTATTCCAGACTACACTGGCGGAGTGCTGATATATGGCAGGCCTAGTGGAGCCATGTGCCTCAGGGGCCATGGCTCCTCAGGCACCTGCAACAGAAAGCATCCGAAGCATATCGGCTCTAGAAGAAAGCCACGCCTAACAGTCTTGTTCAACTCTACCAAGGTCAATAGTGGTGGTGCTTGTCTGTTGCCCGAGTTTCTCGACTGCATGACAAACTGTTGCAGGTGCTGCTAGCTCCACTAGGCTATAGCTGCCTTATATTGGTACTGCGTCAGCATAAAGAAAGCTTTCTTCCTTCTATTTTCACGTTTATTGGTTGTTGCTTAGCTGCAACAAGCTTAGGTGGCCTGTTGAACCTAGCCTGTTACCAGCTAGCTACCTAGGTACCTAGGTAGGTAGGCACATACAAAGCTAGATACCTAACCTCCCTATGACTGCTGGTGCTCTAATTTGGCCTTGAATTAGCTATATTGTCATCATTAACTACCATAAGGGTCTTATGGTTGTTGTTTCTTTCGGGGGAAGGGGTGGAGGTGGGTGGTTGGAATTCGAATAGGGGTATTGGAGCTCGGAAGACAGATTCTGACAAAATGCATGAAACACCTGGATTGTGAGGAACATGCCAAATAATTGGACTCCTTGCTACGAAATTGACTCCGTATTTCTGTGATGTGCATTCAGATTGATACCTGCCCAGTAGGTAGGCTGTTTTTGGGAACTCATGGATGGAAACCTCGACAGTATCTAGTATTGATCAACCCCCCTATCCGAACTGCGTTCTGTGGGGAACCACGAGACTGTACACGACAGTTAGATAGGTATATTTCAATCTGATAACAGATGCTAGATAGATTACTTTGTCGCTGATCACTAATACGTAATTAAATTATTTTCCTCTTCCTACCCCTTTTACCCCCACGGATCTTATTACCTATCACTGAGGCTAGGATACAAGCATACACATACCTACCTAGGCAAGGTAAATGCAGTTCCATCTAGAATATCGAGATTGCACAACCTCAGTGTAAGTGCTCACATGTGAAGTGGCAAGACTGGAGTCAACCCCCACGGGGGTTAAGTCGTATGAAGTGAAGGGCTCGGGACTACCCGTAATGGTAAATAAAGGGGAAGATCTACTTAGGTATCTTGGAGCTTGCAATTTCAGTACTGCATAGCTGCCTGGGTGAATAGCATGCCTACCTAGGTAGGTAGGTACATATCTACCTTAGGTATATATCATATCTCTATCAACAGACGTCCACATACACCTATGCTTTCTTTGAACCACGCCTCTGAGTATTAGCCAGATAACCACCTATCTACATAAGTGAATGACATTCATTATGAACATAAGCTACCAAAGCAACTCTTTTGTATGGGTAAGTATGCATGTACATTAGTCCGAAGTCCGTCACGGAAGCAATCGTGAAGCTTATCCATAGGAGCTGGGTAGTTAGACTACAATGAAAACCACCTCATAAGGTGGGTATAAAATTCTTTCAACGTAGATGCCATACCTCAAAGACGAATCGAATGGTCAAACCTTTCAGCTACAAGACCTACTGCTATCTTCCCAAGTCTGAATAGTTCCGACGTCGATTTACCGTGTTCATACAGTAAAGGTGGTGAGTGATACAGTACGACTTAACCGGTGTGATTCTATTACGACCAGATGGTCACGGTGTGAAAACGTAGACAGACAGATACAAGCATCCGAAGTTAACTACATCCCCTAAGTTGCCCGTCTTCCTATGTGAAATACTACGCTATCCACTGGGCATATCGAGGTAGCGCTTCTCTCAAGTGTGGTTGAAAGAGCAACCGCCAACTGGAATTGACTGAGTATTGAGGTAGGTACGAACGAAGGTAAGCCGGCCACTTGTGACTTAAGCAGCATAACCTCTATCAACTGAGTCATTCTGATACGGCGTCGAACACTCTTCTAAAAGGGGGGGCACACCGGTACCTACCTACTTAGGTTAGTAGGAAGGTTGCTATCGTCAATCAAGACCTGGGCCTTGACATTCTTTAAGTATATACCCTGACTACAGAATCATGAGAGACATGCCCCTTATTATCTTCAACGGGTTGCATACAGAGACAAGTTTCAGGTGAAATGCGGTCAGCACTTATAATGAACGATGCTTGTGGGAAATGTCGATAAAAGGGGCATCCCGTTAAATGCGTGCTTTGATAGCCCTGAAGGTACTAAGTAGGTACCTAGTAGTCCTCACATGGATCGATGACACATCCGTTCCTTTTTCCTAATTTTCTACGTCTGCTATTATAGAGGTTGGTATATCAGGTTTAAAGGGCCTGCGTAAACCACGACCACCGAGTCTATAGCACCTTAATACAGTATCAGAGAACCATGGCACCAAAGACATAAAAGAACCTATCCAGGTATACATAGGTATGTAGTTGAACTTAATAACTACCTATAGCCTGTTTACTTCTCGTCGAGTACCTACCTACCCACGGATCTTCCGCCTCACAACACGGAGCGTGGGAGTGGTCCATGCGTGGTTTTCCTTTTTCGAAAACGGGCACCCATTTCCATGACGTAGTAACCCAGCTGGCAGCAGGCAGTGCATATGGCCATTCGAGTGAGATATAGCAAACACATACACATTTCCCCTTTCCTTGCTTGCTTGCTACCAAGTCCTCAAGTCACCTATCTACGTACCTGCCTTACCGACGGGGACGATCATCTCGAATCTGGGCGGATTGCAAGCGCATCACTTCCCTAGTTGGTAGGCACTCGGCAACGCAGAGCAGACAGACATGCACACCTACCTACCTATACAGCATGCGAGGCGCATCATAATATAACGGCTTGCTCTCATAGTTCGAGATAGTTTCGGCACATTGGGTGCCAGGGTGAGACCTGTTAAGGCAAAGTAAGTCTGTCTTTTTGGCGTCTATAGTCAGTCAGGGGGGGGAGGGGAGGGGACCAGGACCAGCCACGGAAGTCCGAGTCAGACTATGTCTCAATGCTTTGAGTAATCCGCGCCCGCAAGTATTGAGGTGGTATTATTTGCGTGTGGAACCACACCTGTAGGGGGTGGGTTAATGGCCAAAAAGAGAGGAAGCTTGAGCTATGTAGCAAATCAATCACCATTCTCTCCTGAATTTCTTTTTCTCTGCGCTTGCTAGGTCGCGTTTGATGCAGGACTGTTGTTGGTCTTGGTCTAGATAGACCACCGTTGGAGGTTTCAAGCCTATCCCGCTCTCGATGGTCTCGTAGCTTAAGACATTCGCAGCGGCTTGGAGCTAACGCGAATGGCGGCTCTATCCGTCCCTCCCTTCTGAGCTATTAGGTAGGTCTCGAACTATATGTGTGTATGTAGGTAGGTAGGTAGGTAGGTATATAATGCATTATCTCTTCTACAATCGCGGTTTACGAAATCGTTCCCAACGTTCCGGCTCTGGCTGATGCACGTAATATGACATCGATTCGGCTCAAAGTTGAGGATACTTACTTCCGCATTCCCGCCGCGGAAGGTAGTGGGGAACATAGGCATTTCATTATTCATTCTTCCTTTTTGCTAGGCGCCTAGCCAGTTCTTCTCGGTGTACAGAGATTTCGGAAGATTTAAGGTGATCGCGCAAGAACCCGACTTGGCAATTTATCGGATTGGTAGCTGCAGCATCGCACGATACAGACACCAAGGAAACGATGTACAAGATGGCTTGCTTGGTATTTATTTCGGCTAGTACCGAACGTGGCGGCAAGCCTTGCTGATATTGACATGGAAGATATTGGGAGGGCATGGCCACCGCAAGGGCCGCAGCATATATCATGTGCAATGATGCCTCTCCTTGCAATCGGCCCGTTACACTCACTATTCACAGGGCTTGCTTAGGTTGGGTACCTAAGCAACCTACTATGTAGGTAGGTGAGTGTTATACGGTACACGACGTTCGTGTCACAGTTTCCACCGTCTGGCAGCTCGCGGACACCGTCTATTGAGCTCGGATATGTACCCTTCGTTTGAACGTGATGGGATTTGAGCTATGTTATTGTAAGTGAAGGGTCACTCGAGTACCTACTAGACGCCCCCTTTTTTTTCTTTTTTTTTTCCTTTTTCTTTTTCTCCTAATAGTGAGTAGAGCTTAGCTAGCTTCCATCACTTCCTTTTCTCAGAATTTTATGTCAGGGCCTCGCCGACCGTCATGCAATGTGTGTAACGATATATATGTAGGTAGAGGTTGGGTGCTTGTTGGCGCTAATGCATGTATGCGAAAGGGGATGCTTCTCTAACGATAATGCGCTGGCGATTGTCTTGTTTCCAGGTTGTCTATAGTTATGTCAGTCTCTTGCCCGTGTCTTACTTGCATGCGAGATAAACTCGAGCCTAGGCCTATGCTAGATCATCATACCTGCCAATTGCGAATGAAGGAGGTTCATCGCCACCGCCGTACGTTTCTAACGGTTAGCTCATATTGTAGCATACATACTGTTGGAGTTCTGAGGTTCTGGGTAGAGACCCTTACTAGGAATGCCCCTTTCTGGTATGCAAACGGAGATGGAAATGCTCGAAGGCCCCGTGTGATAAGGTGGCAGATGAATGGTTACCCAGAAGGTCTTTGGTAGCACCTCAAGGCGGTGGGGTTGGTGTCCCCATACGCGCACTACCTATGAGGTCAGTATCAACTACCAACAAATGACTGAGATGAGCTCTAATATATGTCACGTTGCGTAGGATCGTAAGAATATATTGAAGATTGTTCCGTACGCGGGTACAGCTTCGAAGGATGTCACGAATGTGGGGGACCTGCGAATGTGAACAACACACAGGTAGAAAAGGATGTAGTACGGATGGTCAAAGCGTATGGAAAATGGGATATGGTATATGGGGTATTTCCGAGTGACAGACCGACCTTGCGTGATTGAATCTCATCTTCATCTCGAGTGACCCAATGATATAATTTCCGAAGAGCTGCGTGAGAATGAGCAGGTATACGCGGTTGGCCGCTGGTGCGGTGAAATCGAGATAATGCATGCGTATAGCCGCTCCCTATATATTGATCTGGCATTGGAAGGACACTAGATACCGTCGATGAAAAGGGTCAGGTAGGGATCCGCCTGGGCAATGCTTGATTCGACCTCTGGTAACACTTTGAGGACACTAGGTAGGTACGTGGAGTTCGGACCTCTGTCAGACGAAAAAAACTCCTGACCCACAAGTTCGCCAGCCATTGCGTAATGATACTACGGTTCTTCTTGGTGAGGTTCAGGGTTGACATACTTGTTCATATCAAGATGGCTTCATAATGATAAAGTAAAGTGGTGATGAGATTGAGAAGTAGATTTAACAGTGCTTGGTTGTTTGGGTCGGTCAAAGTTGTTGACTTGAATTGTCTTTGGAATGGTAATCTATTGCAATCTACTATGTAATGATACCTTCCTATCAGAGCTCCAGAACCTTTGCCCTACTTGAGTTGAGAAGAAAAGGTCTCATCCCCGTCTATGACTGAGTAGTCTAATGAGTAGGTAGGTACTGAAATGATCAGTTACCCAGGTAACAACATGAACGTATGAAACTAGGTAATTGACCTGAATGACACTGTTGAACGCCCCCCTAACGTACTGTGGAACTGATGCTCCTAACCTAGCGATGTTCTATTACAGAGAAGTGAACTGGAACAAAAGTGTTCCGCTCTATCGTAAAAAAGCTCAAGCGGCCTGTTCAGGGTAGCCAAGTCTGGAGCCTCCCATATCTAATAATTGGAAATAGCTGATAGAAGTTGCAAATAATGGTTGGCGAGGTTATTCACCGATTGGAGTTTCTGCAGCGCCTCGATGCAGGCGTGTATTGACTTTTCCGCCTCCTCTACCTCCTTTGTATCTAGCTCGCCCTTTCGGACATCAAGGTGTTTTGCCAGTCTCGACGCGCTTAGGTAGATGGTTAGAGGCATAAATGAGTGAGCCTTGTAGTAACCAAGATGCTCATGTTCCTTTGTCAGCCGAGCAATCTCTTGGGCTGCCCAGTGTCCGCGTTCCTGAAACTCCCACACCAAGTTTTGGCTCTGGTCATTTCGCGACAACGCCTCAATAATACAGCATAGATATATGACAGCTGAGTGTGCCAACATATAAGAAAATATGATCATTGGATTTTCAGCCACGGTAAGCGAGGGGTAGTTGAGTTGCAGATTATTGAGCCGACGGGTCAGCATGCCATCTAGCCAATCATGTCGAGAAGAGAAATCGAGGGGGATGTTGCTGTAGAGGCTTTCTATCGTGTAGATGTGTTTGTGAGACAGCGCTCGGCTGCAGATGGTGACCAGGATAACGCATTCGGCTAGTGGCGCATACGGCCTCAGTTCTGCAGATGACATGGCCTCTGCCAAGAAGCACTCTTGTGGTACAAGCCCCCTTTGGAAGTCGGCATCTAGACATGGAAGGCGTGTGAAGACCTGTGAAGGGTGGAAGAATAAGCTTGTTGTCTCTCTAACGGTGATAGTTCATGTGCATTCTGCCGCTTCATGCGACATTGAACCAAAACATACCACTTCTTCGTTTAGTGTTGTAGGTGCCCCTTCACTGACGCTGATAAATCGGTCAAGGCAGTAGGCTACCCAGAATGTGCGTCTCCTCTCTTCTAACGATACCGGATCCTCCTCGCTCTCTAACCCTAGAGGTTTCGGGCTATCGATCTCGTAGAGCTTCAGAAATTGTATGAGGCGGAAAACCCGCCCTGCACTAAGCCACCCTCGACGGTAATTTGCTCTCGTGAAGTCATAGAAAGTTATGAGGATCCATGCTTGAACGTGTTCGATGTGGCAAAGTAACGAGTCACTGCCACTCAGGTCTAGCTGGTCGAGCATGAACCGAGTCTTTGCGTACAGTGTTTCCTGGAGACCCCCGAACTGGCTTGAAAATGCTGTGGCAGATGTCCACATCGCATGTTGCAAACATTGGCGCGCATCACTCATCGCATTCCTATCATTCATCCATTTGAATGTCTTCGGTTGGTTCAATATTGGGACTATTGGATGAACACGATCAAAATATAGTTGTATGCTGGGATCAGAGTAAGCTATTGCGCATGCCACTTTGGGTAAAGGGGTAAAAGGTTAGAGGCGCTCACAGGTCTGCTTTGGTGAGGTCAGGTATGAAGACATCGTTGAGGGAGGTAGGGCTCTGCTTAGGAGAAGGATACGATGTTGAAATGGCGGGCAGGACACTAATGTCAGTGAATAATAATGGTGACTGAGGCGTAGTCTCTGGTGGACCCCATGTCAGGGGTATCGCAGTATTTGAGGGTTGCTCTTCTTGTGGTACCTCCCAATCTGGCACTTCAGTGAATTAGGCAAGTTTCTATCTTCATGCAGATAAAAAAAAAAATAGGGGTCGTTGCTAAAGCTGTCTCAAATGCGTGTGTCTTGTGTTTAGGTTAAGACACCGTTAGGCGGGTAGGGTGAAGAAGGTAAGACGCGTGAGAACTAGACACATACGATGGAACTGTGTGGTGGAATTCTCTCTCACTGGAGAGTTTTCTGTTGACCCAATTTCATACCCCTCTGTCATTAGGCTCTCCTCAACTTGTGATGTAGAAAGGCGGCGTTCGAGTGCCACTAGCTTGAGGTTTAGCATCAACATCGACTGAGAGTGGTCGATTGCGTACCAATTCGACTACGAAGAGCACCTATGCTGCCTTTCTTGGGGCCACGGGGCACACGGCGATCGTTGACTTCGCAAGGTACCTGGGCGTTGGCACACGCACCGCATTGTGGTCGCTGTCTGTCGCATCGAAGCTTTTTCTTACGGCATTCTTTAACCAGGAGGTCCACGTTAGCATTGAGTGAAGATTCACATTAGTTCTAGAGCCCGAATCATGGATTGAGGTTTTTCTGAGCTGAGACGTAGAAAAGAAGAAAAAGCAAAAGTTAACGTACGTACCTTCACAGGCGTAGCCGGGCTGCTGACGCGGCTCGGCCCGTCCATACATGGCGTTTGGCAGTAATCTAGCTTAGAAGCTCTAAAAGACTTGAGCGAATTTGAAGCAATGGCCGAGCAGAAATGTAGAAGCGTTCTCTCCTTTGTTCCAAGGTTCACAACAGATGGATTATCAATATACTTCACTAGATCCAGGGCAAATCGCTAGATTCATACACAACTTCGGATTAAATGAGACGAGAGAAGCAGTTGGAATTAAGTAGGATATCACCAAGACCCAGGGGTGACGCTTCATATGCGCCACCGGACGCCCAGGCCTCATTGGTCGACGGTAAGATGCCTATGAAGTGAACACTGGATAGATGACAGAACGTCTGAGAACGAGTCTCTACATAGATCGGAAAAGCAGATGTATGTGATATCCAGCTTGCATGGACCTGCGCCGCTACTAAAGAAGGAAGACCACCTACATGGCCTAACCCCAAATCGTCGAGTAATCAATCGAATCGCTGCTAAGATCGACCCTAGGAACGGCAGATGGCATGGGCCGCATGGCTCCCCTGCAGTCTTAGCTGCGTCCCTACCTAGTTCCCTACCTAGTAAGATACCATATCTACCTGTCTGCCTATGCCTGTACCTATGGTGTGCAGCAATACCCCCCCACGGGTGCATTCATCGTTCCGAGATCTGATAAAATCGTGTTACTTACTACCCCCTCCGTTATGGGCGGCTGCATTCATACCCTGCAACAACCTGTTCCGATTTACCGACGTGTATAGTAGTAGGGATCATTTGAAGGAAGCCTCTTTGCAACCCCATGCTAGGTTAGCAGTACAGCTTCCGATGTTGTCGATGTGATTCTTATACCGACCCAGGTAAGACCTGGCTAGGAAGGCAAGCACCCAATTTCAAAAACAAGTCGGTATACAGGGTTCAGAATGAAGTTCTTCAGTTAGGTGAGTCACTTAGAGATAGTCGCAGAGTTCAATTCGAGCCTCATATGTCTCAAAACAGGATTCTAGGCGATGCTCCACGCAATAGCCAGCCACGGTGCTTAGGGATCAATGGGGTCCAAGTAAACGTTCGAGTCGATCATCCATATCCATGAATAAGTAAGCACACTTGCCAAGCAGGTAGCCAATTAAGCCAAGAAACTGCAAAGTGCTTGTTCGTCATATACGCCACCTCATTGGACCCAATAGCCTGCAGGATGACCGTTGTATCGGTAAGGGGGGCAATTCCGCTTGGGTAGAACGCCCAAACGGAAGAGCGCCAACTATCTACATATCAAAGCTTTGGAGCTGGAACTTATGTAAGTTGTGAATAGTTCGAGGGTGATGATCAAACGCCGAGATGGGATCCATTGGTTGCTAGTTGCTGACATCCTCTAATCAGAACGATAGAGCGTTGTGGTTTATGATATATGTCATCCCACCCCCCCTGGCCGTCAATATCATGAAGACTTTTGTCTTAGCAATAGAGAAAAAGACGTTAACCTACCTAACCTTACTCAACCATGCACCTAGAAAAATGTTTTAGATATACGGCAAGCAAGCGTCAATAGTCTGTTTGGCCCGGATTCGGGGCTACGGCTGGCTGAACCGGAGACTGTATACCGACCTATTAGTCTAGGCAGACCTTGCAAGGCTATAATCATCACGGGCCGATAATCTGAGCGTCATTTGAAGGCAATTGTCGCGGTAGGTACTCATCGTTGCCGTCCCGTGTTGACTTGAATCCTCAGCCATCTTCACGGCCCAGTATGAGAAGCTAATGTACAGAGTATGAAGTGAGGCTTGCTGTCTGAGATTCAAAATCCAGGTAAACACTCGACGAGAATACTGAGTGTGTGCCTAAGTAGGTGATCGGTGTTAGGTAAGGTAGCCACTGACGATTCTACGGCATACGTCGAAGGGTCTTGGGGTACTAAGGTACTTCTCTTTGAAGGTTAGTATATGTACACCGCCAGAGAGCCAATAGCGGGCAACGGCAGATGAACTATCTACTAAGTTGATACTATTTGCTTCCAAGTCGGGGGATTTTCGGTAAGATGCAGACATCCATGGATGACTTGCAGTGGCTGGCGTAGCTTTGACAACACACTGGGCCTTGCCATCCACTGTGTCTGTATTGGTAGCTCTGTGGGCAGATATGTAGTACACACAGTGTCGTATACCAGGTGCTCGAATCGTAGAAGCATGATAGTAGGCGGGAGGTATCTGATACTAGGTACTAGGTAGATACCGAGAAAACAGAGAGCTGATGAAAATATGCGAGAGAGGACATGTTCACTTTGTTTTGGGTTTCTAGGTACATTACTTTTTCTTAGTTAGAGGCAAACCGCCACCAGCCAAGCGTATCCTGCAGTAACGAACCGCCAAGGAGCGAAGGCGCCTCGCCGTTCTATTTACGCTGAGCGATAAGCAAAATGGCTATGCAGTTCCCAGCCTATCCCCCGAGTCTCGAACGGTAAACATTCTTGCGAAGCTACCTAGGTACATACTTAATACTCGCCAAACGTTACTAGCAGCATCAGCTACCCCTGAATTGACTACTTGTCTACCTAGGTAGGTGGCCGCAGCGACACGGCTGTGAGCCGTTCAAGCCATAAGCCAACCAGAGTGATGATTGGTGTAGACTCATCCCGCATCTCATGAAATAGAGAACCAATTGAAGTAGAAATGGATCACGACGCAAACGAGCATGTGTTGCTGGTAGGTGTTTCTTTCGACCACCTCAACACTTCTCAGTCGGCTAGCCTCCTTGGTATGCACATCAGTTTCCATCTAAGTATTCTTCAAGTCGATCATGGTTCAACTTACTGGTCATCCTGACCAACCTCAGCCAAGTCAAAACTTGCTCAGATTTGGTCTCTCAATCGAATCCCTTGAAATGTATGCTGTATCTCAAGAAACACTCATGCCCAGGCTCAGTTTCTCGTCAAGCTGAAATGGCCTCCTTTCCTTTTATATTGGAAAGTTGCTCCCCAATCACGCCATCTAACCCTTTTCTTCTCTAAGATGAGTTGCTGACTATCTCCATATCAGAAGCTGTGTGTCGCCCTGAATGGTCTTGACATCGAGGTGACTATGTTCACTATCAGTAGAACATAGTTGGCATGAGTCCTGAAGCGGTATAAACCAAACTAACCCTCATTGTTAGATACTACACCAATAATGGACTTGTGCACAGGTATGTAGATATACCTACTAAACGGAGAGCATTCTTCACTTAAGATCACGAGTACATGTAATTCTCTCGAGCTGGATTACATTCATCTTCTCCCGTCAGAGACAACGTAATAACACGTGCTTTACGCATGGGTAGGGAGGTACCTATCCCCTAAATTTGCTCTGGCAATAGCCTCTGGAATCTCATGAATCTGAAGAGCTCATGAATACGTGCCAGTGTGTGGGAGCGAACATAACCGAGGCAAGATTATCAATTAGCCGTAGAGATAATTCAAATGCCACAGTTAAGAAGAGATTAATATTGTACTACCTATGGCGAGTCGAACTTTTGAGGTTGATATTCTCGCGACATGTTAGTTTCCAAGGCTCACATATCAAAGAAGATTCATACAATTTAAGTAAATCCAAGCCATGATATATCTTGTAGAAAGTATAACAAACCAACTTTAAATATTTCCTTTTTATTTATTTTGGTATTCATCACATGATGAGCTTCGGGTGAATTCAGGGGTGCTTCTATGTGAGAACTGGTGAAACTTGTCTGGCACCCATGCCTATCTAGCATAGACCAGATGTTGTAGCACCTGGGGAAATATTGAACAAGTTGGCGTCGAAGACACCAGCGAGCTTGTGCCAAAGAATCTTCTATGCGTGGCTATATTTTCTTTCCTTTCGTTAACAGCCATGTTCCCCTGATAAACAACCTCAGTATCTTCTTTATCGGCATTTCTAGGTAGGTAGTCGAATTCTATCGATATCAAAACTTGAGAATCAGGAGAACTATCTCATAAATGTACTCTATTCATAAGATATCCGGGACTATCAACATGTCCGGCAAAGTGACAGACTATTCCCATCACGGAAGTGGGTGCCATTTGGTCTGTTACGGGGGGAAGCAGAGAAGCTCCGTTGGGATGTCCCGAGGGATAGAGTATAGGTAAGACAATTGAAAATCCAAATTTTGAAGAGAGGCCAATGTTTCGCAGGAAGTTGAGTGGTACTACCAACTTTTCCCCCGATAATCGATATTGTCTTGAACCTGTATGTATCTCCCAGCCTACCCAACAATGAAATCTAAAGGAAACATGCTGTGTAAATCTCAGAAGTATTCCTTCATTAACTAGCCAGTTACTCAAATTCGATTATTGAATAGTATCCAGCTGCGTTACCAGAAAAACGCTAGAGAATACTCCGATAAGACACATAAACTCCGGTCATCATGTCAAAAAGGTGTATGATTTTCTAATTTATTAAGCCATTGCAAAATGAAAAACCACTTTATCTACAGCTGGAACTACTTGAAACCATCCCTGACAACTCCGATATCTGGGGAGTTTTCCAAATTCCGGCTTTTGACTGGTCAAAAGTTGATGTCCGAATTACATTGTGTGAAGAAACTTGATTTATACCGCTCGCATTGCTGTCCGTCCTGACTCCTGATACCTGCTCCTTCGTAACCCACAAGGCAGTTTTCACTCTCGCTATTTATTAGAGCTACCGAACACTTTTTAGAGGATGCCATAACCCCGTTCCCACGACCGACTCCTGTAATCACGTTGTTTCCTAATCAGGTCGTCCATTAGTCTCACCTAGTGACTTCAACGTCTCTAAGTCTACGTTGTAGATCTGATAAAAATGTCACCTTCTATAGACAACGACGAATCATCTCATAGAACCCTGTTGTTATTTGGTTCACAGGCACTCTCTTTCGATGAAGCTTACTTTGAGCGTATTCGGCTGAATGTGGTAGGGGACAAGGACAACCGGTGGATGATAGATGTGGTGGAGGACCTGTCAACATACTGGAATGAACTTTGCGAAATAATCCCGAGTCTACGGAGCTTGCCAGGGGAGAGATGGCTGAAGCAACACACCCACTGGCTGCAACATGGAAGCAAAGAAGACCAGCGGCCCTCCCAGCTTCCGAATATCATACTCAGCCCCTTGGTCATCATGGGCCACCTTAGCGAATATGTTCAACACTCTGCCGCTTCTGGGGAAGGATTTCAGTCGGAGGAAGCAGAATATCAACGGGCGAACACAGAGACCTTGGGCTTCTGTATCGGTCTTCTGAGCGCATTCGCCGTTTCGAGCAGTTCAACGAGAGCACAGTTTTGCCAGAATGGCGCAGCTGCCATACGGCTTGCCATGGTTGTAGGTGGACTTGTCGACGCACAGATGGCTGAGAGCGAGTCTGTCTCCCTGACGGCGACATGGAAGTCGGAACAAGGTGCCACCAAGCTTAATGAGGTGTTGGAAAATTTCCCAGATGTAAGTCTTACCCACCTCACCCTATGTGGCCGATTTTCTCTCTCTTCTTTCGGTTACAGCATTAACTCAAGCAATTATAGACATATATCTCAGTCTCGTATGACGAGAACCGTGCTACTGTTACAACCGCGAAGAGCACAGTTTCGACCCTTCAGGGGAAGTTGGGCGAAGCTGGCATTAACACTAATGAGATCGGGTTGCAGGGTCGTTTTCACACTCCGATGCACGAGGGTGACATGAGAGCTGTGCTCAGATTCTGCGAGGCGCACCCGGGATTCAGGCTCCCAGACGCCTCCAAACTCACCATACCGACACGCTCGAACTCTGGAGGTCGGTTAATTACACAGGGGAATCTTCATGAGATTGCTCTGCGAGAGATTCTGGTCGATCACTGTGACTGGATTAGCAGCTTCCGCAACGCCAGCTCTGCCTCTCTTACGAAAGCGGGATCGCAGCTGGTGGTATTTGGTTCTCAGCGATGCATCCCCCAGTCAATTCAACGGAGCATAAGCGCCCATGTCACCTATGTCGACGCGAACTCCGTTCAAAATCCAGAGACAACCGTAAGAGACGACGACATCGCGGTCGTGGGCATGTCATGCAACCTGGCTGGTGCCTCGGACGTGGATCAGTTTTGGAAGATATTGATGGACGGCGAATCTCAACACAAGGAGGTCCCAACGGATCGCTTTACGTTCGAGACCGTCTTTCGACAAGAGAACGACCCGAACCGGAAATGGTACGGCAACTTCATCGACGACTACGACGCTTTCGATCACAAGTTCTTCAAGAAGACCCCGCGAGAGGCTACCTCGATGGACCCTCAGCAAAGGCTCCTCTACCAGGCATCGTACCAAGCGGTGGCGCAGTCGGGATACTTCCAGAAGCCTCTTACCAGTCTGGACACCAAGGTAGGATGCTACATAGGAGTATGCGCGACGGACTACGAAACCAACATAGCGCATTACCCCGCCAACGCGTTCTCGGCTACTGGCAACCTGCGGAGTTTCATCGCCGGCAAGATCAGTCACTACTTCGGCTGGACCGGGCCAGGACTGACGATCGACACTGCTTGCTCGGCATCAGCTGTCGCCATTCACCACGCCTGCCAGGCCATCTTGACGGGCGAGTGCACAGCAGCTCTAGCTGGCGGTACCAACTTCATCAGCTCCCCCCTCTGGTACCAGAACCTGGCGGGCGCTTCTTTCCTCAGCACCACCGGACAATGCAAGCCGTTTGATGCCAAAGCCGATGGGTATTGCAGAGGTGAAGCCATCGCCACCGTCTTCTTGAAGAAGATGAGCCAAGCTATCGCAGATGGCGATCAAATATTCGGCAGCATTTCCGCTACCGGCGTCTTCCAGAACCAGAACTGCACACCCATCTTCGTGCCCAATGCCCCTAGTTTGTCTGATCTATTCAATACCGTGCTGGAGAGGTCTGGTATTGAGTCGAAGCAAATAACTTACGTCGAAGCTCATGGGACGGGCACCCCAGTGGGTGATCCGGCTGAGTACGAAAGTATCCGGACAGTCTTCGGTGGACGAACTGGTCAAGTTCCCCTGCAATTTGGCAGCGTCAAGGGTCTCATAGGTCATACGGAAGGCAGCTCTGGAGTCGTATCTTTAATCAAGGTGCTCCTTATGATGAACGAGGGTTACATCCCGCCACAAGCGAGCCATTCCGCCATGAACCCTGGGATCAAGGTATCTCAATCCGACAACATGACCATCACGACTAAACCACTACCTTGGGAGTCGAGCTTCAAGGCAGCGCTCATCAACAACTACGGTGCCTCAGGATCGAATGCATCGATGATCGTCAAGCAAGCGCCGCGCCTGGGCTCAAAGGCCATAACAGGTGCGGAGGCTTTCAAGGCCCCCTTCTACATCTCCGGCTTCGATGAAAAGAGTTTGAGAGCCTATGTCACCAGGCTCCGCCACTTCCTCAAGACCCGAATAGCGTCTGGTACGAAAATTGGGCTAGAGGACTTGGCTTTCAACATTGCCCGACAGTCTAACTGGTCCCTGGAGTCCGCCTTGATCTTCAGCTGCCAATCGATCGATGAGTTCGACGACAAGTTGGCGGCCTTTGAGTCTGGCAACAGCAAGATGGCGTCAGTCACGCCACCAGCACCGAGACCAGTCATTCTCTGCTTTGGAGGACAGATATCTACCTTTGTCGGCTTGGACCGCGAAGTGTACGAGAATGTCAAGGTCTTGCGCAAGTACCTCGATAACTGCGATGCTGTCTGTCGGTCCATCGGTGCTGGTAGCATATACCCCGGCATCTTCCAGCGCGAGCCTATTGCGGATGTATCCAAGTTACAGTCCATGCTATTCGCGATTCAATACTCCTGTGCCATGAGCTGGATTGAGAGCGGTATCCGGCCAACTGCTGTTGTGGGACACTCCTTTGGCGAACTGACAGCCCTCTGCGTGTCAGGCGCACTCAGCATTCGTGATACGCTGAAGATGATTGTTGGACGGGCAAAACTGATCAAAGATCGATGGGGCCAGGAGAAGGGAGCGATGATGGCAGTGGAAGCTGACCGTGAAGTAGTCGACAGGCTTTTGGTCGAAAGCCACTCGCCAGTCACCATTGCATGCTTCAACGGACCGCGAAGCTTTACTCTAGCAGGCTCATCCGATTCCATTGATGATTTGGTCAAATATATGTCTTCTCATCAGACATATTCATCGATGAAATTCAAGAAGTTGAACGTGACCAACGCATTCCACTCTACTCTAGTCGAGCATCTGAAGCCCGAGCTAGAGCAAGTAGGAAAGGACTTGACCTTCCTGGAGCCTACCATCCCCCTCGAAAGAGCCACCGAATACAAGAATACCGATAAATTCACACCATCCTACGTGGCGGATCATATGAGAAACCCCGTCTACTTTGACCACGCTGTTCACAGACTGTCCCGACAATATCCTTCAGCCATTTGGCTCGAGGCTGGCTCCAATTCAACGATAACTACCATGGCGGGTAGAGCACTCAGCACGCCGAAGGGCTCATCCTTCCAGCCAGTGAACATAACTAGCGGCCAAGGCTTGCAACAGCTTACTGACACCACGCTGGGCTTATGGTCGGCTGGTCTGCGCGTCTCCTTCTGGGCACACTCCAAGTCACAAACTGGTCAATACACACCTATACTCCTACCTCCTTATCAATTCGACAAGCAAAGACATTGGCTTGCTTTCAAAGTCCCTCCGAAGTACGGAGAAATTGACTCCAGTCTTCAAGGAGAACAGGGCGCCAAGGGCGACGAACTCCCCACCACATTATTCTCATTCCTGGGATACAGAGACAATTCCCAAGACCACCCCCGCTTCCGTATTAACACGATGATTCCGAAATATGAAGACATCGTGTCGGGTCACGTCATCGCGAAGACAGCCCCCATCTGCCCCGCAACCCTCCAAGTCGACCTCGCTATCGAGGCCATTCTCAGCATTCAGCCCGAACTCCGGGAAAAGAATATGCACCCGCAGATCTGCAACGTAACGAACCAATCGCCGATCTGCATTAACCCGGCCCGGTCGGTGTTCCTGAACTTCGCCCGCATCGGCAACAACGCGCCTGTGTGGAACTTCGAAATCGTCAGCAGCGATGACAAGCCAGGCGAGACCACGCACGTCACCGGCGAGGTCCGCTTCCTCAGTGCCAACGACTCCCAGTACCGTCTCGAGTTCAACCGCTTCGAGCGGCTGGTCAACCACCAGCGATGCCGTCGCATCCTCAGCTGCGATGACGGCGATGACGTCATCCAGGGGCGCAGCATTTACAAGGTCTTCTCGGAAGTGGTGGACTACGGGAAGGAGTTCTTCGGCCTGCAGAAGCTCGTGGGCCGTGCATATGAGTCTGCGGGCCGCGTGGTGAAGAAGCATTCCGGCGAGACCTGGCTGGACCCCTTCCTGGGCGACTGCTTTAGTCAGGTAGGTGGCATATGGGTCAACTGCATCGCGAACCAGTCCTCGAAGGACATGTACATCGCCAATGGATTCGAGCAGTGGATGAGGTCCCCGAAGATCCTCAAGTATGAAGGGGGCGGTCCTTACGATGAACAGGAGGAGTGGCATGTCTTGGCAAATCACAAGGAGTCGGCTTGCGGCAATGCTTTCGTGACCGATATTTTCATCTTCGATGCCAATAACGGAGACTTGGTCGAGGTCATCCTCGGTGTCAATTACGCCAAGGTTCCGCTTGCGTCCATGAGCAAGCTCCTTACCAGACTTACCCCGAGTCTTGCAAATTTGCGCGGGGATAGCAAAGAAAAGTCCAAGGGACAATCTCATGCCGAGCAGCAGCCCGAGGGTTTTAACGATTCCGAACCTACGCAAGCTGTCCAAATACCCAAGCGAGCTAAAGGAAACTCCAAGGCCGCTCACCTTGCCAAGTTGAAGGCAGTATTGGCTGATATCACAGGTCTTGAACCCGAGGAGATTGCAGATGATGTCGACCTCGGAGACATCGGCATCGACTCTCTCATGGGTATGGAGATGGCTCGCGAAGTTGAGCAGACCTTTAATTGCACACTGGACGTTGACGAGCTTATGAACGTTACGGATATGCCCAGTCTTTTCAGGTGTCTGTTGACAGCCCTGGGAGAATCCGATGATGGCGAGTCTGACACTAGTGGTGACCAGACATCAGGAGAAAACAGCGCCAGTTCCAAAGATACTCCCCCGTCTAGCAACGCCACGTCAATTCATACCCATGAAGATGCCCCTATCTCCAAGGGTGAGAGCAACAGCCAGAATGATACGGCAGTGAAACTACCTCAATCAGTTGTCCTGGAAGCCTTCGGCGAGTCGAAATTGCGTACGGACCACCTCATTCAGGATCATAGATGCTCGGGCTACATGCATAACATCCTCCCCCACCAGACTAAGCTCTGCATCCAGCTCACAGTCGAAGCATTCCGGGAGCTAGGTTGCGACCTTGCAACGGCCCGTCCCGGACAGGAGTTAGAACGCATCCCATTCGAACCCCGTCACAACCGTCTTCAAATCTACCTATACCAAATGCTGGAAGAAACCCGCATCATCGACCTCGACGGGGACCGCATCACCCGAACCGGCCTCCCTCTACCCACCAAGACAAGCGACGAATTACTCGCAGATCTGGTGCGCAACTATCCAGACCACACCTATGCCAACCAATTGGCACACTGGACTGGCTCAAAACTCGCTGAGGTGCTTCGGGGCAATGAGGACGGTATCAAACTGATCTTCGGCAACGAAAGGGGTCGTGAGCTCGTCGCCGGTCTCTACGGCGATACGCAGCTGAATAAGCTCTCCTATATGCAAATGAATGACTTCCTGGGTCGGATCGTCGCGAAGCTTTCCGAGATTGGCCAGGACGGTACTCTGAGGATTCTGGAAATGGGAGCAGGGACTGGTGGTACGACTAAGGTAAGCACTTCTTACTGCTGATTTTCATTTCTTTCTTTTTTCTTTTTGTTTCTTCCATACTAAAAAAGGTAACAGTGGCTTGTACCCATGCTCGCGAAGCTCGGGTTCCCCATTGAGTACACCTTCACGGACCTGGCCCCCTCATTCGTGGCCGCTGCCCGGAAGAAGTACAAGGAGTACCCGTTCATGAAGTTCGCCGTCCACGACATCGAGAAACCGCCCGCCGACGCCAATCTGATTGGGTCGCAGCACATCGTCATCGCCAGCAACGCCGTGCACGCGACGCATTCCCTGACCGTGTCCGCCGGCAACATCCGCAAGTTCCTGCGCCCCGATGGGCTCCTGATGATGCTGGAGATGACGCACACCGTGTACTGGGTCGACATGATCTTCGGCATTCTCGAGGGCTGGTGGCTCTTCGACGACGGACGCGCACACGCGCTGTCGGATGAGTATCGCTGGGAGCGGGATCTCCACTCCGTCGGCTACGGCCATGTCGATTGGGCCGACGGCGAGTCCCCTGAAACGGATGTCCAAAAGGTCATCATTGCCTTGGCGTCCGGGCCGCAACTAGACCGGTTGCCAGCTGCTTCATCGCCTGCCACGAGCGCCCCAGCCATGAACCTTGAATCGCGGAAGGCAGATGTGGAGGCGTACGTGAAGAAGGCCTCCGAAGGATTTCACATCCCCGAGTATTCGGGCCCCCTAATCAAGTCCTCGTGCAACGAGAACGCTGTCCTCGTGACCGGAGCAACCGGTAGTCTGGGATGCCATCTCGTCACCCACTTTGCCAGCCTTCCCAACGTCCAGACAGTGTACTGCATCAACCGACGGAGCAAGCAAGACCCCGTGGCCCGCCAGATCGCAGCCTTAGAGTCCAAGGGCATCGTGCCCGACGCCTTCTCGCTCTCAAAGCTCAAGGTGTTCGAGACCAGCACATCGCAGCCCTTGCTCGGCCTCCCGCAAGACCAATACCAGAGCATGGTGAAGTCCGTGACGCACATCGTGCACAACGCGTGGCCGATGAACAGCAAGAAGCCGATCAAGGGCTTCGAGTCGCAGTTCCAGGTGCTGCGCAACCTGATCGACCTGGCCGCCGAAGCCTCGTCGCGCCGGGGCCCCGAGTTCAAGGTCTCTTTCCAGTTCATCTCGTCCATCGGCACCGTGGGCCACTACCCGCTGCACAAGCACACGCCGCACATCCCCGAGGAGCGCATGCAGATCGACTCCGTGCTGCCTAACGGCTACGGCGACGCCAAGTACGCGTGCGAGCGCATCCTCGACGAGACCCTGCACACGCGGCCCGACCTCTTCCGCCCCATGGTCGTGAGGCCCGGCCAGGTCGCGGGGTCCTCGATCAGCGGGTACTGGAACCACGTCGAGCACCTCTCGTTCCTGATCAAGTCCGCGCAGACGCTGCGCGCGCTGCCGGATTTCGACGGCCCCTTGTCCTGGACCCCCGTCAACGATGTGGCGGGCACGCTCGCGGACCTACTACTCAACGACAACGTCCCGCATCCGGTGTACCACATCGAGAACCCCGTGCGCCAGCCGTGGAAGGAGACGATACCGGTGCTTGCGGACGCGCTGGGGATTCCGAGAGACAGGATCATCCCGTACAAGGAGTGGATACAGCGCGTGCGCTATTTCCCGGGCAAGGCGGAGTGGGATAACCCGGCCTGGCTGCTGGTGGACTTCCTGGAGTATGATTTTGAGAGAATGTCGTGTGGTGGTGTGTTGCTGGGGACGGAGAAGACGCTGTCGCACTCGGCGACGTTCCGGGGCGTTGGGCCGGTCAGCCCGGATGTGGTGCACAAGTATGTACACGCGTGGAAGGAGAGTGGGTTCTTGCGATGATTGCCTGTATTTTTGTTTTAATGGGATCCATGGTGATAGATTGGGGTTGGGCTTTAGACCCGGAGTACATGTTCGATTCGCGGTTTTGGTTTGGTTAGGTTCATAATAATGGCTGCTTGGAAGCCGAGGTCAGTACCTAGCTTGTCATCATTACAGTATAGTTAGTTGTTAGATAGTATTTACAGTTTTTCATTCCTGTTCCACGATTAATCTTGAATGATTGAATGTGTTGTCGTGGTATTGTGTTGGTTCAAGTTAGATTGTCGTGATGAGATTAAATAATGAGGTGTCCAATAAAATACAGCACTAAGCTGGGTACTAGGTACTTGTACTAGGTGCTAAAGTTTAGGCGCTAACAAGTTTAGTTTCAGTGGGGATAGTGATAGCCCACTTTACAGTATCCCCTTGACCGTCGCAAGGCAGCAGAGGCAGCAGATTACTATTAATAGGAAAAGATACAGCCAAGCCAATTTCCCCATCGCTCCATATTTCCAATATCCAATAAAATTTAATTATTCGGTAGGTACATACTTTCCCACTCAACTTTGCGCACGCCACTTGTACCAACAGTACTTAAAAATACACAATGCCATATTACAAGGGATCGCGTCTTTTTTCCTTTAGCATTGAATATGCCTCCTTTTAACCCTCGACGACAACGTCTTCAAATATTTTTTCCTTACAAGCCTGACACCAAAATACATTCTTACTTTTAGCTTATACGCGATCAGCAAAGCTGCCATATAAATCATCCCTTCTAAAGTTCAAAGGTTGGTTTGAAGCTTCCAGGTTGGCGTGCATTTACGTACGAGCCGTGAATGGGAATAGCTTCATTTAAAATAAGGTTTATGTTAAATTCAAATTGGTAACGCCGGCCAGCTTTGTACCGCATTTGTATTAAAATAAAATATGGATCAACATATGGGGTTATGGATATTTGTGGGTATAGTGGATTGAAAGAGATGTATCTGCTACTAATAATAGTAATCTGCTGCCTCTGCTGCCTTGCGACGGTCAAGGGGATAATGGCACAACTTGCAACTTGAGCATTTCAAATTCACAATCTACCTCAGTACCTATCTACGAGCCCATCTTGCTAATCGCTAGCACCGAATCCACCGCACCATCCACACACGTCTTCAAGTCCCTGAACTCCAAGCCCAGCATCTCTCTAGTCTTAGAGTTATCCCATCCATATATCTCATCCGGAAAGTCATCCAGCGCGCTCTCCTTCGGCAGCTTGTCAGCCAACTCCGGGTGAGACTCACGAATCTTATCCGCCATGCGCTTGTTCGAAAAATAGCCCCCCACCGCAAAAAAGCGCTGTCCAGCGGCCTCGGGAACCTCGAGCACGCGCGCGTGCACCTCCGCCACGTCGCGCACGTCGCAGAAGAGGTAGACGGGCCCGGTGGGCGGCAGCTCGTCGCGGTACTTGCCTAGCGCCATGTCGCGGATGCGCTGGTTCGAGGTGTTGAGGGAGTCGAGGGTGGTTAGGTGGCGCGAGGCGGGCCCGAAGACGAGGGGAGGGTTGATGGCGACGAGGTCGAAGTTTGGGGGAGGCGAGGCGGACATGAACTCGAAGGCGGCTTTCTCGGCGTAGATCTGTTGTGTGAATGTTCCATCATGAGCAAAACAACCGCACTGGCTTAGGAGGGGGAGGGGGAGGTAAGTGTGAGTCTATGATCGTGTGTACCTTGCTGGCTCGGTAAGCTAGCCGAGGGTTCATGGCCTCTTCCCATGTCGTCACTCCGTAAACAGTCTCGTCGTAGACTTTTGCGTGATTAAACGGGTTGAATATGGTCGCAGACGAGGATAGCAACACCACGCGCTCCACCAGCGGGGCAAACTCTCTCACGGACGTGAGAATACCCGTCGTCCCTCTCACGGCCGGGTTAATGAAGTCATTGACCGGATCGGTGATATTGAAGTGGTAGGGGGAGGCCGTATGAATCACATATTTGAAGGGTTGGGCTCGAACAGCCTATGACCATTAGCATATACATAACCATTCAAGAGTATACGCGGTAGGTAGGATAGGATAGGATCGTCTTCTCACATCGTCAAAGGCCCTGTCTTTCATTATATCCTCCACTATCACAAACGACAATCTCCCCCGGGCATCTTCTGGGTACGCGGAGCGGATTTGAAGTCCTTTTTCCTCAGATCGGACAGTCGCGGTCACATAGTATCTTGTGGTGTGTAAGTTAATGTGTGAATTTTCTTCTTCCCTTTTTCCAATGCTTACTGGCGCGCGAGAAGCGAATCCAGGATATGGGATGCGATGAAACCGCTTCCACCTATTGATGATATTGTATTAGAACAAAATATATCGTTCTGAAGAGGTACACCAAAAGTCTTACCTGTTACTAGAACGTGAGGCAAATCCATAATGAGCACGTATTGTCTTAACTTCAATCAAAAGCTACAGAATTTTGTCTAGATAATCGACATGAAGAAAACTGCAATCTAAGCACAATTAACTAGAAGCTCCATGCTTTTTGTGCACTTAGCAAAGTCAGAGTGGCTGATCGATTGCGACCCAGTATAAGGATATGATACGGAAGCCCTTGCTTTTGACCAGCGCAACTCCGAGCTTGATACTCCGGATCGAGCAGCTACATTGTAAGTTGCAGGCCGAGCCTTGCCTCCCTTACTCATTTTTCCAACATACATGAATATCACCAAATAATAGGTACTCCTAGGTACTTATCTACTACTAGGTAGGCAATAGGACTCAGGTGCAATACGCTTGGCAGAAGGATTTACCCCTTTACAATGAGGATGCTCCGAAGATGCCACACTATATGTTGAGAGAATTTCGTTTCTATCATTCAATAAACGTACCTATACTTTACCATATGATGTGAGACTTGTAGATAATAAGTGAATATTCCCTGGATAAGCCAGAGCACCATTGTTGAAAGTCTCTACGACAACGATCCTGCCAACTCCAATGTATCCCCTATCATCCCCAGGCATGCAAGTACCTTACCTAGGTACCTAACCAATATACTCCGTAACAGCACTCCACTCCGCATCCGCCCTCAACCCCTCCAAGTCCCTCTCGCTCAGACACACCAGCACCGGCGTGTCCCCGGAGCCCGCATCAGGCGGCAATATGTACATGAGCCCACCAACCGGCGTCATGTTCGGGCGACGAATCAAGTCCGGCTTCCCCAGCAACGGCCCGAAGTCCAGCGTGCCCGTGAGCAGCTGCGACACCGAGGACGCGCCAACATCAAGGGCCGGGTTGAGACCCCCACCATACACCAGCGCGCCCTTATCCGGAATCCCCGCAAGGAACGTCGCATAGCTGCGGACCGCCCACTCATTCGCCGACTCGTTCAAGCTCGCCCTCAGCCTCGCCGCAACCGCCGACAGCGTCGTCTCCGGCGCCGCAAGCTCTCGGTACGTCAGCTCCGTCGCCGCATGGTAGATCATCTGGCCCATGTAGCCCGGCGGGCACCCGACGGCGGCGCGGATGTCGATGGCGCGCGAGAACTTGGACTTGGCAGACAGGTCGACGCTGCCGTTGGCGACGCGCACGGCGCCCAGCCGCTTCCAGTAGAACGCGCTCACGGCGTCGTTGCTCGAGATGAAGGCCACCGAGCTGCCCCAGTCCTGCTTGTGGGAGGCGGCGGCCTTGATCTGCGGGATGGCGGGCCGCGAGAGCCGGAAGAAGGCCCAGCGGAAGGGCGAGGCGGGGAGGCCGGCGGGCGGGGGCCGCGCGGGCGTCATGGAGCTGCGGAGAAGGTGGCTGTGGTCGCGGATCGGCTGCCCGGGGTCGAGCAGGGGGATCACCTTTGCGCGGTCGAGGTTGGCTTGGTCGATGTAGGTCTGGGGAAGCTCTTTTCCTTGCAGCAGTGTTGTGAGGAGTGCGATGAACACGAACATGCCGCTGGTGTCCATGACGTTGTGCTGGTTGGAGAAGTTCAGGATCACGCCGCCCTTGATGAAGTTGGCTTGGATTACTACCACAGGAGCAAATCCGATTTTGGCCACGTCGTAACCGAATGGATATCCGGGAAAGGGGCAAAGGACGTTTCCGTCCAGCATCGTGGCAGGGCCACCCTTTACTACGATCTCCTCATAAGAAGGGCAGATATCTGTACAGTCCTTTACGCGTATGAGCTTGTCGACGGAGGTTCCCTGAGGCAATGGTACCGTTTTGATCACACCCGAGTTTCCCTTCTCCTGACCTTCGTGAACTACTTGCTCACCCAGCCAGGGGACCTTAGAGATGAGTTTCTCGAGGCCCCCTTTCAGTGTCGCGATCACCGTATCCTGGGTCACGTCGTCCGCTAGGCGAAAGACCGCGCAGGCATGGTTGTAAGTCTTCAACTGAGGGAATTGGCCAACGACATCCTGAAAGCGGGTTGGCGGACCGGCTGTGGTATGAAGACTGCCATGGCCTAGTACAGACTGTGGCATGATTGGGCCAGATTGCATCATGAGAACCTTGGAAGTTTAGATTCTAGAAAAGGTAGTGGTCTGGTCTGGTAAGTTTCCACGTATGTTAATGGGCAAGGGGGGGGCCCTCCGTCCATCTAAATATGAGTATGTCATACATACGCGTCAGAGATTAACTCCTACATTCTTCGGAGGTTTCTCCGCTGATTTCCTATCCATTTATTAGTATGAAACTCCGGAGTCCGACTTCGAAATACTGAGTAAATTGAAAGGCTGCGGTTGCGAACTGCGAATACGTAGTTCGCTGAGGTGGTTTTTTAACGCTTTGATGAGAATACTTGGATTTGGGTCAATCTAAATGTCTCTGTCTGGCACACCGTATACCACTCATCGTTCTGGTAGTCGCTTATTCAACGACGAAGCCTGGTATATACCTGGTATTATACCGTCATCAGATCGAATTCGTGTTCCCATACTAATAATTACATTGCGTGTAGAGTAGATGGATGTTAATTTGTCATCCAAGAAAAGGAGAGAGCTTTATAGATTGAGTGGGCTAGGTAGTCATGGTAGATAATATATCGAGGAATAACCCCGTCTCCAGATTTGCATAGCGTGCCCAGGTGTGTGCAATGACCATGTTTTCGAAACCTTCGACTCGTGTTTCTTCTGGTGCTCTTCGCACTCCATACCGCTACCCTACAAAGACGATGACGGTTCGAAATTCCGTCGAGGTCGCCATCATCGGGGGTGGCATCACGGGTCTGACACTTGCGGTTGGCTTGCTATGTCGAAATGTGAAGTTCACCATCTACGAGAGAGCCCAAGCCTTCCGTGAACTCGGGGCCGGCATTGGCTTCACCCCTAATGCGGAGCGGGCCATGAAGGCGTTAGATCCCCGGATTCACTACAGCTTCCGAAAGGTGGCAGTGCGGAATAATGACGACTGGTTTCGTTACGTTGATGGATTCCATCATAACGGCAATGACCCATCAGACATGCTCGAGATGTTAATGTACAAGATATACCTTGGCGAGAGGGGCTTCGAGGGGTGCCGCCGCTCTGACTTCTTGCAGCAGCTGGTTAACCTCATCCCTACTGACTGTATTAAGATGGAGAAGAATTTGGAAGAGGTACAGGATGTATCCGACGGAAGCAAAGTCCTGATGCGTTTCGAGGATGGTTCAACAGCGGAGGCAGATGTTGGTAAGTCAAATGCTTTTTTTTTTTTCTGATATTTCTTTTATTTCTCTTTGTCCACATCCGAGTCCCACATCGTACATCTCTATGAGTATCCAATAAACCAAAGGTACTAGGTAACTGACTCTGTAATGAGAAAATAGTCATCGGGTGCGATGGCATCAACTCTCGGTTACGACCGCTCATGTTTGGTCAATCCCACGCTTCATCGCAGCCAAGCTACTCCCATAAATTCGCCTTTCGTGGCATTATACCCATGGACAAAGCGCGTGCAGCGTTGGGCGACGAAAAGACCAGCACGCGATTGATGCATCTTGGCCCCGGCGCTCATGCGCTAACCTTCCCCATCGCCGGCGGGACCATGATGAATGTCGTTGCATTTGTCACGGACCCGAGCCCGTGGGCGGAGAAGGACGGCAAGTTTGTGGCTGCAGCGACCAAAAACGAGGCCATAGATGCGTTCGCGGGCTTCGGCCCAGCCGTGCGTACCATTATGTCGTTGTTACCCGACAAGCTGGACAAGTGGGCCATCTTTGACATGTATGACAACCCTGTACCGACATATGCAAGTGGGCGACTTTGCCTTGCCGGAGACGCGGCTCACGCCTCAACTCCGCACCACGGTGCAGGGGCTGGGTGCGGCATCGAGGACTCCCTGGCTCTGGCCGAGCTGCTGGCATCCGTCAATCAAAGAGCTGGGGTGATGCCAATCCGTAACATGGTTACCAAAGCACTCGCGGTGTACAATGAGATGCGGTACGACCGCTCCCAATGGTTGGTGCGAAGTAGTCGTATGTTGGGTGAGATGTTAGAATGGCAGGACCCCCAAACTAGGGAAGACACGCAAGTGTTGGGACATGAGCTGTGGCGGCGCTGTCATGAGATCTGGGACTTCGACGTTGACGAGATGGTGCGTAACGGGATTGACGCGTTGGGATGGAAATTGGCAAAACTCCCTCAGCCCTTGTTCACTGAGGCGGATCAGATAGATTGGATTTAACATTGTATGTGATGTGATATTAGATATGTAAGTACCTACCTAGATAGAGGGTAATACAAGTAACAAAGGTATCTAGACGAGTTGGTACACGAGTAAGAGTACATACTACTAGGTAATTCAGGAACTGGATGGATCTGGAACTGGAACTGGAACATCTGTGGAATAGAGACAAACGCCATAATATTGAACTCATATATTCGGCATCTTAAATCTCTCCGCTCCCTGCCACACCCCTTTTACGCCTCGATATATACATAGACGATCCCTTCCATGCACGTATGCATCCGACTACAAGGGAATACTTATAGGTACCAACATTAATGACAATAAAACAGGGGTAGCCTAGTCCAGTATGCAGGCAGGGAGAAAGGCGATATCCATTTCATCCATTCCATATGCACTTTTACTCACTTTGTTTCTGCTGGCCGCCTAGATAGGACAGACAGATATGTGAGACCTGGAGAGCTTGATACCGGTAACCTCTTTTTTATCCACCGGAATCTCCGGTTCATCTACATATGTACCTTGCCTTATCTTACCTACCCAACCTAATAGTTTCTCGTGCCATTCACCAAGCATAAGGAAAGGCTCCCAAGATGGAGTTCGAGGAAAATCACAGGATACGAATGCAACATTCAGTCACCACTGTAGCTAGTTCTTCTTCGTCCCGTAGTGAACTTCATAGAACTGTGAACATGTCTGAAAGACAGGAATCTCCTACCAATCATATCGAAGATAATTTAGATCCTACTATGGCGTCCGAAAACCAGGACCTACCCTTACCACAGTCAACGACAACCCTAGCTACCAGCTTTGCGGAAGCCATCGACAGCAAGCTCAAAGATCCTACAGAACCGGACGAAAAGCATCCCATCCACAGGGATTCCGAAGAGAAACAGCCAGTCAACGACCAAACCTCTCAGGAAACCACTCCCAAAGTAGGATCCGAGAAAGAAGAAGAAGAGGCCAGAGATGCACCCACGCAACAGGGGCTAAATGCGAATAGACAGGCAGATAGCCATGACTCTAACGACGCCGAAGAAAAGCAAGTTGAGTACGTGACAGGCATTAAGCTAGCCCTAGTGCTGGCAGCGTTAACGATCGTTTATTTTCTGATCATGTTGGATAACACCATTCTCGCTACTGTATGTAAAAACCACTTGCACCCGATGGTTTACGTATTTAACAAGTTCGAATAGGCAACCCCCTTCATTACCGACGAATTTCACTCATTGCTGGACGTCGGGTGGTATAGCAGTGCTTTTCAGCTGGCATCGTAGGGTTCCCCCTTTCCCCCTCCCCTTCCATAGGTAGGTACCTACTGGGTGCCAAGTAGTTAATCAATCTCCAGCTCGGCGTTACAACCTCTGGGTGGAAAAATCTACTCCAAATTGAACTCCAAAGTAGGCCACTCTTAGCATCCCACTGACAAGAAACTTACCTCATTTCCACAGTGGGCGTTCTTGGTGTACCTCGTCATCTTCGAGGTCGGCTCCGTCGTATGCGGGGCCGCTACGTCTTCAAAGATGTTGATTATCGGGAGAGGTGTTGCGGGAATAGGCGGTTCTGGCCTCATGAACGGAGCGCTGATAGTTCTGAATTCTGCGGTGCCGCCGCATCGCCAACCAGGTACTTTTTTTTTTATCTCCTTTCAATATTTACCTCTTCCACCAGGTAGATATTCTTAAGATCACACAACTGACAAACATCTAGGTCTTATTGGATTCACGATGGGTCGTAAGTAGGCCACTCTCTTAACCCAAGAAAGCACCCCGTTAACCAGAGATGTGTAGTCGGTCAGCTAGGCATCGCCTTCGGCCCCCTCATCGGCGGCGCGTTTACCGAGTACGTGACCTGGCGGTGGTGTAAGTACCTACCCAACAACCCACCCCCACTCAAAACACCCTCACCTTCAATCCCCTAAAAAAAACCAGGTTTCTACCTCAACCTCCCGATCGGCGGTGTCGTCGCCCTCGCAATAATCTTCATCCGCATCCCGGACCACATCGAGAAGCCCAGCGCGCGGGATCTGCTCCAAAACGCCGTCATGGACTTCGACCTGCCGGGGTTCGCGCTCTTCGCGCCGGCGGCCATCATGCTGTTCCTCGCGCTGCAGTACGGCGGGAACCAGTACGCGTGGAACAGCCGGGAGGTGATTGGCCTGTTCTGCGGCGCGGGTGTTACTTTCCTGATATGGCTCGTCTGGGACTGGTACCAGGGCGACAACGCGATGGTGCCGTACTCGATGATGCGGCGGCGGATCGTCTGGGCCGGCTGTGTTTGCGGCTTGTTCATGGGCGGGACCATCTTTGTTACGGCGTACTATCTGCCCATCTACTTCCAGGCGATTCTGGGCGTCTCGCCGTTCATGAGCGGCGTGTATATCCTCCCGAATATTCTGTGCCAGATGGTCTTTGGGATTGTGGCGGGGGGCTCGAGTAAGTGATGAGATGAGTAGAGATGGAGTTGAGGCTAATTGGTTCACTTGTAGTCCAGAAGATCGGGTACTTCACCCCGCCCCTTCTCATAGGCGCTGCCCTCAACGCGATCGGGTGTGGGCTTTTGAGTCTTCTCACGCCTTACACGCCTACGGGCTACTGGGTCGGGTTCCAGATCTTGATGGGAGTTGGCCGCGGTCTTGCCATGGCAATCGTAAGTTTTCCCTCCCTCTATCTACCCTACAAGGTTCATCGCCCTCAATCAGATGCTGATGTTTTCCTGTCTACTTACCTAGCCCTTCCTCGCCATGCAAAACACCCTCCCGCGCAACCTAATCCCCCCCGCCATGTCCACCCTCGTCTTCCTGCAGAACTTCGGCGCCGCCATCATGATGGTCTTCGGGCAGACGATCCTCACCAACAGCCTCGTGGACCTGATACCGCAGGACGCGCCGGGCGTGAACCCGCAGCTGATCATCAACGCGGGCACGACGGCGAACGCGCTGGAGCGGGCGGTGGGGCCAGCGCTGCTGCCTAGCGTCAAGTGGGCGTACACGCACGCCCTGCAGCGCGTGTGGTGGTTCTCGGCTGGCATCGCTACGCCGGCTTTTCTCGTGGGCTGGTGTCTTGGATTTGTGAATATCAGAAACAAGAAGACGAGTGAGGTGGACTCGGATAATTCCGCTGAGAACCTCCGGGTGTGAGACAGGCGGGTGTCTCATGGAGTATGCTAGAACAACGGGCACGGGATGGCTGGTAGATCATTATACTACTTGAGCGCGGATCAGTGTCAATAATGTCAAAATGGTAATAGTAATGTGTCAACACATCCATGGAAAGTTGGAAAGACATGCATAGTGTTCAGACTATGATCTAGAATTATATTTTGGTACAAGTTACTATCTGGCACTTTCCGTACACCTATGCGTAAATACTGCTCTCTTTGTACCTAGGTACATTATTAAAGAGTCACAACAACCTTCGCAGCCGACACCCCCCTCATATTCGTATCCAACGCATCCTGCACATGCTCCAGCCCCTTCCCCACGACCTGCGGGTCCGGCTTGGCCTGGTACTCCCCCCTCGCCAGCGCCTTCGGCAAGAAGTCATTGTAGATCATCGCGCCCACCTCATTCGACATGAGATCCGTGCCCCAGATGAACTTCGTGCCCACGCCCTTGAACCTCGCTCGCATCGCAACCGCCACGTTCCACTTCACGTACCCCAGCATGACGCCCGCGACGCCAAGGACACTCGACGGCAGCTTCGCCGCGTCGAGCGGCACCGACGCCTGCGCGACGAACTTGCGGCCCGGCACCGCGGCCACGATGTCGATGCACGCTTCCAGGGACCCGTTGCCGATCGCGATCGCGCCCGCGCACGTCCGTCCCTTCAGCTGCGCGATGATGGTAGAAGGCGTCTGCGGGTCGCGGTAGTCGTACGCCTGCGACGCGCCCAGATCCTTGACGTACTGGAAGTTCTTGGGCGAGGCCGTGGCGAAGACTTCGTAGCCCGCGGCTTTGGCGAGCTGGATCGCGTTGGAGCCGACGCTGGTTGAGCCGCCCCACACGATGACGACACCGTCAGGCGGAGGTGAGCTCGATGTCGGGTGCTGCAGGCCGACGTTGTCCTTGATGAAGAGGGCGGAGGCGGCGGTGGATATACCCATCGGTAACACGCACGCCTTTTCATCCGACAAGTCGTCGGGAATTTTGCTCGCGAGGTGGCTTCTCAGGACCGAGTACAGCTGGAAGGCGCCCTCCGAAGCCTTCGCGGAGCGCTTGTCCATGCCGACGGCGTGGCCCACGACACGATCACCCGGCTTGAACAGCTGCGCAGCTTTGCCACCGACGCCGACCTCGACGACCTCGCCCGCCACGTCGCTGCCGAGCACAAAGGGGTACTTGATCCAGGTGAACATGTGGTCGCCGCCGAGCTGCTTGCCGTAGTCGACGGGGTTGACGGCGATGGCGCCGTTCTTGACGACGATTTCGTCGGGGCCGGGGGGCGTGTACGGAGCAGGCTTGACGACGAGCGGTTTCGCTCTCGTGCTGACGAGGTACGCGGCGCGGTTCTCGGGGGGCATTTTGGTAAAGGAGTGGTGATGACTACAGCGTTGACAGCTTCCTTTCTGTTGAAAAGTGGTGAGTATGTCACTGGTATCTAGAGACTAGATAGTGAGTAATACTTGCAGACGTCCGAGACGGATAACAGTGAGACGGATAGCTGCGTAGGATGATCTTGTAAACATTGAAGTTAAGCATTGAATGGAACAATGATAGTGTAAGGTAAAATGTCAGATGATTCGACGAAAGGGATAGAGACGATAGAGAGACGGAGACGGGACCGGGTTTGCCCGCCGGGAGTTTCGAAAGATATCATGATATGAAATTGCACCGTGACGTCAGCTGGCATATGAGGCTATGAATGAATTTTTTATCTCTCGTTACACAGGTGGCTTCTATTTTTGCTACGTAGCAACAACACTGGGAGAGACATCAATGATAGTAATATGTAAACGGTAACGGTCGTGAACCCGATGTACCTCATGTACTCCCAAAGCTGCATTGATGGATATTCTACTAGGTAGGATATTCATGTAGTTACAAGGTATCGAGTTTAGGCGGAGTTCAAAATCTCCCGAGGCTATTCCATCTATAGACTAGCTCCAGTTTTAGTGACCCTCCTCAGCTACCGACAGAATGGAAAACACAGGGATGCAGCTCCCTAAGTTACCTAGGTTAGTTAGATGCTACCAACAAAGACCGGGCTGGTCGGATTTAAGGATTCCGTTTTGGGAAAAGGGGTTGTGATAGAACTCCGTATCTATCTAGGTACTTAACGCCTTATATGCGCTTTTCCGTGCCATCACGGGGTCAACACCGGCGTTAAGCGATTATGCAGGTTCATCACTGCCTCGGTACGTATTACTGGCCTGGGTGATGGGCACACAAGTCGTCCGTATGGAACAAAAAATACTCCTATACTCCGACTTGTGTAGCTTTAGGGGGGTACTGGCTACAATGTGCACGTTTCCGTATAACATCGTTCCAAACACAAGCACAAACCCATCGTCATCGTCCTACTCATCGTCCTACTTAACCCGATCCGAGCCTCCAACGGTTATATTAGTTTCGAATCCATTTCTGTCTAATTTCATCATAGTTATATATTAGCAACACAAGTTATAAAGTAGTTCGTGAAGCGTACGGAGCGGGGCCCTACATATACCTACCTTCGTCGCGTCCGACGACTATTCTCAACGCGTCCAAGTAAAACTTATATATGTAGGTAGGCATATCCTGGCGGATAGTATCAGATTTGCAGACGCGACGCTGATCTTCCGAATAACGTTGATCAAGTATGTCGTGGCATCCATTTCACACTGGCATTAGAAAATTTGGGCAAGGATACCCTTAAAAGTTACATCAATTTCTTCGAATTCTTGACTGCTAAGGTAGGTACATAGGAACCCGAAACTGGGTATCCTCATGTATGGATTAATTGCATCAGTCCTTCACCATTGAGCATCTAAATAAACTGTAACCTCGAGACGTCGTCGACGTTTCAAATACACACATGCGAATTAATCTCAAACTCCTGGATGAATTACGGATCAGTCCTTTTCTCACTCCTGCCCCCTATCGCACACCACAAGCTTCCATCCCTATGTTCATACCGGGATCCAGCTTGAACGTATGCATCAAGCTTAACCCGCCATAATGCTCTTTCCTCCATCCTCCGTGACCCGCTTGCGAATCTTGATCTTCAGGACACCGTTGTTCAGCTTCTCGATAGCCGAGCACTTCTCATCCACCGCAATGACCGCACTAGGTGAGAACAGCAGCGCCTCGCCAACGCGCAACTTGACGATCTGCATGAACATGGCAAGCGTCGGGTCCGAGTCCTCGAGGGAGAGGGTCTGGAAACGGCTTCCGAGGGACGCTACACCGTTACCGTTACCGTTACCGTTACCGTTACTATTACCGTTGCCGTTGCCAAGGCCGTTGCTGCCCATCTTCTCCTTCATGCGGCGCGTGATTGATACACCGGCCAAATGTCGCTGCAGCGTGTGCAGCCAGTCCGGCGACGTGAAGCGATGGACGATGGTGACCGAGCAGAGATCAAGCAACTTAGGCGAAACGGTAGGCTCCTGAGTCGAGATGATGACGCGGACGCCGAGATGTCGCTGCAGACGGATCGTGGCGAGCAGCTGCTCAGTGAGGGCGCTAGCCTCGGCAGATGCGTTCATGTACTTGTGCGCCTCGTCGAGCGCGACCACGCGGCCCACCTTGTCGGGATTCTGCTCGAGGAACAAACTCAGACAGATGTTGAAAAGCGAGCACGCGGTCTCGGCAGTCACGCAGGGGCAGGACAGATCAACGATCGTCAACTGGCGCGGGGTAGGGGCCCAGTTGTTGCCGGTGCTGCGGCTGATATGCAGATTAAAGTTGTCGGCGGCCATGGTGACCTTCTCCTTGGCCATGAAGCTGGTGAGCGTGTCAAGACGCTGCATCAGCGGGGTCTTCTGCGAGTCCGTGAGCTCCTCGCTCATTATTCGGGTCAGGAAGTCGCGGTAGCTGAATCCCGAATCGGCGGACTGCTGCTCGCGTCGGAGGTCGCGCAGGACGCGGGTGACGACGTGCATGTACAGCGGCATGTCGCCGTCGGTCTTGATGGCCATGAGGTCCATCATGCGCTTCGTGTTGAGGTCCGCCTCGTTGATGCGGAGCTCCTCGACCTTGATGTTGGGGAAGTTCGAATAGGTCTTCTTAATCGATGTGATGTTTGTGGGCGCGCAGAGGACCCGAACTTTCATCTTGGGGTCGGTCGACAAGAAGGCTGCCTCGCAAGGACTTCCGCCGGCATCGGAAATGAAGGTATCGTAGTGGAATACGATGCCGGTCAAGGGTCGTGGCAACTCGTTGGCAACGGACTTGATAAGGCAGTTCTCAAGAAGGCACGACAAGGTGTGGCTCTTGCCAGATCCTTGGCTGCCGCAGATGAAGGTGCTGGATGGGGCAGCAACATTGTAGTAGATCAAGTCATTAAGCTTCATCTTGGCGGCATCGTCGGTGATGTTGCCACCAAGAAGACCGTACTGAGCTGAGAACGGCTGAGATGCAGTCTCGTTGAGGGAAGCATGATAGCGAACCGATTCAGTGAAGAGGGGAGAAGCATTGAAATCACTGATGGTCTCAATGTCTCCAGCCTTCTCAATGAGTTGAACTCGCTTGGCGAGAGTAAACATATCGGGCGCCATTATGATGTCGTCCTATAGTTCAATTGGAAATATTAGGAGATGTTCGTCTCAAGCTTGGGCAAGAGAGGTATGTAAAGAATCAGTGTTATTAAGGAATCCTTCTCTAGTAGAGTTAGGGTCTGATTTGAGAAGTAATAAGAGAGGTAGAAGGTGTAGGTAAAAGCATTCATTTCTGAAAATGTGCGCAGATGCCTATCTACCTGCCTAAGGTATCGCTGTTTGCCTAAGGAACCAAGGGAACCAAAGAACTTGCATCCATATTACTCAAAACAAAAACTCCTTTACCTGCCTACATACGTTCTTAGATACCTAAGGTATCTCTGCATATTCCAGGTGTTTTGAAGATATAATACCTGAGGACTTACCCCGCAGATATTCGCGTAAACCACCTGCTCTTAATTTGGTGTTGGTGGATGTCGAGGATGCGTGTAGTATCAAGAACAACATGAGATTCATACTTACAACAATGTTTACTAGAATAAAGCAATGAAAGAATAAATATGTGCTGGAATAAGGAAATTATCTTTGAACTGATATCTAAAGGTTTGAGACATGAAAGTTGTAACATAGATTGACTTGTTTGGTATAGGCTGTTCACCCACGATACCTGCTTGGAAAATCGACGGACGGAAGAGATGTGAGATTATACCGCTACACCAAAAGATGAATGGTTTACATTTCTCATCAAATATATTTAGCTCATGTCAGTGTATCTAATAAGGGGCTGCATCATAGGCGCTATCTGAGAGAAAGGGTTGGGTTGACTCCTTAAGCCATAGTTGATATGATGAATCGCATCGCTAATCCTTTTCAGCTATCACATGAAGAAACACGAAAAAGGGTATTACTACACGCCTATTTGGTAATGCATTTCATCCAACTTTTAAGGTAGAAAAGGCAATATAAAATGTTCTTGACTGAGGTATGTCGGCCCTCGACTGACAAACAGCACCCCCTTATTTGATTTCAAGCCTAAGATCATACTAGCACAGCATACTCCTATAACAACTCAACACTCAACGCTCATTACTGCATTCCCTTCAATTAGGGCTGGATTTCAGAGGAAATAGGGCCCAACTTTAATACCAATGGACCGCTGGTGACCTTGCACTCTTCACATCAATGGTTAGTAAGCCCCCCTGACCCCTTTTCTCCCGAGTAAGAACATTTACCGAGGTGTAATAGGATCAGCTCGATACTTCGTGGTATGGCCTTTGTGACTCTCCTCGGATTCATTCTCGTCAATCTCCCCCCACGCGTGCTTGTGCTGGCTCGGAAATCAGGCCTGCTCCTGGATCTTCATGCCTTCACGGAGCTGCCCTGCATGAATCTAGCGCGTTATACGGGTTTATCGTCTTGTACTAGGTAGCCAAGAGCTGTCAACCTCTATTTATCATCCGGCTAGCCGCGTTGATGGCCTACCCGAGTCAGCTCGGCATGAGATCAGGGAATAATAATGTTCAGAGCAGCGACTCTGACCAGGAGTCTATTTACAGGCGCGATCGCGCGGGTAAGTAGAATGACCAATGCCAAGAGATCCGATCAAGACACCACCGAAAGCAAGCACACGGCATTGGTACAAAATCTTTGAATTAAAGCATCGTGCTCGCCTAGTAAGGCAGCCTATCCGATCTTAAGAAGGAGCTTGAACACTGCAGTGAGTGAAGTGGATCGAGTCAGGGGGGGTCAGGCAGACAACGTAGGATGGAGCCGAGGCACGACTTTGCCTTTCTCTTCAGCTGCTATACTACTAGTAGTAATAGGTCAGAACCTCGCGGGTACAGTTCAGTACCAAGACCCAACCTTGCCTTAGCGACTACGACCCTGATCAATCGTCTCCTACTCATCCATCTTATCTGATCATCTGATAAAAATTTAAGTACTTCTGACATCTCCGATCCCCAAAGGATGCAGGAACGGCGAGGAAGGTGTATCGTATTTATCTGACCTGACTCTCGGCACACTACCCTAGAGAAGTATAGTAGTGAGGGAAAGGTTCTAGATGATGGGAAGATGCGGGCATGGATATGCGCTGCTTGACTGGCCGTTATCGCTCGTTTGCTTGTGATGATAGATGAGTTCGCGTGTGTATTGTGGTGGCGTTTTTCAGCCGTAAACTAGGTGGGAAGACGATTGAAAGCTTGGCGGGTGAGGATTTTATTATGTAGATGCCTAAGTTGGTAGAGATACTTAGGTATAGGTAGATCGTGCAATCCCACGGTGATCGCTTCTGAATAAACGTCTATGGTGAAGCTCTGCTTTCTTACTGCGCATCGCTCCCAGACCCTTAGTAGGTATCTTCTGTGCCTATGGTACGTCTTTGCGATCTGGAAAAAGAAGGATAACCACAAACACCATGGCGGTTACATTTCTCACGGAGCTACAAGCCTCTGGTGGTCGCGATGTAGAGAAAACCACTGCATCGGCCCAGCCTGCAGCGGAAGTGCGCGACGATCCTAAGATAGCGTCGGATTCCGACTCGTCGCATATGCAGGAGGGCGTCAAGCGCGTGGAGGCTATCACGGCCGTCTGGTCCCGGAACTCGCTATGGTCCACTTTCGCCTTGTAGGTCATACACACTCACAAGCTAGAAATACGTGTATAGGTGTTGTATTACTGACCATCGATTTCAGTCTCTACCTCGTGTGTTTCGTATCCGCCCTCCTGTCCTCCGTCGACGGCGCCCTATCACCATACGTCACGTCCTCTTTCTCCCGGCACGGCCTACTCGCCACCATCAACGTCGCCGCGCGCGTTATCGGCGGCGTCGTGACGCTCAGCCTAGGCAAGATCATGGAAATCCGGGGCCGCATGGAGGGGTTTGTCGGGGCGCTAGTCCTCATCACCGTCGGCATGACCATGAAAGCCCCCTGCCAGAACGTCGAGACCTACGCCGCGGCGCAGGTGTTTGCGTGGGTCGGCCATGTCGCGCTCGGCTTCGTCATCGATGTCTTCGTGGCCGATATCACGACGCTCAAGAACCGGACGGTTATTTTCGCTATCAATTCGACGCCGAACCTTGCTACGACCTTCGCTGGCCCGAAGATCGCGGGGCTGTTCTATGCGGAGGTTAACTTTAGGTGGGCGTTCGGTGCGTTTGCGATCATAGTGATTGTGGTGTCGCTCCCGGTCATCGCTATCCTCAGCTTTCATGAACGGAAGGCGAGGAGGCTGGGGTTCATTCGACCGAAATCGGGGCGCACGACGTTGCAGTCGGTCTGGCATTATACCATTGAGTTTGACCGTGAGTGATACGACAAGTTTATCTTGAGAAACGTTTGATACTAACTTACTACGATGCAAATAGTTGTCGGCGCCGTACTCATATCAGGGGGCTTTACTCTGACCACTCTCCCATTTAGTCTCGTACGATCGGCCAGCCACTCATGGCAGAGCGCCAGCATCATCGTTATGATAGTGATGGGAGTAGTCGGACTCGTCGCATTTGCGATCTGGGAAAAATTCTTCGCCCGGGTGAAGTTCTTCCCCTTTGAGTTTTTACAAGACCGGCCCTTTCTAGGTGCTGTGATGTCGAACTTCGTCGTCTTCATGACCACCTTGTCAGTTGGCCCCTTTTCTTCATTCACAGGTACTCTATTTTGTGGCTTGCCTACGTGAGACTAACAGATGATACAGTATTTGGGACGCTTACTACAGCTCATATCTATAAGTAGTACACGGGTTAAGCATCAGCATATCAAGCTACGTGCTTAACGGATATTCTCTCACATCATACTTCACCGGTCCATTTATCGCTCTGTAGGTGCCCGAAATATTTATGCATCGTCGGAGCCTAGCTACCACCTCACCCAGAAACATCCACTATACCGGCCATGTAAAATATCCCGCTTTGGCAGCAATCCCAATCTACCTCTTGGGCACATCCCTGATCGTCTATTTCAGGGTGCCCGGAGCGTACGTCGGGCGGAAGATGGTTATTGTGGGTTCTGCGCTTATTCCGTTGACTATTATCTGTGTTGCTGTGTGGAGGAATATAAACGTGAAGGAGCTGGAAGAGGATGAGAAGAGGCAAAGGGGTAATGTGTTCTAGGCTAGAGCGGAATGGCGATATTTAATTCACTGCCATTTAGAGACATAGGGTGGCGTACCTACGCACCCTCCATTATCAACTAAGTCCTAACACTTTAGAGATGGAAAGGGCGCGGCAGTGATAACCAAGACCAATCGCACGATTAAGCCAGGTAGATGGCTGAAGATGAGGTCCCGAATATAAAATCTTGAGTGTACACGAATTTGTTGTAGGTAACCCTAACCCACTTATTGACAAAGTGTTTGCTGTGATCATTACCAAGGACCTAGCGGTAGCTATAGATATAAAATAGAATAGCAGTGTATTCTAGCACATACGACCATAGGATCTGGAAAACTCGGGATCCCGTCCGCTCTCCCATAGATAAGCCAGATACCGCCAGATCAGTAGTTGGGTCGGTGACGACCAGCGAATCCCTGGTGTTGTATGTTTTTTTACTTTTTAACCCTTTTTTTTTTCCCCAAATTCCGTAATCGCCCGTTTCCCATTCTTTTAGCTTACGGTATTTTAAAATTCCATGTTTCATTCGCATCGCTTTGTACTCGCAATTGGCATAAACTGGTTCATCGTGTGGTCCGTGTTGAACTGACGACCACGGATTGACCATGGACGACGCGAAGCTTCATTATGTAATTGGGCCCGGCTCGGACGGACAGCCGGGCTAGTGGATGGTTAGTTGGATCGAACCGTGGAAAGAGTTGAATAGGTAGGAACAATGAAGATATCCACCATCTATAATTAAAGGGAACATTGTAACCGTCTCATATGGCTTCATTCTCAACGTGATAGTTAGCTGAGGTAAGCCATCTATTTCTCCCGGGTTCAACTTGTTCCAACGCCAATATTCAAACCATGGAAACAAAGAAAAAAAATAAAAATTGATCATGTACCTTTGCACCCATTTGCTCCCCTCAGCTCTGTGCACAATTGTGGATGTTGAATGATTTCCCCTTTTTCTTGGATGGATGAGCCGGCCCGCCGCCTCAGTTCCACGGTTCTCAACTCTCTTAAGCATATTCTTTTAGGTATGCAATTCGGCCCCAACACCTAAGCTTCTCACGTAGGTGGAGAAGAGGGAGCCATCTGGTAGATCCACGGGTAGGTAGTTTCCATATATTAAGATTTAAGGCCAACAGAGTCGTTCATATTGGGCACCGCCCAGAGTCGCCAACGGTTTCTGAGCGTAGGTAATCCGCGGTTCCTCCTCGAGACTAGGTATCATGAAGTACCTGTTAGGGATGGGATTTGAGAATAGAACTGGGGGGAATATGGATTTGCCAGAGATGTGCACTGGTATAACAGCGCCTTCTCTATATTTAGCAGTCTACAATGTTCAGGTGAAGAGCTGATCGACCACAACGTTGTTATTCGCCACTGCCTCGAGCTGTAACGTGACATAAACAAGGATGGAAACAATAGCATACTATGTTTCCAGAGTACCAGGTAACTAGAATATCCTGGTGTAAACATCTGAGATTTCAGCGCAAATCGATGCTGATCGTCTTCCAGCATCTACGTACGTTATGTAAATCGCAAGACCCACTTTTACCCCTTATTTTCTCTGTCAATCCCTCAACCCCTGATGTTCTGGACTTAGGACGAATTATCATCACAGACTTCAGGTGTTACTGTATTCCTGTTTACGCAACTTACATGACAGGTGTACCAGTGCCAATTATTCAGTTGTCGAGTAAGTACTTAGATTAGTCATGTAATTTGACGAACTGTCGTTTATCCAAAGCATAATGTTTTAGTTAGTGCTATCGCGGTTAATTGTGGTCTAGGCACCTGGGGCTTTAGGGATGAACTGCTGGCTAACTCATGTTCAATTCACTAGACATAAAGAAGAAAATGTCACAGAAGGCAGGTTGATGTTTGAACGGCAATAGACCGACAATTCTATTGTAATATGTATAGGTATATATATACGAACATAACATGTCATGCGAAACGTTATAGCCCCAGTTCAAACACAGCCCGATGCATCATCTCATCAAATCCTCCTCTCATTTTGAGCTCAAGATCGAAAAAATCATATGCTTGCTAGCCAAAGCAAAGCCCTTAGTTGAGGTCGAAGGTGGTGGGGCCGGTGTAGCTCTGGACAACGGCGTTGGGGTCGTTGGAGGTGACCAGCTGGTCGTTGGGGAGCAGGTGAGATCCAGTCTGGAAGCTGGAGGGGGTGACCTGCTGCGAGACAGTCAGGGTCAGGCCGTCGGCGCCCTTGACGATGCTGAAGGTCCTGGAGGACTCAGTGCAGGCGGCGTCCTTGACGTCGGGCAGAGTGCCACCGACGTTGGCGGGGACCTGGGTAGAGCACTTGACGCCAGTCGTCTCCATGGAGCTGGGCTGGATGACAGTGAAGGAGTACCTAGGATGCACATGTTAGTCTTGATTGCTGATAATAAGCCGTGGAAAACTGTTGTGAGTGGCACTTACAGGCACTGGGTGCTGTGGCGGATGCAGCCGGCTGAGAAGTCGGAGACGGAGAAGGTGGCGGCGGACGCACCGGCAGCGAAAAGGGCAGCAGCGAACTTCATGTTGATGGATTTGGTTTGGTTTGGGGTTTGAGGTAAAAAGATTGTTTGAGTTGTTTGGGTAGTGAGTGAATGATTGATTTGATTGCTGGGTGAGGATTTCAACAAGATGGTTAGATATGGCAACATTCCAAGTCTTTATATATTGATCGTGATGTAGTTTCAATCTGTAGAGTCTCATCGCAAGTGGGGCCCTTGCTGCAAGTTGATCGGCAGTGCCAACGACGCTCGCGCATAAACCTCATCTCGTATCGAGCGGGCCGCTAAAATCTCGCCCCTTTGATACTCCTTAGATTGACATCATATTAGCTTCTAGTATACTATTCTCTACAAAATACCTACAAATTCTCCGTTGAAACGCTAGTGACGGCTCCAGGAAATCGATGAGAATTCGGCATTATTGGTAACTAATAACTACAGCCCATAAGTCCAAAGTTCGGCGGCAGTACTGGACTAGGGGATTCACGTGACTTGAATATACTTGCTTTGAATATACATGCTTTGAATTATGTACTACTGGAGGTAAGAAACGCGCCTCAGGTATGCAGTCTACTCAACTTACTGTAGTTTACGGTCTATCAGGGGAAAGACATCGAAAAAGTCTAGAAGAAACTAAATTGTTTCCTGCCATGTCACAGAGATGCCAAACAACATGGGATAATATCATGCATAGCTCATTTCCCTGTTAAAAAATGAAAATAGTATAACACAGCTGTTATACAATGGCCTGTGCTCACAGTAACTATCGCTGAGAACTCTATACAATCTATAACATAATACCTCTTACCTATTACCTACCTAGTAACTATCAACCTAAGGTGTACAACACCTCTATTACCATCTTTTCCGATTACGAATTCAGAACTAGTTGACCGCTACATTAATAGTTTAGTTATTATTAAACAACCAGCGAGTCCCTGTTCATCATACGTTGCTTGCGTTTCTGGCCCGTTCATGCTTTTGGACTCTTGGTCCATAAGCCTTCCCCAGATATGTTGAGATTTACCACTAGGATAGACCAGCTCTCCCGCCTTGACAGATCGAGACATGATGAACAATTAAACTGGGGAGCGGTGTCAAAGGGCTTACCTAACACTTTCACTCGGATATAGGCACAAAGACCCTATATGCACCCTTAGCGCCTCCCCAACAGCACATGGGCGCAGAGTTCTGGAAGCAACAACAACAACGTTGTCGTTTCTTCACCGCCTACTGGGTAATTGACATTTTGGGTATACCGGGTTCGATCCGTAAAGGAGCTAAGAAAGACTGAAACATCGCAACCATGATCTTAAGGCCGCCAGTGATACAGCGTATTATGGAGCCTTGGTTAATGCTTAACTTCTCAGCCCTCTCTCCTCCTATCAACTAAAGTCTACTTACCAGCCTTGGTGGCTAAGTGTATACACCGCCGGCAACCCCAGGGATGATATTGAAGGAAGGTTTGGTTTTTCTTTTTTTACAGTGCGTCCGATGGGTATAAGCTAGGCCAGGTGTTGAATCCTTCGTTATGCTCGATCCGACCAAATGAACGAGATAGGTATAGATACCAGTTAGTCTACTCAAGATTGGATACGTGCCTGATGATCTTAAGGCAAGTACAGTAGCATCAGCACGTAGCTGTCTAAGATGGACAGTCAGTCAAAAACCTTCAATTGTGCATCTTTTCAACATTACTGGGCAGATGTGACATTAGATGTGACATACCCACCAGATCTTTCCACTCGTATCCGATTGGTGACGTTGGATTAGACTCGTTCTAGGCGCCCCGATATATTGTACTGGAAACATACATAAGATGATTGTCAAGAGATCATCTCCAGTAAAAAAAGGCACATCATTTAATGCGGGGTGTTGTAGTGTAGTTGCTGGCCAAGCCGTGTTAGTATGTTGCCTCCTCGTATAATGTTAACCGATAAACGAATAAGTGACGATTGCCAAGGCGGCCTATGTAGTGACAGTCAGCCTCAATACTCTTCAACTCCCACCTCTCCATCATGATAGGGAGTGCTAGTTTAACGTGGTGGCTAGATCGTTCGTATACGATATACCGGACTTAAATGTCCCGGCTAAAGCTAGGTAATCCGGGGCCAGAGAAACTATTGAAAATCCAAGTGAGGCAACTTTTGTTTACCGTAGGTGCTTAGCGGGCTACTACTGGCTAGTAAATAACTCGGTCTTGCTCTCTCTGGCGCGTTTGGCCCGCTGCTAAGCCCCTATTAGCTTATAAACCATCCAACCATCCGGCATTGGACGTGGTATTAATAGTCATAAGGTTGCATTTAGGGCTACAACATTACGTAGGGAGTGCTAGGGAGTGCTACCTCGGTAGGTTCGTAGGTAGGTGCGCGCTACTCAGCTAAATAGGGTAGCAAATCGTTATAGCGATACAATTTGCTTTCATGAAGATGTGTCGAGTAGTTCTTGGAGAAATTAGTAAGGCGTACTACACACCATGATGATAAGGGAAGCTCCAAAAGGTCCCGACTTACCATCGCCTAAGCAAATTCGCGTCCAATTTCGAACATTATTAAGTTACTCCTGGCTGTAGCCAGGTCAATGCTTAGGCTTGAATGTTTCTAGATCAGGCATAAAGAGATCGTCTAGAAAAGCTGTGCTAGGTGTAGATTGACAGCTGACCGGCTGGACTCCATTGACACACTTGGCGTATTCATTTTGGTGAGCCTTACAAGTGAGGTTATTCATAACTTTCGTTAACCTAAGTGTTTTGGAATCAAACTCTTGCTCAATATATGATAATCCAATTACTCCTTATCTCCATGTCTTCTCATTCAATGGTTCTTTACATGTCATTAAATCTTATGCAAAAGGTAAAAGCTTACTACAAAATGAGACTTTGTTGTGCTTTGAAACATTGAAGTTGTGAGTAGCCTCAATTATAAGGATCAATTCTCATTATAATCTGTCTGAATGATATAGACTTTGTATATTCGTTAGTTGAGCTGATACTTCCATTAGTTATTCTTGAGCTTTGAGTCTGAATGGCTCGTTTGTATGATATGAAATGTCTTCATCATCTCCAGTAAACGATGGCCCACTATTCAAAATCCTCAAGATGTCGTGAACTGTGATAGATAGGCTATAAGGTGAATGATTGATATCTCATTATTTTCTCTTTACTTTCATGTTAATAGATACACTGACATGAACTAGAGATAATTAATGAGAGATCAATTATTCGCCTTTTGGCGCAGCGACATGTTGTAACAATAAGCATGTATGTTGTCATTCAGACTCATTCTCAAGCAACTGAATCCTACATAAGAACTCAAAAATCCCGATGATCGCGCTCCACTTCGGTGACGGATATCGTATCGTATCGACTGCGTCTCCATAATATAAGACTTATTTATGATGTCGATCGATTGCCTATGAGCATCTCATAATTCGTCTACCAAGATAAGTTGGAAGATGAATGCCAAGGTACGGCTATGTAGTTATTTCAGATCCGCAACCAGGCCGGAGAGGTCTCTGTTTACGAGTGCGGGACGGGATCGAAGCCGGTAACAAAAAACGTGACAATACCGGAATAGTTACCTATGTTGCCTTTCCTCGCTCCAAAAATTCGGCGCAATCCCTGAATGCAATCAAATGCTAGGTTCTCCGCATTCAGCATGCTGTCGCAAGGGATATTTCAATCAATCATTCATCTTTTCTCTGGCAATTAAATGTTTCATTCGTCTGGTGTTGTGTGAGTAAATATGAGATTGAATGCTGCTACCCGTTAAGTGTGTAAACGGCTTTTATAAGACAAATCCTACAATTCTTACATCTGACAAAATGGGATAGATATCCTATCTGCCTGGGTTAGGTAGGTATCTCTGCCAAGCACAGTAGTCCCTGGTTTACCTCCCTAATATAGCAGGTCGCAGCGACAAGTTCGTCGTTTTAACGAATAACACGATGATATCTTACCTATCGTGATGGTGAGCCAAGCCTGTTTATTGCATGGTATCGGCAGCACAACCGCGAAGAGGTCGTATTCCTGTCGTACCAAAGTACGCGATTAAAAGGGCAATAAGCCCAACTCTCTAGCTTTTAATTCTTTCCCTTCACTTCTTTCACAATTGCTACCTAGGTAGAGAGAGGGGATTGAACGTAGTCTTTCCTACCCTAGGCGCCATCGTAAAGATGCAGCTCAAGATTGACGGCGCAACCCGCCAAAATGTCATCGTGGCCATTTTGCTCGGTTTCGCAAGCCACTCATGGGCCGCCCCGTTCGCGTCGTCGCAGAGCGACCCCTTCCAGGTTCTCGATCCGCAAAACTGGGTGAACCCGGACAACATGACGTGGGACGACTACAAGAAGCCGCCCGGCACGTCCTGGTCGGACCCCAGCCGCAAGGGCTCGGAGCGGAACTTCAACATCGCGCTCGTCGCCGTCGACTACCCAGACATGCCCTTCGTCATCACGCTATCGGCCGGGTCGTCCGTGTTCAGCAACCCGCAGCAGATCGTGTCGGAGCTCAATCGCACGGAGGTCCCGGCGTTCTACCGCGATTTTCTGAACAAGCCGAGTGACCTCAATCACAACCACACGCTGCACGAGTACTGGATGGAGGATTCGGGAGGCCGCTTTGGGGTCGATTTGACTGCGTTCGGCGCGTACCGTTTACCCAGCCGTTCGTATCAGTACGGCATCGACGACGACAGGGGCGGGTTCAACGAAGGGGGGTGCCCGTCGGAGGGCCCCTGCTCGATTGACCTGCGGACCGATGCTCTCGGCGCGTGGCGCGCCGACGTAGGAGACGAGACGGCCGACTCGTTCGAGCTGGTGTTCATCCTCTCCGCCGGCCAAGACGAGTCGTCCACGTGGCAAGAATTCGGGATGATGAAGTTCCAGACTCCTGAGGACATCCCCGACGAGTTCGGGCCCCCAAACAACGACAGCTTGCCCAATTACGCGCAGACTAGATACGTGAACTGGACGTCTTGGGCCTCGGCAGCGACGATCTGGCCGAACGCGGGCGGCGGCTCGTCGACGCAGGGCGAGAGCTCGGGCATGTCGACGTACGCGCACGAGCTGACGCATCTGCTGGGTATCGGCGACAACTACAACAACCCGTACAGCGACCCGCCGCGCCGCGCGTACACGGGGCCGTGGTCCATGCTATCGCGGGGTAGTTTCAACGGCCCGGGCGGTCCGCACACGCGGTGGCAGATCCCAGCTACTCTGGGCGGCTCGCTAGGGTCTCTGCACACGATGGGCGACAAGCTGCGCATCGGGCTGGTGGCGAACTCGAGCGTGCTGATGATATCGCGCGATGAGCTGGCGCAGACGGGGCCCGTCGTGGCGGAGATAACGGCGCGGTGCATAAACCCGAACGAGACGGAGCTGATGGGCCTGCGCGTGATAATGGGCACCGACCTCGCGCCCTTCTGCAACATTACCACGGACGCGCTCTGTGATGGCGGGAGATACAACAACTACGACATCGAAGTGATCGACAGGATGGGCGCGGACTCGTTCACGCCGGACTCGGGCGTCATGATCAGCAAGACCAAGGATGTGGACATGGCGCCGTTCCAGTGGACGATCGACGCCAATCCGCAGGATATTGACGTGGTGGACTTTTACCGGCCCGATGGCACGCCGTCCAAGCTGACCATTGGTGACTACCGCCAGTTATCCGACGCGCTTTTCCACGCTGGCACGCGCTCGGGGAGTGAGTTTGAGTATGTGGATGAAGCGAATCGGCTGCACTTTTACATCGTCGACATCCGCCGTGACGACGCCGGGGCTCTGCACTACACCGTTGGCGTGCGTTCGCTCGACAGCAGCAGCGCCAGTAGCTACGGCGTCCATTTGGAGCAGGGCCAAGTTTCCGAGGGCCCGTTAGCTCGAGCGACGGATAAGGGTGTGACGTGCGCATTCCGTCTTGTGAACTCTGGATCCTTCGTAGCAGCTAGTGGAACAGAACATCTGTCGGCGTATCTCGGCTCAGACATCTACCGGCTGAGCGCTGAGGTGGACAGTGACGGCTGGCGTGTTGAGCTTTCGAATGCGTTGGCTGTAGCAGATTTTGGCGCGGAGACTATAGTGAATGTTGCGGTCGGTGCAGCGAGCGAGGCGGCAAGCCAGGCTGTTGTGAAGCTGACTGCTACGTCTGAGTCGGACCCGACGGTTTCGATTACTAGCGAATGCCAGGTCAAGAGATGAGATGGATTTATATAATTTTATAAGTTAATGAATGTGTAGATACAGAAGCAAATCAGTGAAACTAATTCCAATGTTCTCTTAATGATGCATCTTCGAAATGTCTGATCTACTAACAGTAGGGGCATGCATACAGGAACTCTTGTTTAAGGGATAAAAGGGCCATTGAAGAATCAATATTATCTATAAAATATACCTACCTACGATTGAAAAGTGTAGGTAACTAGGGATTTTTAGATCTGTACAAAAATTCGCATGATCTAACTCGCACTATACGGCAAATCCCCCAATTTCTCCTTCAAAATCCCTTCAGCCAACCCCCAACACCGTTCCTGCAATTCCTCGTCCTTAGCTTGATTACTCGGATCCGAAACCTTGCGATCGGGTACAATATATTCCCCATCGACCTTCTCCTTCACAACATCGTCACTAGTCGCCGCAAACAGAGTAGGCCGACACCCCTCATCAACCGGATCCTTCATAAACGGCCTCACAGCCTTCACCATCAAACTTCCCAGCGCCCCGTACGCCTCCACAGCCTGGTCCTGCTGGTCAGTAGCCACTTGAATCCTGCCAAGTTGACGCCCTCCCATAATCAAAGATGTCATGGTGGCTATACCTTTGGTGTGCCAAGTATGCCTACCGAGTATGTGAATGACGTCAAGACAACGACGTTGGCGCGATTGAATGATTCCTACAAGGTGCTTACTATACGTACCTAGCAAGCATATTTTGGTTAATATTTAATTTAAGTTAAAAGCGACGGAATTGTTGGTGGTTGATATTGGAAGGCCTCTCTGTTCATACCTAGTAGTCATGATGGTTTAAACATTTGAATATCTAATTGTAAAAAGGCTTTGGAGGTGTAAATCCCACCAGCCGATCTCCCTTGCCCGGCAGGAACTTTTCTTGCATATCATACACTCCATGCGACCACTCGGGCGCGATATTGCGTGCGACACATCGTAGTACTATTAATCAGAGTCAAGACCATTGACATAAATGTAGGTATTCATGCATGAATCATCGGAGGCCAGGACTGTTAACAGTTCCTAAGATGAAGAGTCGTGGAGAGATGCCCAGAGTCTTGACGTTAGATAATTAGCTATAGTCAAAGAAGCAATAGCAACGGTGAGGAGATACTGTAAAGCTCCAGTATCAAATGAGCTCTTGTTAGTCATGTCACAAGTCGCTCAAACTAAATATGCCACAACCGAAAGTAGCGCCGCCTTAACAGAAACTTATTTCAACTACATGCCATGCGGCTGAGCTCCGGACTTGAGAACTCCATCGCCCGAGCTAGGTAAGTATTAGAGGTAAATGCTAGGACCAGTGAGTAGACCTATTCGTTCCCACAGATCAATCAATATTTACTTCCACAAGGATTCTTACGTAGTTAAAGACATTCTAATATACCAGAACACATATCAATTTCCAATAAGGAGTACCTATCAACACACGGGGGCTCGCATTTTTGTGTAAAGAATTGAATTTAAATATATACAACAGAAGAGTAGTGTGACAGCCAAACCAACAACAAAAAAAAGTAAATTAAAAATAAAGTAATGCGGCGCTCATATTGTTTCCGCGCCCCTCCCCCCCTTTGGTTGGTTTTTCCTTTCTCCGATTCTAAAAAATAAGTTGCCTCATCCCTTCATAACCTTCCACAGATGTGTGTTACTCAGTTACTTCCTTTCCATATCACCTCACACCACACCACACCACACCTCTAAACTCCTTCCTCCAAAGCTAGCTAGCTATGTCATTTATAGCAGCGCAACGACAACAACGGCGGCAGCCATGGCGCCGAACCCGTGCTCCAGACGGCCGGCAGCAGCCGTCGGGATGGCGGGGTATCCCGGGGCAGTGGTGGCAGGGGAGTTAGGGACGGTGCCGGTGCTGACGGGGGTGTTGGGGACGGTGGCGGTGCCGACGGTGGGGTACGGCGGGGGCTTGGTGGAGGTGGTCAGGCCGCTGGAGGTGCCGGCGGTGCCGCTCGGGTAGGTGGGCGGGGGAGCGGGCTTCGTGACTGAGGTCGCGGAGGTAGGGACCTCGGGCGTGGTAGCCGGGACACCGGGGTAGGTGACGGGCACGTTGGGGGTGGTCACGGGGAGAGCCGGGGTGGTGGTAGAGATGACGGGGGTCTCAACGGGGTAGGCGGGGGTGGACGGGATAGGAGTAACCTTGACGGTGGTGGTCGGGACGGGGCCAGTGGGAGTCACGGGGCAGACGGTCGTGGAGACGACGATCTCAGAGGTGACGTACGGCTTGCCGGGGCAGTTGGGCACTTCCGGTCCGCAGGCGGTGACAGTGCGGTACCTGGTCGAGTAGAGAGTGGAGGTCTTGTACTCGGTGGTGGAGATGGACTGAACTGGGTAGCCAGGGGTGGTCACGGGAGAAGTCTCAGAGGTGGAGGAAATGACCTTGCTGGACGGGCCGGTAGGGTACGACGGGGTGGTGACGGGGGAGGTCTCCGAGGTCGAAGAGATGACCTTGGTGCTGGTAGTGCTGGACTCGCACGAAGAGGTGATCTCGCTGCTGGCAGGGGGAGTGTACACGGGGTAACCAGGCGTAGTAGTGGAGCCGACGGGAGATGTCTCGGTGGTTGAAGAGATCACCTTGGTGCTGGTAGACGGGGTGTAAACCGGGTAGCCAGGGGTCGTGGAGCCAACGGGAGACGTCTCGGTGGTCGAAGAAATGATCTTGCTAGACGGGCCCGTAGGGTAAGACGGGGTGGTCACCGGGGTGGTCACAGGAGAAGTCTCAGTGGTAGAAGAGATCACCTTGGTGCTGGTGGTAGACGAGATAACCTTGGTGGTGGAAGTAGAGCTGGATTCACACGAAGACGTGGAGCCGACGGGAGAAGTCTCAGTGGTCGAAGAAATGATCTTGCTGGACGGGCCCGTGGGGTAAGACGGGGTGGTCACCGGGGTGGTCACGGGGGTGGTCACCGGGGAAGTCTCAGTGGTAGAAGAGATCACCTTGGTGGAAGTGGTGGAAGAGACAACCTTGGTGGTTGAAGTAGAGCTGGATTCGCACGAAGACGTGGAGCCGACAGGAGAAGTCTCAGTGGTCGAAGAGATAATCTTGCTGGACGGCCCGGTGGGGTAAGTCGGGGTCGTCACGGGGGACGTCTCCGAAGTAGAGGAGATCACCTTGGTGCTAGTGGTCTTGCTGCTGGTGGGGGGGGTGTACACGGGGTAACCAGGAGTAGTGGAGCCAACGGGGGACGTCTCAGTGGTCGAAGAGATAATCTTGCTGGACGGGCCAGTAGGGTAACTCGGGGTCGTCACGGGAGAAGTCTCAGTGGTAGAAGAGATAACCTTGGTGCTGGTGGTCGACGAGATAACCTTGGTGCTAGTGGTCGACGAGATAACCTTGGTGCTGGAGGTAGAGCTGGATTCGCACGAAGACGTGGAGCCGACGGGAGAAGTCTCAGTGGTCGAAGAAATGATCTTGCTGGACGGCCCGGTAGGGTAAGTCGGGGTCGTCACAGGGGACGTCTCCGAAGTAGAGGAGATCACCTTGGTGCTAGTGGTCTTGCTGCTGGTAGGGGGAGTATACACGGGGTAGCCAGGAGTAGTAGAGCTGACGACAGAAGTCTCCGAAGTGGAAGAGATCGTGCTGCTGGTGATCTTGCTGCTGGTAGGGGGAGTGTATACTGGGTATCCAGGGGTGGTGGAGCTCACTGGGGAAGTCTCAGAAGTAGAAGAGATCACCTTGGTGCTGGTGGTCTTGCTGCTCGTGGGAGGGGTGTACACGGGGTAGCCAGGGGTGGTTGAGCTCACTGGGGAAGTCTCCGAGGTTGAGGAGATCACCTTGGTGCTGGTGGTCTTGCTGCTCGTGGGAGGAGTGTACACCGGGTAGCCAGGGGTGGTCTTGCTGCTGGTCGAGGCGGACTCGGTGCTGATTGTGGACACGACAGAGCTGGTGGTGCCTGTCGAGTATCCTGGGACGGACGTAGTGACTACAGAGCTGGTAGACACGGAGCTGGATGACGACGCAGCTGAGGTCGAGGACGTCGAGATGATGATGCTCGACGTTGTGTCCTTAGGATACGTGGGGTACCCCGGAACGGAGCTGGAGTGAACCGCGGAGGTCGTGGACACTATCGAGCTGGTCGTGTCCTTGGGAAATGTGGGATATCCGGGAACGGTGCTAGATGAGTGAACGGGAGAGCTGACAGACGTAGCCGACGACGGCACGGTCGGGTATCCAGGGGTAGAACTGGGCGGTGACACAACAGTGGTCGAAGATTTGCTGGACGGGAGAGTTGGATATCCCGGGACAGCAGGCACGCTGGGGGTGGTTTCGGGGTAGGTCGGATAGTTACGCTCCTCCACCATGTTTTTGGGTGCAGCACTGACAGTGCCGAGAGCCAAAGCTCCCAGGCTCATATATAAGCCACGCATTTTGAATATTAAATATGCTCAGAAGAGTATACGGTATTAGAGGATATTATAAATATTGAGCGAAGGTATATATAACGATCGTGGTGAAAACGAGCCGTGTTTGCGCAAGCTAAACGAGTGACTTTGGCAAAGTTATACGGTTGAAGAACAGAAGGAAAGCTGTTAACGAAGCAAAAGGGTAGCGAAGGACCCTTTATGTATTGGATATTGGGAATTCTGGTTGATGTGACATCGTGCTGCGGTGGATGGCTATCAACTAGGGCCGTGGATACCAGACGATCCCAAGATTACAAAGGTACATCGAAGAACCAAGCCCCGTAAAATCTGTAAAGCTTGAACCCTCGCCTATAGTATTTGCCCTGTGGGCTGACGTTGAGGCTGGCGTAACGGCATAATACTATAGTAACTAGGTACTAAACACACACTATAACCCTCAATACGACGAAGACACGAGCAAGCGAGTGCCGATGCGGGAAAGCTCAACCCACATTGGTGTGTACATTGGGTATGTTGCTAACGGCGACATGCCAGTATACATTTTTTTTCCTTCATAATTCTTTGTTGACCAATGAGTCGAACCGATGCTGCGCTGGCCGTGACATTGGGACTGGATGTTACCCAACTGCTCAACTGGGAACTGGTGCATGAAATGATTGGCCACGATCAAACGCTGGACCTGAATATCATTAGCGCACGGTGCAACTAAAGAATCCCAAAATTAGCATCCTGGAACTCCACTCGAATACGAATTATTCATAACAGTACTGTGTATGGAGAGTGACAAGTCCAGTTAAGCTTGTCTTTGTATATGAAAAGGGGGCCGATCTCGCGGGGGACCCATCTATGGTCCCCGTAACTTCGTATAAGCTGCAACACTGACGTGACGATTATGATTGATGGTCCCAAGATCTCAGTTCTTTGTTTTCTATTATCGTGGTGTCTATCATCGTAGTCTATTCCATTGTACGTACACATACAGTATGTAATGTAATGTGTATACAACATGTGTATATTGGTCTGCTGGTATGCTTATTGCTGATATGTATCCCCACGAGATACTACGTAGTATGCATTGTGAGGCGAGATCTTGATGGGCCAGACCGCTCGGATCATACCGAAATACCTTATTTCCGCCTGAGAATGGAGAACTGGAGGATATTCAAATTTCCAAATCAATAGATATAGCGACTATACCGCTGTTGCCCAGGAGAAATTGAATCTGTAATTCTGTTCCATGGCTTCTCATAACATAGTTCATACAGCTCATACATATCACCGGAAGACTTTCTCGAAAGAAGAATCTAGAAAGAGTATTTCTCCACTCCGATGTGAACAGTGGACAAGCATAGCAGAACAGGCATCGGTGGACAAACCTCGATATGTGACCGTACTGTACAGCCAAGCCGTGCTGCTTACTTGCATCTTGCGTACCTAACTTGCATGGCATGCGGACCGATTCGTTGAATATTTCAATGGATTTATTGGGGATCTGGTGTACATACATAATGTCTGAGACATACAGCAGATCTACCCGGTGGAAAATCTCTTCTTATTTTCTGGTATTTTCCTCTTAAATTCTATTGACGTACCTAGTTTTGAGTGAATTCATGACATAACTAAAAGGTAGTAAAAACCGTTCGTCTTACAATTATGATAATAAGTCCAAAGGCGGTGGCTTTCCCCCTTTCCCCCATTTGCTCTCATGGAAATGCAGTATTTGCTCTTTTTTTTCCATCACCATACGAAAACACGTAATATTGTGGCTTGCTGTTGGGATCATAGGGCACATATGATCGACTCAGTAAATACTATGTCCGTACCTTTGCATAGCCGTTTAGCTACTTGGTACTTACTAGGTAGTCCACCTGTCAGCCTGTCAGTGCCTGTCAGAATTAGTTTTATGGCTTTAATGATCCTAACAGGGTCCTATAGTTGACTTTTATTTTTATTTTTTAGGTACAGTTACGGCATCTACCTTACTATGGCGTACTTATTAGGTAGTTTAACAACTAATTATGTAAGTTGAACAACTGTTGGTTTCAAGACTTCGGCGTGAGAAACGGATGCTTGCGTCTTGGCTGGAAGCAGATGTGATACGGGACGGGATTTGTATGGAGAATGGGCTGTGTAAGAAAAGGAGAATCTAATCTCGATGATTTCGGACAGGAATTTGTGAACCCTGACGCCATTCAACATAACATGCCAAACTTGGTCTAGTATGTTTACTAAGTGAGCTAAGTTAGTTAGACCGATTGGTCCCTTTTTTTTGCTTTTCCTTCCTTTTTGGGGTGTTTTTTCTTTCTCTCGTCAAGTTTGAGTTGTCCGGAACAATTCCCAATTCCAATTTTTTCTATTATGCGGTTCCACTTCAGAATCCAAAACTTCAGGGTTCCAAGGTTCTCAGCAACTTCAAAACCTGACAGCCCCTAACTTTGGCCTACCATAACTGCTATACCAGTGTATGCATTTGCTGTTCTTCAGCCGTCCCGTCGTTTAAAATAGTGCACACATCATACGAGCCGCATCCTATAGGTCTCCACCTAAGCACCATAGCCATATGGCAGCCAGGTCGCTGAACAATACGTAGCTCGCTTGTTAACAAGTTATCTGCACCGAAGGTACATCCATAGAGATCTCTAGCAATACTAGCCGCATAAACAGCGCACCCAACAAGCAGTCCTTCCCCGCAGTTATACGAGCTGGGTTATATTAATGCTTACATTTTCGAACAACCCGAAAATCATTGGTCATTGTAGTATTCAAGCCGCCTCCTGGCTTTCTTCCAGAAGTCCATTGCTTAACAAACAGGCGGTGCAGATCCGGGCAAACATACCGTAGCAAGACATCGTGACCGATAGATGTCTGAAGTATCCGGCTTCACGGGGTATTGATCTTGGTTTCGTCTATCTCAAAGGCGGTTTGAGTAATTAGTGTCTCTGTCAACCATCAGCCCTCTACCTAGTGCGAAAGGGAGTGGGAACCGCGTTGTGCAGACCCTTAGACCCTACAGGTGCCGACCCGCGTATCCGGTACCCTTAGATTGACAGAACTCGGGGATATTCATTGTTGGTAAACATAACAGGTTTTTCTTCTTCAACTAATAACTTAATAAACAGGGACCTTCTTGTTCTGCTGGACTAGTCCGCTGGCAATGCAGCCTGGCATATTCAAAGCTAAAAATAGAAGGTCTATCATGGGCTGATTTTGTATATGTCCACGGGTATATTGGCTTTTGTAATTTGGTAATCAATTTGCAATCCCCACATTCTTTTTCATTTTATCGCCCCCTGAAGCGAGTTAGGTCAACTTCATTATACCCAAGTAATATAAAAAATTGCCCTAACATTCTGGACTATCAATGGGAACGTTGCCGAAATATTGATGGCTGCTGTCAAAGGAGTCTAGTGGCGTGGAGTCGAACGGTATATACCCCTTGGGCTTCACAAATGCCGAGATAGGATTTTTGAATAGCTTGCAGCGCTAAAGACGTTCAGGTTGGACATTTAAGAAGGTGGACATGGACTTCAATTTAGATTTGAATTTGGATTCGATCCCACCGTCTGCCTGCTATCAGAGCGCGATGCGTCCTAACATTTTACGCGTTCCCCAGAAGGACCAATTTGGATACCGAAACGCATAGTGGGCGAGCATGTGTCTCTTTTAAGCGGCATGGCACCTCATCCCATTCTTACTTCAAGGTTACAAAAGCTTTCTGATATGGCTTCAATGTCATTTTTCTTTCTGGCGAAGAGTTTCTAGCGAAAAGAAGAGCAAGATTTCTTTTTTCTCTCTTATTAGGATCTCATTAAAGCTGGATGGGAAGAGGGTGAGGTGCGATTCTAGTACCGTAGATCCCTCAAACAGGGGCCTGCACCATGTTTTACTGGCCGATCAGCCCAGCCCTTAGTCATGCTTGGAAAAGCTTCTTTCTAACTGGGAGGCAACATCGAAGTTTGATAGTCAAATCCTTCAATGACGAAAACAACGACATAGGCTATTCGCTTGAGTATCTTCGCAGCAAGCACATGCAGCAAGAAAATTAAAGACAGCCACGCGGGCGAGCTAGCACCGACAACTCGCGACTGAAATTAACAACCCCTCTACGAATGCGACAATGCCTACGTACCTGGCATACTCGCTATTTCGATTTGGGTATGACTAGCTAAACTTGCGAGCGCGAGAGGAGTTTACCGCTGTCTCCGAAAGACGATCATGAAGCTGCACGGGATGGTACCTGCAGTATTACTGACTACTAAGTACTAAGTAGGTAATGATATACGTTGAAGTATGAGTGGTGAAAAACTGAAGGATTAGGGTTACTTTCACCCTTTGCAATGCATGATGCAGGTAAAAGCTTGGTGAAACTGGACGATCATCCTATAACTATTGGCAAACCGTCTCTCTCTGTTCTTAACAATTTGATGTTAAAAGACATAATATAAATGGTAGAGAAGGCTTGTGATAACGACAGAAATGCGACATGAACAGCGAATGAAATAATAATAAAGGATTGGAACAGACCTTGGATGTTCCACGCGGCTACAAGGATCCAAGGGGCGAACCCGCTGCTTGGCGCCGAGTTTTAAGGGCGACGTGGCGACAAGGCGTCTATTTGAAATAGTTATGTACGAATAGAAATGGGTAGATAAGAGGTAATATTGATATAAATTGGAGTGTAGCTCCCATCTCCCTTACTTCTCTCAGTATTTACAGCTTCATCTTCATCTTCGCCTCAGCTACCCTGTTCATGGTAAATAGTGTCGGTAAGGGCGATTAATCTACCTACTATTAAGTAGTGAGGTAGATACCTTGGCAGGTATTTAACGAATGCAGTTGGTCGTCTTCTCTAGGTACTAGGTAACATTGGATGGTGTCTCGATATTTAGTAAACATATTGGTAAGTAGATGCGGCTCATTGTGGAGGATATCATCAATTGTGTGTATGAGACATTTCATATGCACCTACCTAGCCTTAGGTATGTTCAGGTTGCGACTCGGCTGATTGATGCATGTGTGGTGAGTCAAGTCAAGAAAATATCCGTGAATATCCAGGTAACTCTACCATATACATAGTAATATCAGCCTACTCCGTACTGGGTACATACATCTATCCAAGTAGTAGCACCTGTGTACGTGTATGAAGGCAACATTGAGTGCAATACTACTAGGTACATACCTACATATATAATCCTATGTATACATGACGCTTAGAGTCTTAGGCGGTCAAGCCCATCTAACTTTCAATGTTATCTGAGTAGAAACTGCAAGGAGAAAAAAAGAATTTAAATGGAAAGAAAACTCCCTCCAATGCCGAGCTTTGTTAATCAACATCTGACGCGCTACTGTGGCTCATTTCAAGTTGTCTGCCACAGGTAGTTCAATGTTCTTACCGCCTGCGGGGGACGCGTCTGTTCCTGCGCCAACTTTTATAACTACCTGTAAATTGGAATAAATTGGAATACATAACTGGTTACAGTGGTTAGAGTGGTTCAATCAACTTCAATGTTAGGACTTATGTAGGATGTACCTCGCAGTACCTTACCTGGAGATTCACTAAATCCCCACCAATGCCAGACCATTAAACACACTAGCCATTTTAGCTGTTACTAGATACCTGATGTAGCCAATAACGTTCGAGGAATCTTGAATCTGAGGTCGAGATTCCCCAAAACATCTATCTTGGCTTGCAGGGTCATGCTGTGCCTTCCAGTGTCTAGCAGCCCATTCTAACGTCTTTTGGTCCCCTAATTTCCAATGTTATCGTCCCCCAAAGTCTCAAGTGCCTCTTTTTGACTTTTCGATTCGTTGCATTCCACGCAATTCACCTTTTTTTTGGTGGTTACTATTCCTTCTCAAGTCTCACACCATCGGCCATTGGATCGATCATTCGGACCTTTGGACCCTTGGGCGTTGAACTTTACATTTCCCACTTCACCTCTTGACTTCAATGTTCTTTTGATTGTTGACGAATTCCCTTATTGTGTTTCGTTTTCACTTTTTCGCCCCTTTCACTTGTCTCTCCCATTCATTCATCAGGTACCTCTACTCCCTAACCCTCTACCCTCTATCCAACTCCTTCAATTTGTTAGCGAGCGGCGCTCTGCTCTGAATGAATATACACACAAGTTCTTTAAGGTTTCAAGGCTCTAATAGTTTCGTTTGTTTCTAATTACAGATCACACAATATTTCCGATTTGTCCCCGTTTTCATACTGTACTGTACATATGACATGATTCAAATGTCAGTTCACGTCGCAAATCATCCATTCGTTCATTCAGAGCCCCATTGGAATCCTTTTCTCAACCACGAAGATCATCGACGAGTGCAGAGACAGGTGCAGCCAAGGGCTGCGTGGTGTGGGAATTGGGTGAGCCTAGGTGCTAAACGAGGTTAGGCGGACAGATCCAGCACGGATTTAGGAGGGATCCTCCATACTATCGAGTGCCTCTATTCGTCCCTCCTTTGTGCTGCGTATGGCAACCCCGTTTCATTTCTGCCGTCGTCTAACGTCCCCTGTTCAACCCAAATCCACCAATCGATGTCCCCGTGATGCATTCCTCCGAGAATAATCGACGGGGCCAGCGTCGCCGCCCAGATCTAAATATCAATCCCGTGAACTCTCCTAACAGAGGCCGCGACTCTGTCCCTTCTACGCCTCCGGCGAGGTCTAAGACGAAGCCCCCCGTATCTAGTCGAGCGTATCGAGTACATGCTTCGACCGCCTCGCGTGACTCTGACGAGTCTTTCTTAGATAATGGTTCTGACGATTACAAGGGGAATGAATCTGATTTACCTGAACTACCTCGAGGTAGGACCGTCAGAGATTCTCACGACCTGTCCCTACCCTCCCGACAATTTACGCGAGACTCCCTTGTTACCAACATGTTAAGCTCTCTCGACCAATTCTCGCTCGGTCAAATCCATACCCCCACAACGAACATGTTCGATGATGACGATGCTCTGAGTCCACCTCACAATATCGAGTATACAAGATCCATGACGAATAGCTCGAGGCCAGGGCGCAAGTGGAGTTCCGGACCTGGTCCCGGCCCCAGTCCCGGCCATGGCCATGGATACTCGTACAGTTCTGATTATGAAGGCACCGATGATGGAGCAAGCAGGATATCGGGCCAGTATTCGAGAGGAAGACGTAGCAATAGTAGCTCTGGCTTTCAGTCAAGCCTGGGTCGCCTCAATAGCTTGCAAGAACACAGCCGTACAGATGCGCCAGGCACACATGCTCTAAATTCAAAAGGAGGTAAGACTAGCCAGAGCAGCAGCACTAACAGCGTTGATGTCGGTGGTTACGCCCAAGTCCTGACCACTGAACGATGGGCTCATGGCATCGGAACTAGTGGTGGAAGATCCTCAAGTCTTGATGGACAAACACCCTCTCTAAGTTCTCTCAATGCCTGGAAGTCTGAATTATCTAACACCTTTCTTGTGGATGACTACGAAGCAGCACCGACACCAACCATACCTGGCGGTCCCCGACGTACAACTATGCCATCTTCACCTGCCCTGCCATCCATGCCCACAGCAGACGGCGAGACGACGACCCCCGACCGCTGGAGGGCTGCTTCAAAGTCAAGAAGCAGTACCATGAAAACAACGCAGTCTAAATATACTCCGTCACCCCGCAACGACAACCCCCCTCCGCTTCCTCCTGTTGACATTGACTCTGCCCCCGCGCCTCATGTCGGATACGAGAAGTCTAAGGAAGTTATGCAGGGGGGTCCTAACCAACAACCACAGGCAAAGCCGGGATTTTTCAGCAGATTATTCGGCTATCGAAATAGCACAATACCCCCGGAGGCCAAAACACAGCTAAGTGGGTTAATATCAGGATCAGGATCAGGATCAGGAGATTCAGCGGATCAGTTTGGGACCAACTTACAAAACACGGCATCACCAAGTCAGAGCCAGTCCGTTCCACCGTCAAGAGATTCGCAACCTCCTCCCCAGCAGCATCATGTGATTCAGAAGAAGTCGTCTTTCTTTAGGAGAAGGAAGAAGTCCGTAGCTGAACCACCGCTTCCGCCGCCCCCAGTGCCCTCACCGATGGAGATCAACCGAATTAAAGATCAGTCGATCAACACGCGTGACGGTAGCCCGGTCAGTAGCTTACGCGAGATCATGAACCCATATCTGGAAAACGGCACATCAACTATTCCTCCTGGATTGCTATCCCCAAGTCAAGAAAAATCTCTACGAATGCGCCGATATGATACCCAGGATGGAGACAATGTCCGTAAATCTCGGGGATTCTCCCCTGATTATGAACCAAGCCCGAGTGCTACTATTCGAACAGTGAAATCCACGTCAGCCTTGAGAAGTCAGGACGCTGCTCGAAGACGGACACATATGGAATTTCCAACAAGGGATCTACCGGAGCTACCTACAAAGAAGCTTGTTCAGGAACGTGATACAACGTTCTTCCACGATAGCAGTGATGAAGGTGAAAAGCCGTCGGTCCCTACAAAACACGCGCAACAAAACTTGCAAAATAGCAAATCATCATCCATGGCCACCCAGTCACGAGAAGAGTTGGAAGAGGCCGGAATACGACACAAGCATCTTATTCGGAACGAGGACTTTATCAAGCACGAACCATCATCCAACTTGTTACTCCAACAAAATATCATTGAAGAAGAACAGCGAAAATCAATGGATGGCCGCAATGGGCCCAAGGGCTCACTTCAGAAGCCAGGCAACGGCTTACCTAGTGTCACAGTAGATGGCACACAGCTCGATCCTAAGCCAATGGGTTCGCCTATAGATGAGCCCGAAGTATCCATAGGAGAGCCAACAGAAGATGACCGCCAAAAGGCGCAGAAAATATATGACGGAAACGAAGACTTTATTCAGAAAGAGAAAGCAGCGGCATGGATGGGAGAAGAAGGCCTCGTGAGACAGAGAACCTTGCGAGCGTATATCGAGCTCTACGACTTCGCCAACCAAAGCGTGCTCGTTGCTTTGCGACAAATATGCAGTCGCCTTATTCTCAGAGCAGAGACGCAGCAAGTGGACCGAATCCTAGTTGCCTTCTCAAGTCGATGGTGTGATTGCAATCCAAATCACGGTTTTAAGTCAATGGGTAAGTGTATAATCGGTTAGCAGATGAGAGTAAAAGCTAACAAATCATAGATGTAATCCATACGATGTGTTACTCTATTATGCTTCTTAATACCGATCTGCATCTCGCAGATATCGACCAGAAGATGACCAGAAGTCAGTTTGTGAAGAATACAATGACAACAATCAAGCATGCACTAGCCGACTCTGCTCCTGAGATTTTCGACCGCGCGAGTATCCTACCCGGGAAGAATAGTCTTCTCAGTCCCGGAGATTCGGAAATGAATCAGATGTTTGATGCAGAACAACCCGAGCGACCTAGTTGGAGAACTTCGTTCAAGCCGCTCCCTCGGCCAGACTCGTCAATGGGTAACTATTTCTCAGATGGGCCTGTCGACACCTGCGGTCCACTCGTCAAGGCACCCTTTGAAGGTTCTGCCAAGGCCTGGACCCAGCAATTAGAGATCGTGTTGAAGGACATATACGTCTCAATTCGTGACGAGAAGCTACCGCTTTTTGGCGCAGAGACCACACATCCACAGGGTCATCCACAAAACAGCCTCTCGGTTATGAGTATGCTAAAACGTAGTCCGAGCGTACTTTCCAAGGCGCCGTCTGAAGGCCATATTACTTCTCGTGGAAGGATTAATGATTCGTCCCGCAACCTTGGAGGGAGTAGATGGAATTCGAAGAGTCGATCAAGGCCAAGATTTCCTGGTAATGGAATGTCGTCAAGCCGTACTAGTTTTGAGGATGGCAACTCGGTCTGGAGCCCTACTACTTCGTCTGCTACATGGAGCCGTTATTCGTTGGGTAGGACCCAAACGTCAATATCCATGGACTCCTTCAGCTCCTACCCATACGGCGGCGAATTCCAACAATCCATTGGATTCGCCAATGCACTAAGTCAAGCGATAATACGCGAAGATATTCCGCCCGGAACTAGTGGTGGGCAGTCGGTCGTAAGCGATGATGCTCAGCATTCGCCCATGCTGGAGGATGAATCGCTCGAGCTTATTGGTGCGCCCTGGGTCAAGGAGGGCATGGTTACCCATAAGCATCACCTCGATGGCATGGACAAAAAAGCCAAAGAACGAAACTGGGCCGAGGTGTTTGCAGTCGTCCAAAAGGGATCCATGAGCCTATTTTCGTTCTCCACCAAGTCCATGCGCCAAAAGGCCCGCACTGGCCGCAAACATACTCCTGGTGCTGTTGTCGGCGGCGGGAACTGGCAGGAAAATGCAACTAGCGTCGGCAACTTTTCTCTGCGCCAAACACTCGCATCCTCTCTGCCCTCGCCTGGCTACTCCCGCAGTCGCCAAAATGTGTGGGCTCTCAGTCTACCAACGGGTGCCGTGCATCTTTTCCAAGTCGGTACCCCCGAGATCGCACAGGAGTTCGTTCTCACCGTCAACTACTGGAGTGCGCGACTCAGCACACATCCGCTAGTTGGAGGCGTCAGCAATATAGAATATGGCTGGAGCGATAACATTATCAATGATGCTCTGATCGTTCCCCTGGGTGATCTACCACCGCCGCGCCCGGGCAGCGCAGCAGCAAGTCGCTCCAGCATGCACAGTCGTCAAGGAAGTCTACAGAATAGCCTTCGTTCCTCCTTTGACGTCGGTAGCGCCTCGCGCACAAAGCTGCCGGGCGATCGAATCCACATTGCTGAGTGGAAAGCACCAGCGCAATCACTGCGTCCCAGCAATCTCTCGGAGCCCGAACAGCTAGAAATGCTCGAGGCTTATGTCAAGTCCCTCGAAGAGGATTTGCAAAAACACAACCAACTTCGATCCCCCATGCTCCTGGCTTTTACGCCTCGTGGTCATAACGCTGGCAAGGCGATGGCGAACTGGGAGCGGAAGAGCGACTATCTACTGCGAGAGATCGTCAAGTTCAGGACCTACGTTGATTGCTTACATCATGCCAAAACAAAACGAGAGGAGGTTTACGCGGAGCGTGAGGTGGCGGAACGCAACGCTCAAGAAGAAGAACAAAGTGACGCAGAGAGCGTGTACAGTACGAAGGAGGAAGGGGTGAAGATTCAGGTTCAACAAACCTAATAAGCCTATCTACACTCACAAAGGGCTCATGTTGCTTTGAACCTCGGAACTATACATTTTAGGTACCCATCTACTTGGTAGGTACTTTACCATACATTGGGTTCTGTTTGAAATTCGACATCGATGAGTCGGACGTATGAAAACTGCCGTGGGTAGGTACACAACAAAGGTGGATGAACATCGAAAGGTTTTGCTTTGTAATATACAAGATGACAGGGATAGCTTGATACCCACAAACTTGCGCTCTGTTCTTTGTTGCTATGCTGTATGCAGTATGTGTACACCTACGTATTGCAGATAAATAATGAATAATGCCTAGGCGGCATAGAAACCTCTAGGACTGGAAGTTTTGGGGATTCAATAATAGCACTCTATGTCTGAGTTTTATGAGATTACAGTTGCACGAATTAATTATGAATAAATCGGGATGTTAATCACCTGGGCATTCAGAAAGGCGAAAGCAAAGTCACTTGTCACTGGCATTCACTAAGAAGAGTAGGTACCTACTATGTAGATACCTGACGATGTTTCTGTAACGACTACTACTTAAGTTTTTAATTTATTTTTTGGTGTTTTTATTATATTAAACAAGTGTACCGAAACAAGAATGGGGAAACAAGAAGTTTGAGAGAAGCATCTTCAACTTCAAACTCATGTACGCATTAACTACCTAGGTAGTAAGTTAGTTAGTCGACACGAATCAACCTAGGTTAGGTAGGTATCTATCAACCATCCCTCCCTCCTCCCCTTTCCATTCTTTCTCCTACCCTACCCTACCCTACTCTACTCCACTCCACCCCCCCCCTTTACATCAACAAATCCACATACTCCCCAACCCGAGCACTCAGCGGCTCGACCACCCACACGCGCACCATGGCCGCGGCCAGGTGGAAGAAGAACAGGTAGTCGTCCGCCGGGGCCTGCCACAGGGTCTGCAGCAGGGAAAAGGCTTGTCGGCTGAGGAAGACGAGCCAGAGGATGTTGAGGGTGACGAGGAGGGTCCACCAGAGGGGGGTTAGGAAGGTGGTGGTGGTGGAGGAGGAGGAGGAGCAGGGGGTTTTGGAGGTGGAGGAGGAGGGGCGGGTTTTGGGGGGTTTGGCGGTGCACATTTTGGTTGTGTGAGTAGTATGATGTTCGATATGATTTCTAGAAACAGTTCGAGGTCGTTTATCGTGTAGAGGCGTAGCTGTTGTCATGGGTTCTCACTAGCTGGCTATAACTATGTAATCTCGTGTCAAAGCGTGAACAGAGTATTCATTGGGAAGGCCGCTCTTTGTGTTGACATAATGTGTATTGTTCATTTGCAATTTGTTACAATAAGCTTGGAGGGCACTAGGTAACAATATGTAGTGTTTATATTGTGGGTGGTGGTTAGGTATTAGGTACCTAGGTTAGGTAAGTAGAGAAAGAGGAAATAGGTTGATTGTATTATGTCAGTTACAAACCAGCACTTCTATTTATTCCAACGATCTTCTCTAACCTAGAGTGTTCTATATACGACCCCTATCCAATTGTCCCACGCAGATTTACATGACTTCCCGCATATAGGTGATCCGTGATCCGTGATACCCAGGTAAGACTTACCACAAACCCTCCCCACCTCACAACTCAGTACTCAGTACTCAGTACTCAGCGCTCAGCGCTCAGCGCAAGATCCCCCGCATCCGGCAGCAGGTCCCTTAAACACCACCCAGCCGCCCCCAGAACCGCGCGTGTGGGCCTCAACCACTGGGCTATCGTCCAGCGAGCCAACATCTCTCTAACCCCCTCCCCCTCCCCTTCCCTCATCTCACAAGGCCCTAGAAAGCAACGGTTCAACCGCTGCCGGCAGGCGGAAGAAGGACCTAGCATAATGGAAGGGAGAGATGGGAGGTGCGGAGAGAATGTGGCGGCGTAGTAGGCTGCTGCTGATATGGCGAAGGTGAGGAGGGGGAGGAGAGGGAGGAGGAAGAGGGTGTTTGGGAGTCTAGGCATGTTTGTCTTATTACGTCCTTCTCTTTGGCTTATTGTTGGAATCCTGAAAAACTTAATACCTACCTACCTGGGTACCGCCTTAGGTGAGTGAGTATGTAGGTCAGACTCAGTTCTCAGGACTAGCCTAGCCTAGGTATATTTCGGGACTTGGGCGTGCTTGGTACATTAACTGCGGCCCAGGACCGCTGCTAGATACGGCCGTCAAGGGGTTTGTCATGTTTTATACTGTCCCCGAGTTTATTTGAATACGGAGAAACAAAGTACTTTATTAAGATGGTTGAAACGGGTATAATAAAGTCATTGTTGGCTTTTAAGGCTCTTTGTGGTGTAACATTCATGAACCCCTTTAGTCTGTTTCTTTTTAACGGATGGATTTGGGGAGGCGGTGGGATGGTGCCTGGGAGCCGCATTGATATGTGAGATGGTGGCTATGAAGGCTTTTGATTTAGGGGAGATATGACAGCGATTGAAGTCATTCCGAGTCTCTGGTTTGCTACCCGAATTATATTTGTTCTCCTGTTGTATCATACTAACTAGGTACCTACCTAGGTAGTATACGTGAGTAACTCTAGTTGTCATCATGGAATCAATCATTAATTCTTATCGACTCAGACTAAGTACAGGCTTGGTCTATTTCCTCAGCGTTTGAAAGGGAGAAGTGCATATAAGAAAACAACACTAATCCGCGCTCCTTTAATCATGAGACCATTTAGTCTAATCTAATATAGGGTATTCCGACTTCCATATAGGAGCAACCCATCATGCCCAACGCCAACGTCCGAACCGTTTTCATGAACCATTCCGTATCCGTAAATCGTAGCATTAATCTTCTTCCACCTCCACAATGTCCATGCACATCTTCAAAAACCGCTCCCGGTACTCGTTGCTGTCGGTCGTGATGCTCATGGGTCCCTGGTCATCAATCAGGTTGTAGCTTCTGATCAGCCCCGTCATCGCCTTTGCACGAGCCGTGTGCTTGGCCCAGAAGAAGTCTAGTATCGCAGCTCTGTACATCTCCTTGCCGTCGCTCGACGCGACTCCCGTGCGCCAGCTGGTTGCGTCTGCCGGTGCAAAGGGCTGCTGAGCGGGTGAGGTTGGCTCGGTGCCTGTCTCTCCCGTCTCTCCCGTCTGTCCTGGCTCTCCTGATTGAGGGGGGGACTGAAAATCGGAATAAGGCGTGTCTTGTGCAGATATCCGTACCAGAAAGAGGGAGTAATCAACGGCGTTGTACTTGGCAAGGAGCAAGGTATCGTTTTCCAGCTGCCGCTGAAACTGCGTTGCCATATCCCTCGAAAGTCGAATCTTATCATGGAACTCATCGGCGAGTCTCGACATTGTGGCCTCCGTCGCAAACGCCCCGCCCGCAATATCTCTCTCGGGGAAGAAATAGGACGTAGGTTTGAGGTCCCATGACTCCCATTTATGCTTCGGGCCAGCCTGGGACTCCTGGTCTTGGCCGTGCAGGATGTTTTCCATGACGATGTGATGGCTTGGCGCCAAGCCGAGCAACACACCCACGCTCGTGTGGGTGCTCGCGAGGAAGTTAGTGATGTGCACGAGCAGGCTGGAGCGGTTGACCTTCATGTGATCGACGTAGGGCCCGATCAAGTCATTCTTGAAGAAGTCGTGCTCAAATTGCCTCGGAACCGACTTCACCAGATACGCGCTATCGAGCGTGCGAAAGAAGGTCGAGCCGCTATAGCCCATCGTAGCCATGGGATATAGATCAGGTTTTGCCTTCCGCCGGTCGCTCTGCTTCATGTCGAAGCTGGATTTGTAGTCATCTTCCTTGATCTCCCACACGCTGCGGAGAGCACTGAATAAGTCTTGTCGTACGAGCTGAAAGGACAGCCAGTAGAGATAGAAAATGCGGAGGATTCGCGTCAGAAGGGAGGGTTTCTGAGCGGGACTGCCATCTTCATTGACGTTCAAAATCGCATAGATGATGGAGCGAGCGATCAAAGTTTGGCGTCGGGCCATGTTGACTAGATACCTATGGTAAAGACAATCTCATTTTTCTTTGAAATATATATTATTTATAAATAATAAGGTGAAACGAGAGATGAAAAAATGAAAAGAATAGGAATAAGTGTTGTACGCGTTGATTATGTAGGTAGGTACTTGTACAATACATAAACCTAGGGTGTTGGGTACCTGATGGGTGTACCTATCAGTCCTATTTATAGGGTAAATAGTGACATCACCACTAAGACGAAGGTTATTGAATACATTCATAAGGTATCCGTGGATGTTGTACGACTATACATAGAATAATGACAAAGGAAACAAAAACTCAATACTACTCGAGAATAATCGAAATTAGCATAATTTAGTTATTACAACTGTAGTCTATGCATCATCCGGTTCAGAACACTACCCTATCTACAACTTTCCGTCTCGCAACCTCTTATTTTTTCTATCTTCAGTCCATCCCTCTGCTCTCGCTGAAACTCCCATAGCCATGCACTAACTCCTAAAAAGCCCCCTGAATATCCCTCCTATCGGCTTGTTACCCTTGCGATGGCAAAGACACCCACAATCACGACCGCCAGAGTGACGATGGCACCGGGCAACAACAGCTCATTAGGTACACCTGCGATGACTTGTTCCGGCTCTACGATGCCACTGCTCCTCTTACGACGGCGCGCGGTTGAGAAGTCCTCTTCCTCGCTGTCAGACTCTTCATCATTCACTATAGTTCGTCTGCGACGAATCTCCGAGGGATGGGAGCTTGCAGCTGGGGTAGCCATAGAAGGATCGGGATGAGGCGCCGCGACAGTGACTGGCGGCTTGTCGGGATCGTGTATGAACAAATCCACCTTCTCGCGATGATTGTGTCGTGCTAGTAAGATTGCCTCTAGGAGGTCCTGGTCTGTCGTGATGCTGACCGTGTCACCCTCGTCATCCATATAGCTCATGGCGAAGCCATTAGGGATCAGTGTGCCGTCTTCCACGTCTGGGGGCCCACCAATGGCCTCAACTTCACTGCCGAGTTTGACGGTCACACTGGCAACAAATTGCGCGATGCCATCGCTAGCCACAATTTGTAATCGGTGAACACGACCGCTAGGCGCCTTGAACTTGAATGCGAAAGGAATATCGTGAGGATGGGCATGCGCCACGGCCGAATGGCCTGGCGATTCCTCAAAGCCCACATGCGAAGCGCTGTCACCAGGCGCAACAGAGTCAGTGATGCGCTCACGGGGCGCATCCGGAGACATCATGGAGCGAGATATCATAGTGCCGCCGTGGTGGTGGCTGCCGTCACCAGAGACCATAGACTCCGTCTCATTATCCAACGACAACCAAAACTTGTTCCAGGCCGGTCCCTCGCTGTCACCTGACGTGGACATGGTGTTGATCTGTTCAAGTGTCGCATAAGTCAGCTTGAGCACATCCACCATGCCAACAATCTCGCCCTGGTCGTTCATCACAGGTAGATTAAGGTAGTGGCCATCTGTACACTATATTAGCTAAATGTCCTTTACTTCTCTAGTATCACTGGACTCAATAGGCACTTACCATGCATCTTTCGCAGAGCAGCCTGGATAGTCATGTCCATGGGAGCAAAATCCGGGTGTGGTGTCATGACACGAACAACACTGCAGGTGGCAGGGTCCAAGCCAGGAGCAATGACACGTAAAACCACATCCTTGCTCGTGAAGATACCCGTAATTTGACCCTGGTCCTGAACTAACACGGCGGTAGTGTGATTTTCCTTCATCATAGCTGCGGCCTCCTTTACCGTCGTGCGGACGCTGACTGTTGTGGGTGGCATGCCGTTCAGGACGCTTTCTAGGGTCGGACCCGACATCTTGGAGCGCAAGGCCTCGACATACTGGATGATCTGCTGCGGCTGACTCGTTCCCAATTCGGATTGTACGCCTTCCAAAGCGGCATAGAGCTTTGTCGAAGATGCGTACGCTCGTTCTAACTTCTCCATCGCATCGTAGAAGCACTTTGTAATATCGAGGATACCTGAGATATCCTGGTTCTCGTCCATAACGGGCAAATGTCTGAAACCCTTGCGAACCATGAGATCCAGGGCCTCGGTTGCGCTAGTGTCTGTGCGGGCACAAAGGGGATTCTTGGTCATGATCTCGGCGATAGTGACGGTGTTGGCCTTCTGGCCAGCGCCAACTACACGGAATGCTAGATCCTTAGCGGTAAAGATACCAGCGATTCGGTCATCTTCATCCGTAACCAAAACACAATCCTCTCTCTTGGCAGCCATCAGCTGGGCAGCTTCGGAAACGGTGGTACTCGGCTTGATCTGAAGGGCAGGGCTCGGTTTGAGGGCAAGGACAGTTCCCGGCGGGGCTTTTCGCGAAAGTCGTGTTCGGCCGCCGCCGGAGACATGATGCTTTTTCTTGTTGAGATCGGTCTCAAGCTTTCGTCGAATGGCCTATCATGAACGGGTATCAGTAACTTGGGAGCAACTTGTATGCCACAGATGGAGATGTATGTAGAGGGATATATGAAGGGTGATTAGTAGTAAGTAATAAAACATTGTGATATACCTCATCTCGTTTAGACTGCTTCTGTCTACTTGCGCTGATACCAGAAGCGGCTTCGCTCGGAGCGGGCTGGTGGGCATGACCGTGAGCATCCAGGACAGGCCTGGGGATGTTGGAGTTGGCGGGACTATTGGGACCAAAGGGATTGGCTCCTGCTCCTCTGTTCTGCCCACTACGGCTGGGGGTGCCTCTCATAGTGCTGGACATCGTGAGCGATGCGCGTCAGATGCTTTTTGTGCGGAGCTGAAGATCGCTTCTACGTTGTGTGGCGTTGATGGGATTTTTACCTATTGACCGGCGAACGGTGAAGATTTGCACCGAAGGTCAGGAGTTGAAAAAAATAAAATTATATCACCCAAAGAAAAAAAAAAAGCCTAGAACCCAACTGCACTGCACGTCAGATGTTTGAAAGTCGGCACGTCAAATTTGGGTTTTTTTCCCTAAGTTTTTTTTTTCGCGCAGTAACACTATCACCATCATCAGCAAATCAATGATCGAATGATGTTTGATTACCGGTTACCCCCTCCTTCAAGTGGTGAGAGATAGGAGGGAAGAGATAAAGTATCGGTCAGGATGTTTTGGCGCTTATTCCTTCGGGAAACAATTTATGGGTCATGAGAAGTTGTCTCGGCGACTAGGAAATCACATTGGGCGTTTGGTGTTCCCCCCTCCGGGACCCCCCGGTAAGAATAACGAACACTGGCCAATTCTAGCCGAGATAAGGGATATTTTATAGCACTAGTAACTACTGATAAGTAAACTCAGCCACAACCAACTTATAATCTTTAGTGGCTTGAGCATTTTACTTGACACTCGAGACTTCAAGGTTCCAGTTAATTATCATTGAGCTGTAGTTAGTTAATATCAATCATTGATGATGTATTCAGGGCTAACCCCTGAACCCCTGTACTACCATTGACACAGGTAAGTACGCAGTTTAGGGAAACAATTTGACGTGAAACAAAAATAAATCACTCACTGGAATTGGCTTTGGAGTTTATGCACTTTGGTGTTTCAATGTTGATACCTGTGTACTACTAGTACCTACCTACATACTTATATAATCTTATATAATCTTATATAATCTTATAATCTACAATGACTCATCCAGTAAGGTTAGTCAGCATTCAGACTACTTACTTATACCAACGACACTTTACTCCCTCCATTAGGAAGCTTCACTCTAAAGAGTGCAAAAGGGCGTACTCTCCTATCAGTGCCGGGAAACGTAGATGACGCAAAATTGAGTTGATTGACCGTAAAATAGAGATATCCATCATTTGCAACCGACACTAATAAACTCATCAGCACTCTATGCCTAAGTATAAACTTATAGATGAAGGAAGGACATGTAGGGTGAGAGTGATGGTGATAGTGATGGTGAGAGAGAGAAAGACAGAAAGAGAAAGGTAGAAAACACTCACTCGTATCAACCCAATTGATCCTCGGATCCCTCACAAACGTCAACGTAGTCCCGTTCCCAGGGTTAAACACATTAATCGCATTCCCCTCCATGCTCCCAACATAAACCATCCCATTGCTATCCGTCTCCAACCCATCGCTCACCCCCTTTTGCCCGTGACTCACCACCGCCTGTTGCGCCAACAACTCGCTCGCCGCCCCCCTCGCCCGCAGCCTCGCCGTCGGCACGCTGTACATGTACCGCGACGCGAGCGGGCACCAGTACAGCGTGTCGCCGTCAGCCGACAGCGCGATGCCGTCGGAGCCGATCGGGAACCCCGTGTACGGCGTCCCCGCATTATCCGCGTAGTAACCCGCCTGGCCCCAGACGAACGGGAGGAACTGCGACTCGGCCCCAACCGCGCGCGTCAGGCCTAAATGCCGCCAGCTCTCGCCCGTGCCCAGGTCCGCGACGATCAGCCCGCTGTGCCCGGACGCGCTGCTGTCCGTGATGTACGCCACGCCGCCCCGGCCCGAGGTGTCGCTGAGCCCGCTGCGCAGGTCCAGCCGCACGTCGTTGAGGTAGCTGTCGCCGTACGCGACGGTGGGCGGGAACACGATCGTCTGGAAGACGGTGTTGGTGGCGAGGTTGACGCCGACGAGTTTCGGCCCCCCGTACGTGGCGGGCACGAGGACGCCGGAGGCGGTTAGCACGCGCCCGGTGTCGAGGATCCAGAGGCGGTCGAGCGCGTCGATCACGACGGACTGGACGCCGATGAGGTAGTTCTGGTAGTTTGCTCCCGCTGCGATGAGTTAGTTCAGTTCTGGCTTTTTCGGAAGGGTGTCGGCGCGTGCTTACTCGGGGGCGATGTGCTGTAGTTGATTGCCCCTCCTGGGGGGTGGTTCATCTCTAGGCTTGGGTAGGCTGTCTCGCCTCGCAGTGAGGTGAGCTCCCCGACGGTATACACATCGTTCGAAGTGTTATATGCGTTGGCGGGATCGAGGCCTATAATTAGGTTGGTAGAGTTCGTTTCAAGGGTTGTTGCTGCAGGACGAACTGCAACCAAAAGGATAGAAGAAGGATAGAAGAAAGCGTGCTTTCTTCTAGACTACGATGACGTTGTGCCGATATCTAGGGCAGGCCTAGTGAAGCCCTGGCTTCTAAGACACTTGCAGCAGTTGTCTTTATGGTAAAGTGAAGAAACTAACCTCCGGGATAATTGGAAAACATTCGTCCAGTGCTTGATATTGTGATTCCTGCCGTGAAATTAGTATCTTGCCCCGAGTTCATAAAGAGAGTGACCTGGTTCCAACCTGTTGGCCATTGTCCATAGTATGCGTGAACTGTTTCAAGTGCTGGTCCAAATATCTAACATCATGATGTCAACCCTATGCCTTGTGGTGTAAAGGTAGAAAACAATGAAATACCCCTGGGTCCGATATGAAGGTGATGTCTTGCCCATGAACCTGAGAAGCAAGGCATGTTAATGTTGTTAATATCACGTTGCCGTGTTTCATATCTGCCTAGGCAGTTAACTGCTGGATTTTGTTTTGCCTGAATTGGGTCGTTAGATGCTATTAAAAAGAATAGCATATTGACATGAAAAATCGCTCTCCCGCAAAAGTTCAACCTTCCCCTGTCCTCAGTCGGCTACTACATACATACTCATCATGGTTACGTATATTGAAATATTTTCCTCAGGCCTTCGAATCTAGGAAATTAGGTAATAATCGGTATGACAAATCACGCATTGGTAGTCCTGTGAGGATGAAGTTTCTTTTCTGGCACGTTGAATTCAAATACGAAGACCGCTCCAAACTACCTAAGCGAGGCATTTGGGGACTAGAGCTTGGCGGCCGGCCGAGTGTCCATACCGTGCTATAGTCGGATATGTCCAACAACTAAGGTAGTTTGGTACACAATTTAGGAAACAATATGACAGATTCCGTTATCTTCGAGCTATTTTCTGGTCGGTACCCAAACGGCTTTATGCCCGAATCGGCACTTGATGTATCTAGGTAGGTATGTACTTTCGAGTGGTGTGACGTTTTAAGATGACTGGGAATAATGCATGTAAAAACCTCACGTAATTCTTCCAAGGTTGTCTTCTATTTCCGCATGGATATTTCACATTGATACATCCCTTGTGACCACGGTCAACGGTTGGTTATTATTCACGAATACTTCGTAGGTAAATAAAATGTCATGATCTTAAACTATTGATGGCATGGTAACATGGGTTTCTATAATACATATACATGTCTAGTATGTAGGCACTAGGCTCTATATCTGCGGTCACTTGCCTTAGAGTGACTAATAGCTGTAATCGGGTATCTCTAATGCAGAAACGACAGACATGTTGATTAGGTAGGTGTTAGTTAAATGATAGTATGTACTTGGTAAGCAATTAAAAAAAAGCCTGACGAACAGCGGCCTCGGCGCAGCCTGGCCATTTTCATGTATGGCGTGTACCTAGTACTCGGGGTCCCGACTTCAGAGATCTACCTGAAGTTGGGATCTGAAAGCTACTAGGTAACTCTAGAGGGGATCTTAGGAGGACGATTGACCATCAAATAGCACCAGGAACGTGGCCGTACCGGAAGGTCATACTTGAAGTTTCAAGGAGTTTCCATGGCGGAGGTCATGTTATAGCAGATACCAGCGTCCCGCGGAGAAAGTTGATACGTTGAATATCATCTAATACCGAATATTATGATGCCAAGTTGGCGAACTGAACTGAGAACGAATTGGAGCACGCTTCGACTTTTTCTTTTTTCTAATTCTTGGCGTGTTGATATTCATGTACAATTTCCGATCGCACCATGATGCCATCCTTTGGAATCGTCTCGTCCGATCCCGTTGGTCCCTTGGTAATGCTTGTCAAAGCTACCTCGTCGTCTTGCGATCTCGACTCATGTTGACTTCCAAATCGGACGTAGCTGTTCGGGCCTCGACTCGCCTTCGTTCCCCAGTTGGCGCTCGACCCTTGCTTCGATCCGCTGTGTGTTGTTATCTTGTCCTTCGCGCGACGAAAGAGAGGTCGCAAGCTGGGCAGACACGCTGATAAGATACCAATCGCCGGCTCGATCGAAGACCAGACGAAGATGTGGGCCATAGACCAGGTGATGTCAACCGCGTTGATGAACTCGATGAACGCGTTGATACGGATGATACTAGCAACACACACGCTATACTTGGTGTTAGATTTCACAACGAAATATTCAAAAGGGCTCAGGGAATAACATACAAGCTACCCAGCAACATGACACCGCACACTGCAACCTTCTTCTTGGTAGACATCTGCAGTTGCAGAATCTCAGGAATCGGGACAATCAAAACGATGATATCGAAGACCATGTTGACACAAGTCAAACTCATCAGGATCGCGTTAATATCGAGGCAAGTACCGGTGGTTCCCTGGAATTGCGTCCAGAAATGAGATACCGGTTTGCACACGAAGCACATCAGCACCCAAATGGTTATGGGGTAGCCGACGCAAAGGAATGTTGCTATCGCAAGTCGAATATGGAACCATTTCGTGCCTCGTTTGAACAAACGGCGATAGAATAGCAGAATAGAGAATTTCGTAAACGAAACACTGCCGGCATAAACATACGTATATGCGTACAATGTCTAAGATTCATGGTCAGAAGAGTTCAACACACACTTTCCCAAGAGAAAGGGGAGTTTGAGGTGAAGGAGCGAGCATACCTTGAAAATGGCAGTAAGATCCTCTGGTTTTGTAGCCCAAACGTGCTTGCCGGCGCCTTTTGAGCCACCATATATCGTTAGACCTGCTGTACCGTAGACGAACACCTGGCGAATAGTCAGCGATCACGAACATGAGCACTACATCGTCGCCAAACATACAAGCGCAACAATCATCAACCAATCATCCGACATCATGTCGAATCTTTGAGCGTTTCTCGCCCATACTCGCAGACAGAGGGCAACGGTGGCGATGACCGCGCATACTACCGCTGCTACATTGTCTGCAGTGATCTGGTTCTCAGTGAGGTCGAGTCCCGGAGGAACAGGGCCGAAGATGGCCACTATGACTGGGTCGACTTCCATCGTTAAGTGCGAGAGACGGGAAATAGTTAGAGAACGAGTGACATGAAGAAAGAATGACCAATCGAATTAAAAGCAAAAGGCGCAGCAAGTCAGGTAGATGAGATCGGTGGCCCGTAGAACTTTCTACCGTCAATCTTTTAATGCAAGAATTACGGCAGTGATAATCGTCGGGTCGCTCCAAATGACGATTCAAGGGGTGAATCCATACTGACCCCAGATGACCGAAGGCGTTCTATCCTAAACTAGGGCTCCCGGTGCTCCGGGCCGGCCTATCGAGGCCATAGGTGTCCCACCTGTTCCCCTGACAAGCGTATTACTTGCCTGTCTGCGTAAGCACAGTTTACACCTTGCCCCCACCCTAGAATGGGATGACCGTGCTTGGTTGTCTTTCCCAATGATCTACATAGATTGCAGAGGATTCACCACCGCAGAGAGAACCCCCTTAATCATTCCAGACATCCATGCTTCATAGTATATCCAGTATACCCTAGGCTATTGACAAAAAAATCCCGACGATCTTTGCGATAACATGATGACTCTCTGGAGTTCTACCAAGAACATACGACTGGTGGTTAGGGTAAAGCATTTATAACGTCACAAAGAGTCTATTTCGGAACCTTCCATTGGCTATGAGAGGTTTTCGTGTCTCTACCACCAGCAGTTCCTCCCTCCGAGGTCCTCTACCAGTGCCCCGGGAGATCTCTAGTTCTAGCAAAGTGAAACAGAGAGATTGGGCGGTCTAGATACGAAGTTGGTGTGTGTGAGAATGCTACTCTGCAATGATACTCGTTCTTCCCTGGGGATTGGGATTCTACACTAGTAGGAGGCTCGTCCTCCTAATCGTATGGATGTATCCATAGTTATAACTAGATGTGCTATGTCAGCAACAGGGCTGGACGTTAAGCCCTGTAGCATGTTTTATACCCCGTATACATGGTAAAACATAGTTAGTTTCTTCAAAGAATTTTTTCAGCAAGCGGGTAACACACTTGCCGCAGTGGGCAGTGGGGGTACGTGAATCTTTATGCCCCTTTTCGACTGCATTAGTCACCCAGTTTTACCAGGTTTTCTACCAGCCTGTACCAGGTAGTCTTTATTATGCAAAAGATAGTTCGCATAATTTTTTTTTTTTTTCAACGGCAGATAATAACGTGTGTTCTTTCTATATTTATCTACCCAACTAGGTACCCTAGGTAGTTTTGGATGAATTTTCGTTCTGAAGATGACTAAACAGACGTGATACCTTCTAGTTGTCTTCTCGCCATCATCATATGCTTTTGCTGACATATGTACAATGTTTATGCTTAATTACTGTGCCGCGCAATCCAAACTGCCTACACCAGTTAGAATCTCGTACGAGAATCGGAATTACCAGATTAGGTACCTGATTTGCTGGGGTTTCTTGTGCTAGTCCTTATTTCAACTTTTTTCTCCAGCCCAACCCAGCTTAGTGTACGGGTGCTCCCTAAAGTGAATGTTCCCATGGGATGTCTGAGCGGCCCGGTTGTTGGTGAGCCCCCGTCCAAACGCTAAGAAAAAAGAAATCTTCACGGCTGGGGTTCTAAGATGATGAGCTAAGGTGATGAGCTAAGGTGGTAAGTAGTATTATTAACTAATAACCAGGAAAATAACAGAGCGAATTATAAACCTGATAATTATCGAAAGATAAACTTCCTAGGGACTCTTCCGTAATTGTCTTAACAATATTATACCAACCCAAGTTACCCAACTACCCAGCTACCCAGCTACCTAGTAGTTATGTAGTATTAGATCAACAGCGCAAAATGCTACCTCTCATCCTTGTATTCCCGTTCCAAGTGGTTTTATGTTTTTTTTTTGTTCGCAGGTAATTAAATGCCTTGGAATTTAGTGCAGTTTTCAGATAATCTATTTTCATGATCGTATCATCATTGATCAAACCTGGGTAATTATGTAACTAACGATTCACTTACTATCAATGCAAGTAAATATCTGACACCATTTTACTACCTCAAAAATGAGGGAAAATGAGTATGTCGTGAACGCTAATCACGTACCTACTCGGCTAGGTAAGTGTGTATGCAAGTATGTTGAACTAAAGTGCTTACGACTTATGCGTTCCGAATCAATACTACAGTGTTGTCATAGTACGAACACTTATAGAAAGGGGTGTTCTTTGAACAAGTACCATAGTACAAGGTACAGTACAATACTGTCAATACAATCATAGGTAACTAGGTAGGCTAAGGTACTAGACTCTAGTAGGTTCATAACGCTAAAGAAGTGGTTACTGGAGCAGCCATCTACATTTGGGGGCCCATTGATAACTACATAGTACATAACTAGTTACTACGTCGTGCCAACCGAAGTAAACCCCCATGCACGTATACTACAGTATTACCAGGTATATTTCCCTAACCGTACCACGTACCAAAGTGGTGGAGACGGGGAAGTCCTATGCATTGTGGATCTTCCATACGAGTTCTACGACATAATACTCTGTACCTGCCTAGATACACTCGGTACATATATCTGTGTATCTGGGCTCTCAGTCTGGACTCTGGAGGCTGAAGCCAATGTTACATAGTCGGTATTAGTCGAAAGATATCCAGCTTACCTTCTATTAGCTAATGCTAGTTTATCTAGTAGATAGCTGCCTAGATACCTAGGTAGGTAGTATATAAAAATCTAGTCTTTACACTAGATCTCCGGATTCATGATCCGCTGAGGTTCGGTGGTTTCTGATTGTTTCTGGGGCAAACGGCACAATGATTCGCTTGCGATGGTCCCAGATCGTTGGGATAATGAAGTTCAAGCCTTCAAGGTATGACCATGGCCATGACCATGACCATGATCATGATGAAAAAGAAGAAAAGAAAGCTTACCTAGTAGTCTTGGTATCATAAAAAACTACTATGTAGGCGTAGGGATCGTCCTTAGCACCAAAGGCCAAGCAGCTGGGAAGTTACATAGTATAAGCCTTACCATGCACTGACTTAATTCCGAATAAAACACTAATGGATCTAGTCAGTATTCGGTATAACTGTACCGACAAAAGAGTGGCCAAGACAGGAAACGTTTGGTTGATACGAAGAGCCGGTAAGTACCGTGGTATTAAGTGGTCACAACCCCTGACTACGCTACCTACCTACCTACCTAGGTACTGGTCACCAAGGTAAGTATGCACTTAGCACTGGAGTCTGGACGAGTAAATCTATTGGAATATGGAATATAAACCAAATTACCTAATCAACGGAATAAATTCCACAAAATGTCCACTATAATTCCGGATTGTGGACATTTAGACCTGAGCTAGAACGATAGATGTACAAAATGACTGCTGTTTATTGCTACTCGACTTGGAGCATCATGATCCGACTTTTACTCATGCTCTCTTCACATGTTATCTGACTTTCATCAGCCCATGAGAAAGCTTGGTTGGTCGTCAAATGTGTAAAATGCCTTCAAACCCTTCCTCTATATATTGAGCTGTATGCATCACGACCTATGTAACCCAGACATGCATGCTTCTTTCTCTCACTCATACCATACCTATCCAGGCTACGCAATGACTATCCATTTAAGGCATTCTCACTGATAGCAAAAAGGATCTAGATGCCGTGATCTCTGTCACCGCTTACTCTTAGGTGAGCGATTAATGCAACCTAGATGCAGCTGCCGACATATTTGGGTTAGAGGATTTACACTCACGGGCACCCCTTATTCACTCTCATTGTGTATTAGGTAATTCCCTCACAGATATGTATGGGTCTGCACTGAAATTTGACCCCGAGAAAGGGCTAATTTGGTCCAGGTCATAATATTCTACATAGTATGTAGCAGTCTTGGTAGCATAACTGCTGCGTTGGTAAGACTCGACATCTCCAGAGTCCATGCTTACAGGCCCCCGGTACCGAGTCTACCGCTATCAGGGCCGGCAGCAGGGGCATAGAGACGCGACGACACTAATCCTAGGTCCTTCCTTAGCTAAGACTTGTATCCCCAGTTTTCTTTCGATGCCTCGTTACATAACTGGAAACGAGGTGCTTGATACTCCACGTATGCCTACTTGTAACAGCGAAAGGGGTTTATCTGGCGTCAACAACTTCGTGCACAAGGGTCAACTAGTCAATCAAGCCCAACGCTGTGCTGGGTAATTCTCACAACCTAGATACTTGTACACCTCCTCACTTGCATATCTTGCCTTCTTAGTCGTATGCTCGGTTGCATGTCTTGGGTACAGCTCACTGAAACTGGACAAGGGGTGACAGCTTAGGCCTAAAGTGGATGGATATGCGTTGTGCTGGTCGGTATAGGAAGTCCATAATAGGGCCATCTGGCTCGACTTGGAAGCTTTCTGACAGAGCTCTTCCAAGCCGTCATCTCCCACCTGTTTCTCATCTACCAACACTCAAAAAATAAGCCTGCACTGTTACATTATTCTGTTACATATTAATCATGCCTTCGGAATACGCAAGCCAAGTCCCTGCCGCGATACCGCTGGAGAAAGCTGGCCCGAAGGCCTACATCCGTTATGTCTTCCCTATCGAGCTCCCTAAGGACTATGACCTAGAAGAATGCTTCAAGATCTACCGAGATGGCTTCGAGGCGGCAAAGAAGCGAATTCCAGCCCTGGGCTGTGAAGGTGTACCCGACCCCGATGCCAAACAAGCTGGTGTTTTGAAACTGCAAAAATACACCGACTATGAGTCCATTACATACAAGGATCTGCGGAAGACCTTCCCCTACAGCTGGGACGAGATGAAGGCGAAGAGGTTTCCCGTCTCGTGCTTCACGTCCGACATGTGCCGCAGGTTTACCTGGCCTTCCCCCGGTGACCGACTGCCCGTCGTAGATTTCCAGGCCAACTTCGTGCCAGGAGGTGTGCTTATGGGCGTCGCCTGCTTCCACGTCTTTGGTGACGCGAAGAGCTACTTCACTTGGTTCGAGACCTGGGCCGAGGAGTGCCGTAGAATCCAGGGTCTTGTGACCACAGTCAACGAGATTCCCGATGAGCTCTTCACCGACAGAGAGAAGGCCATGAAGCCTTCCGGACGTAACCCCGGCCGTCGTGAAGACCATCCCGAGCTGCTCGTTCTCCCCTTCACACCTGATGCCCCCCCGCCCAAGATGGTCTCCCTGGCACATGTTGGCCAAGCCTTCTACTTTTCCCCCGAGAACATCGCCAAGCTAAAGGCAGACACCGCACCCAAAAATGCTACAGAGCCCGCTGGCGTGGAATACGTGTCCACCAACGACGCCGTCTCAGCTCTGATGTGGCGCTCAGTCATGAACGCCCAGAACCCCGTTGATACGCTGGAGGGCGACCCAGTATCCGTATTCAACATCGCAGTGGACGGACGTACCCGCACCAACCCGCCCGTGCACCCTCGCACGCTCGGCAATTGGCTCGGCTGGGTGGTGCAGCAGATGCCGATCCGCAAGATGCTGACGACAGCCAACCTGGCGGACATGGCGGCGCTGATCCGCAAGTCGATCCTCAAGCTCGACAACGAGTTCGTGGACGACCTGAACGCCATGTTCGAAGACGTCGAGGACGTCAACCGCGTCGTCGCCGCCGCCTTCGTCGACGTCCCCGGCTACAACATCTTCCAGACCTCCTGGGTCAACTTCAACGTCTATGACCTCGACTTCGGCACCAAGCTCGGCGGCATCAAGGCCACCCGCTGCCCCGACATCGGCGTCGTCAACGGCGGCTCCGCCGTCCTCCCCGCCCTGCCCAACGGCGGCATCGAGATGATCATCGGTGTCGAGGACAAGTGCCTACCCAGACTCTTGGCGGATCCCATCTTGAAGAAGTACACCGAGGCTGTCACATGGTAGACTACCTCTCTCTCCCCCCCCTCTTGCTTCCCCATACGTGGGATGAGGAAAGGAAAGGAAATGATATAAGGAAATAAAGAAAAGGTGATGGACGACGGATATGAAAACGGGTCATGATGGAAAAGGAAACTTTTTATACACACAACACGGTCTAGCGTTTCTTGCACGTTTGTTAGGTAGCCTTCAAATAACACTCATAGCGATGCTAGGATAGACACTTTTAGAGAAGGAAACATCTAGAGAAGAATAAAATCCTAAATAGCTAACGCGCTCTGGTCCCCCTACCTGCTGGTGGTGAACGATGTAAATCATGGTATATCTTGCAAATACCCTAAACGCCATTCTAATGCATAAGTCGTCATAAGTCAAGCAGCAACAGCACCAGTGGTTAGCTAATGACTAGTCGTTGTTGCGGTCATGTTGGTCTTCTTTCCCGGCTGGCTGCCCTGGGATCCCTCGTAGGGGTGCGGTGTGTTGAGGTACACCGGCTCACCCCTAGACACTTTCGAGTAGTTCCCTCGCTTCTGCCAGAAGCTGAGAAAGGAAGGGATTAGCACACGTATCGATAACGGCCTGATAGTAAGATGAATCATGGTTGGGTAGGGAGGTAGGGGGTAGGGCAGGGGGGAAAGAATGGATGAGCGAAGTGGCAGATGGAAAACTCACAAGATACCAGCAATGATAGCCGCGATTACAGGAACGCCAAGGCCAACGCTGACGCCGATTATGATCCTCGTATCAACGCCGTGAACCTGATCTGGCAGCCCCTCGCTGGAAGCACCGCCAATCCCACCAATACCGCCGACCTCTGCAGACGATGTCGGGGGCGGAGGCGGGACGTATGACGCGGGAGCCCCTGTAGTGGCATCGATGGATTTCCTATTGGTGCCAAAGGGGACGGCTGAAGCAACGGTGGTCCCAGTCGTCTCGGGGAAGGTGGCCTCTGACCCAGAGGGTACCGCTGTGATAAGGGTCAATGTACTCGTAACCTTAGTGGTAGTCTGCAAGGACTCAGGACAGTTGACGAAGCCGGTAGTCTGGCAACCTATGCCTGAATAGGTGACTTTCTTGGTGAGTGTAGTTGTTGTCAGGTCCTCGTCAGCCCGAGCTGTGATTGCTGCAGTGGACGCTGTGGTGGTCTGTGTGCGGCCCTGGATAGCACACAAATCGGCTATGGTGGTGTAAAAGATGGGGATGTTGGTCTATGAACACCATTAATAAGTCAGCAAGACCCATTTACAATCATACACTTAAGAATAGGAGAAATAAATTACTTACCTCTGGTGCTGGACCCCACGTCTCTTGTCCAAGAGCAAGTGTCGCACCAGCAGCAGCACCAAGTCCGAATTGATACGTCTGCTCAACTCTGAGGCGACAGTCATCATCGTCGCCCTCAGGCGATGCGGTGATATTCGTTGCGAACTCTGCAATATCTGCCCACACGCTAACGCCTACGCCAGCGCTGGCTTTGGCGGAGAAGGCAGTGCTCGGAATGATGACCGAGGGGCTCTCTAGCTGGAACCCGGCTTTGATTCCGACACGAAGTACTGCTTTGATGAGACCCCCGGCGCTTTCAATCGTCACGGGAAGAAACTCGAAGTCACCTCCATTGCTATATATTTCCCAAGAACTTAGCATGAATTGAGCAGTGTGAGGCAATTGGGAAGAAAGGGTTCTTACAAGGTGATACTTGAGACACTTTTACCAAATAATGCCATATCAAGGCCAACGCCATCATCCAATTTGATATGAATCCCGCTGCTAATGTCGATTTCGGCATCCGCGCTCAGGATCAAGTCAACTGAGAAGATAACACCGATGAATAAGTCATCGCTTGCAGAGATCCCAAGGGGCGTGTTTGACGAGTACAGATTCAGGTTGTAGGTGGCACCAGCTGATAACACAGTATCGATCAGCATGTAGAGCTCCAGATCGTCGAACTGGAACTTGAGATGGCACTCCGGTATGTCCGGAATGGCCACATTGAAGCTAATGTTGATAGGCGGGAAGTCGAAGTCGTCCAGGTCTATGCCATCGTCGAAATTATGTATCACTGTGGGGAAGTAATCCTCGATGTAGTCGATCACTTGGTTAGTGGTATTCAAAATCTCATCGTGGACCTCGCCCGTGAAGTTCTGGATTGCTTGGGTGGTATTGAAGTCGCCATCCACCGAGAACTGCGCCGTCGCGACGCCCTTGATATAACATGTCGTGCAAATAATGTCGATGCCCGCGTTTAATGTGATGTTGTTCTGGGTCTGAGTCTGCGCCGCACTATTTTTGATTAGATTTTTTAGATTAGGTAAATAGGAGACGGCGCAGCAGCTCCTTACATGCTAAGCAGCGTTGCATTATTCCAACTCTTATCCAATGTCGTACTGTTCTTTAACTCAACGTCTCGCCTTTGCGAATGAATATCCACGAGCGACTTTCGGAGGGCGTGGAAAGTATTGGCAGAGGATGCACCTGAGGAATCTCGAACGCTGACCACGACATCGGGAGTGGAAACTGCAGTGGAGATAGTGCTAGATGCTATCATAGCCCAGCCAAAGGTGAGGACCACTCTGGACAGAAACATCTTGTCGTTTTAAATTCCTACTATCTATGCGTGTATATGAGACATGAGGTTTAGATCCCAACTGAAGAAGCATCTCATTACCCATTCGCTTCAATTGGACGGATTGTTCTTATATTAATATTCATTCTCTGCCTGCCTGCCTGCCTGCCTGCCTGCCTAGTACCTACCTCCTCCCACATTGCATGTAACAATTTTGGTTCCTGGATGCGGAAAGGAAGCTTACCCTGGCCGATATGAGGCGTTCTGCAAGCAAGGAACCGTGGCGGAGTCCAAAATGTGCAGGTAGTTAAGGGCTTCGTGGGAATAGGGAGGGAAAGGCACAGCTAACTTGCCCAAAATAGGGAGAATGAAACCCTGCAAAACCACCCAGCAGGGGGTTTTCCTACCAACATCTGTTTCTGATATACATATTAATCACACTAAAAGTGAACAAGGTAGGATATCAGCTTTTCCTACTGCGCGCTTTGCGATTGCCAAAAGTATAGTATATCAAGACAACTTGAAGTTTTCCAGCCTTGGGAACGGAAGAGGAGACAAAGGGGCGACCCCTCCCTCGAAAGCAGCAAACCCCCCAATATTCCTTCGAGCGCTCACTACTGCACGTTATAAATAAAATGTTGGCGTCAGCCCCTATGTGCAAAAATGAGAATGCGACATAGCTGAGGCTACCACAATTGATCATCAAAATGCTACCCAAGCCAATGGAAAGCTCCAACTAGAGCCTCAGAGATGCCCACCCAGGTACCTACCTATCTAGCATTTAAGCTTACCTACTGCTATTACGTAGCTATATCTCTAAATACCCATGACCCAAATCAATGCACAAAGTCCTGGTAAAGGTGCTTTGGAGACCCTCTCCGGCTTGCTGACCCTTGTTTGATGCCCCTCGTGAGAATGGCGGCTAGGAGAGCCACGTGAAGCATGCATGGATACACGTGGATAGGCCGGAAGAAAGGGCAGGCAAACATATCACCACATTCCTAGAACATCGTGAGCGAGCACGGCGGGTTAGATAAGAGTGATAATGTTGCAGGTGCCTCAGGCACCCTTAGGCTCCATATGGCCCTTATGGCCCTTATGGCCATATATTGGCACTCCGCCATCCGTAGTTGGGAATAAAGCAAGCTTTCTTCCTTTCCTCTTTCTTCTTCTTGGTTGCAGATGTACTGCAACAGATAAAAATAGGTGAGGCTGATCGATATGCGGCCGAACAGTTCGCCGCCATTCGGCGACTTACTGGTCGCTAACGACGTTTAGGGTGGATTATTACCAATCTGGAGAAGCCATTAGACTCTTCCTGGTTCACTCACCTGCAGTGGTTAGGCAGTCAGCTGCCCAAGCAACCAACACAGAGGGGAGGGGCAGCACCAGGGGGCAGGACTACCTGGAATGAACCTATCTTACAGAAGCCTCTTAAATAAGTGAAGGCCTGGTTAGATACTGCTAATTGCTGGTCTACGATTCGTAGCTTATTTCTGTTAGTCTTTGAGACATGGAGGTTCTGACCTTAACATCCTATGACTAAGACAAGCTACTTAGATAAATATTGGTCTCCCTCACCTATAGATACTTACCTACCTAGTAGGTATCTATGAGAGATCTCAAAAACATGAAATAATTGGGGGAATCAGACAGCATCATCTTTTCGGGCAAATGCTGGGGTTCCGCTGTACGTCTTCGAAGAACAGGACAATAAGCCAAGGCTATGTCATCACACCGAACTAGACGATGGATAAAGAGTTCCGATAAGGTCTATATTGGTAACAAGCTCTATTTATAGTTAAGTTTTTAAGAATTACAAGAGATAGCTACTTGAGCATATATCTGCTGTTTATGAATTCGTCTCCGACCAGTGTCTGAATCACCTTGCTGGTAGGTCAGCTGGTTTGACATAGTCCCCATTGTACGGCCCTTTCTTATACGGCCGACCACCTCTGGCGCTCCATTTCTCGAAGCTTTCTGCTTCATAATATTCCCAAATAAAGTCTTCAAAGTACCTGTAACATGGTTAATATCTATGCTTATCAGTCCAGAGGGTCATGGAGTTCGTACATCGCAAGGGCAAAGTAGGAATAGGTGTCAGCCGTGAAGATAGCGTCTTCTGGGTTATACTTAACTAGGTTGGCGATCAATTCTGGACCGTATGTCAACACTGGGGTATCCGATTCGTCTATTTTCACACCGTTCTCATCTAATAAGTCCTCTAGAAGATGTGTTAGCCATATTATAATGTCCAAAATCATCTGGCATCTTCTTACTCACCCATCAAGGGTTCTCCGACATAGTCCATAGCCGGTACTATAAGATGTATTAAAGTCAGTCTCAATATTCAGGCGGATCTCGTGAATATAGACGCCTGAGTGGAGGGTTCTTTACCGTCATCTATAAGAATATCGATGTAATGAGCACTACAGCAATGCAACCGAGTTAGTTTTGCATTCATAGAGTTTTCGACGCCTGTATCCCGAATGACATTTTACTTACAGTTCATGTACCCATGTTAGGGCCATATACTGTTCAAAGTCGGAGAGAGGGGTGCCGTCCACAGGATTCTTGTGGGCGATACTGGCAAACTGTGCATCAAGTCCCGCTTCGCACCATAATATGAAATCGAAATTCACAGCTGTTTGAGCCATTGTTCTTCTATTTGCACATAGATTATGCCATGTCGGTGTCCACGTATCGTCCATCATCTTGTTCTCATTAAAGTACCAAAAGCTGTACAACACACAGTCAGCACTCTCCCCCCTTTGATGGCTGGCATTATAACGGGTTCATAGCTGATTATTGGATCAAACAATGGGCAATAAAAACATGCTTTGAGGTGAGACGAGCAAAGATGAGATAAAAGATGCGAAGAAACGAGCATTTTCAACGGAGACATAGGGTGGACTCTGGATTTCACTTACCCCCTAGGATATACATGCTCGCCGTCTACTATGATATCCTTGATTTTTAAGGGTACGGGTGTATACGGATCTTGTTGTTCGGGGCCGTAATATGCGAAGCCAGAATGGTTGCAGTATAGGCCATTGCGTCGCTCCGTCCCATCTGCGTGAAACATTTTATTGGACATCATACCCTCATATATCGCTTTATAAGACTGGGTTGAAAGAAGGCGACAGTAAGCATTGTAACAGCGTAGTTTGGTGTAGCAATAATAGGGATTACTGGAGTACTTACATCTGCCACAAAATTCAGATTACCTCCATGGGGAAGCATTGGATGCTGCGATGGCTCTCCTGTACGAGTATTGATATAAATCCCAAGAAGGGCTTATATGAGAAGTTAGATACCTATTAGGTTATATAAATGTGGCATAAAAGAGAGATACTTGCAGTTTAGGGCTCCCGCTCGCCTTTGCCATTCAAACGCGTCCTTTCCAAACCCGGAAGGCTTCGTTTTACCCTTGAGATAGTCAAGTGCCTCTTTAGCTTTCCCTACCATCTTCAGAATAGTCAGCAAGCACGTTTTGAAGAGAACACAGGAAATTGTTTAGGAAGGACTGGAAACCAGGCACCTTTACTGCTTCCATATAAGAGACCTCTAGGTCTGTTTTATGAGCTTTACAACCAGACTCTGTGTATCTGTCTGGAAAGTATCGTTCCCCTGCTTTGAATAACTTCCCGAGCTCTGGACCCACATTGGCAGATATAAGAGATAGACCCAGGGTGAGGACTATGAGGATATAACGGGCAATCATTATTCTAAAAGGTTATTAATGAATAAAATGCTCCAATAGGTACCTAGGTAGGCTTGAAATCAAAGGACTCCTGATATATTAACCGTAGATAAGGGCAATAAGTCAAGGTCGTCTATTGTGAGATATACTCACATAAACTAACCTAGAGACAATTAATGAGAGATCAATCATTCGCTTTCTGGTGTCGCTGTACAATCTGAAATCTATCTACCTAGGTAGGTATATAGGTAAAGAAATGAATGAGCTAAGGTTATGCTATTGAGTGCCGTTTGCCTTATTAGCTGTAAGGTGGACCTAGAAGGAAGACATACCACGTGAACATCCTGCAAATAGCTTCAATCCTAATATTATGGATTTATACTATATAGTTAATCTGACAATCATTTCGTAAACTAATATGATCTTTAGATTGGGTTGAATGGATAGGCTATTCCTAAAGGATTATAAATTGGACCTTTCTAGGTAAATTCCCAGTCTCCCTTCCTATTTATAGTCCAAAATCTCTAATACCATTATAGGATGCCGCTCATTAAGGTAGTCAATTAAAGTGCTTACCTACTAAACTACCTTGACTACTCTTTTATTTCTTTATATATATGGACCTACTTATTTGAGAACTTTTTTCCTTATATTTATCAAGTAACACGAACTTGGCTGAAGGATTCCATCAATAATACCATCCCAACTAGGTATAAATAAGGATTGCGTACCTAGCAGGTACATACCTAGGTATGATCTACCGTGAATGGTGCTCACCTGCTACGAACACCACACACCTGCAGGTACGGGTAGCTTCTCATATAGCAAGGCTCACATGCAGCTTAAATTTAAAACGAAGTATGCCTAGGTACACTTCATGAAAGATCTCGCGACAAAATGTTAATCTCAAATATTGCACTCCTTTTTTTTAGCCTTGTCAATCATCTAGTAGCAGGCGAGTCTTGCGAGTGTGATTGTCCGTGCCTGGATAATACTTCTTTTACGACGAAAATAAACACATCAACAACACGATCAAAGACTGAACAGACTAATAAGATTGATCCGAATATTCAACCTACGATAACCCAACCGAATATTCAACCTACTATAACCAAACCGAATATTCAGCCAAGCAATACTCAACCAAGTAAAACTCATACAGGCAATACTCAGAAGAGCAATACTCAGAAGAGCAACACGCAGAAGAGCAACACGCAGAAGAGCAACACGCAGACGACATCTCGAAAGTCAAGTGATGGCTGCACTATTACCGATACCGCAGTTCCAACTGTTACCGTTATAAAGTCGTACAGCAGAGAAAAAGATACTGTATGGGCGACCTTTACTCAGACTAAGCGGCCCAAGTGAGTACCTACGTCATGAATATATTGATGTCTAGGGAGTTTCTTGTTAATCATATGACAGAGATGCAATCGACACTTGCCAAGGCTCAGTTGTCACTACGACGAGTACTATTACAACTTCAGCCAGTGCTATTGAATACTTCGGCACTGAGAGATTTTTCAATATTGATCTTAAGCCTACTTCTCGTCGTACAGTCAGCCCAGAAATGCGATCATGGGGTAAGTGACAGGCCAAAGGCGTGCTCTAAATTATATATTGCCCAGTGTCAAAATGATCAAACTCTTGGTGAAATATATTGACCTCTGATGCTGTAGCCGAACAGAAACTATTGAAAATTTTCACCGATTCTGTTATTTCTACGGAGTCCAAAACCTCCAAAACCTCCAAAACATCAACATCTAGATCATTCATGACTTCTACGCCCGCGAGGGCTACATCTACGACTTCCAAAGCTTCGACAACTCAATCTTCCAAGACCTCAGCTTCAAAGACGTCCCCTACTAACAAGCCCGAGGAAAAAGGGATCACCTGCGACTTGAAACGGATAGATGATATAGATACTACAGACCATCCTGCCGATGTCTATCGCGCGGCTGTACGCCAATATTGTAACGGCGGCTATGGATGGTCAGTGAAGCCGAACGACGAATGGTCCGGGAAGACCTATTTCTTCATGGATTCAAAGCAGTACGTACTTCAGTATTTTTTCTCTCATCTTCTAGCAAGGCCTACACCCTTCACTTACCTATATTCATGACTCAAAGCTCTGGGAGGTGATACCAGCTAACTCCTGAGTTCCCATTAGCCAAGATGAAGAAACTCACCTTCCTGCTTACTGCCTGGGGGAAAGCTCAAGGGGGGTTTTCGATCAATGGGCCCCTAAGAGCGAGGATTATTGTAAGACATCCGCCGGCCCTAAGGGATCTGATAGCAAGATCTGGGTTGCGGTTACACCATCGCCAGACAAGACGGGATGTAAGCCGTTAAAGGAGTACAAGTTCTCAGATAAAACATGCTCAGACAATTATGCCAACGTTATCAAGACATGTAAGCCCTTCCACGAAAATAAGTGACACAGCCTTGGCTTTCGTCGATCTTTCAAGTCACGGTGGGCATAACTAATTATTTTTTACTTATATTAGGCATGAATAAGAATGGGAAATCTGGAGTGTTTAAGGAAAATGGTGCTAACGGATGTTGGGATTTCAAGGTGTGGGGTGGCTCGCTATGAAGCCCCTATATAAATAACACACCAAAACGACCCAAAACCTGGGTCATGTCCTTCAGAAATCTAAATATAAGTAAAACACACGAATGAGCACACATTTTCTAATCGAACGCAAGGGATCTAACCTAGATCAGATGTTTGCTCAACAACTGAGATATCTAGGCTACTTGGTAGGCACCTAGCTAGTAGTAGGTGCACCTAGCACATGCACATGTCGTCTTGATACTTGATATTTCATCAAGTGGCAAAGTTCCTATTGGAGTACTGGCATTGCGATTGTTGGGTAGCGTTGCTTTCTGGTTTAAATGCTTGGCATGTGACGATATACCGATACTCGATGTTATGACCGACTGTCGCAGTGGAGCACCGATCAAACCCTCATATATTCAGTGTACTTTCCTTTGTGAAAGAATGTCTTTAATTCGCCTAGTTTCTTTGCGATGCCGGGCGGGGAAAGGCCCGTATAAGAGTCGGTGAGCTTTGTGTCATTTTTTCAAAGACTATACGACAACATGATAAAGAAAAACGATGCCCAATTGATCCAGCAATCGGTGTCGCGGGAGATGCTCAGGGGTGTTGGGGATATAGGTGGCACAGAGCATCGAAAAACTCTGTCGTCGAGTAGGGAATCAACCCGATTGACGACCTCGATCCAACGACAAGTGACCGCTTCTGTGGGTTCTTCCTGTAAAGATCGCCTTGAACCCGTTCCGGTCACCTTTTTGCCCCGGATTTATGCACGTCGGCTCCACAATGGAGCCAACCGGAGCGGCACTCGTCAAGTCGATGGAGCCCTGAAGGGCGTATTACCAAGTTATGTTGCTAATAACCGGCCAATGGGGCCGAAGACGGAGCATAGAGAGAAGTGTTGCTGTAACATGTGCTTATACCGATGTTCCTTTTAAGAGTTTGCCAATCTGCTTTATTTTATGATTTTGTGATGGCCGTAGTGGGTAAAGCTTCCCTATATTCTTTCATTCCAAGCTCCAATTGTTGTCGTTTTACCTACATAGAACCTACATAGAATCATGTCGAACCAGGACACTAACGACCACGAGGAGGAGAAGGGCCGCTCGGCTCTGACAGGGACCCATGAAGATAGTGGATCCAACGCTTCCTTTTATGGTGACAATGAGAATGAGACTGAGCAAGATGCCATCCAACGACAGAAGACCAAAGAGGGGCCTAGCGATGTATGCCGAAACCAACCTAAAGACAAGCGGCTGAGACCGTCGGGGGAAATTAGGAGAACTGCGAGCAATGCACTCTCGCATGTTGCCTCACGCCTTACCACAAGGGACTGGCCAGAACCACCACCCCCGCCAGATGGAGGTGCTAATGCTTGGTTACAAGTTGCCAGTACGTATACTTTTCAGACATTCAATACTGTAGATCTACACCTTAGTGTTCAACTTAACCATCCATCCAATCAACATTCCAAATCCAGCATTCATCACCCCGAATGACTTCACTAACTTGGAATAGTGGGATGGCTAGTCATCTTCACCACGTGGGGGTGGGTAAACTCGTTCGGTAGTTTCCAGACCTACTACAGCTCGGTACTGCCACAATCCCCGTCGGCGATCTCATGGATCGGGTCGCTCCAGATATGGTTTTGCTTGATCATCGGAGTGTTTTCCGGTCGCTTGTTCGATGCAGGCCTCTTCCTGCCTACCTTTATGGTTGGTGCAGTCGTCCAAGTGCTTGGCATTTTCCTAATGAGCCTCTCGACGCAGTACTGGTCACTGATGCTGAGGTATGTTCCAAAACACTCTAGAATAACCCCCCAGAGCCCCCTTTTCTCAAATTGTATCTTGAGAATCCTCCCTTGCCTATGCCTAGCACCTTGTCTGGCAATTAGAAGCTAACGCAACATGTTTCAAAACCCACAGCCAAATATGTACAGGCATCGGCAGTGGAATCATCTTCACCCCCTCCCTCGCCCTCGTCACAACCTACTTCAATAAAAGGCGAGGTCTTGCAGTTGGCCTCGCGACGACGGGGAACTCCGCCGGCGGCATCGTCTACCCCCTAGTCGTCCGACAGCTACTCCCGACATTGGGCTTCGCATGGACGACAAGAGTGCTGGGGTTCATCAACGTCGCGTGCCTTTCCATCGTGATCGCATTCATGCGTCCGCGCCTGCCGCCTAGGAAATCCGGCCCCCTGATCGAGTTTGCGGCATTCCGTGAATGGGTGTACAATGGCGTTGTGGCGGGCATATTCGCAACGTCGATGGCGAATTACTTTACCTTTTACTATGTGAGTAAGCCCCTACCTACTATTATAGCGTAAACGACCAGAGAGTTCCTGCTAACAGGCTGGGTGTTTCCTGCAGATTGCATCTTTCGGCCGCGAAACACTCGGCCTCTCCTACTCCTCCGCCTCAATCATGGTGATCCTCATCAACGGCGCCGGGATCATCTTCCGCGTCATCCCCCCAATCATCGCGGACCGCATCGGGCCCGTCAACGTGATGTTCCCCGTAACCCTCGCCTGGGCCATCGTCGCGTTCTGCTGGCTCGCCGTCGACGACATCCCGGGCCTGTACATCTTCACGTGTTTCTACGGCATATGCTCCGGCAGCTTCCAGTGTCTCACCGCCACCTGCATCGCCAGCGTCACCAAACGGCTCGACACGGTGGGCACGCGATTGGGGATGGCTTTCAGCATTTCGTCGTTTGCGGCGTTGACGGGGCCCCCGATTGGCGGGGCCATACAGGCGGCTAACGGCGGCAAGTTCACGGGGGCACAGGCGTGGGCGGCGATCATGAGCTTTATTGGGTTTATCTGCTTTGCGTTTGTGAGGGTGCAGAAGGGCGGCTGGACTTTGGCTGTGAAATGTTGAAGTAAGGGGTGTGGGCATGACTGACTGACTAACGGATTACGATTGAATGGAATGAAAATGGGAAGACTGGGTAACAAAGAAGGGGATATATATTCTTATGTAATGCCTAATATAATAATTTGCTTGAGCAATGTTTAGAAGGGTATTTCAGACTTGTGCTCATGATCCCCTAATTGGTCTACAATAAGGGGGCCACGTGATGTGTGAATTAGGTACTTCCACTCATCGGCCAATTGAATTAAGACCGTACCTGCCTGGCTGCATGGCTGAGCTAGTGGCGTTAGTGGCGTTAGTGACCTTAGCGACCTTAGCGACCTATTAAGTGCCTAGCCCCCGCGGTCGCGTCTCGCGACTTTCACTTCTTTCATCATTTACTTCAACAAAAAACAAAAAGTGAATTCCACTACAGTCCTGCCATGACTTTGCCTTAAGCTTCTACCAATAGTCGTTGCTTCAATCCCTGAGCCGCGAGTTTACCAAAGTTTTCCAACGCGCCCAGCGACATAATCTCGAGAACGCTGATAGTTAAGCCAAACATTTGATTCCACAGTCGTCGCATCTCAACAGCCATGAGCGAGTCAAGTCCGACTTCCACCAGACTTAGTGAGATATCGACCTCTTCGATGGGCTTAAGCATGAATGAGTAAACCCGCTTGCCAATCTCCAAAGCCAGAAATGCGATGCTTTCAGGATTGTCGAGCTCGCTTGGCGTTGTCGTAACGTTGGCGATGAAATCCCGGAGACCATTGCCTTCGTTCGAATCATCTCCCGCGTTTTCCTCTTTGGGAATGTTGTGGTAAAGACCCATGCGGCGGTCTTTCTTCCAAGCCACATGGTTTGCAGCGTCATCTAGATGTTTATCTGAGTGAAGGCCCATAATGATTGGCGTTGGCCCGCGATGCAGGATACCCAAGTGGATATACTCGAGAACTTCGCGCTCAGTGAGAAACTGTAAGCCGTTTGAGCGCAGGTTGCGACGAGCTTTATCATTACCAACCACCACACCAATGTCGTCAATGGGACTAACAGCGATCGCGGATGCAGCAAGTCCCAAGCCGTTTCGGTATTGACAAAAGGCTTCTAGGAATGTGTTGGCAGCGTTATAGTTAGCCTGACCGGGGACGTTGATGGTTGAGACGATGGAACTTGTGACAAGGAAGAAGTCCAACGATACACCTTGTAGTGCATTGTGAAGGTTCCAGGCACCATCGACCTTTGGTGAGATACCCTCCTTCCACTCTTCGTGCGTCATATCGGGAAAGAGTGCATCCTGAGTAGATGTTAGCCAGCGCGATATCTCATTAGTTTCTTATTTCTTACCCGAAGCACCATGGCCAAGTGGATGACCCCCCTCACCGGCCTAGGCGATTGTGTCACAGCAGATTTGGCCACTGCGAAATTTTGGATAGCTCCAGCAATGGGGGTGAGAACGCATCCCATACTCTTCATCTCGGCAATGAATGACTTATCCTCTGCAGAATGGCCAGCAGACCTTGAGACTGCGGTGATGAATCGAGCACCCCGTTCAGCCATCCAAGAGCAAGTAGCTCGCCCAAGGCCGCCGAGACCACCAGTCACGATATACGAAGCTTGCGGGTCAAATCGCAATGCGTCACCAATGACCGGGGGGGCGATGCCATTTGAGGTAGCCTGCTGCATGATTAATTGTTTGATCCCGAAAGAGGAGTACTTTGTACATACTTTTCGAACACTGCGTGCGAGCTCGGAAGAGATTGAAAATGGAATGTAGCGGCCCACGTTGATTGTGCCATTTTCAACTAAGAACTCTCTATCTGGAAGCAGCTGCTGAGTCAACTGCTCCCCTAGAGCCTTCTTGAAGACATTCCCAACATGGCTCGCCAAATCCACATCTGCCGAATCGACCTCTAAAGTTGTCAATGATAGAGATAGCTCCGAGCGAATTGATCGCAAAAGCCCAATTGAGAGACCGCTTTGGGGAATTTGGCAACCCTTTTGTGTGGGTGGGAGTAGCCATAGTAACTTTCTCGAGGGAATCGCTTCGCATCTCTGAATTAGGCTCTTGAACGTCGCCCATCTCTGCGAAGAAATATCTTCGAAAAACGGTCTCTCTAGATCCAGCGCGAAAATAACGTCGTGCTCGTCGGCAACGTCCTCGGCCAGACTCTTGTTGATAATGTCCAAGCCGGATTTCGCCAATTCTTGGGACAAATTGATAGAAAGTTTGCTGTTAATGTCTTCGGTTACTAACACGACACGAGACTTATTCTCACTTGAGATAGACACTTTGGGCTGTGCAATAATGGTAGACCAGTATCGGTACGGTAGTGGTGCGTCGTACACAACATTATCTGCGCCAGAGAACCCAGCATGCTGCAATTCTTCATCCCAACGGTTTCTGGAAACAAAAGGTTCCCATTCACGGCCATCAGCCTCACCAGACCACCATGATGCGAAAGCCCCAAAGATAAAGCCAGGCGACGCTCCCACGGTTGCAGGTTCGGAAAGGAGGAGCCGGCCATCTGGCTTCAGTACCACATTCAAGTTCTTCAACGTCTGTTGAAGGCAAGGAGTTGCATGAACAACGTATGGTGCCAGAATGAGATCGAATGAGTCAGCCTCGAAGCCCTGTGCAAGAGGGTCTTTGCTAACGTCGAAAACTTTATATTCGATGTTTGGCGCATTGCTGAAACGCTCGCGAGCTTGCGGGAAAAAGCCAGGCGAGATGTCAGTGTACGTGTACACCGAGTAAGGAGGCAATGCGCCGACCTGGACAGCCTGGGACAAGATTCTTGCGGTAGTGCCGCCTGCCCCGGCACCAATCTCGAGCACTCGGAGCGCTGGTCGGGAATTCGACATCAATTTAACATATCCGGCATAGTCAAAGTTGATTACGCCGTAAACATTTGGTAGGATGTCGTTTTCCATTAGAAGCTGCGCCGGATCGACCGTCCCAGTATATAAGCCTTCAATGTTGTCTCGGATTTGTGCTATCGCAACCGCGTACGGAGCCCTGGAAGGGATCTTAATCAGTTGGGAATATTTGTTGGCAATTAAGGTAGATCTTTCGCTACGACAAAGGGAAACCAATTTCGCTGTATTTCCGATAATTGGCGAATTTCCAGCAGTGACTATTTTGGCTTTTCGAGAAAGCCATTTCCCATATTTCTCGAAGTACGCGTTAGTTGGCTTGCGGCCTCCAAGCCGATCCACGGCGTCCAGTATACACAATAAGGTGAACTCTTCCAAAAGACTAGTACCGGAATTGTCGGATGGGGGCTTGACCAGTATGGCACTTTGGTCTTGAAAGTCAAAGTCGGGGCGCCAGTGGAGGTATGCTCCGTCCGTGTGATGTGGAAGTCCAACATTCTCTTCAGGCAACGGCGTGAAGCGAAGACCGCGGATGCGTAACAAGGCTTTCCCATCTGCTACGCACTCAACATCCATAGCCGAGCTGATGTCTGAAGGATGGGCGACAGCCCGCATTAGCGATGCCCCGCGATATACCTCAAGCTCATCGATCTCTGTGGGTACCTTCAGCTCGGTGTAGTGGCGTGGTAGGCCCTTCGCACCGGCGATGATGGCAAGTTGTAAGCACGCATCCATAGCAGTTGGATGGAAGAGGAATGGTCCCTTTATAATCTCATCACTTGTATGTACCAAAGCTGTTGCAGCTTCGGTGGTCGTACTTGCGGACAAGTTGTCGAGGAGCTGAAATTTGGGGCCATAGTTAAAGCCGACCTTTGCAAACGTTTCGAACCATCTGGTTGCATCCGCTATCCGAGGCAGCTCGACAGGTTGCTTGGCTTCTGGCGCACCATCAACAATTGCCTTCACCAAACCTTCACAATGTGTAATCCAGGTGGATCCATTATGCGATGCGATGTTGAAGTGATAATAGTCTGACTCTGGTTGTTGCCGGAGTGCAGTCACAATTTCTTTTGGCGCAGCCTCACCGAGTACCAACGCTGTGGTGACCCGAACATTCTTGACACCATACCCTGTCTCAATTCCGGTCAATTGTCGAATAGCTTCGCCCGCGATGCTCACGAAACCAGCGAAAGGAACAACTGTATCTTCGCGAACCTTGTGATCGGCAATCCATGGCACATGATCAGGGACAAGCACTAATCTCCAAGAAGGGTTGATCGAGGTGCTTTCGGCAATCTTGCGACCAAGTAGCTCATGCTGGCCGTAGGGACGAAGACGCCATTCTCTTGAAAGTCTTGGCTCATACCAATATGTCTCGTTTAGAGACCAAGGATATGCGGGTAAGTCTGTCAGGGCTTTGCCTGATGGATATAGAGCACCGAAATCGACAGCGACGTCTTGCTGGTAAAGCTGTCCTACGGCGGACAGAAAAGTCTCCATGCAGCTTTTACCTCTCAGCATAGTTGGGACATAGTCGAATTTTGCATTTTGACCGGCACATATTTCGCGGATCGGCCCCTGAAGGGTAGAGTGTGGGCCAATCTCGAGAAATAAGGGATTGCGAACTTCTTGCAAGATGCAATTGACAGCAGAGTTGAAGAGCACAGGGCTTGTCAAATTATCGACCCAGTACTGGGGACCAAGTTCATGGGCATCTGTGATCTTTCTGGCTCTCAGGCTAGAAAAGAGTGGGATCTGCAGTCGGTTGTCTCGCCACTGGGTAAAGTTTGTGAACTCATCACCCAAGCATGACATGTACCCATCTGATAAAGCAATCATGTGGTCTAGTTGTTTCGTTAACAGACAACCACCAAATTAAAGTAATAGGAGGACTCACGAGAATGATACGCCATCTCGACCTTGAGGGCACGGGCGAAAGTGTCAGGCAGGGCATTTTTGATGTTTGCCAATGCCTCTTGCAGCTTATCCGCATCACCTGAGATTGTGGTGCTCGAGGGACTGTTTTCACAAGCTACGACCACCCGATCGGGAAGATATTTTCGCGTGTCTTCGGCCCCCAATCCAATTGCAGCCATTGCCCCTGAAGTGGAAGACCCCTTCGATACATGACCCCGGTAGTAAGCTGCAGTAGTGGCTTCACGCAAGGTGAGAGCCCCTGCAACATATGCAGCCGCGATCTCGCCACTGGAGTGTCCCACCACGGCCCGTGGGATGACACCGATGCGCTTCAGTGCATTGACTAGACCAATTTGGACAACGGTAGACAGGGGCTGGGCCAACTCTGCACGACTCATTTGGCTCTCGCCGGTAGGCTTACTTAACTCCTCTTCGAAGTTGTTAGCTTTGCTAAACGCTTCTACCCTAGGTGTTAAACTCACCAATAGCCTTCCATTGTGGACGACGGTCACCCAAGCTCTGTAGGATTTCATCCATTGTCAACACGTCCTCTTTAAATCCCGGGAGTGAGGTGAGCAAATCGTGGCCCATCTGTGGCCACTGTGCACCTTGTCCACTGAATACCATAACAACTGTCGGCGTCTTGTTAGGTTTATTAGTAGGAGGTTTGAATGCTACCGTGTTTGGGTCCGAAAGGACCGCAAATGATCTCCATTTAAAATGCTCCCTACGCCGGGAAAGAGTATAGCAGAGATCCGGTAAGCAGTCGGGGTGAGTTGAAACATATTGCTTAAGATTTTCGATCCTGACTTTTAAAGAGTCTTGGGAATTAGCAGAGATAACAGCCAGCTCGGAACCTAGCTGAGATGTCGAAAGATCTTGAACGTATTGCTCGGCAGATTCAACAATACACTGGTGTGTGTGTTTGTGTCAGTATAGGTAGGTCTCTTAACGAGGGGTATTCTTACATGTGCGTTGGTGCCTCCGATACCAAACGAATTAACACTGATCCGATGTGCTTTTCCCTGTGGCCATGGCATAGGCTTAACGGGCACTGTGATTTTCTTCTCCGCAAATGGAACTATCGGCTTGTTAACGAGTGATCCTTTGAGACAACATAAAGTCAACTTACTGCGGGGATTTGGGACCTTGAATTTGATGTTTGGAGGGATAGTCTTATGTTCTAAAGCCAGAACCGCCTTCATCAAACTCGAGATACCTGCCGAGGCTTCTGAGTGCCCCAAATTCGGCTTAACAGACCCGATATAGACGCCATCGCTTGGCACGCCAAAGACGTTGCCAACGGAGATGGCCTCAACAGGGTCACCTACTGGAGTACCAGTTCCGTGGCACTGTAGAGTTGTCAGATAAATTCTAGGCAGGCATGTAGGCTGGAGAAGATACAGCATCGAAAGAAACTCATACCTCAACCATGGCCGTCTCGGCCGGATCGAGCCCTGCATCTGCATATGCTTTTCTTATCAAAGCCTCCTGCGATACCACACTGGTTGCGAATAACCCGCTGCTTTGGCCATCTTGATTAACACCAGTATTTCGAATGACGGCCCTGATTGGGTTGCCGTCTCGAATAGCATCGGAAAGTGGTTTGATGTAGATGGCATTGACTGCTTCGCCACGTCCATACCCATCAGCACGTGCGTCAAAAGTTTTGCATGAGCCTTCTGGGGACATGATCCCCTCTTGGGTCATGGACGCAGTGGTAATAGGCCCCATGTTGAGGTTTGATCCTGACACCACTGCAGCATTGCAGTCCCGGTTCTGCACCGCCCGGACTGCATTGTGGAGCGCAATCATCGACGAAGAACATGCTGTCTTGATGACGTAACTTTATCTCACAAGTCAGCTACTCATTCATCTAGTTACCCACCGGGGAAAGCTTCGACTTACCAAGGACCCCGGAGATCATATTCAAAGGCCACCCGATTTGCCAACATTGGGTCGAGGTGGCCGGTGAGCACATAGCCGCTAGCATGTTGCTCTTCCTTGGATTGCGCCTGTAGCCAGTCCTCGGAGAATGTACCGACAAAGAACCCGGTGAGGCTGCCCCTATAATCAGTCACACCCGCGCTCTCAAGACACTCGCGAACGACGAGCAGAAGCAGACGCTGCTGCGGATCAGCCTTCTCCAGCTCGTTCCGCGTCATGCTGAACAGCCCCGCATCGAAGGCAGCCAGGTCGTCTTCCAAGAAGTATGCGTGGTCTTGCTGGATGGTGTTCGTCATTCCCATGGAGCTGTCGAAGCCTTTGATGTTGTACCGGGACAAGGGAACCGGTGTCCGCAGGTCCTTGCCGTTATACAAGGCGTCCCAGTAGTCTTCCGCGGTCTTGATGCCACCGGGAAGACGCATGGCCATGCCGCAGATGGCCACGGGCTCAACATAACGGCGGGGGTATTTAATGGTCATTTTCTTGTCTTTTCTTTCTTTCGTGGTATAGTAGGTAAGTTCAGCAAACAATCTTTATGAGTGATGAAGACAATGACACAGACTGATAACACTGGATATCCGAGGTAAGTATCTTTTTTGTTTTTTCTGTTCTGAGGTGGAAGCTAGCTTTTATCATTCCTCCCGAATAGTATACAGACTCAGTTACTTGGCACCGAGGCATACTCTCAAGACCCTCCGATCCGATCCGATCTGGAGTTTGATAAGCCTTCTTACACGGAAACCGCCAAGAATTCCAAGCTTCATAGCACCAGCATGAGGTTTCATGGCTGACAATCATGTTTGATTACGTAGTTAGCTAACTCTGTCCGCCTTACTTACTTACCTCTTATCAGGGATGCACATCGCGACATAACCTCCTTTTCTTTTTGCATCTTCAGTCAGATAACGTGAGCTGATTTTCGATCACGGAACGGGGAGTAGAGATTATGTGCTTGATTCCTTCGCCTGGTAAACACTCAATCAAGTCATCAACCCCCGGTGGCCCCTCGCAGACCTTAGTGATAACTTCAATATCTGTAATTGGCCGTCGGCCATACTGTTAGGAGTACACTTAGAAAGCATGCTCGGATGAGGGCAGTTGCCTTCCCGGAGAGCTAGCCCTGATAGCCGTTATCCAGTCAGATGCCTGGGTTCGAGGGGCTCGCGGATTTATACCCATGTCCCAACAGTACCTACTCACGGGACATGCCGTTTGAACTTCTTGATACTAGGTAGGTATTTAGATAGGGGTTTAGGTAAGTACGTGGAAAGAAGAAACTTACGAACCTCAAAAGCACACCAGAGACTACATCTGAGACCAAGGCCCTGGTAACAGCACGCGGGCTACACCTGGCCCTTTTGCGACGAAGGATTCCGCATCAGCCTCCTAAAAGCTTATTGTAAGGTAATCTGCATACTGCACTGGGTAAGGGGGGGTAAGGATTCAATGCGGCTTGATATCGCAACTTACTACAGATATTAGAAGGTGCCTTTCTTTTGAAGCTAAAGAACGAACACCGCTTCGACTAACCCGTGATACATGATGCAATCCTATCCTATATCTTGCCTACCTAGTAGTTACAGAAAGGCTATAGACCGAGTTGGTAATCAACCGATCTCGGAAACGGGGGCGCCCTTCGGTTCGGATGAATTCTTTGCCCTTGCACAGCGGTCTTCATGCATCTCTGACAGTGGTCGGTGAGAGGGCTAGATATCTACCTGGGGAGGAATCCTATCCATGCACCGATTCCCTGTAGTCAGCGGCCCCTCAACGGTAGCGGCATGATCAAAGAAAGAAATGATGGCTCGAAATATTTTTCGGTCTACCTCGTGGACCCCGTGGCGCATCGGAGAATTGAGTATCAGCTGTTCTTCGCGTTTCTAAGATAGCCGCCCCTTCAGCCTTAGAAATCATCTCGGCATTCGCTCGTAGTAGATAAAGCGAGACTATACCCCCCATCCTTCGTATCTAAAGCAAACACCCAAGCTTTCTTGTTATACCCTTCGCCCTTAAAGCTTATACGAAAACTCCCACCTTCCTCCCCCCCTTTTTTTTTCATAAGACAAAATAGTCACCTACTCATACCGCCCTCTCCACCCCCATCAAAACAATGACACGAGTACTCCTGACCGGCGGATCTGGCTTCATCGCCTCGCACATCCTAGAAAGCCTGCTCGACCACGGCTACTCCGTCGTGGCCACCGTCCGCTCCGCGCAGAAGGGGCAGCAGATCCTCGATGCCCACAAACACCTCGGCAAGGAGAAGCTCGACTTTGTCATCGTGGAGGATGTTCGGAAGCCCGAAGGTAAGCTAGTTTGCCCGTTTCCTAGACAGAGATCAAAAGTACTGTAGGTTAGGTATTTGCTCATCTAACCACCACCCCCCCCACACCACCAGCCTTCGACACAGCCGTCCTCTCCTCCCCCCCCTTCACCGCGGCAATCCACTGCGCAAGCCCGTACCACTTCAACGCGACCACGCGCTCCGAAATCCACGACCTCATCGCCGCCGCCGTCGACGGAACCACCAACCTCCTGCGCGCGATCCAAGCCCACGCCCCCACCATAAAGCGCGTCGTCATGACCAGCTCATACGCCGCCATGGTCGACTACAGCAAGCCCATCACGCGCGCGTGGACGGAGGCGGACTGGAACCCGATCACGGAGGCGCAGGCGTACACGAGCCCGCAGTCGGCGTACCTCGCCAGCAAGACGTTTGCCGAGCGGGCCGCGTGGGACTTCGTCGCGCGCCAGAAGCCCGGGTTCGCGCTGACGACGATGAACCCGGCCATGGTCTACGGGCCCGTGCTGCGGCCCCCGCCCTCCCTCTCCGCCATCAACACGAGCAACGCGCGCTTCGCCGCCCTCCTCCTCGGCGGCCCCGGCACGCCGTGCCCGCCGACGGTGAACTACCTCTTCGTCGACGTGCGGGACCTCGCGCTCGCGCACGTGCTGGCCCTGCGGAAGCCCGTCGGCGGCCACCGGTTCCTGGTGACGGCGGGGAACTACTGCAACGCGGACATCGCGCGCGTCATCGGCGAGGAGTTCCCCGAGTTCAGGGCCAGGATGCCGACGGGCGAGGCGCTGAGGAGCGGGGAGGCGCCGGAGGATGGGGGGGTCAACGGGTTCGACAATTCGAAGAGCGTGGAGGTGCTGGGGATGAGGTATAGGGGGTTCAGGGAGGCGGTGGTGGGGGTGGTGGAGAGTGTGAGGGGGCTGTTGTAACTTGTGAGTACCTAGGTTAGGTATCTGGGGTACGAGGTTGGAAGTTGGATCGTTGGTAGTGCGCCGGGTAGGTAGTTAGTTAGTTAGTCAATAGTGGCCCAATTTCAATACCTACTTCACCGCAGAATCCCGTGCAAAAATAATACCTAACAAGGACTCCCATCTTGTGATTTCGCCAACCTGAACTCTTCTCTTCCAAAGAGGTGTATTAGGTAGTAGCTGCCAGTGCTCGCCAAGTGCAAGTGACACTGCAAAATACCTAGGTACTCAGTCCGACCTCAACTCCGTCACAGAAAATGCCGACAAATCCCCATCGACCCAATTGAAAAAAAAAAAATCTGAATATAATCTACCTTGCTCTCTACAACATTACACCTTTTGAAAACCTTGAAACGAGATCTATCCGTTATGCAGAACCGTGCAAGTGAAGTTGACCGGTTTTCAGTGCAAATTGCAAATTGGGGGAATAAATATTAAGGGGGGGGGGGGGGGGGGTTCCGTAATCTAACCGCGTCTGACGTAACATCATACCTACCGCCTGCGAGTCGCTTACTTATTTCTTGACCAGCAGTCCGGGACCCACCAGCTTGACCCGTGAGAGAATGATAAAAACGCCTCCCTATTACGATCATGACGGTTATTTGTCAGCTTAGGTAATTCAAACAACATTGGAATATATTGAAAATTCAAGGAGGGGGGGGTCGAATGCTTACCGCGAGCAGCGACACACCGCAAAAGACCCTGAGACCGGAGTACCCGCCGTCCTGCGCAGTCACGATCGCGCCCGCAATGGGGCTGCCGAACAGCGTGCCGAAGGAGGAGAACGCGTACAGCGTGCCGACGCGGAAGCCCAGCGTGCGCACGTCGGATATCGAGGCTACCAAGGCAGGAATAATGGCAAGGGTCAGGCCGGAAGCGAAGCCATAGAGCACTGCGAAGACGATGATCGGGGCAGTCGACGCGGCTGGGACCCACAGGGCCAGACTTATGATCCCTGAGAAAAGGGTAAAGATGATGCAGACGTTGAAGACGCCGTACACATCCCCCAGATGGGCGGGGAAGATTCGTCCAAAGACACTCGCGGCGTTGATGATTGGGACGAGGTAGTTGGTCAGGTCATCCGGCATGCCCGCCGCCTTCGCCTGGACGATGATGAAGTTGAAGGGGAGGAAGGCGCCGAAGTAGATGAAGAACGAGCCGATGGCCAGAAGCAGGAACGGCAGCTCGGTGAACGGGACGAAGTACTGCTTCACCGTGAAAGGCTTCGGGGCGGGGGGCAGGCGAGACTTGACGGCGATGTTGCCGAAGACTAGGAGCCCGAGGAGGAGGAAGGCGGTGATGCGCATGGCCCAGCCAAAGCCGACGTCCACGATCAGGTGCTGCACCATGATCGGAAGCACGACGCCGCCGATGCTGGATCCGGAGACCATGATGCCGTATGCGAGCGCGCGGTGTTTCTTGAACCAGCTCCCTGCCGCAGCCACAGCTGAGCACTTGTCAACAAGTAGTTACTGAATGATATGAGTAACAGGAAATGGGGTATGCACGTACTCGGATAGAACAGGAAGCTAGTTCCAATAGCGCTAGCGACAGATTGTGCTAGGAAGATTTGGTAGTACTCCTTGGATAGCGAGACCATCATCAATCCGAAAACATGCAGTATGGTTCCGAAAAGCAGTGGCCATCGTGGACCATAGTTATCAGCCGCCTTGCCAGAAAACAAGCCCTGTGTATGTCATTAATATTAGGAAAAGGCAAATAGGTGTGCATATGTATGCCGTGAACCCACGAAGAAGAACAGCACGAACGATTCCATTGCCGGTATCCAGGCCACTTCGCTAGGCGTATAAGACGCAAGCTGGTTCGCCTGGTAGTAGTCCTGGAAAACACCAATGCCTTGTTTATGCTCATTAGTACGATGTATCGACAACTCGACGTTAAAAGTTGACCAGGAAATCTAACATACAGTTGACCCAGCCGAAACTAGAAAAGACGGTACAAAACCCGCCAGCAATGCACAGCCACGCGTGAAAGCCGCCATCGGGGAAGGCGTCAGGGTCGGGTCCGGCAAGAGACTGGTTTTGGAATCTTTCCGACTCAGAAACTTCTCCGCTCTCAACGTCGACATTCGTCTTTTCCGACTTGCGGTCGTTGAAGTCTTGGAGGGAGGTAGGGCTCTGAGAGCTGATTTCCGCGTTTGAACTCATCTTGACGAGCGGAGATGATGGAAGAAGAAGAAATTTGATGGATCGAAAAGAAAGACAGAGTTCCAAGAGAGAGCTGCCATCTTTCCTTGCTCAGGCCTTGCCTACCTATATATCATTTTCATAGTCAGGTAGGTTGGCAGGTTGGATTTATCATCGAACTGTGAGAAAGACGAATCAGTTGGAATTAGTAAGGTTAAAGATAGTTCCTAATGCGGTATCATCTTTCGTCGAAGAGTTCTTGGCACGGGTAACGACCCCGTACCGCATCGGACGACCCACTACAACGTGTACCTGGTCAGACAAGGACTTAGGATACGGCATATGCCATATGGGGAGTAGCAAACGCCTCAGATGTCAGATTTACATACTACTGTAGGTAAACATCCATGGATGCATGTGACCGAGAGCAGCTGATAACCAGCTCTTCAGACGATAAAATAAACCCGAAATCCTTAATTCTGATTCGCGCGATTCATCCTACTCATATAGGTTAGTGCCTTTAATTGGATGAAAAATTGCGAAGGTTGCAGGCGACTAACCTAACAATGTCTCCTCCCCCTTTTTATCCTTCATCCTACCAACAAAGATTTTTTCAGGCACATGCCTATTAATAATAAGCTATGTTATGTTGCATTTGTAATAAGCCGATAGTATCTCTTATCTTATCTCGACATCCTCCTGCTCAACGGCCCAACTATATCTGCAAAAGTCATCATCGACAAGCCCCAACGCGTACCGGGGCCTTCCATCTTATGTATATTTTGCAACCACGACCACTCTCGCTCATGGCCAGGGTGCAGACGAAAGTACTGTCGCGCACTCCAAGATGGATATGTGGTTGCGTGACCACCATAGGTTCCCAGCTCTGTGCGGTGGAAGTATTCCAATGACTGGCAAATATACCGTGCCATTCTAGTTCCCTCGCTTTGAATATCTTGTATGGAGCGGCTCTTGTCTAGGCTGAATGATGGAGCATCCAGGCTCAAAGGCTCTAGTGGCTGCGCTGAATCTAACGTAATGGGGTTAGTTGAAGCAAGGAGGTGTTCAAGTGTCATAGAACGACCCAGTCTCCCCTGAACCAGGTCGTGTATCTGGATGACATTGCTATACAATTGGGCGGCGACAGACCAGCACATGACGACAGCCACAGCGACATTGAGCGATTCAAACTCGAAGCAGAGCGGGAAAACTCGATTTGAAGGGTCGACGTCCGCCGGGTTTACCGCACAGCTTGGTACTGACCAGGCTCGAGGCGACGGCGAAGCCTTCCAGAACTCATCGTTCCAGTGCTCGACAGATTTGACCATCCCTAGCAATGCGCGCACAGCTGAAGCTGATTCTCTCACCAGAACATCTTGGTCGCTGATGGAGGGGAGAGTGTCTGCCTTTTCAAGGATAGCAGGAATATCTGCAACCATCTGATATACCTCGTCGAGAGGGCCATTGAAGTCGGACTCGGTAACTATCTGTCGCCAGATATCGTCTTCGAGGATTTTTGCTTGTCGTTTCGTTAAAGCTTCCAGGGTCTAGTGATCCATTAGAGGAAGACAGAGGAAGCCGAGACACATAAATTAGACTCACACAGACAATCCGCATACGCGAGAACAGGTGTCGCCATGCCGGGGTACTTGCCATTTCCGGGCCTCGCAGCCGTAGGATCTCTGCGATGCCACTTGCATGAACGCTCCAGCCATTTTCCGCAGGGCATACAAAAAGCTAGAAACACTGATTAGTAACTCTATACAGCGAGTCGGGAGACTATGTGGCTTGTGAGCCTATTCTGTTTCGTAAGGGGTTCTATATATAGGTAGGTACACGTGTATACCTCACAGGTCGATAGGACTATGATAGCCGCCAACGTCTCCTCTCGGCACCGCCTTTCCGAATCATTCAAGTCCGTGTAAAGATGCTGCACCGCGGCGTTGTATCGATCAAGGCATTGGTAGAGTGAAGCACTGCCCGTGCCTGTAACATGCAACTGGGCAAGGCAAAATGCGAAGAGGGCCGTATCCAAAGACTTGCTGGGCTCGAGCAGATCCGCTAGGCGATAGGCCCACGAGAAGCTCCCTTCGCTGGTCTCTGGTCTGGGACTGCTCGAGAATGGGTACTTTGGGAGATAGGTAGACTCTAATAACTTCACGGCGTACTTCCGAAACTCGTGACAGTTACGCCAAGAATCTGAAAATAAATCGTGTAGTTTGGTTTCCGTCTGGGAATTAGCAAGTTCATCTTTCGGCTGTTGTTGTTGTTGCTGTTGCTTCTGCAGAGTCTTCTGCAGAGTCTTGCGTTTGGACAGTACCGAAGTTGCCGTAGTTGACGTGCTTGACGGAGTCCTGTTAACAAAGATGAGATCACGGCCGTAGCCAGTACATGTTCGTTTTGCTGCAATGCATTTGAGGCAGAATGGCCGTCTCATATCACACTATTCAAAGGGCCTCGTGATTAGCGGGGCTCGGGGAGATCAGTATAATGCGGGTTGGGTCGGTCATATACCCTCAGCCTCTTCTGCCTGCAGGTGTTACAAGCCTGCGACTTGCCGGCAACGCCAACCATGTGTGACCCGATGAGAAATTTATGCACAAAAGAGTAGAATTGAAGCTTTCTAACCTAGAGTCAAGGATTTCAATATAGGCACTGGTACATGGACAAATGGGCCCAGTATATGAATCTTGTAAAGGTGTATCCGCATATGTCAGCACGGCTAAAAGAGTAGTTAATCACCTACATGTAACTACGCCGTAGGTAGTTAATCACGTGCATTGAAGGCCCACATAGGTACCTTAGGGTCAGGCTTCAGGGTTCATGGTTAGACTAACTAGGTACCTATTCCCAAAGGTAAACGATCAATCTTTTATTGTTTCCCTAATTGATGCTACATACATGTAGTAAGCAGTTGGCTGCGAGTATATAATATACAATGCGTCGTTCTATCACACTGTTCTAGGAGTGAACCTCACATTCAATGCCGGCTTCCACCACAGGAAATGCATCTTGCAGGACCCAATCCAATCCAGATCCTTACTAAGAAGCTCCATGTCAAGCGCGTATACCATCTTCGCCAGCTGTAGCGACATCTGTCCGTACGCAAAGCTGCTGTTGCATTAGCCTAGGTACCTCGACACCTTCAACGTTTTTTAGGTAGGTATCTCCATAGACAAATATGACGCAAAGGGTATGGAGGTAGGTAGAAAAGTGCCAAAACTCACAGCTTTCCGGGGCATACCCGCGGGCCCAACGAGAACGGCTGGCTCGCTGACTTGACGTCGTCGCAGTCGGGGTCGAGCCAGCGTTCGGGCTTGAAGGCATACGGCTCGTGCCAGAACCGCTCGTCGTGGGCGATGGCCCATGGGGAGACGTAGAACTCGGCCTGCGATCATTATCAGCCACTGTTTATCTGCCTACATAAGTATGCAGGTATCCTGTCTCCATGGCTCGTCAACTTACACCCTTAGGTACATAGTGTCCCTCAACCATCACACCCGGCGACAGGCGCGGCGTGCCCTGCGGGGCAACCGGGAAAAGCCGCATGCCCTCTTTCAGCACCGCCCTAAGGTACTCCAGCTTCGTGGTAGAGCCAACGTCGATGTCGTCGTAACTCGCGTAGGATGAGCGAACTTCTCGGGCCAACTTGTCATATGCTTCCCTGTTCTTGAGTAGGAAGTAGAGGGTGGAGGTCATGAGACTCCCGCTGGTCTCGCCTCCCGCCAGTCTTTAACTAAGGGTCAGCTAGGTGCCTAGTATACATATATGGATAGGTGACTTATGTGGCGCCAGAGGATAAGATACACTTACACCATGTTCCAAGAGTGCGCTTCCATTTCCGCCTGCTTGACCTCACCCTTACGGACTTTCTCTGCAACGTTCTCCAGGAAGTCATTCTGGGGGCCCTGCTTTTGGAGTCGGCTGCGAGACGTTAGCCCATGAATCACATCAACTTCTTAGAAAGAGGCCACCCACGCTACGGCCTTATCCTTGCTGTACTGGATCATTTGGTTCCGAAAACCAACGGTCCACTTAGACGGAATGCATTGTGCGAGTTTGACAAGCATAGGGTAACGTCTGAGATTGTCCGCCACCGTCACCACGTGGATGGTGCTTAGAATAAGGTCCAGCCAAGGGTGTGATCCCTCTGTAATGGCCAGTCAGTACCTATCCAAATCTTGCGGTAAACACAACATCGCAAACATCACAAACATCACATACCCCTTTCGATGCAGCCGAACGACTCGCCAAAGGCCATCTCGCCGAGGATGTCGAACCCCAAAAAGATAAACCACTTGGTCATGTCGACTCCCTCCTCACTGTTCCCCAGCTTCCCCAACTTCTCCACGAACATGTCGACGTTCTTCTGCATGACAGGTTCTTGCTGGGCCAGTCCCCTCGCTGATAATGCCGCGGAGAACAGTGCGCGCTTCTGCTGAGCTAGGATAGGGTCGCGCTCGGTGCCCAGAGCTTGCTCGTCGAACCCGGCGCCGAGCATGTCGTAGAACTCGTTCTTGCTGATTTTAGCCACGCCCTTGACGGCGGGCAGGTAGATGGCCGTGTAGGCGCCTGGGCTGCAGAACGAGAGCTCGTTGGGGCTCACGCGGAAAACATCACCTAGGTAGTCACATTGTTAGACAAACTTTCAGATGAGGACTGCGTTGTCCTGTGATCAACTCACCGTAACGCTTGTGGCAGTTTTCGATGTGACGATGGAATCGGCCATCTGTAGAGTGGCGGATACGCCATAACAGTGATGCCCTGGCCCAAAATGGCCCGGGAAACTGGGAAAGGGGGTGGAAGTAAAGATTGTAGATGATACAACTAATTGCATAGGCAAAAAACTGGTTCCTTGTCAGTATAGGGCTCACTAGGTAACTGTGCAAGCGTGCGATGTACTCACCAGAGCCGTGGATGCTCTCAAGAGCAGCCCAGCAGATAGATGGTGCTTGATTGCACCCCAACGCTGAAATCCATCCAGTATAATGTGGTCGCTAGGAAATAACGGGTTGGAGTTATTCATGTTGAGGAGGGCTGTCAGATGCAAGACTACAGTGGTTTAGAGAGAGCAACGTTGACGGTTCACAGACGCAATGATTCCAACCATTTTATAAATCATACAGAATTTAATAATAGACACCTGGGCAGGTAAAGAGGCAAAAGACCACCATTTCTATGTCTAGGTATGTACGAATTAAGACCCAGTGGGTATTGCGCTCGGTATACTAGTTCAGCATTCTCTACTTCACTTGAAGGACTTGATTTTGCATGCTACCAACTACGTAGTATGGAATGTCCAGAGGCTAAAAGACTACGGACAAGCATTAGGAGTTTTTTTCTATTGAAAGGTATGTGGCATCGTCTACCAAGCATACCTCTTTAAGTTACCAGGTACTTCTTCTGCCAATGGCTTCATGAGTGCAACACTACCATACCGCTATCATATGTGAGTCTGAAATAATGGATAGGAGTTGCAGCTGAAGCGTGCTAAATTAAGGATAAAATGATTAATAAAAGCTTTAGGACGACGCGTTACAACATTTGATGGTAGGATCTAGAGTGGTTCACGTCCAAGGCCGCCTACTAAGGTTAGTAGGTACTTTTGATATGTAGGCAAGGTAGCTCTGCTGCTCTGGAGATACAGGCACGGTCAGGTAGGTGGATGTGTGGATAAAAGTGGACTGTACGGAGTATGAGATCTATGAATACCTATGCATAAACTCGTGAGCCAAGTATTTTTATAGTTATCATCAGTGAAGCTAGATAGGTCTGGTCCGTATATATCAACTGTCTCATGTCTCCTGAAAAGAGAATGCACCTTTCACTGGTAAAAGGTCATCTAATAGTGAGTAAGTGGAGCCACCCTCCCAGATCGTGCCAGGCCGTTTCCGCCAGAAGACTAGGTAATCATTTGGCATTGTCTTAATTGATAGTAAATTAAGAGGCTATCTTGGTTGGGACATGAAATTATTGGTACTAGGTAGTTACCTAGGTATGAATGATACCTTCCTTCCATAGGCCCATCTTGTTGAAAATGAATCCTGGATATAGTCCAGGGATAATTCCAAAGTTTACAAAGGTATATTAAGAAGGCATTGACCTAGCCTCATTTTAATATAACACTTGCGTCTCCTTGAAAGATGAATACCAGAGAATTGTATGCATCAAGATGATAGTTACTCATTTACTCTCATTCCCATCAGGTGACTAGCCGCGCATCTCCCATATCACTCATGCAACAACCTGGGGCTGATATGCTACAGGCTTGTATCATGAAAAAAAAAAAGCCTAACTTTTGGGTTAGTTTGCTCTGCAAGAAATGCTAGGGGAGAATATTGATTGTGAAAGGGTAAGCTGTATCAGATAAAAGATTTTTATACATCAATGAAATATCAGTCCCGTCTTGAAACATATTTGGGGTATAGGTTGTCATCATTATAGCTAATAGTGAAATGTGAAAAAGAAAATGCGAGACGTACCAAGAATTAGCAGTGCAACCGTTTATGATGAGATTGCACTGCCCAATGACTCCCAGCCAGTACTGCTCCAGGGCGCGATGAAAATTGCCGTCTGGGCATCGGCAGCCTTGCAAGTTCCTGCATATGCATCGGCTAGACCCACAGCACCAAGTTCGCCTTTCGGCGGGATGGCCTTTAGTGCCACTTTCAGGGCCATATCTGCTGGATACTCGTCCCCTGTAGACTCGGCTAACCTCGACCATCCGTGTGGAAGGTGTGGGTACAGCATAACATCAGTCTGAAGTTCAGCAAGGACATCACTATCTGTACCGGTTTCCGATAGTATGGCAACGGCACGGAATACTTCACCAATCTGAGAATGTTCAGCGTTGGTGACTTTTTCGCTGGTCCGGAGCGTTTGAAGTTCCGAAACAACGGCGTCGAGAGACTCTTCGTCTTCATCGAGTAAGGCGATGATACCCAAAAGCAGAACGGACTGTACGTGAGTAGCATCGTTTTCGATTACACCGAACAGAATATCCCGTGCCTTCTCTCTAGCCTCGCTAGTACCACTAGCCCATAGCATTTGGGCCAGAAGACAGACAGCGTCTGGATTCTCGCTGGACTCTTCAAGAGCGGCTGTAAAGTACGACAAAGCTGACTGGATGTCTTTCAAGAAGTACTGTGCTAGTCCTACGGTTAGATGAGCTGATAGACGAGCCTTTGTACGCTGGTCAGCCGTGAGCTTGTCGCTGTTTATACCTAAAGCGCTTTCTCCACAATCTATGGCCTTCTCATATTCACCAGCCGAAAGATATGACCGAGCAAGGTCGGCTTTGGCTAGGGCAAGGCGTCCAAGGGATTTTGTAGATTCGGTAGCCTCATAGTTTTCCTTCAATTGCTCGCAGGTATTTTCGAGGGCATTTATCGCCCAAATACTATCATTCGTTCTTTCTTGATACAAGGTAGAAAGGTGCCGATAAGCGAGATCTTGTGGATCCAGACGCTGCAGTTGAGTGAGAGCAAATAGAGGTTGTATTAGGGATGTGATGCCTATATCGGATGTGCTTGAGAGGATATGGTCGAACATGGATATGGGGTATTGACGTCTCGTAAGAAGTGAGGAAGATTCGGAGATGTCCATTGCATGAGTGAAGAGGCCGTGAGCTTCCTTGGGGTCATCATATAGGAGCGCGACCAGGCCCTGGCCTAACCAGGCGTGAGCGTAGTCGGGATCATTGGACTGTGCCCGCGTAAAGGCCGCGTTCGCAAGCTGGCCATCGTTCTGGAGAAGTGCTAAGGCTCCAAGGTTTGCCCACACGTGAGCGCTTCTTTCGTTGAGGAATAGGCTGCGGACGAATGCATGTTGCGCCACGGATGGATTGATTTCGCTCGTGACAACGCCTAGCGAGTTCCAAAATTCTGCGTTTGCGGCTTCAAGCTCTATTGCTCGCTTGAAACATCGCACGGCGGCCTTCTGATACCTGCTTGATGAGCCGCGAAGTTGGACAGGAAGGCAAACGTGGGCCCGGTTCTCGGCCCAGCCCAAGTTGTAGTATGCAACTGCCTGAGCATGAGCGTCGTTGGCTGACTCGTGAATTGCCCGCTTGTGGGCTAGAATAGCGGTGTGGAGACTTCGGGTGAGATCAACTCCAAGTTGTTCATCCACGGGGAATCTGCCTTCAGCAAAGATAATGTCTTTGCCCACACCATCGATATCCTCCAAGACGGCATACGCAGAATTGTTTTCTATTCCTAGATCAAGCAGCTTCCGGATACCGTCAGTGGGGAGATCGGACACGTGACTTTGAACGGTAGAGTAGATGGAGCACGAATCGCCGACTGCCTTCCAGAAATTGAAGGTGCTAATGAGGTTGATTGGCACGGTTAGGGCAAGGGATAAGGCTTTGCTAGCCAATTCAATCGATTTACCAAATATGCCCTTTTCGACACAGTCCGAAGCATTTTCAACCATGGTCTGCATCAGGGCTATAGCAACACCCTCTTCCTCTGGGCGATTCGATATGACCTCGTGGTATAGATCGATGGCTTCGTCAAACTCGCCAAGCTCGCGTTTAATGTTAGCGAGCATATATTTCGTGAACCAAGTGTCACCGATCTTGCCGCTGTCCGCATTTTGTTCCAACTTTTGGGCGTTTTGAATTGCTTTCGTGGCTGCAATAAATCGTCCCGAGTTGTGGTAACTTTCACCCAGACCGACCCAGGAGTGATAGTCTTCGGGAGAAATACGCAGGGCTTGTTGAAACGAGACCACTGCTTTGGCATAATCCTGTTTGTTCAACTCAGCCACCCCAAGTGCAGATAAGGGCCAACTGATGCCCTTCTTCTTAGATCCTGGAGGCGGCCTAACTCTGCCCGAGTCCACGATTCGCCGTGCTACCAATTCAACGCGATCCCAATCCCCGTCGTCAGCGAACGAGCGTGCAAGCCTTTCGGCAGACTCAACTTCAGCTGACGATAGCTCTACAGCCTTGAGAAAGCATTTTCGGGCCCTCTTGTTGTCCTTCGCGTAATCTGCATAGTAAATACCCAAGCTACTATATGCCGGGGCATAATTGAAGTTGCTCTTTATAGCATCTAGGAAGTAGGCATATGCACCCTTCCGACTCTTCCTGGCAGTTTTTGAGGAGTCGAGGTTCCAAATACAACAGCCTAGTCGATATTGTGTCTGGGCTAGCAAATCCTTAGACACTGAAGCCTGCATCATGGATGGTAAAAGAGACTCGAGCTCCTTCTTCCCACGTATGTAGTCGCCTTTCAATGAATAGAGCCAACCAACCTCAGCACGGACACGGAGGTTGCTGCTATCACCTTCAAGTGCTCGTTCCAAGAATTCGATTGCCTGATCGAATTCCTCCTCCTCTTCATAGATTAGACCAACGCCAATCATCGCAGCGGTTGACGTGGAGTCCACTTCCAGTACCTTGTCGAACAGACATTTCGCTTCGCCGTGATTCCTGGGAGATTGATAGAACACCAATGCAGTACCCAGGTAAAGCATGAAAGCCTGATTAGCATTCGTAAAGACCTTGCCAATCTTTTCTGTTTCCGCAATCATTATCTTGATTGCCTTTCTCATAAGCTCCACGTTACTTTCGTGGTCTTCTAGGTTCTGGTAATACTCTCCCATTAATCTGTGAGCGAGCAAAGAGCTGGTAGTCGAAATCCCTTCCATCATCATTAAGAGCCTGTCTTCGTCGGTGTATGGCACGACTGACGTCGGAGCACCACCATCTTCATCATCTTCGCTTTCTTCGTCTGTCTCAGACGTAAGCGCGGGTGCTGGAGCTGGCACCGTCCTTTTTGGGAATGGTGAGATGTCACTTGTCATGAAACCTGTCAAGACACGATAAAGATCACTATCGGGGAAGAAGGAGCAATATTCGTTAAGCACATTGACATCCCAGTCCTTAATTTCCTTATAGTCTTGCCATTCGACCGCAATGTCCCAAGCAAGCTTGAAAGGGTGTTTGATAATGACCATGTCGTTTGCCAACTTCTGAACAACTTGAATCTCAGCAGCTTTGGTTTGGGGGGGAGTGACCAGGAGACGGTCATATCGGAATTGAAGTAATTTCTCTTCATATTGACGCCTGACATCATCATCATGGACCCAGAGCGTAAGTTTCTCATAGATGTCGGCTAGCTCGCTCTGACATAAGACTTCTCGGTTGACCTCAAGAGTAACCTCACTGAGTTTAGCGCCTAGCCTTGTTCGACGTTCACCAATGAGGATATTGATACGCTTCTTTTCTTCAACCTCCAAGATCTGGGCCATAGTCTCATAGGTTCTAGCAGGATGAGGAACCCGGCCTTCAAGAGCAGGATATATGGGACTGTCGGGAAGGATGAGATGTAAAGCTTGAACATATTGGGCTCGGTCACACTTCGTGCGAGCAAAGTCAATGAACTTGTCTACGACATTTTGGCACTTCTGCACGTCTTCCGCATCCCTGAAAATTTCAGCAAGCTTGAGAGCGGCGAGCTGATATTTCTGTAGAGCCTTGGGCCCCTGTTTCTCGTAGACCTGGACCAGACCCTGCCATGCTTGGCTATCAGATCGGATACTGACTGCGGTGTTGTAGGCGGCTTCGGCTAGATCTAGTTGGTTCTTCTTGTCTAATACAAAGGCTTTAAACACATGGCTAGGTAGATAAGAAGGATGTTAGAACATTCAAAGTAAAGAACTTTTCCAAGACCCAACGGGAGAGAATGAAACGTACGCTTGATAGTTCTTGGAGTCTTTGCTGATGATATTTTCAGCTTGTGCTAAAGCATCATCCCATTTTTGCTGGCGAATAGCTTCGTTGATAGCCTTCAATGAGGCCTTGATGCTCGCCATCTTAGGGAAAGTGTACCTGATATACTCAAGGTCATATCTTGGGGTGATTTTCCACGAGTGTTTTGTGGCATTTCATCATTGAAGTATTTTCTTTTCCTTTTTCTTTTTTGATCTGAGAACTCTTTTGATTGGAAAGAACCATTAAATTCAGTTGTCCCCTTGTGTATGAGCTACGAGTGGATCGCGGCGAAAGGTCGGGTGTACTTCAAGTACTGATTTCGTCATGTATGTACTGATTGAAGCTGATAAGATAAACCGGTAGATCATCGGTAAATCATCGCGTTTACACCCCGCTGCGCCGTTTTGGCGCGTGGCGGATCCCCGCTACGGAATATATTATGACCAATTATCAATTGAGCTGAGAACTTTGTCCATGTTCATTTTCCCATTTTCCTTTTTATCGGATCGGCAGCTGCGTATTCGGATCATGGGTCTTGGACTCTTGGGTCTTGTGTCTTGTACATGTGGTCTTGGCATCAAAACAATCTACTGCCGTAAGAGCAAACATTGAATGTTTCTACGACGTACATACGTAGTATGAAGTTGTTCACCGACATTAAATCCTTTACATACAAATCTGATAGTTTAGGATTCTCTCACGATATAGCCACAGACTATGTATACTTAATACTTACAGATCATATGTCAACTGCACGACTCAACTCAATTACTCACCGAGTGTTATTAGTCTACCCTAGGTATGTAGCAGGTTTAGTGCTTATCGATGGTCTTTTCGTCATCTCCCAGAAAGTTTACTTAGAGGATAAGTTAACTTTCTGGGCTGCATATACATTTGCATAATACCTGGTACTACTCTGTAGTAGGTAGGTATAGATAAATGTGGGTGGACCTGTATATTAAAAGGATAAGATCTAAGGATCAGACCTTGCTACTGAAATGTTCTTAAATACATGACCACAGTGCTTCGCACTTTCCTCTCTGGCGTACCTGCCACCATCTACTGGGGGGGGACAATAGTGCCTGTCCCAGGCACCTCCAGGCTTCGTTTCAACAGCGCCAACAAGCTCTGATATAGACGTTCCCGAACCACACAGCCATTCAATGAGTATCAGAGATAGGTGACGCTGTATTGGAACAGCGACAAGGTGCCAGAAGTGTGGTCTTTTAGAGTAAGGGGTTAATCGGATAAATAAGGTGTAGTGCATCCCATATGGGAGGTAACAAAATGAGCCATAATGGCTAGTAAACTGTGGGCTTTTTGAATTGAATAAACGGTTTTTGGACTTTTTGATTTGAATAAACTGACTGTGGACTTTTAATTAAACGACTTTTGAATAAACGGCTTTTGGAACAAACGACTTTTGAATAAACGTTGACTTTCAGAACAGAGCTTTCAATCAACAATAACGTTTCAATCAATAAAAGGATCAAAACAACTTTGAAAACAATAAAGGTCCCAATTATCAAAAAAAACCAAAAACCAAAAATGAGGCTATCACCACAGCTCTTCCGGTGGGGGGTCACCAGATAAATGTGGGTGGACCTGTATATTAAAAGGATAAGATCTAAGGATCAGACCTTGCTACTGAAATGTTCTTAAATACATGACCACAGTGCTTCGCACTTTCCTCTCTGGCGTACCTGCCACCATCTGGTATGTAGTATGTACAAATGAATCTACGCGGTGCTGCGGCATCTCAAGGTTCCGATTCGCTAAATTCCTTGTACATATGTAACAACGTCATCGCCACTTGCTGCATACCTAGGGTAGTACATACATAAAAGCTTCGGATCCATTTATAATATGCTACTAGGTAATTACCTAGGTACCTACCTACATAGTAGTGCATACATTCATGTGTACGTGCATAGTTATTACTACATATCAAATCTGGCTATGTAAGTTGTACTTCTCGATCAATACCACGACCCCCCAACGGCCCCGACTTGAACCCTGAACTTGAATCCTGATAACTAATCTTCATAGCCCCGGTGCTCGTACCTGCAGCCCTGCCACCTTAACTGCTTGACAACCTTGGAACCTGACAGCGGTCCAAAATATTTTGTTGATACATATCCTCATCCCATCTAATGTCAATTTTCTTATTTACTTCTAGTCAATCGGCAGTCAATTGTTCCATCTCTATTATCTAGACTATCCTTCATGGCTTCACTTCGCTTGATCATCGAAGATGGTCATTTTAAAGATACACATGGCAGACACGTCTTGCTAAGGGGCATCAACGTCGCAGGCGACTCCAAATTACCCAGCGAACCCGATGTGCCATCCCATGTCTCCCAGGACTTTTTCGACGGCGATAATGTCAAATTCCACAACCGACCATTTCGGAAAGAAGATGCTCACATACACTTTTCCCGCTTGAAACGGTTTGGATATAACACCATCCGCTATGTTTTTACTTGGGAGGCTATCGAAGCTGCTGGACCCGGGAGATATGACGAAGTCTGGATTCAGCATACGATTGATGTCTTACGAACGGCCAAGGAGTATGGCTTCTATATATTTATGGACCCTCATCAGGACGTCGTACGTATTTCCCAATTGTTTACATGCTACATCTTCCCCGGAAGAAATGTGTATGCTGATTATCCCAATTAAACAGTGGTCGCGGTATTGTGGCGGATCGGGCGCTCCCATGTGGACGATATATGCTTGCGGGTTAAATCCCCAGAGCTTCGCTGCTACCGAAGCTGCTATTGTACATAATACATATCCCGACCCCGAAAACTTCCCAAAAATGATCTGGTCTACCAACTACTATCGACTCGCGGCAGCCACGATATTCACACTCTTCTTCGCCGGACGTGATTTCGCCCCTAAGTGTATCATAGATGGCATGAATATTCAGGATTATTTGCAAGGACACTTCATGCGTGCTTGTGAGCATCTTGCGAGGCGTATACACGAAGCTGGTGGAATAGAAGACGATGTGGTGTTCGGGTGGGAAACTCTGAATGAGCCGAACAGATGCATGATTGGACATCCTGACTTGAGCATTATCCCTCCCGAGCAGAATCTCAAAAAGGGCACTTCCCCAACCTTGTGGCAAGCGATGCTGACTGGGTCCGGCCGAGCGTGTGAAGTTGACACATGGGATATGGGAGGTCTGGGGCCTTACAAAGTTGGACGTACGCTAGTTGACCCCCATGGTGAAATGGCGTGGTTACCAGGAGATTATGATGAATCTCGATACGGTTGGAAGCGGGACCCTGACTGGAAGTTGGGTGAATGCATTTGGGCCCTACATGGAGTGTGGGATCCCTCTAATGACACGTTACTACGAAAGGATTACTTCGCGAAGCACCCAACTAACGGCAACAAACTAGACAATGAGGTCTTTACGAATACCTACTTTCTAGAATTCTATCGAAAATATCGGGATACCATCAGATCTATTCACAAGGATGCGATTATGCTGTGCCAGCCGCCAGTCTTTGAATTGCCCCCCAAAATTAAGGGTACAGCAGATGACGACTCGAGGTTGGTGTACGCACCACACTATTACGATGGCATTACCCTCATGACGAAGAAATGGAACCGTACGTGGAATGTGGATGTTTACGGGGTGCTCCGTGGCCACTACTGGCATCCAGCTTTCGCCATAAAAATTGGTGAGACGGCCATTCGAAACAGCTTCAAGGAGCAGATGGCCGCCATGAGGAAAGAAGGACTAGATTATATGGGAAATCATCCGTGCATATTAACCGAGTTTGGGATTCCATACGACATGGACGATAAATACGCATATAAGACAGGTGACTACTCAAGTCAATCTGCCGCCATGGATGCGAATCACTTCGCTGTGGAGGGTTCATCCATGGAGGGGTATACATTATGGTTATACGACGCAACGGTGAGTCTTATTTCATGGGCATAGACGCTGATTTATTGCTAATGATGTACTCAGAATGATCACCAACGAGGTGACTTATGGAATGGTGAAGATTTATCCATCTTTTCCGTAGATGACCAAACATTGCCAGTATCCGCTGTTCCTCGGACGCCCGACCTTAATCAGTCGACATCCAGCCTCCTGAAAACAGCGACCGCGGGCAGTAGAAAAGAGGTTGAAGATGAGACCTCAGTCACACCTAGCAATCTAAAGCGCACCATAACGAACCCTTCCATCTCGTCCTCGCCACCTAGTGAGGCTCCTGAATTGACTAACGCGCCTGGGTACCGCGCCGCGGAAGCATATGTTCGCCCTGCGCCGATAGCAGTCAATGGCGCTATAACAAACTATGGCTTCGATTTGAAGAATTGCGAGTTCACGTTAACCGTCGAAGGAATCGAGTCCCCGTCTCAAGACCTACCTACGACGATATTCCTACCCGAATACCATTTTCCTAAGGAGCAGTGCACGGTAGCAGTCAGCTCTGGAAAATGGGAGATCAGTACAGATGATGATGAACATGCTTGGGTCCAGAAACTTCGTTGGTGGCATGGTGCTGGCCAGCAGAATCTTAAAATCACGGGCGTGATACGACCACATAACAGCATGGCTGGCACAGCGGAGGAGGCTGGCTACTTGGACCAGTGCCAGGATTCCTATAATTTTGACGTCAAAAGTTGTAACGTCATGTAATCAACGTTACGAATTCGGTTGAATAGGCATACACCTGAAAGAAGGATCTGATGCAAATCCATATACGTTTTCTCGCGGTATCTGCTGTGGTACTTCGAGGAGGCTCATTTAATGTAGCTTTGAGGGAAATAACGACAAAGGCGTTCGGGAAATCCGGTCACACGACTCTTACAACCAGGTGCATACATACCTACCTACTTCGTAATCAGTTGAGGAACCATCTCGCACAGGGCATACATATCGAGCTGCATGCCTCACTGGGATATGTAATGCTTACGTTTACTCCTGCAAGGAACACCAGGCACGTTGTCCATGTAAATGATTTACTAAAACGGCCCCCAACGAGAGACATGAGACATAACCAATCATATACGATAATGACGATGAGATGTAAATCATGAAGAAAGGCAGATTGGCATGCCTGCCGGGGCACATATATAAGTAGTAACTAGATATATATAATGGTTAACAGGGCTGAGTTGCATGCATACATGTCTTATTGTCTTGCTTGTGTGGAGTACTTGGTAAATTCAATAATAGATGATGATGTTGAAATTCTGGGAATCCCGATGTACGCAGCCGCACCGACCGGCACCTCGGGATGGAATCACGTCGAATATGTAGCTGCCGGACTAGCCGTATTGGATCCCCAACGTATAGGCATTGCGTGTCTATGCACGCGGGAGGGCTTTTTATTACTACCCAACCCAGTTAGTTTCGAGATAGGGCCTACCTCTGGGTACGCAATGTGGTTGCGATATGCAGCTGCGGGTGCGCGGGAGAGAAGTGGACCGAATCAGGGGGGGAGAATATGTGGTTGTATTGTACAGTAGGTAAGTATCCAGCGCCTTCAACGTTGGAGCAAATGGGATTCGTCCCATGGGTGTTAGGTACATATGAGGGTCAAAAAATGCATCCGACGTCCCCTTACATAAGTATAAATAAGTAGGTACCTACTTAGGTAAATATGTAATTATTATATACGTGCATGCATGCATACAGGACGTATGTACATATGTGAGGTAGTAGCTTGCGAATCAATCTGCGTCCTTGCATTCAGAAATTGTGTTTTTGGGCTGGTGGTGTGATTGATGGCTGGTAACGACATTGAAGGGTAGATTTCTTTCGTATCCTGAGATTTTTGCGGCGTTTGTTCTCCATATCTCGTCATCTAAGAGGAAATGGAAGGGGTAAGGGTGAATATTATGAAAGAAGGAAATGAAGATGATAGATATTGATCAATATTGAATATCTAGTACATAGTTACTATGTATGTATGATGTACTACTAGTAGTACCTGATTCACTCAACGGCATTCATCAATGTTCAATGTTGGATTGGATACATCAAATGTAGAAGAAAGAAACATCGTGACTATAAATTCAAGTTTGGTTATAGTTAAAACATGATTCTTTGTTGTTTCTGTATTCATTGAAACATTTAATTGACGGTTTATGGTACAAATACGACTTAGTTGGTACTATGTAGGTACTTAATACCTAGTATTGTTATATATACCTACTAGCTAGGTAGTATCATGTACAACATTGAACGTGGTGGAACGCAGCTTCCAATCATCACACCTATCATATCCCTGGTCGCAAACTCGTAAGCGCGTAGCCGCTTACCCTTCTTCGATACTACGAAAGGTACCTAAGATATTGTATGAAGGTACAATACCTAGTACGACGTGGAGTGCGGCTTGACCTAATAGGATACCCCAGACTCGTTTTTTCCCACCTTTCTAACTGTATTCTAAACCAAAACCCCCCAAAAGCCCTTGACATCAAACGCCAAACTTTAGTTTTCAACGCTAAGGCTGAGGCCAATTTAACATTACCCGCTCGTTCTAACATAATAGAGCCTAGACACAACTGGGCATTGAATTGTCACGAGTAAAACGGACAACATTGAACATTGAACTTTACATAGTAGGACTTTTACATACCACACCACCAACGACAAATTTAATACCAACTCCGAACGAACACGACAACAAGACCATACAATAGATTATTTCAATCTCAAACTACAAACTTCTTCACGATTGTAAACTCCATACATATTAACAGTTCAATTAACTAGGATACCAGACTATTTACCGACTTAGTCATGGTTTTCCTCGTCGCTATCATCCCCGCCTTTCCTAAGTGGTGACCGAGACTTTCTACCGCAGAATTCACTTTTATCTTCCAGCATACCCGAATTTTTTGGTATTAATTTGTTATTATTACCTTTTTCTCAGTTGACTTAAAAATTACAGTTGACGGCTTGGTCCGTCAAGCTTAATTGGAATATACTACATACAGTATTCCTTCGGCCCACCGACCCCAGAAGCCTTCCAGCCGCTTCGAGACGATCTCGAGAGTTCCGATAGTCAGTAACCTCACCCGCTGTCTCTATGGCTGTTGTTTAGATCTTGAGTTGAGGTTCCTTGATCTTCTTGTCGCACAAAAACCCTCATTGTCTTAAACTGCTTGCCGTTTGTGCCTTTGCATGCACATGTGTGTTTGTCTTGTCATCGCTTAATTGTTCTCTTTGATACCTCTGCTATCCCCTCTACCTCTACCAAGTCTTCGACCGTGACCAAACGTACGATTTGAATTCGAACTCGAACCCGACCACTTACCTTAACGACCTATGCCGTTCCCTCTTATCTTACATATCTATCATGTATCAAAACACCCAACAGAACCCGGCGCGGTCCTTCCAGGTCCCGCCGCCGCCCCCGCCGATGTCGCCGCCCGTCGCTGGTCAAACTGGCCAACTTAATACCATGATGAATCTCCCTCCTCCGCCACCTAGGTACCCAAGTGCACCCTCTGCGACCGGCAATGTCTTGTTACCACCACCACCTGGCCCACCACCGAACAGCGCTTTGGGACCTCAACCCCCTTGGCAGTGGGGCCGCACATACAGTGGACAGCCCAGCTTCAACATTCCCCCTCCACCGGCAGGTGGACCAGTACCAGCATACAATCCAAAACTCCATTCTCAGGCCTCTAATGGGACCTTGTCAATGCCTCCCCCTCCTCCACCTGCCAACGAACACATGTCCGGGACATATAGGCCTGGAAATGATTCAAGCGAAGCGATGGTATCAGCAACATATATACCAGGTGGTGATACGTACGGTGAAGGTGTTGGAATACCTGGTTTTTTCCCCGAGGATACGACGCCAACTCCACAATCTTCCCGGCCCAGTCACACAAGCAGCGCAAATACTACAAATAATACCCTCTCAGCCGACGATCCCTACCGTGGAATGCTGTATGCAAATGCCAATGCTTTCAATAGCAGAATGCTGTCAACGACTTCGACCGCTTCAGCCGCGACAGTTGGGAGCTTTGAGATCCCACCCGACCTACCTGGTAAATGGCCTCTAGATAATGTGTTGCTGTGGTTGGCAGCGAATCATTTCTCCCATGAATGGCAAGAGACTTTTAAGAACCTCAACATTCATGGAGCACAGTTCCTGGAACTCGGTAGTCAGAAAGGAGGCCGAGGAAATTTTGGCATGATGCATCAGCTTGTATATCCAAGATTGATCACAGAATGCATCATTAGCAAAGTCAACTGGGATCAACTCCGAGAGAGGGAAGAGGGCAAACGAATGCGTCGTCTAATTCGGAGCATAGTCACCGGAAAACCATTCGATGGTACCAAAACGCTACCCGCTCATGCCAGCAAGGAATCTCTCAGCGGTGCCTATACACAGGGGGTTGGCACCGATGTAGAATCCCCGAATACCCCTGTGAAGGCTGGCTCAAGTTCCAGGGGATTTTCCCAGTCACGATCTACAACTATGCCGACTCTAAGCAACACGATGAGCTCAGACTCCAACCACCGTTCTATATTGAAAAACATTGATATTGATAGCAGTCGTAGGCTTAGCCCAAATTTAAGCGACCATGGAGACGGTAACTACCGATCTGCGCTACGGAGTGATAGTCCCGGGTCAAGTCCGAAATTTCCAACCGGTTTCCAACCTCAACCGTCCTCAGGGAATCTATCCCCCTCCCATAGATTCCACCACAAATCTCGAAACAGTACCGACTCAGTTTCATCTAATATGGCGCATTACGGCTCTGGCGTGCCACCTGAAGTCGGCCAAATTCTGCGGAATGGCATGAGCGGGATTGGTGACATGATAAATGCGAGCCGTGGAGGTCGATACAACGGTGATGGGAAACATTCTGGATCCACGGAAAGGCCTGGCTCGGCCGAGCCATCTTCAGCAAAGGATAACAAGAGCTTCCTTGGCTTTTTGAAGTGGAAAAATAAGCAGAGAGAGGACGGGTCATTCCCTTCCCCTGAAGATGGGGAGTCGCCTACAAGCCCTAACCTACTAAGACCCCGATTTGGAACACCACCACCAGAGGCAGTTCCCGATTCAGCTCCGACGTTCAGGCGCAACAGAAACTCTCCAAGAGTATTTGTCCTTGTTACATTAGACGGGTGGAATTATCGATTGTGCGACGTTACCGATTGTGACACGGCTACTGATTTACGCACTTGTTTCTGTATGAATCTAGGACTTCCGGATCCTAAGGGGTTTGAGGTATTCTTAACCGAGCTAGGACGCGACTCTCACGAGGAGGCACTGGAAGACCAAAGCTTATGGATACATAAACGTAATAAGGGCGATGCTCACGGCTCTCTAAAGTTTTTCATTAGGTTAGGCGGGCCCAGTGACGGTACTCGTGACAGCACCCGTGCTGCGCCTGGTTATCTAGCTCCCAATTCGAATTTGAACGAAGACGCCTACGCTCACCTCAATGGCCGTTCAAGATCAAGTTCATCCCCTCCTACTTCAAGAAATAACACTATTTCAGCCGGCTCGGAGCCAAATAACCCCGACTTAGCTGTGAAAGCGAGCGAGTACCGTGCCAAAGTCGAAAGGCAACAAGCAGCATACCTCGCCAAACGAAGACAAGCTAACAAGGATTCTTCACCGCTAGAGATCTCCCCTCAAGCTGGAATTGTCGGTCGTAATGTGGACTTCGACCATCCACGCGTCTCGCCATTCGAGGAAAAGAGGCCAGACAACCTTTTCCCACAAAGAAAAGCACCTGCGCCCCCAGGCGTAGAAACCGCTACTCTGATCAAGGCTAACTCATTGAGCAAAAAAACGGGTCACAGTATGCGGCAGTCTCAGGGTAGTCTAGATGGGTTCCCCAGTCCTAGGCGGCCGACTACTTCAGCAAATGAAACGGCTCATAATACCGTTCAAAACACTGTCCCTACCCCGGCCCCGGCCCCGATCCCGGTCCCGGTCTCGAAGCAGACCGCTGAACCTGCTTCTCCGCCGGCTGGTTCGGCGCTCGGTGCTTTGGTCAACATGGGAAGTGCCTGGGGTCGACTGGCTCGACCATCAGCAATCCAGCAGCCACAACGCCCGGTCTCGCCTAATCGGAGCATCTCAGGACCTCCAGCCGGAGCGGATATCGTAGAACAAAGAGAAAGAGGTAAGGGAGCAATGGCAAGCGTCAATTTTGGCACGACCGCCTCGGGTCGCAGTAGTTCTCGGTCAAGGTCTGGCTCACCCGGTTCCCTAACGTGGAGCCGTGGCGACGTGCCTTTTCTTGTACCAGACTACTCACCCGGTGGCACCCCACTCCTCGGCAACCGCGGAAAATCCCAGCTTGATCCAAATACTAAACTACGTGAAATAGCACTACGAACGCCATCCCCCGGTGACCTTAGCCCAAGCACGGCCCACCCGAGACCTCCTCCACCGCCCCCTGCTCCAGGACCCGCCGCCGCCGAACAAGGAGATTCCACGACCAACCGCCGTAAATCTCACGGACCTGATGTGGATTTCACCGAGACGGATGTGCAGTTCGCCAATCCCGCTGCATCTACTACCAAGCCAATGGATGACGACTCCGGTGACGATTCCGACGATGGTCTATTTGCTATTCCAATGAGGGGACGGCAACCGTCGAAGAAGGAAGTGCGGAAGCAGCCGAGCCGTAACGAGACAAGTATCCTTGATAGCGACTCGGAATCAAGCGAGAGTAGGAAACCAAGCTTGAGAGTGAAGACATCAAGATCCAAGAAGGGTCTGTCTGTGTCATTCGATTCTCCACCTGGCACCGCCAACACGCCTGATATGGAGGAGGACGACAGTAGTATCCGGAGCGGGCGTGATTCTCATCGTCGCACGCCAGGTACTCCCGGTTCAGAACAGTGGCAATCAGATGATAGCAAAATCAACCGCCGAAAGTCCTTCGTTGACCGTGGCGTATGGGCTAACCGTCCACCGCCGGAGGCTTTGCTTAGCAACCTTGACGCCTTCTTCCCCGAGCTCGACCTTGATCAACCTGTGCTTGACGAAGCTGAACTTCCCGTGTCGCCCATTACGGAGCAAGAAGAGCACCTTCCAGTCGAAAGCATCAAAACAAATAATACATCAAATGATGCATCTTCCATATCTTTAGAAACTCTCACGCCTGCCGCTGAAACTTCCACCACAAGGTCTTCGATATATGAGAGCGATACTCTCGGCTCTGACGAGTCAACCCTCAAGGCTCTTGAGCGCCCGCCTTCGATTGCCTCGGTCGTGTCGCGTAACCTCCAGCGTTCTAGTGGGCTCGGTCGCATGAAGTCAATTCGAGAAGTAGCGCGTGGTGCCCACGAAGCGAATAAGCGCTTCACGACATCTTCAGCTACTTCTGCGGGCACGGCCTCGTCCATGATCCAACGCCGCAAGAGTACGAAGATGTTTGGCGCTAACGTCGTGCAAATCCGCCCCGAACGCGGCTCCATGGTTGTGCCCCAGATCCCGCAAGATGTTCTCCCGAGGCGACAGACCACTTTCCGATGGTTCAAAGGTGAGCTCATTGGAAAAGGTACTTACGGCCGTGTATATCTAGGTATGAATGCGACAACTGGTGAATTCTTGGCCGTGAAGGAAGTTGAAGTCAACCCCAAGGCCGCAGGTGGTGATAAGAACAAGATGAAGGAGCTACTCAAAGCCCTAGATCAAGAAATCGATACTATGCAGAACTTAGACCACGTCAATATCGTCCAATATCTCGGATGCGAAAGGAAAGAGACGAGCATCAGCATCTTCCTCGAGTATATATCCGGTGGCAGTATTGGGTCATGCCTACGAAAACACGGGAAGTTCGAAGAATCGGTGGTAAGCTCCTTAACGCGACAGGCGCTCTCGGGTCTTGCGTACCTACACCGCGAAGGCATCCTACACAGAGACCTGAAAGCAGACAACATATTGCTAGATGTCGATGGCACGTGCAAAATTTCCGATTTTGGCATCAGCAAGAAGACGGACAACATCTACGGTAATGACAAGACCAACTCGATGCAGGGTTCCGTGTTCTGGATGGCGCCCGAGGTGATCCGATCCCAGGGAGAAGGGTACAGTGCCAAGGTCGATATTTGGAGTTTGGGATGTGTCGTTTTGGAAATGTTTGCGGGTCGGAGGCCCTGGAGTAAAGAAGAAGCTGTCGGCGCCATCTACAAGATTGCCAACGGCGAAACCCCACCAATCGCGGACGACGTACGCGATGCCATAACTCCCTATGCTTTAGGGTTCATGCTGGATTGCTTTACTGTGTATGTGCCTCCTCCGTTTATTTTTATCTTTCTTGGTCTTTGAGACAAGTTTACTCATAATATCATAGTGATCCTAGGGACCGCCCAACGGCCGAACATTTACTACGACAGCACGAATTCTGCGAGCTCGATGCCGACTACAACTTTTTAGATACAGAGCTCTACGCCAAGATTAAGGGGTACTTCCCAGTCAATGGGAGACTTGGATAAGACCGAAAATAGGTACCTACCTATGTCCCTACATAGAACCCAGCCTTCTATTTGAATACTCGGCAATCTGATCTATTGACGACTTTTTCTTTTTTTTTTGGAAAACCTAACCTGGAGAGACGATCCGGACCTCGATAGCTTAAATAGAAATGGGGTCGTCCACTCGGTTGGATAAAGTATGGTTTTTTTTTCATTGTATTGGCATGGCGTGGCGTGATACAAGCGGTAAATCAACATACGAGCATTGATGGATGGGTGTAAAGGATGGGTGGAAGTCGCTTATACAGCACCAACACCCGCGCCTATATGTCTGATTATGTGCATAGGTACCTACCGTTCTTCCTTCTCTAGCATGGCGTTCAAGGACATAGAATGGGGGAGTGTTTTATATATTAAGTATAGTGGCTGGGTTGGGAATGTTTCAGTTCCAAGATATCGTGACTAGTAGGTTTGGCTGGCTGAATTGTGATGTTACTGTAGGTTCCCTACGTAACCTAGGGCTTGTATATTTATACCTCCAGGTGGACGCTAATTGTGTAAACAAACGTGTTCGAGCATAAGCTAGGTAAACTAATTATCAGTAAAGCGAACCTTGTAGACAAGACGATCTCACTTGTGTATTTACTTCGTTTATGCCTAGGTAACCACTAGACGCGGGGGCGTGTTTGCTCCCCCCCTTTTTCATATTCTGCTTATACTGACCTGACCGCCTTTGAACACCTTCATTAAAAGAAACCAGGTTGCCAGTTTAAGAATGACAATCCTATATTAATAGAGAGATCGATATTTCTAGTACCTATATGCTTTTTCTTATTTGTTAGGCGGATTTCAGCCCTATCAACACTTACGCCGTGAATTCTCCAATTTTTGAACTGGGAAGCTTGCAGGAACGCAGTACGGCTCAGTATGCAGTGCTTACTATGAGCTTATGCCCCCTAACCATATACCCCCTTTACATCTATGCCATGACATAAGGCAGTTCTCACCATATATAGTTACCTAGGTAGTGAATAAGGCACCCTGCGTTGCCATTCTATTTGGGTATAATGTGATTTTCTCAAATCCCTTCCTCGCCTCAGTCAACTTTCGGCCATCATCTCGACCATAAAGACAAGTGTAACCGTCCCTACCTGCCCACTCAGCAGGGTTCTAAATGTCTGGGTGGCTTCAGCGCAAAGCCATGCTACTGTGTCGGAAGCGAAAATGGATGGTCTGGCAGCACCAGCTCAAACTCTCGCTTTCCCTATCAGCCAGCCAACTGGCGCTGTACTAGCTCCGCCAGGCTTCGTCAGCGTACCTAGGTTTCGAGTCGGCCTTCTTTGATAACTACCTAGGTATATAAACAACTTCTCCGACGTAGCATAGCCGGCATTCCTGCCGAACAGAAAGTTCATGAGCGGCTACGTGATGTGCGATGCCGAGTCGATGCAGGACGACAGGGTTGTGCTGCTCAACCTGAGGGCTTTGGATACGGGATCCAACCAGAAGCGTGGCCAGCACGCTTTTGCAGTGCCGGTACCAGAGGCCACACGCTCCCTCAATTTAAGGTTAGGAGACTACATGCGGATATGGATGTTTGGGCTAGAGGCTTTGATGTCGGCGGCCCGTGGGAGGATGTCACTTGGGCTGGCGATCAATGGACTTTGAAGACCGACCAGGGCAAATGACACCTAGTAGATAGCAATACGCAAGAGGAGGTTATCCAGGTGCAGAATGGTCCGGCAGTGGTAGAGGTACCTGGTACCTAGCTGTTGTCGTTTAAGTATCTTCAATAAGGTACCTAAGCAGACTTCACAACGCGTGTCAGAGCATATCGCTATGGCAACAGGTGATTGATTGTTTTTAGTTTACCTATGTCACAACCCATTGCATCAATATACTTTGTCTAGTCTCTTTAATGTTCGATCCAATGAGGCCTTAAGAAGCTATGAAGAGCACTAGCCATAGCTTATATCTAGTGTAGCCAGGAGATAGAATATATAAGAGCATATAAGGGCGACACGCCCCCTTTTCTCTGATGTGATTTGATTTAATTTGATGTGATCTAAATGCGCATGTCAATGCAGTTATTCTTGACACGTTACTCTGAGCTTATACATCTTCTATTTCTCTTATAACACCCCCAATCACTGAATACCTAGACTCTGACAGAAGGCCTCAGACTTCTAGACTGAGCATCTACTAGTTACCCATACATTTAGATCTTATCGAACATTAGTAGGCACAAATATCAACAGTACCTACCAAATTATTGACGCCAACCTTGGAACATTGCATCCCTTATATCCTGGTGGTTAGACACTACCCTAGGTAGGTATATAAAGTCTGATCCTCGGCACATCAGTATGCCATAATCCATCAACTTCAATGCTAACCTAGAGGCATCAGATACTGCATAAAACCATACCTACCTATCCTACAGCGAGCGAGATAGGGGTATAACGCGAAGCCGAGCATAAACTCTCCAAATCACTAGATTTGAAAAGTTCGAAATCCCCTTTCCTCCCACCGCAACTCCTTTATTCTGTACGCTTCTTTTTTGCAAACAAACTTTGGATCGTCTTGGTCCTTCCTTTTAAACAGAAAACAACCAACGTTTATAAAAGACGAGTCGCCGCTACCTCAGTGACACACTTATACCGCGGCTACGAAAATGGACGACACCTTGTCCCCCGCTGCCTGTGTCCTCGTAGCGATCATTGGCATCTTGCATACGCTGTGGTGCTATACATCTTTACAGGATTACAAAGAACATCAAAGGGAAATGATGCTTCAGCAGGAACAGATGCGCCGGCAGCAGAGACGGGAGGCCAAGCGGAGACAGATGGTCAAGCCAACAGAGGTGGACGAGCCAACAACTCGACAAGTCAAGCAAGAAAAAGAAGAAGAAGAGGGTGGGAAGGGACAAGACACAGGCATATCCTGCTTCGACACTTGCTCCATATGCCGAGACACCAGCCCCGACGACCCTCCCGTCACCCTGCCCTGCCGCCACGTCTTCCACAGCGCCTGCATCGAGCCGTGGCTGTCCTCCTGCAAGGACGCGCCGAACTGCCCCTACTGCCGCCGCGACCTCATCCACCCCGAGTGCAGACACCCGATCAGCGCCCGGTACTACACGCCGGGCAGCGACCTCCGCGCGTCCGTGATCGGGCAGTCGTGCGCCGGGTGCGAGATCGTGCGGCGCCTGCACGACATCCTGCCGGCCGTGCTGCGCACCCTCGTCAACGTCGACCTCGCGTGCTCGCCCCCCGCCAACTGCGAGCCGGTGCCGTGGGGGCCGGCCCCGGCGGACGCGGACGACGAGCTCAGCATCTGGCAGAGGCGCAAGCGCCGCCGGCTGCTCCGCGACCTCGTCGCGCTGCGCGCCTTCGTCGACGAGTGGCTTGCCCTCCCGCGCTTGCTGCGGGAGGCCGCCACCACTACCACCGCCACCGCCACCGCCGCCGACATCCCGCGGCGCCCGGGGAACCACCATGTGCTGCGGCTGGACATGCTGGACCGCGAGGTGTGGGCGCTGAGGGGGCTGCTTGAGAGGATGCTGCGCGTGGTGCGGGAGGAGTCGGTGGAGAGCGCGTGGCTGGATGCGGTGCGGAAGCTGTTTGTGTTGGAGGGTGAGGAGGTGGAGGAGGAGGGGGAGGAGGAGTGGGTGCCGATGTGGTTGGATGTGCCGGTGGAGGATCTCAGGGATGTGCAGGCTTCGTTGGCGAGGATGCTGATGGTTCTGAAGAGGGGGAATATTCCGCTGCGCAGGCATGTGTGTGTGTTTTGTAAGTGTAGAGGGAGTAGTGGTGCTGGTACTTGAGGCGTGGTGCGGAGAGGTAGAAGGGGGATGGCGATGGATTGATTGATTCGTGTTTCAAATTGTATTTGGCATGGATAGTAGACATGTTTAGGCGAATTTGAACGATCTCCTCCATGATCAAGTGCTCTTCTTCCATCCACCCTAAAGGCTTCCTTGCGACGATGTAGATTCCCCCCCCCTAACGACGGCAAGCCTTTTTTCCAAGCTCTTTGAGTCTAGGCACCCTGCTGCGAGATAGAACCCCTGAGCCAAACCACTCGGCTGTTTTTGGTGAAGCTTCCTTGCGGTCAATGTCGATTCAGTCAGATGATGTCCAAGCATGGGGCTATCCAGCCGCAGTACCGAGTTTGTCTTTGTGTCTTGTCCCAACCTACTTCTTTTTAAAGGGGCTGGTTGGCTTGTGCTCATGTTGACGAGCTTTGGTTCAAAAGCATCGGAGCTATGTTCTTTGGTGAAGCATCAACATATAGGTATGTTTGCGCCACCACCCACTGTAAAATCCCACCATGTTCTCATCCTTACCTATTCTACAAATTGAGCAGTCGGTATCTTCAGGGCTGGACGCCGTCTACCTAGGTAAAGTACTCACTGGGAATCGGTATGTGTAAAATCACGCCACTGCCATGTTGTTTGCGATAGCTGCCTGCAAGATGTAACTAAGACTACCCCATCGTTTTCCATGGGAGTATCTAATATCTCCACTTAGCCAATATAAGGGGTTTGCTGGCATGGTAAGAAATACTAGAGCTTTGATTCATGCTTCAATGCTGCTGGGAAGTGAAGTGAATTCATACATAGTGTGAATCATTTATAGCAACATGCGGTGATATGTATGTGCACGTGTGCTTGGATACTAGGTATGTACCTAGGTATCTACGGTAGTGAGGACATCTGGAACATTTGAAGTTGCGGCCCGCAGGTTTGACGTGGTTGAGGCTGAAGAGATTTAATTTTAGAAACATTCCTTCTAGGTTAGCTAGGGTGGGTAGCAGTTAGTGGCAGATGGAGCCCCACGGTTGGGTTATGTTGTACCTGCTTAGGTACATGTAGACATCCACAATACAGCTGGAGTACCCTTGTTCGACACATGTTGGAAATTACATATCCTGTGTTGTACTTTCCATAGTACGATGTATGTGGAGATACATGTAACTATCAACACGCATACATGCATGCCCATCTATGTAAATATCAAGGTAACTATACGGCATAGCAGAAAGATCAATGAAATACAAGGTTAGGTATCTACATGATGCCAACCCGTACGCCGTAAATATCTTCAAGCCGTGTCCACAAGATCTTCTTTCTAAGTGGATTGATTCACGACTAAACATGTGTACCTAGGCAGGTATGTTATCCCTTACTCCTTTTCTGCTCTCCTTGGCCTCTAGACTCTAAGACTCTATATCAAAAAATAGAACAGACCGATTTCAAGATCGTGAAGTGGCATATGATAAGCAATCTACAGTAAGCTGCACATGTGGTACTTACATAATATCGCTACTAACACCAAAGATGCATGCGCATTGCATATGTAACTTCTACATGAATAATGTTGTATGTATATACTATGTACTACCTAGTAGTAGTAACATCGTAACCTTTAAATGCGCACTGTATATACCAGGCACATGGCACATGTCAAGAGCTGTGCACCCCGCCGTGACTTGATCGTTCCTTCCTTCAAAGTTTGTATGGTACCTGTACTACTTGAAGCATCATGCATCCAATATGATGCCCCGCATTTTTCAGCTCTCTAAATTATTTTCTACATAACGCCTCGGCCGCCAGCAAGTAGTACCTACCTGAACCTACCTACATATACCTGGCAGTCTTATAACTTTGAGCAACGTGATAGGCATGTAGTTGCTTAACCTAGGAATTTGAAGGAAGCCACATCCTACATATGTACTACATACATACTACATGCTATGTGTACTCCAATTATGTACATACATGTCTGTATGTAAGTCCAGAGTCCCTGCCGAACATTGAACTGATCAGCGACCACTGCAGCTTAGGTACGTAGTTAGCGCCGTCAGTGACCTAACCTTGAACCTTTCCATCTTAAGAAATTACAAAATACCGTACCTACTGGGCTACACTACGTATTTCTTAATTTCTTGAACTCCGTCACTCACATCCCATCCCATCCCATCCCATCCCATCCCGCATAACGAACAACTCTTTTTTGTTCGACTCTTACATTCCATACCACTTCTTTTTTTCTCTGGTTTTCTTTTGTTTTTCAGGTTCGGATGCTGATCATATATGAACTTTGGTAGTTCCGCACAATCAGTTTTTGTGACCCAAACCAATTTGGTCTTGTGGTCTCGTCAGGAACAGTATCGCGACCTACCAAAACTGCCTACTAGATAGGTATACATCCATTCATTACATACAATTCTTGTATCATCATTTCCGTCTCGTGTCGGCCTGTTCCCTCTTGTTCTTTTTCAACCGCGACACCGATATCGACATCGTTTATCCTTTAAACTCGTACCCTTCATTCCCCCCCACCCGAATACATCGATACCCAATACAGGTCGGATTTTGATTGAGGTACCCAATACAGGCGCCGCTCAGTCTACGCGACTGTCTACGCAACCTCATTGGTTTTCCGTGAACCTCGCGACACGCCCAACCATACCATCGTCGTTCTTCCTACCTCTTACAAGCCACCAGCAAACTCTTGATCCACCTCACCCGATCCCACAATATTCACAATTTCCCCCAGTCATTTTCTCCCTTCTCGTTGGAGTCCTCTTTTGCGTTGTTCTCCTCTCCTCCTTAGATCTTTATCACATCAATCCTCTCTAGGTTATCGGGCCACGATGGATCTTTCGCGCTTTCGACGCACTAAGAAGGCTCCGGCTTCTCCTGCCTCTTCTCCACCAGCAATCGTCTTGCCTGATTCACCATCCGACAAATCGATGTCGCCAGCCAAGGCTGATCCTCCTCCCACTCGCCGAGAATCACCACCAACACCCCCGCCTCTCCTAACCATTCCGATGCCCATGACGCCTCGTTCTGACTCCGGCAGCAAGTCGCCTTTCCGAAGAGGCTTTCATCCCTTTCGTCAGACCCAAAAGCGTGCACGATCCCCAGCCCAGGCCACATTTTCTTTGCCTGCTACGCCCGTCACCGGTGGTCCGATGTCTATTGTAGACAGCGACAAGTCATTGCCTATGGCCGGCGATCAGCCCGGAGACAATACCACTCAGGGTAACCCCAAGCCTCTCACGATGCCAGCCTTTCTCAATTTGTCATATCAAGGTATGTCTATATTATTAACGCTGATTTGATTTTGTCCTGATACTAAGATACTAACTTCTACCTTCTGAATTATAGAAATCGAGAGTAAATTTCTTGACCTCAACTGGGCAGAGCGCTTCCGTATTAATGAAGCCATGTCGAATCCCTCGCCCCGATACCGATTCGCTCGCGTTTTCGGTCCCGAAATTAAGAATCGCGACCGATACGGGAACATCCAGCCATGGGCCAACAACCGCGTCAAGCTTCAGGTTCCAGAGGGTAAGACTGACTATATCAATGCGTCCCCCATTGTTCTGCAGTCTCCCATCAATCCCGAAGGAAAGCCACCTCATCGATATATCGCAATGCAAGGGCCCAAGGCAGGAACCGCAGAACACGTCTGGCGAATGGTGATTGAGCAACTACAAAGCCCTGCAGTCATTGTTATGTTGACTGAAACTCACGAGGGTGGCGTGGAAAAGTGCTACCCGTATTTTCCTCGAATGGTTGACGAAACTTGGCAGGTTGGAGAAAATGATGAGTTTGGCGACGGCTTCCGTGCCGAGATCAAGTGTGTCAGTGTTGAGGAGCACGCGAATGGCGCTATCGAGGCTCGACAAATTATGGTCCATGTGGAGGGTCGTGAGGACATGACGGTCTGGCATCTTCTATACCGAAAGTGGCCCGACTTTGGTGTCCCGGCTCTGGGGGATCTTGAAAGCTTCTTCGAGCTTATGCGCCTCTCTCGAGAAAAGAATGCCACGGAGGACAACCCTCGTATCATCCACTGTTCAGCCGGCGTGGGACGAAGTGGAACGTTTATCGCTCTCGAGCACCTCATGCGAGAAATTGACTCGGGCGATATTGACAAGCGCGAACCGATTGCGCACCCTAACCCTGATATAGATAACGATGATATCATTTACAAGACAGTCGATGCTCTCCGAGAGCAACGTAAGCTCATGGTTCAGGCCGAGCCGCAGTACCATTTCCTGTACCACGTATTGCGCCAGCATTGGTTGGAGAAGCATGGATTGATGGAGCAGGACATGCAAGAGCCTGCGGCAAAGAGGTTGGAGGTTGATGACTATGACCCTTTTATTTGAGAATGTAGGATGTTAACAGAGTCAAAGGTAACGAAACCCGGCGAACATCGCAGTGCATCATTTTCTGCAGCGATACAACGGCGTTAGGCACGCCTCCTAGCTTTTAGCTTTATGTGCTTTAGAGGAGTCGACGAAGTATGCAGCAAGGGAAGGGACAAGATGGTACGGCATACCGATTAAAGAATGGGGGTTGTAAGAAGAGATGACAGCAGGAAGGGAAAGGAATGTGCTACAAGAAGCACAAGTTATATGCATATGAAAAGGCGTCTGGCATGTTCAATCGACTTGATGGGATGATTTGCGATCAAGTCAGATCTTTAGAGACCAGGAAGGCAGGCAGGCAGGCAAACAAAGTCCGGTATGGGGACATGATTAGAAAAAGTTGCGTGTTCCTGTCCAGGTCAATAGAGGGAGACAGGTGGTGGCATTCGCGGATGGTTCGAGATACCCCTTTGTATTTGCTTTTGCTTTGCATTGCACATTATTGGTGCCGGCGTTATCATAACTGATGTCCCTGTACATCCGTTTCATTAACCATTACCGTTTGGTTTTGGGGTCATATAGTCTCTGAGGCTGTTCAATAAATTAAAAAGGAATTCTGATATCCATATGGATATATGTAGTATTGTAAGATTGAAGAGCCAAGAGCTCCAGACTCTCGAGTGACATAAAGCTGCAGGTGCAGCTACGAGGTGCAGCTACAGCTATTTACAGGTACAATACAGGTACAACGTATTTACAGCTATAGCTATATATTTATAGCTATAGCTATAGCTACCCCGCCACATGCACATCCACTGATCCCGCATATATAGCAGGTGCAATGGATACACATCCAGGTGTATACAAATTATCAATTGATGTTTTTCAATTGGACGATTAATAATTATCCTTACCTCTTACAACATACTACTATGTCTTAATATGCATTCTCCTCCTTCTTTCATACATACATGTGCGACATGCACAGTACATAAAGCTGCAGTGCTTTAAAAACCTGCCGAGATTCATGCTGTGTAAGTTACATATGTCATAAGGCGCTGACTGACGTAAATGTGTAGGTTAGGTACTTAGGTTAGTACTTAGGTTAGTACCTAGGCGTCTGCATGTAATAATTCATACCTGAAGTCACAAGAGCTCACCGCAACATCTTCATAACATATCCATAGGCACTTATACCTACTCAATATACTTCCTTTCTGCCCCTCATGCCCAAGGTACGCGAGAAACCGAATCTCCGGGATCTTGGCAGGAAGCTGCTGAAAGACGGCCCCGTCAAAACCCTCCCTACACCCCGCCGCGTACGCATCCTATTCGACGGCAGTTACGTTGCAGACACCACCGATGCACTGTTTGTCTGGGAACATGAATATTATCCGTATTATTATGTACCCCGTACCGCATTCGCGAAGCATGCACTTCAGCCGTCCTCTCCCAAGCAGTCGGGCTTGTGGTTCTGGGAAGCGGAGCTACACGGCGCAACGCGATCCACAGGCCGGATCCTCGTTTTTGGAAGTGCTGAGGCGATAGGTGGTGGTAAAAGCGAAGCAGAATGTCTAGCGGACATGGTGCGCGTCGAGTTCGACGTCGTGGATGCCTGGTTCGAGGAGGATACCCGGATTCACGTGCATCCGAAAGACCCATACCGGCGCGTCGACACGCTGCTTTCTTCACGGCCCCTGAAAGTCCGCGTGCTTGGCCAGCTGGTTGCAGAAACCACTGCAGCAGTCCATCTTTATGAGACCGGGCTGCCGTGTCGATATTACGTTCCCCCAACGGCAGTGCCTCCGCATGTGTTGCAGGAAAGTGGTGAGACGACTGCGTGTCCGTATAAGGGCGTGGCCAATTACTACGATGTCGTGGTTGAGGGCAAGAAGGCTCCGGGACTGATCTGGTACTATAGAAACCCAACTCTGGAGTGTGCCGCTATTGCTGGGTATCTTTGTTTTTACCACGAGAAGGATGAGGTTGAGATCGAGATAGATGGAGAAGTTGTGCCATCCCCAAAAACACCCTGGTCGTAAGGTTGGAGATCCCCTGCCCCTATATCCCCATATCCCCATACGTACCTTACATAGTCCGTAGAAGAGAAGCCTTTAGCGAACCTCTTGCCGAATACGGAAGTGATGTTGAGATCCTTGAGGGCTAAGAGGACCGGAGATTCGTGCGATAATTATCATGCATAGAATACACTGGTATACAGGGGTTATTCTGCCCTCATTCTCTTTGAATCCTTGATGGCCAAGTACAATAGAAATGCATACCAGTGTATCAGAGCTGTGGAGACTTGACAAATCCCCTCGTCCGATGTATGTCGATCGATTGCCCGTCATGACCCATCACCCGCTCCTCCTCCTCCCCCCCAGCATCAATCTATTTCCTCGAAACAACTTGGCTAAATATAAAAAAAAGTCCACTAAGCAATGTCTGACGCATGAATAGTGAAACAAGCCATGGGCTGGCTTTTTTTTTCGCGAGCGAATGAACGACCAAGTTATTACCTAACAGAATCGACCGTACATATTATAGGTCAGTAATAGGATTCGGGAACTTGACGACGCCCGCGCCCCGTCCCTGTAGCGCTAGAATCTAGGGCCCGATGTGAGTGAGCCTCGCTACCCGAGGCGAGGCCACCCCAGATCGTCCGGCGGCAGATCGCCCTTAGCCCCCCTCTTATCATATTATATCATATGACTATATTGACCAGGTTGAATGGCAATCATAACTATGCTTACTGATGGAGTTTGATGTATAAAGCAAAGAAAGCAGATATGATAACTCACCGTACAACGCCTGCCTCTTACGTACCTAGCGTATGTTGTTGATGATGATGATGATGTGGTCTATAACATAACCTTCACGTCGGTAACGAGGAAAACCCGGCAGTGTTGACAGTGTTAACAGTGTTACCTACCTATACAAGCAAAGATGCGTCATTGTCGTCTGTTGTCGATATACGAGAACGAGTTTCACTAACTTAATAGATCAGATGCCCACCGGGACTAGCCAGGTTTCGTCGCCCTTTCGAGAATCTTGTACCGTCTTGGCGAGGCTAACACCAATAGGATCACCTTACGCTTCAAATTTAGGGGGAGATAGATGATGAGAGCTCATGTGATGTGTTATGCTGTATTGTAGACTATGGTAGGATGTAGGTTGTAGTGCCTAGGCTGTAGGAGGCTGTTAAAAGAAAATGAAGCTTCTTGGGATGTGATGCGATGGCTATATATGTACAGCGCTCGTCGATCACCTAATACGTCTCTTCCCCTTTCTGCTTTCTGTTCACTCACTCACTCACTCATCTCACCTCGCTCACCCATCAGCTCATCTATCTGGCTAGTCCTGCCTCCTCGTTCCAGCAACTTTGAACTTCATATCACGTTCTTTCACCCAGGCGGTTTTATCCCTTCGTTTCTATATCATCTGATCCTCACGAGTATTCGTACCCCTTTACCGTAAACCAAACCGCAACCATGAAGTTCACCACCGCCCTCCTCCTCCTCGCCTCCTCCTCCTCCTCCCCCGTCCTCGCCACCCCCGCCTCCTCCAACATCACCCCCAACACCGTCGGCGCCCTGCACAAGCGCGCCAACTTCCCCATCCCCGCCTCGAAAGGCTCCGTCACTCTCTCGGAGCCGCAGACGATCAAGGCCAGCGAGCCGTTCGACGGCGGCCTCAAGACGTACGGGCGCGGCGTCAGCTGCTCGGGGCAGGCCGAGGGCGGCGACGCCGACGCGGTGTTCCTGCTCGAGGACGGCGCGACGCTGAAGAACGCGATCATTGGCACCGACCAGATCGAGGGCGTCCACTGCAAGGGCAAGTGCACCATTGAGAATGTCTGGTGGGAGAAGGTGTGCGAGGATGCGCTGAGCATTAAGGGGGATGGGGATGCGAGTGTTATTGGCGGGTATGTTTTTTTTGCTTTCTTGGTTACATCTTATCTTATCCTACACTACACTATATTACCCTACCCCTATCTACCTACCCTATCCTATTCTCTCCTATCCTATCTACAAACTTCCCCCCTTAAATATCCAAGTTCAACCTACTAACACCCCTCCCAACAGCGGCGCAACCGGCGCAGAAGACAAGATCATCCAGCACAACGGTCTGGGCACCGTGACGATCGACGGGTTCACCGCCGTCGACTTCGGCAAGCTGTACCGCTCGTGCGGCAACTGCAAGGTCATGGGCGAGCGCAACGTCGTCGTCAAGAACGTCAAGGCGACCGACGGCAAGGTCCTCGTCGGCATCAACTCGAACAAGGGCGACGTCGCGACCATCACGGACTCGTGCGCTACGTCTGTTAAGGAGATCTGTGTTGTGAGTTCTTTTACTAGCTAAATACCTACATGCCCCTTTTAGGGGGGGAGGGGCTATTCTTTGGTTCTGTTACTGACATATGCGTCTTACCCCTTTATCCAGGAGTTCGAGGGCACCACCCCCGGCAACGAGCCCAAGGAGATCGGCTCCGGCCCGAGCGACAACTGCAAGTACACCGAGCTCGCTACTTGCTAGATGCCTACCTACCTCCCCCCCCTAGCTACTAGCTAGGCTACACGTGTATAAATCGGGCACACACACACACATGTATATACCCTTAAGCGTCTACTGTACATATTCGTCACAACACCCTCGTCAGTGTCTTGCGAGCGAGCACACATCGATGCCGAAAGAAGGCATCGCATTCTACGCTGTGGGAAAACTTGAGAGGATAAAAAAAGAAACCCCGAAACGCCATCTAGTACCCGGTTAGGTAGGTATGTAACGTGGTCGATGTTCAGGAACGTATTTTATTTTCTATTCTTAGGGGCCTAGTTAAGAGAGCCTATCAGTTAGTTCGTTGTATATATATATACTTGTACCTTTAGCGAGCGAGTGAAAATGAATCGATGTGTATACCCTTGAGGCTGTGGAATGTGTTGGTGTTGTTTGTGATGGGATGTTTGTCGGATATCCTGACATCAACTCTTGCAGGTGCCTGAAGCCATGGCCCTAAGGCTCATGTATCGGCTTCCCGCCATCGTAGTCTGTGATAAACCAAGCTTTTCTTCCATCCTTCTTCCTTTCGTTTGGTTGCAGTTTGCCCTCCAACATAAAATAAAGACAAATGACGAGATATTGATCATTCACCTTTGGTGGAGCGGTATAATATGAAAAGGATGTGCGTACATACCTACTTACTGCCGTGATTGTGCTCATTTGCTAACCTCAGGGGACTACTGTGGCAAGTAGGTACCTTGAAGAATTAGCAAGAGTTCTTATTCATTATCTCATCCTTAGTAAGTAAGTAAGGTATGGTTAACTTATTAGATAAATGCCTAGGTAGGTATGTATGTTGATGTTCATCCGCTAGTGAAATAGAAACAGGGGTGTCTGTCTTTAGGAGATGCGCATTGAATCTGTTAATGTCAAAGACTTCTCGGTGTCTTATAGGATACCGAAGAGTCATTTCGGTATATATCAAACTCTACTTGGCAGTTAGTTCATGTCATAGCTTTTATGCGACGAAGTAGACACAACCCTACCTTTTGTTTGCTATTGCTTTCCTTTCCCTTTCTCTGCGGTGGCTGTGTAGGGGGTTGCTTTGTCATAAAGGGGCATTGAAGTGAGTTTTGTGATCGTGTCTTCATGGCGAATCTCCTTTATTTAAGGTCGCAAAATCTTTGCTAGACACATATAGCTTCTGTGTTCGAGAAGATAATCTAAACAGTCGTTCGAAATGATTCATGCTCAGGTGGTTTAGGATAGTTGCCCGGCTTAGGTACCAAGACACACCAGCCAAACTTATCTCAGTAACTCTCAGAGAATCAATTTGTGAAAAGCGAGGTTTCGAATTCCTCTTCCGATAGGGGTATGCTCTGTCCCCGGCCCCCCTTTCCATCCCTCAAGTCATGAGGCATAACTTACAAGACGCAGAATAACATCTTTGTTGCGCGGGGATCTCTAGCATCTCCCTCAAGACCATGGAGGCCACATATACATGTAGCGGTCTTTATCAATCTAGACCCCCAGGTAGACCCTCGATGCCCGAAATGTCTATCCATGTAAAGGGTAAGCCAACACTGTTCTGTTACGGGGATCCAGGGAACAGACCATTAGAAGAGAATTTCCAAGTACGGATATCCCACAAACAGAAGTCGGAAGAGCAAATGAGATGATGATGAAGGCGAGACGCGTAACTATCACCAGGGTTGAAAGACATTTCTGGGCAGAAATTACTGTGACTCTGGTTTTGGAGAGGCATTTGTGAAAAACATCATCATGGCATAGGACATAATGACGTTGATGAGTAACACGTCGCTTGATTACTATACCAGCCGCCCCATTTTCATGGTATAAGTTTAAAATAGTGGTATTGACGAGATTGTATAGTCACCACCAGAGTCTAGAAACGGGATCATGGGTAATCGATCCTCCGCCATCTATTTTAAGGTAGATTCTACGTGCATCGAATGTGCCCTGGCATCTTTATATTAAAATGGCCTTTACCAGCTTCGTCCGCTAGTCAGTTACAAGGCGCCTAATTCAGACGTGTCACGACCAAAAGGAGACAGCAGAATAGTGGTTTTCGTAGCCTAGATACGTAATTGTAGCCAGAAAGGGGATCATTGAACGAGATCTAGATTAGAAGTTTCCGTAGTAATAACCGCCATGCCACATGGGTCTTGCCAGATTCGTTATTCTGTGATGCAGAGCAGGGTCACCTAGTATGCTTTGGATTACCTATCTGGGGAGGCATTCAGGCTAAATAGACGGAATAGTAAGGAAGGCTTCGAGGCCTCCAACAACAGTGACATCGATGGATGATACGACGGTCCAGATACCCACGACGTCATTGGGTGAACTTCCTACGGTACCTGGGTAGGTCAGCACCAATAATAAGAACGATAATGGTAATACCAGCAATAGCCTCCCAAGATTTTCATATGAAAGTCTTGAGAACCGTGGGCCGGATATCAAAGCGGGCGGATATTGCGGGACACAAACCCGAACCGGCTGAGGTTGACTGTCCACGCCCTGATATCTTGCGGCCCGGGCGAGAGAAAAGAAGTAAGGAAGTCGGACAAGAGATTGGGTCATTTAACGAGACTCGAAGAGCTATCCCATGTTTGGCAGGTCATGACGAGAGTAAGGAGGGTGAGAGTGTGTGTGAGAGTGAAAGGGTAAGCAGACGGGGAGCGATATGCATGAGCGGAATGCATCGAGCCGCACGCGCAATTTAGAGTTGAGGTACGGACGTAAACCCGCATAAACGATTATGGGACGAGCCCTTCCCTGCGACCTGCCGTAAGGCTCGAGACGTTATGTACATGTAGGTATAAAAATAAAAATAAAGGGGGGGGGAGGGGAACAGGGCACAAGTCAGCCCAGCCCAGCCTACGAGTCACGAACGGGAACGGAACGGCTCGCTATATGCAAGTCTCGCACCACCTCTATAAACCTGTGATACGGACTTGAGACAAGTAGAAAAAAGTACTTGGAGGAAGAAAATAATAGTAAAGGCGAGTAAGGTCGCAAAAAGATGCCAATGAAGGAAATATGACATGAAGGCGACGACGACGACGAGATACACAAGCACACACCGAGACATACACACACACTCACACACTCACTGACTCACTTGGGTGACACCCCTCCTCGAGAATCATTCTCCTTCCAGATGCGATGGATGGTTACACCTTGTTCCGTCTTGCGCACGTGTGCACCGCTTGATGTACCCCGGATCCGTGAGGATCACCTACATAGTAGTTATAGAAGAGCCCCCTCCCCGGGAACCCTTTCAATTGCTATGATGGCTGTGGGTGAAATGAGATGAACTCTAGAGACAGGGCAACGACATTAACCGAGGTCAGTGCACTGATGAACCTGGCTTTGCTTAACATGACATGCTAAGTACCTAGGTTGGAGGCTACATACATATGCTGTATGTAGGACCTAGGTTTCCTCTATGATGTGATGAGGACCCTTGGAGTTGCGACGACAAGCCGGCTATTTCAGAAGTAGGTATCCTAGGTATCTACTTAAAGGTATTGTGTCGTGCCGTACACACCACATAGCTATCTACACATCTACATGTCCGTTTGTAATGGATGGGAATGGGATTCGATGGCGTTTTATTTGCTGCGACCCTGACAAGCATGGCTACAGAACCCGTTCCAAAGATTGGGGTCTCTGGGCTCACCGGTTCCTTATCCAGGGCTGGCTGGCTGCATGCAAAGATCCCTCAGGGATCACGCGCGCCGATCTGGGAAAAGAAAAGGCCGGGGAACGCCTAGCCGATGAAGTCACATTGATGATTGATTTGATTGATCTCCAACTTCCTTAGCCCAACGAATAGAAATCGATATCTTTGTGATTAGGCAAACATTTTTTGTTGTCCTTATTCGAAACCGGCGGGAGGTTTGCTATCCCAGAGAGGTAGGTATGGTATGCTGCTACCTGGGAGATGCTCGATACAACAATGTACACTATCGTGACCTTGAGTAGCGACTCACCGATTTAAGCAATAAGCAACAATTTAGAAATATGGAAAAGACGAAAAAAAGGCGTGGGCCAATGAGGAAGAGTTGCTTGATAATATACTAATATATATTTATCAGGTAGACTAGGCACCTACTCTACATAGCACTTGACAAGCAATAAAGACAAAATTGTATAACTATGGTACCTTCGTAGTATCGTAAATTCACCGTACCCAGGCTTGAAACCATACTACCATGATACTCACGTACATGAATAAAACCACGCTTATATATATGGGACTTCGTAGTAAACCCTGAATAAAGCCTTACGTATACCTTACCTACCTATACTAGGTAGGTAGGTATACGAACGAAGCCGTTACGATGCTTGGTTGCTTGGTTGCTTTTGCTTGGCTGATGACCATTAGCTACCTCTTGGTAGGATGAGTAGTCTTCCCGAACGCTCCGACAAATCCGAATCAATTCGGGCCATTTATTACGTTAGAATATACATCTAGCGCACGGAAACTAAGGGGGGCTAAAGAGGAGGACCCAAACTCAAGAAAGAGGGAAATGAAGATGGGAGCGTGAATATAGAAACCCATGTACCGCACGCACGCACTTATAAAGAAGAAGAAGAAGCATGTGAATATTTTAATATCTATGCAGGAAGGGTAGGGATGTAACCATAGCAACTCGCGAAATATGTTAGATAAGATGAATTGAAGTCCAGACGACAGTGATGTAATAATGATGGGAGAGATGGGAGAGATGGGAGAGATGGGACGACGATTTGCTGTAATGTTCCCGTCAGAATATGACAACAGCTTTCCTGTCTGCAAGCGTGCATTACTGTACTTGCCTGTAGGGAAGTAGGACGACAGCTGAGCCAGCCGCCAATTTATACCAATACACACTACCAATACGACCTGTCAAGGGTTTGCTTGACGTGCTGACATATGTATGCGAGGTTCTCATGGTGAGATCCAGCAGTGTATTCCGATTCGTCGAGGGAGGGGTTGCACATATTGATTACGGTGAGAATAAGATGTCACGCATCCGATCACAAACCCAGCCTTTTTTTGTTATCGAACCCTCGCAGGCCTCGGTATGGACCCCCCCTGCAGGATAAATGGTGCGTGCCCCTGGAATGGAGCTCTCGACGAACAGGAGTTTGGAGATGTCTGCT